TACACCCTTATCTTCAACAAGCCTGAACCCTCCTTCTACCAATCCATCCATCTCAGAGAGCAGTTGGTATCCCCAGCTGGGTCCCTCTCACAGGATGGCGATAGAGCAGGTCGGGCAGAGCAGGAAGCTGCCAGCGGGGTGCTTGACGTAGGCCACAAGGGTGAGCAGACACGCTGCCTGGGCCTCTTGCTGCTGCTTCAGCTTAGCCGGCAGCTGGGCAGTGGGCCGGGAAGATGTTGCTGCAGCAGGCATGCCTAAGAAAGCAGAGTAGGGCAAGGAGAAGGTAAGAGCAGGTCACACAGCAGCAGCAGCTAGCAAGGCGAAAGAGAGAAAGGAAGAACAGCAATCTACGTTGATTTCAGCCGCTATAGAGAAGGAAAGCAAGGGGCGGGCACACGCACAGCGTACATGTTTAGCGTGACAGCATGTGCGTTTAGCGTGTAAACAGACACGTGTTTTGTTACCGCCAAGATAAAGCTAGCAAAGAAACGCAGGCAAGGCACAGCAAAGATATACAGGCTGCTTGAGCTAGCGCTGGATGAGGCAGCCGCGCAGCTGAGCAAAGAAACCTAGTAGGATTCTAACATCAATACACAGCAGGTCAATAGAGGATGCCACAAACTTGATTTTGATTTCTCCCACACAAACCTCGCTTCTGGCCACCCAAACTACCCATCCCAAGCTCTGCAGCTCCTCCAGAAACCCTTTGGGTTGGTACCGTTGATGCTGTACAGGTCAGCAAATGGGAGGGCTTATCATCCAAAGTATTACCGGTAGGTGCTGGCGGAGGGGGTGGCCGGTCGTCCTGGAACTCACAATAATGCAGATACTCTTAACACCCCCTTTGTTGATATCTATCCCGACATTACGATGCGACAAGACTTCTGGGACCGTCGGTCAAGGCACCCGAACAAGCCACACAAAGATGAAGGTGTAGAGCCACACACAATAACTATTATCGCATGATCTCTTGGTGGAGTGTTCTATAGGCCTACGCAACAATATTCTCTCATACACATTAATCATATAGAGTTGCTGTTCTGCTGCTGCGGGTCTTGTGGGTGCAAAGTGTTGGAGGAGGCTCTGCAGCAACAACACGACTACGCGCAGCAGCAGCACCCACTTTCTGCCTCTTTTTTGGTGCTTTACTCTGTGAAGCTTTACGTTTGCCTCTTTGGGACAACTGTAGAGCTTTTTCACAATCTTTCTTCTCCTTGTTGAGGCGTCGCTGCTTTTTGCACGCATTGATCTCGCGGCGTTCTCAAGCCTTCTTCACAGCCCGCTCCTTTTTATGCTTGCCTCCATTTCTGTATCTCCATACTTGACCACACGCTCAAAGGAGACCTTTTCGAGACGCATCTTCCTTCACGTCGTATTTGTCTGCTTTTGTCAAGATATCACAGATGCTCGTTATTCAGATGTCAGTCATGATAGCAGAAGAGGGGAACATCGAGCATCCATCAGACGTGCTGGACGAGATACGGGAGTGATTCATGATTCATGGAAGTCGGTCTCCATTCAACTGGGTGCTACGGTTACGAGCGTATGGCAAAAAGATCAGAAACAGCTCCACAAGCCTCGGCTATATCTACTGGTTAGATGACTACGTCGGGCTTACTTAAAAACAGCTTGAGTTGAACATAGCTGACCTGAAGAAGTTTGTTGTCGCCCAAGTAGCGCTGGCACAGTCTGAGCTAGAGCAGCTCTTCCTGATACATGGCGACGAGGAACAAGAAGACGTGATCCCTGCCATCGAACTGCGCGACTTGAAAGACGACCCAACAGAGAGCGCTAAGGGCTAGAGCTTCTGAAAAGACCCCCGAAACAATGACGTCGTGCCAGAAGGGAAACGATGGATGCTTGATCGCGTCCTGGAAACTGACGCGCTACGAGCTGAATTGTGGAGCTGCGCAAGAAAGATTCCAAAGTTCTGTGGAAAGTGGCAGCGGCAAGGAAGTACATCTCCAAGATCGATTCGTTTCTCGAACGGCTCCTGCTCCTTATCCACATCACCGCAGGTCAGCCTGCTCCTGGCACGGAAACTCTCAGCTTGCGTCACTGCAATACAGTAAATGGGCACCATCGGAGCATTTTCATCGAGAATGGACGAGTCAGCACAGTGACCGCGTATCATAAGGGATGCAACATCATTGGGTCTACAAAGATCATCCACCGCTATCTTCCTAGAGAAATCAGCGAGCTTGTTGTTACTACCTGTGGTTCATCTTGCCATCCTGGAGAAGTCCGGACCTACTGGTTTGGGAGAACAAAGCACTCCTGCCACATTTCCTATGGTCGAAAGGCGACGCAACTTGGACCAGTACATGTCTGACCAATACCTTGAAAGAGGAAGCACGAATTCACCTACAAATTTATTTGAATATCACCTACTACAGACACGTTGCCATTGCCATATCGCGCGTCTACCTCAAAAGTGGTGGATTCAAGCGGGACTACGGTATCGAAGAAAAGGCATCGAACGATCAGGCAAGCCACACGACGTGAATAGCGGGGTCCCTATACGCACGCGGACTAGAAGAGACTCCTGGAGCCGTAGAGGCCAAAAAGGCTGAGTATCGGATGGTCAGTCGCGAATGGCACAGTTTTCTTGGGTTACGCGCTTACCTGCCCTGTCTGAAGCGTCCAGTCTTGGGCAGGAAAGGCTCCATTGATGTTACGTAGATTTCACTGTGCGGTTTAGTAGAGGCACCTGAAAAATCAATTTTACGAGTTTTGTTTGATGTTGTGGAGCGTCGTAGGTGTCTTTTTGTTGGAGGGGTGAAGGTATCCATCGATTGCCATCTGTTTGCTAGCGGTCCGGTGCAGTGACTGTTCAGCTCATTTGGTTAGTTCAGTTTGCTTCCCACTCTTCACTGCTACTGCCCTCTACTATATAGTCCCGATCGATTCCAGCCAATAGCTAAAAGAATCAATCAACATCTCAACCCTTCCACACTTTTCGATCAGACCTTCCGCATCTGGGTGAACAAAGGCTTTGAGGTGAACAGTAAGGCTACTGATATCGCCATTCCTCCTGTACTTGCCGGTTGCGCTGGGATAGAGTTCGGTCAAAATGTCGTCCCATCTTGAATCATCATCTGCGGTCTCATCAGATGGGCCAACGCATGACCACAATGTTACAGTCTGGTCCACTTCTGAGACGTTCTTCATGACCTGGTTAACGCGTAGAACACCGACTGCTACAGCTCTCTTCAGAGACTTCTGGTCTCTCGAGGGCGTCCTGTTCTTGGTAGCAGCTTATGCGGGACGGGGTTCAGAAGTCTGTGATTTCTGCAAGTCAGGACTGGTCTGGCGGCCGTCAGAAGAGTCAGTCATGGACGTGGTGGTGGCGGTAGGGTCCATCTTGGACCTCGTGGTGGACGAGTCTTTCCTCCTGCATCCAAACATGGCGCTTCGTCTGCCACCCTTGATTCTTCCATGCTACGAGGGCTGCACTCCCGCTCCACTCGTAATGTTGTTGTCAATTGTTGCGCCTGGCTTCTCCTGCGCCGCGGTGCGAATTGGCTCATTGATCATTAGTCTAAACACAAGATGTATACTTGAGCCAGAGCCAGCACCTTCACCAATGTCGATGGAGCTCAGGCCTACGATGAGTGAGCGCAACTTGTCGCCAGCCAACAAAATCGACGATCCGTCTTTTGCTGTCAAATCGAACGGGTATGCTTCTGAAAGTGGCTGTGGTGGCATGCCGGGTGTTTTCAGACACAAGTACATGCTCACTTGAGCAGCACCAGGTACGACATCGCCTGCCACACGCATCAGACTGACGAAGAGATTGATGAAGGTGGTGAAGATCTGATGTATTAGGGAACTACGGAGGAGCAATTATCTACATGTGTGCGGAGGAGCGGGAACTAACGAGCTGGCCAATCAGAGGGCGGCAGCCTCGAACAGAGATGGTGCAGTCTCATTCCATTCCTAAGCCAATCCGCGGTGCGACCGTCAGCTCCTACCAGCGCTTTATCACGCTAGGAATATGGACTGCTTACATGATAAACTACGGGACGGTGAAGGTCTACACCACCAGCGCCCAGTGACGCATTCCCAACGGTCTGTTCGCCCTGTGGGCCATCATCCTCGGAAGCACTATCCTCTTTTTGCCGGAGAGTCCCAGGATTGCGTAGAGAAAGGGCCGCATCGAGGAAGCCCGCATGAACATGGCGCGCTTGAACGGCGTCGATCCTCACAGCCCGCCCATCGACTCCGAAATTGCCGAGATCCAGGAGAAGCTTGAAGCCGAGGGTGCGAGTGACGATCATCCGTGGTACGAATGCTTCACAGGCCCTGGGATGATGTACCGCACGATCCTGGGGATGGTGCTCCAGGCTGGTCAGCAACTTACTGTGGGTAACTCTGGACGAAGTGTACCAATACACCGCGTGTGTGGCGGTTCAAAATACTTGATTTCCCCCCTGACTCTTCGAGTATGTCTTGACTAACACCAATTCCAAGGAGCGAACTACTTCATCTACTACGGAACAACCATCTTCGCAGCTACAGGCCTGGACAACTCCTACGTAACATCCATCATCCTGGGCACCGTCAACGTCGCAGCTACCATTTTCGGCCTTTGGATCGTTGAAAATGTCGGCCACCGCAAAGCCATGATGGCAGGCGCCGCCTAGATGGGCGTATGCCTCTTCATCTACTACTTCGTTGGGCACTACTTGACGCGACCCCATCACGCAGATCCTCACCGCACACGCCGGCAGCGTCATGATCGTGTTCACGTGTCTCCTCATCGCCGCCTTCGCCACGACATGGGGTCCCCTCGTGTGGGCGATTGTAGGGGAACTATACCCTGCGCGCTACCGCGCGCTATGCATGGCGGTAGCTACGACATCAAACTGGCTGTTCAATTCCTCATCTCGTTCTTCTCGACTATGACCACGGATAACATCGATTACTTTTATGGTTTGGTGTTTGGCGAATGCTGCTTTGTGCTGTTCTTTATTGTTTACTTCTTCATGATTGAGACTAAGGATCGCTCGCTCGAGGAGATTGATACGATGTATGTCTTGCATCTAGATCCTATTACTAGTAAGAAGTGGACCCCCGAGTCGCTGCATAAGAAAGGATTGGTTGACACGCGTCGGCTGCATATGGTGCCTGGTGGCCGGAGCTGGAGCAAGGCTGAGCAGGCGCAGAGTGGACGTGGAGGTGTCCTTGTGCCGGAGACGGAGAACACGGAGAGGATAGTGTAATTTTCCGAGTGAGGGGTACATGCGCCAAATGCGCGATAACCCGATATACGCTACTTTTCCTCAGCATCACAGCACAACAACAATGACAGGTATCGAGGAAGCGCTTGCGGAGTGTGATTCTATACCTTCTGGCGACAAGATCTCGTGGCAGAACTTAGTATTGTGTGTAGCTCTGCAGCTTCAATTTTGTGTAGCCCGTTTTGGTAATGCGCGTGCATTGACTAACGGCGTGCATTGAGTGCACGGACATGGTATTTGCACACTAACCGCTCAAGGACTCAAGGCGACTTTTCGCGGGCGTGGATGTTCGAATTGCAGGAATGTGAGTCCTTTGGCGCTAGCTAGGGGGATTTTGTTCTAGTTAACATCGTCAGATCTACGAAGTAGCTCGTATTGATTGAGTCAACAGCAGTACACTGGCCACTACGGCTGCTGACTCAATAAATACGATCCCCTTCGTAGAGACAGGGTTGGGTACAATAATACATCCCTGCAATGTAGACATACGCCCGCAAAAAGTCGCCTGGAGTCCTTGAGCGGTTAGTGTGCTAATAGCTGTGGGTCCAGATTACCAAGACAAGTACGAACCCACTCCAAGAACCCGGGGAAACCCCTGACCCGATTGTTTCGCAGATAGATACCATTCTTCTACTCGTGATCTTTGATGTTTCTCATCGCGCTTCACGACGAACCCCACCCTGTAAATTGCGATTACTTGAGCCTCCCCTGTAGGTTTCAAATCATTATGTTAGCGTTCACGTCAGTATGCGTTGGAGTTGGTGAACTGTACGCAAAGGGAAGAAGTTGAGGATCGTACTGCAGTTGTATTGTATGAAGCTACGAACAGTATATGTAGGTGAGTGGCTGTAAACAACGCTAGTGGGAAAAGGCAGCAACCTCCTACCATGAGGTGAGGTGCGACAGGGAGTTAGTGCAGGAGTGACCCCAAACCGTGACAGTATGACACATGTGAACCGGAAGAAAGGCATGCCGAATAAAGCCTGTTGGACGCGCAAAGGTTATTTGTTTATTTGATTTCAGACCGCAGAATCCGATGTGACCGAGGCATGCCCTGTTTGAGTTGCGTTATATCAATACGGGAATGTCGTGGATACGGTGTTCGTCTATCCTGGCCAGCGGAATGAGATAGGAAACGGTCGGTGGTGTTGAAAACTGATTTACCATTGAAGCATGGATCTTGGACAACTGGCAAAGTCAGGCTTGTCAATACTTCTAATTAGGACATTGATATGCATCATTATTTGACCACCGATTCCTTGGATGGTATGTTCTGCCAACAAATGGATCGACCGCTAATTACCAATTTGTGGTACTGATACAAAACACTGCATAGATCGAAGAACACTAGTACCATTACGCATCGTCCCACCTGTGGCCTGATGGCCGCACAGAGTCGCAGGGTCTGACAAGAATTTGCTAGATTACTGTGGGTGCAGCCAACACTAGAAACCGCTCTCTAACCTGGAACTGTCTCTTCGCTCACCATCAACTCACTTTCAGCCTTCGGCTCCGACTCTGCGGCCGTTAAGGGCGCTATTGTATGCATGGCTTTCATAGAAAACACGCCTTCATCTGCAGCAGTGCTTGAGTCTATTTTAGCCTTCTCCCGAATGCATCGCGGAGAAAGCAGCTTTCAGAGTTACAAACACGTGGGAAAGCTTTGCGAGGCCTTGCATCCTCGGCCAATGGTCAATAAACCCATAATCAAGCATCACAACATATAGCAGCCGGAATGATGTTATGACCAGGAAAGCGACACTGCGACAGTTCTTAGATGGGTTTACTATCACGACGTTCTATCCCTATTTAGCCTACATTTCTCAAAGCCTGTAACGGCAGCATATTATTCAGCGTACAAAAGGCCACGGGAAATTTGCAAGCCTCTCGTTGTAAGCTACGATCTACGAGCCGACTCTGGTTCTAATCGATACTAACTTCCTCAGATCCCAGACCAACCTAACATATCACACATCATGTTAAATCTTATGGCGCAAGTTTTTGCAGCCACCAGAAATACTTCGGACTTGAGCTCTCACACCGACGAAGATAAGGAGTGGATTAAGTCTCTGAAAGATAGCCTTATTAATGTTTCTACGGAGAGACTAGGCCAGACCGACTCGACAGACGCTGATATTCTGGAACTTTACAAACTGGCCACCCTGATCCATTTAGAACGCCACTTGACGAACTTTTCCGGGCAATCCGCAGAGATAGAAGCGTGGTCCAGAAGAGCCTTTATTCTCTTAGACCGACTTCCTCACTCCGACCAACCGTTCCCACTCTTCACTATCAGCTGTGAAGCACGTAGCGACTTCCAGCGAAGCATTAATCTGAAAAATATTTCGCAGGCAAAATCAGCGTCCTTCTCCAAGAATCTTCGCTCCATCGCACAAATGATCCGGTCGGTCTGGATGCAGGATGACCGTGCCAATACAACACTGAACTACAGGGAAAAACTGAATGCCATATTCAGCGCCGTGGAAGTCCTACCGAGCTTCGCGTAGCAGAATCGTTTGGGTTCGGGATGTCAAGATAGGCGATGAAGGCAATGATCATGTGACCTAGGCTGCATGACTAATTAGCGTTATTACTTCATCTCAGCTCCTAGCTTGACAATACAACAATTCTTACACTCCCCAATTATTCTGACATATCGCACGCTGCTTGGCCTTTTATAGTAATAGTAAGAAGGATACACATGGAGCTATGTGTTCGGGACGCAGAACCTGACGAGGCAGACAGACGTAGATATCTCCTATCCGTCTAAGTAACTCTAAACATAGAACTTTATATACACCATGAAAATGCACTTGTTGCGATGCTGTCGAGCGAACAAAATTGCTTTTGAGCAATTAGAATGTAGAAAAGTAGTGCAGCCGACCAATTGCTACTGGTACCAATACAGCATACCCTTCGCAAGGTTAAGCGTCGATGCAATCTCTACGCATCTAAACTACTACTTACGCAGAACCTCTAATTTGCCAGTGGGGTGGTTGCTCCTTTACTAGTACAACAAGCCTGGAGTCCCTAGATAGATTGCGGTTCCGTTTGAGAGAAGAAAGAATTTGTGATAGTGCTTGACCAAACGTCCGGTAGATCCGCCCAGGGCACGGTTTTTAGTGGCTTTTCCATCCTTGTTCTAGATCTTGTCTTGGCTTTACGTGAACCTTATCAAAACACCCTTTCCTTTTGTCTTCGTCTTCTGGGTAGGTTCGTAAAGCGGCCTGTATGCCTTAGCAAAACCGAGCGTTATAGGATGCTGTCGCACTTGGTGTGCTAAAGCTAGTGGTTGAGTGTAGACTGATGAGACGTAGTGTTCGTGTATTGTCTATGGTATCAATCACCCTGGCCTAGCTTATCTACAGATGTTGGGACAAGATTACTAATGCAGAATACTCGCGGGTCTCCCTATGCTTAGCCTACAACATGTATACTAGTCCAATGTACATGCTTCCAGGCTCTTTCTTGTATTGTCCCATGCTCAGCTATATCCGGCTGGATGGTACAATTACCCCTCCGTGTAGTTCCTAAATACACTCAATAGGCACGATCAGAGCCACTGCTTGTCACCAAAGTGAGAAACGAATGAACCTCCGTCGCCATTCTCAACGCTTGCCTTCTTAATGACAGATAACACCGCCTTGGCCGATTCCTCGGAACTTATGGGCCCGGTGAAATTCGGCGCATAGGTTGCAAATGCCGCCCCCATTGCTTGGATACCCTTCAATTCTTCCTCAGTTGCTAAGATCATGTCAGCCTACCATCTGAGTATATTTGGACTATAGAACTGACGCTGCGGGGTCTTGCCTGTGTCAACAAAGCCAGGTGAGATGGACATGAAGAGAATGCCTTCCTTGCGATACTGAGCGCTGAATTTGGCCACTGCTACGTTCAGGGCAGCCTTGCTGAGGGCGTAAGGACCAGCGATGCCTACATCATAATTTCTGATGAGCTCTACATCTGCCATACCCGTCGAGATAGCTATGGCTTTCTTCGCGGACCCCTTTCTGAGGAGTGGGATGAAGAGGTTGAACAGATGAATTGTTCCCAAGACGTTGGTTTGGATCGAGTCATGGATGTCCTTTTCCAGGATTTCGGGATCTTCTCCTCTTGTTGTCGAACGTGTGTTAGCAGAGGGATGAATGAAGTACGCAACAATGCTTGCTTACAGGGTACCAATAGATTTGAACTCCGAATACTCTGATACCAAGGCTGCGTTTGCGATGATGTAGTCGAGTGTCCCACCAGTCAGCCTGGACGTCTCTTCGACCGCTCGCTGCGATATATGTCAGCTGGTACGTTTGTTTGCCAAAGGATCGCTTGCTGACCTTTAATGCTGCATAATCCGAGGGATCTGCTTCCACAATGTGCACGTTCTCACGGTTAAGCTCAGCCTTCACCTTCTCCTCGGTGGCCTTCTTGTTGCGGCTGAAGCCAATAACTGTCGACGCTGGGTCATTAGATAGCTGGCGGAGGAACTCAAACTGGTATTGTGCATTAGCGTTAGATTTGCAACCTCTGAATGCTCGATCGTACCCCAAGCCCTCTGGAAGCTCCCGTGACAAGGTAGGAGGACATTTTGAAGTTGTGAGTTTATCTCTTGTATATGTTGAAATAGCCTGAATATGGGTTTCCGAAAGCTGATGTTGCTGAGTGTGTTTATATGCTGTGCTCCAACGATAACGGAGGCAACGAGTGCGCTTTTATAGGCACTACATTGTCCACTGATTTCTAATGCATTTCGATTTTCAAGAGCCTCGATTTCAAAGCCAAGCCATAATGCGATATTCAATGCCCGACTTCGACGCAGTGCCCCATATGTGCTCGCTGAAGGTTCCCAAGTGGCCGAATGTGTCCTAGCACCATGTCGACATCTTTGGTGTCTGTTTGGTGTCTGTTTGGCTGCTGGGCGCTAGCTCGCAGAAAATCACCCCGTGTCCATATTTGGAATGCTTTGATATGGGTAGATACGGGTCGTCCTATCAGGCGGGCGACTTCCATGTGCCCTGTGCTTTTACTGCCGGGCCGCCGAAGCTAACGCCATTCTTACTAACAACCACTTAGTCAGCACAAAGTGAGACACGCCGGCTCCATCTTGTGGCCTAGCTATTCTTCCTGCCACGTAAACATTGCATTGCCGCTTAATTCCAGAAGCTCCCCAACTCCAGGTCGAAATCCAATCGATCTCTTCTGTGCGCCGCAGCTCTTCGTCCCCGTCTCAACTTATTAGCCCACTAAATTCATTTTGCAAAACTGCCAACTTTTGCGAGCCAAAAGGCTATGCGCGCCTGTTTCCTGGCTTCGTTATACAGCTACGGAATCAAGCGCTGTGTAATGAGTTCTTCTCGTGGATGTTGGACTTGTAAAGGTGCTGCTACGTACTCTATAGTCCTATGTGTCTATTGGCTAGTGTATTTGTAAGCCTAGGACGCTTTATAGCGTGGTTAACTACTAACTAATTAGTCTACTACTACATGTATATAAGCTGGAGTTATGATCTCTTAACTCATTACATAGATGATAATATACGATTTATCTTAACTACTTTTGTATTTATCCTACCTACTATAGCTACTCAATGTTAGCTATTTCTTCCCCTTAAAGAAGTCCTATAGGCGCTAAGTAGAGAGCCTAATTCGTAACTTACTACTCCGCGCTGCCGAGTTGAAGGTTGACAACCAGAGGTCCGAAACGCAGCATCGGCTGAGAATACAAACGGTGTGCTAGTGCCGGAGCTCAACAATTAGCTGTCCTCCGAGCCCGGCCGTCCGCAGCCAAAGCGTTGACCCACTGGTTTGACTCACTGGGCCGCTCCAGCTCAAACGGGTCAGTCGGCCGAATGGAACGCCAAGTGCTCCACAACTAGGTAGATTTGGTCGAAACACTGAGGCTCCGAGGCCTCTTCGCTCCAACCGTGGGTCTCAGTCGCGCGGCTAGGCATATGATTGGCCACTACCCGAGCGCTACCTGAGCCAACACTGGGACCCAGTCATCCATCGGGTCCTCGGTAAAACTTACCCTTTTTGACTAGCGTCCTCAACCCGATGCTCGTCGATCGTCCTCATCCCTTCGGCTCAACTCTTCATATCCACCACCACCAGCAACTTTTCTTTAGCCTTCTAGACCCTGCTCAACTGCCACATTACTGAGTGCACGTTCCCACTGGGCCCGATACTGACTCCCAAAGCCTGACAAATCGTGAGTCGAGTATACATATACCATGGCTAATCGTGGCTGCAGGACATACAGAGGTGCGTAGACTATATAGCAGACTACACACGTGCCATGCTCTAGGTCCAGTAACAGAACAGCACTGCTGTCGCGATAACCTATGGTGTCAAGTTAGTAGGCAATACCACACTTTAGGTACCAGCCATTGGCAGATTCTCTTGTTTTTGACGTCATGTTTACCCATCGCGACTATGAGATAGGAATGCAATCGCAAGTGTATCCCCTCGACGTCTTATCACGGGACACGAGGCAGCCTGTACTCAGTCACGTGCTTAACCCCCCCCCCCACATAATATGATTCATTTTGAATCATGTACTAGCTCCCCACTGTCGCATAGTGGGTGTGGTTGGTACTTAATTGGGAGACCTCCCCTTGGTTGGTGGTACTATTTTTCAGCTTCGCGACATAAACACACCCTAACACCACCACACGCACCGATAAAATACAAAAAGAAACAGAGGGAAGGAGATTATTCCAAACCTTTCGTCATTAAATCTGCTTTAAACTCGTCATTTGTATTTTTATTTTCAACATGGCGCCGTCCCAGCTTTATTCTCAGCTATACGAACTGGCAAAGAGGCACGGTGAAGGCGACGACATATTAAGCATTAGGAGCCCAGACGCTAAGCATGCCTGGGGACACAACCGCCTCGTTTCTCTGAACCCGACTTTGCAAAATGTCATGGATAATGAAGCATTTGCCGCTCACCTCAAAACCGCTGGACGCCTATTAGCCGGTTTCAATTCCAAGATCCATGATATTATCGTCGACGAACACCAACGCATGGCAACAATCAGGATGAGCTATTATCTTTCAACTACAATCTCGGATGAGGTGGTAGAGAACGATCTGATATGGACGCTAAAGTTTACAAAGCAAGGAGAGATAAAGGGGGACCCTAATGCGGTACTCATTAAAGAGAGCATTGAGTTCGTTGACGCTACGGCTAATGCGCGTCTGGGTGCATTGATCAGGGATGCGCAAGTTGAAATAAGAAAGGATGTGTTACGATCAAAGAGCAACTCGCAACAACACTGAACGAACAAGACTACGCGACGATACGAGAGGAGCCAAGGAGACTGCAGGACGCAGTACCGAGCAACTAGATCACGTCGGCAATGCTCAGTATGATCATTACTCTCAGTACCGAGCGACCCGAGCAACTAGGTCACGTCGACGATGCTCAGTATGATCAGTATGGTCAGCACTGAGCATTCCGAGCAACCCGAGCAACCCGAGCAACCCGGGCAACCCGGGCAAACATCCTCTTGCCCAAGTATATAGCAAGTAGACACGCTGCCCTTATGGCGGTGTGTTCAACCTCATCAATCAACTGTGTTATTGGAATCTCATCAACCTTTGAGCTAGATAATCTACACTATACTACTCATTGTTACCCAAGTTGTTAGGGTTAGGGTTAGTGGGTCAGCATTGTGCTTGTACAATTGAGCTCTACAAAATGGACTACAGAAGTCCCTATCTTTTTTCTTAACCCTCACCCACATTTGCCCATTCACAGTCTCAATCAGCACTTAGTGCTGGATCTTAGTCCCTCACACTAGGGGGATCCTTTGTTCATTCAGAGGTCTGGTTGCTTATTGGTAACAGATTTAAGATAAATAATCCAGAGAGGGGTAGGGAAAAACTACACAGATCATGCAATTCAGGTAGGGGGATCAACGAATTGTAATAATTGACAGGGCATAGCTGCGGAGAAATTGCGGCTGAAACCGAGTAGGAATCAACCAATCAACTAACTTAGCTGCGGGGAAAAATCGCAAGTAGGCTTCAATCAAATCGAAATTCGATCAACCATCTGCAGTGCAGCCACCATGATGAGCCTTTTCGGAGGAATATATGAGAGGCTGTTTGACAGTCTAGACCAATGTGATCTGTTGTACCGGATATTTGTTCAGCGCTTGCCCATGCATGATTCCTTGTACATATGCTTCACTCACAATGCGCATTACTGTTGGCAATTCTCCAGGTCTAGAGACCGGCCGGAGTATGAGCGGCACATTACATCCCAGCACAATAGCTATCACGTCTCCATGCCAGCCCCATTCTTCACGGTTGCGACAGTATCCGGGCATAAGGAACCTACATTGTCTCAGAGTGGTAATTGTCCTGGAGTGGACGTGCGAAGAATTCATAGCGGTTGCTTGAAAATCCTCCACAAGCGAGAAAGGGGCTTTAAGTTCGCAACAGATCAAGGATCTGAACGGTGAGAGCGCAGTTTGAAGAATATCAAGTTGCTCCGGCGTACAGTCTGTCTCTCGACCTCCCCCTGGAATGACTTTCAAGCAAAACTGTACAAAATCTGTAGCAGACCACACTTGCTGCACTAGGTCTGATAGATTCGATGTAAGCATCGTGGCTTCATAGAAACGCAGACAGACATATGCGCATAGCTCCGTGACGACGGGCTCTTCAGGTAGTTCTCTGCTGCCAGGTGCCCTGGCGGACTCCAGGAAGAGAATTACTAGAAATTGGAGACGCCGTCGTAACTCCTCGATGGGAGCCAACCGAGAATCGAGTTGCCGTTGCGGTATGATATATGATAGATTGTGGACAAACATTGCATGAACAGTGAGTCGAGTACAATCGTCCGAGAACAGTGCTACAGGAAATGATCTTCCTCCGGCATTAAAATAATCTGAACTCGGAAACGGAGCTGGAGTTCTCTCCTTATCGTTCGTTCCTAGGCGTAGCGGGCTCTGTTTAGCGAAATCAGGTACCCAAGAGGGAAGCTCATTGGTCCCAGAAGCGGAGGAGGCCAGGATATCCAAGTTCCTACTGCCCTGGATGATGTATTTGGTAGCCTTGTAGAACACTTCTGGCCATTCAACATTGTAGTCTGGCCGTAACTCGACATTAGGATAGGGTGCTGCGATACCAACAAGACTATAGATCTTGTCCCTAGGATCGGAGGCATTGCAATTGGTGAAACGTCGAAGCAGAGCATCCAAAGTGTCAGGGCCTCTGCTTTTAAGGAGCAGTATCTGTCCACAGTCGTACGCAGATGCTTGGATGTTCGCATTGACCGTCGAAAACACTCCACTGAGAGTCAAGGCAATCAATCCATCCAAAACATTGATCAGTAATTCGAGAGGAGCTGTCTGGAACCCACATACAATGTGAACGTGTTCATTGACAGTCAGCTCCTGAATGATCCAATTGCGTCGCCAATAAGGTTGTGACAGTAGCTGCGTTAGGCCTTCCCATGTGGTTCTCAATTCGGCGTTTTCCAGTTGCTGACGAAGCCACACCGTAGATACTGAGGACCGGGGATCGTCGCCCCTGTTTTCTTCTGCCATATGGCTCGAAGCCTCCGTGAGGAAGTTCATTGCAAGTTTGCAACTCTGCAAAGGAATTTGCCATGCCCAGACTTCGTGAGCAGATGCATACACTCTTCGCATTAGACCCACTTGGTGGCCTTTCTCCACTGGCTCCTTTTGGTTGATGCATATGGCATCGATCCAGAAATGAACATCCTGAGTACAGCGAAGGCTGAAATGGATAAGTGCAAGATTCAGGTTTGCTGTTACATTGACGAGCTCCCCATCAACGTAGACATCTGGCCACGAGCTAGCGTTTTCGGGCTGAGGTGCCGGGCCCCACATATATGATAGGGCAATGTACTGCGCGATTGTCCTGTCATCCAGCGAAATAGTTTCCAGAGTACAGTCGATGGTACGTGGGAAGACTCTTCGGTTGGCCGGGCTAATTCGCAACAGACGAATTTCATGCTTGCTTGGATCTAGTGGTTTGTAAATTACCGACATGGCTACCAGAAGTTTGGTTGATGATTGCGATGGTTGGTTGGTTTATGCAATGATTTCAATTTGATTTAGGCCTACTCGGTTTCAGCCGCGAGCTTGGGTTGGGAGGTGGGCAAATACATTGATGAAGCTAACACAGAGGCCGGCCACCCCGCTCCACATGAAGCGAGGACTGGATTAGAGGGTAAGGATGACGGAGAGGCAGCCGCCAAGGCAACGACGAACAGCGCGGGGTAGTGCTGCGGCACTGCCGCGGTGGTGTCCGGGAATAAGGACCACGGCTTCTCAAAGCTTCCGCCACACGCCACAGCTAAAAAGCCAGTCTATGATAGGAATAGCATAGAATTCAGTACAGTATTAAGAAGGAGCTCACTTATTTTGACGCGTAATTGTACCACAACCATGCCTGGAATTAATGATGCAATCAAGCAGATCAACAATCTGAAGCCTACGCAGCAACCTGTATATATCAGAATTGCCAAAAACAATGGTGTTGATCAAACAATGTTGTCACGTCACGCGCAAGGTGTTCACAGATGTTTCGACCAAGAACATCAGCCAGCATAACCTGTTAAGAATTTTGCAAAGGAGATAACCAAAATCAGTGTCTCTGAGAGCTGGGTCACACGCTTCCTCAACTGTAACTGCAACCTCCTGACAAACCAATGGACCTCTGCCATGGCTGTTGATTGTCACACAGCTGACTCCTATGATAAGTACAAGGCGTACTTTGACCTCTTAATACACTGTGATTTTTTGCAATCTTTGCATATACAAGTTTTTTGCCTGGCTTCAACTGACGAGTCTCTTTAAGCGCATCTTGAATTCCTGGCATGGTGGTTGAGTTATTACGCGTTGGCATGTACTACAAATGTGGTGCCCTGATCGTTGGGTGCACGGACACGGTACGCGACATCAGACACGCCGTGAAACGCATCTGCGCTCTGCAGCGCCACCACGGCCACAACAAAGACGGCTACAACTATAGCCGCAGGCACAACTTCAGGCCAAATTATTCGCGATCCATTTGTGCGCAGCCACTCTCTGCTGCACTATCGAATTTCATCGCTGTTATAATGTTCATTGCATAAGAGACATCATGTACTCGGTTGTCTATCACGAAGGTATTGCGAAGCTTTGCGCCACATACTTGGCTCCGTCGGTCATCATTGTTTCCTGAGGTGTTTGTTGCATCCCTAAGGCGTTCGATTGTGTTCCTCAGGCGTTTACAACAGTGGGTACCAGCATGTTTCACAACTCATGCCCAGCTGAAACACCAAGATCGTACCCGAACGGTCGCAGCTCGACCCGGATCTTCCTGTCCGACCCACCATGCAACACAATACAAGCGTAGAGTTTGATGCTTGGCCATGATCAAGCATTCGGGCGGGGCGCCTGGTGGGCTTCTCGGTCCTCCAGTGGCTTCGTCTGCTGTTAACCTGACCCGCAGCTCAATGCTTCCAAACCGAAGGCGACTGGGCATGAGACTTGGTGCGAAACTTTCACCTGATGGCCATCTCCAGACGTCTGGAGGCCCTTCGAGGCTGTCTCGTGGGCGGTAAGTGCGTTTGCGGTCAGCTTCAAGCTCCGCTTTTGTTAATGTCATGACAGTCAGTACCGGGAATCGTCTCGGATCATTTTGCAATCAGGAAACTATATATCTTGGTCGTGGGGCTGCCTCTTTCCTGAGGATCAGAATTGCAGGTCATTCGCATCACTTTCCTATTCCACTACCTAATACCGTCCTTGTAATATACAGTCTGCGACTATCCATTCACTCATTTTCGATAATCTAATTTCGACTACTACAACCTCTAAGATGCTTTTCTCCACTATCCTCGCTGCCGGGCTTGCCCAGGCCTTGACCGCTTCCGCTGCCACTATGATGGTCACCGTCGCGGCGAACAACAAGTTCCAGTTCACTCCCAACTCGGTGACCGCCCAGCCTGGAGACATGGTCGCTTTCAACTTCGTCGCTCAGGTAAGGCATCATCATCACTATCTCATGTTGTCACATCACTGACCTCAAACAGAACCACTCTGTCGCTTCATCCACTGCCAACAACCCTTGCCAGCCCGAGAAGAACGCTATCTTCTCTGACTTCCAGCCTATCCCCGGAAACCCCAATGGGAGCCCCAACGGCGGTGGCAACGCTGGTGGCAAGAACAAGAACAACAACCGCCAAGCCGGCAACACGCCCATGTTTATGGTCCCCATCACCGACACCGACCCCATCTACATCTACTGCTCCCAGGCCCAGCATTGCCAGCAAGGCATGGTCATGGTCATCAACCCTCCTAACGGCAATGCTGTCACCCAGTACCAGAACAAGGCTGCCCAGGCCAACAACAACGTCTCTCCCAAGGGCGGCATGTCCGGCGGTTCCATCACAAACAACAAGGCTGGCACCAACCCCAAGAACGTTCTCGGTGCGACTGCTGGTGATGCTGCTGCTACTGCGAACACAAGCAACAACGGCAAGAAGAACGGTGGTGGCAATGGTGGCGGCGCCGCTGCTGGCCTTGCGGCTCTCCTCGGCGGTGGAAAGGGAAACTAAAGGGTTGAGGATGGCAAGGAGAATGGCTCTAATGATGGGGCTGGGGGCGCATAGGTGGGGTAGAAAAGTTTGGAGATTATGTACATAGAAGCTGGACATTCTATCAATATTAATTCGATATCACAGGCTGATCATATCCTCTTATGCTGTTTGTGAAAGCTATATGCGCTCAATATTCCCCCAAATGTTCTCATATTCGCTCAAAGAACATCGTCGATTCTACCTCTTTCGTGTAGTGAGCTTTAAGTCTGCGTTTCCTAGTCTGAAACGTTTTGGCTCTGCATCAGAGTCTCCGAGTATTGGACTTGGCTTAGCTTCTGCGAACTTGTGCACCGAATTCTTTGATACGGCCATGAAACTCAGAGCTTAATGTCCACCGATTTCTCACCCAAGTCGCCGTTCTGAGCTACTTCAAACTATCTAGCCACTTGCAAGAGCCAATAGCAAACGCACAGCAGGAAACACATGATCGACAAGTCATGCCATCAAAGTTCCTCCCTTGGGAATAGGTTGTGGCCATTGGACGATGCTTACAAAAAGCCAATACCGACTCCAAGACTTTGTCTTTACCGCCTTTCGAGGAGACATCTTACGCAATAGCACGAGTGGCCGAATACAACATATCACATCCTGACCGGCTGTAGTCTGGTATAAATCGTCGACGAGGGCTGCCTCTTCGAAGATTGAACGCATCATGCCGCCTTGGTGTCCGTGCTCACCATCGTTATCTTGATCGATGCAGATTAAGTCAATCCACCAAGCTGGGCGTATAGTCGCATTCTGTGCTTGGATGACTTTCATTTGCAATCCATTGACGTGAATTGTTGCTGTCCGCTCTGTGCCGCTCCAGGTGTACGATAGAGCTGTGTATCGAGGGTATTGATGCTCGACAAGATTGTACGTTGTCAATCGGTATGATATCGAATTTCCTGGCGATGTGCCACCGAGCAAAGTCAGACTACGTATCGCTCGCTCGGAGGGTAAAGGGTCGTACTTGAACCTCAATGGCTTTTATGTTCCGCTCTGAAACGACTGCCACTCCGTCTGCGGTCGTTCCATTATCATAATATTAGCACCGGGTTACAACACATAAGGCTCATGACCAAACAGGGAATCGTCAAGAGTTCTGAAGAGTCGTATGCGCATCGTACAAGAAGGCAAAAGCCCGAGAGCTGGATGAGTTCCGGTGACGTGCTTTGTTTCACGACTTGTCGCTACAGTGTTAAGATAAACGCGTGAAGAAGGCTGAAGAAAGGTAGCAGCGCACGGACGTCGTGGTGCACAAGCGAGAGAACCTGCCCCCAACGCCCCGAACGAATCACCTCAACTTCCTACAACTCAACATCCAAGCTTCTGGGTGGCGCGTACAACACAACTCGACTGTTTGAGCTTTCGGCCACATTGTTATGCTCGAGACTGTCTTGGGAAACCTACACTGAGATTCTTCCATACTTGTGCAGACAGATGACGTTATCAACACACGTGTGATTAGGGACGACGCGAACGAGATGTTCGGTCCTTTGACAACGACCTCGGTTCAAACCACACCAACACTCCGAGCCGGCATATCTTTGCAAGAAATGTTAATGGACAAGTAGGATCCTCCGTCAGGTGATGCGCTCATAAAAGCCTTAGGCTCGGGCCCAGCGCCGAACTCCAGATTTGCCGATGCCCAGGACGGCGCGCATGACAACTCAAACTCAGCAACGGCCCCACATCAAGCTAACGACGAGTACCGTATCCTGCAATTCTATTACCGGTAACTGCCTTTTTGCGACAAGCGGACTGATGATCTACATGGTTTCCCCACAGTATGATGGTGATTGCAAACAACGTTCATACCACAGATCAAATATAGCCACCAATTGGATTGTTGGACACCCCGAGAGCGACCGATGGCAGGAGCGACCAAGACCTTAATGAGGATAAAGTCGCCTATGCGCCTTGCTAGGCACTACAAGGCCAGCATGGTTTCGACCGATGCATACAGTATCTTCCCAAGCTCCACACACCATACGAAAGGTTGGATATGTTTCCCCAACTGGAAACTGGAGCGGATGATACGTGGAAGTGGTATCATGGACGGTCTCTCGTCTGTAAGGATAGGAGGATGATGAACTATATATTGGGCCACCCGCAAGCAATGAGAAGCCGCAAGTCACACAACACCGGCAGCACACGATGCACATCTTTAATATTTTATGCGCTGTGGCGCTTCCGGCGATCGTCTCTGCATTCCCAAATGCACCTTTTGTGACCTCAGGTCAATGGGTCCACGACTCTACGGGCGAAAACTTCACTTACGTGGGTGTCAACTGGCCGGGTGCGGGTGAGGTTATGATTCCGGAAGAACTTTAGTACCAGAGCATTGCATCAATTATATCGAGGATCAAGAGTCTGAACATGAACGCTGTTCGTTTAACATTTGCTATCGAAATGATCGACGACATCAAAGACAACGGCGGAGATGTGACAATCCAGAACGCGTTCAAGAAAGCACTGGGTGATACGAATGGTACTGCTGTGTACCAGCAAGTGATCAAGAACAATCCCAAGTTCGGTCCTTCAACGACTAGACTTCAGGTTTGTGAACGTGGGCACTGAACAAGCAACGATCTATTTACGTTTCCCTCAGGTCTACGACGCTATCGCTGCTGAACTTGCAAAGCAGCAGATTTATGTACATATCGACAACCACATGTCCAAAGGAAAGTGGTGCTGCTCCACCAACGATGGTAACGCATGGTTCGGCGATACAGACTTAGATGTCACCAAGTGGAAGCGAGTTCTTCAGTACATGGCTGAACATGTAATACTCCTCACCTCTCGTTTCGTGCATTAAGCTAATTAGAGCCTTCAGAGCAAGCAGTGGCCCAACATGGTCTCGATAGGCCTCCGCAACGAATTCCGCAAGCCAGACAACGCCAGCTCCTCCCTTCCGTATGACTGGCCTACTTGGTACGAGCAAAACGTGGCTGCCGCCGACGTCGTCAATGCCGCAAACCCAGACATTCTCATCTTCCTTTCTGGCCTCAACTTCGACACAAAACTGCAACCTATTCCGTGGGCAGACGATCTCGGAAATGGCAAGAAGTTCCTTCTCCCCGACTTCAAGTACGCCGATAAGCTTGTCCTCGAAATGCACAACTACCAAAACTCCGCCACAAACTGCGATGACATCGAGGATGGCCTCTGGAACAACGGTTTCCGCGCGACCGGCGAGAAGACCATGAACAGGATGCCTGTACTTCTGACAGAATCTGGCTTTACGCAGGCTGACAGCAGCTACAATGGCGTGTATGCGGCCTGCCTACGCAAGCTCATGCCGCAGTGGAAGTCGGGCTGGATGGTGTGGGCGCTTGGCGGAAGCTACTATATCCGCAGTGGAACTCAGGATTATGAGGAGACATGGGGCTTGTTGGACCACGACTGGACTGCATGGAGGAACTCAGATGCGATCACAGCGCTCAAGGGCATGGTGGACGCTACACTTGCATCTGTGTAGTAATGGCAAGTTGGACGCCTACATGTTCGAATCGTAAGGAGCTTTACACACGGAAAAATGGATAGCCACCGGCTTATACGTTCGAAATGTGCCTTAGGTATTGATGAATCATTATATCAGGTGATCACAGTAACATGCCAGCTAATAACCCCAACGATACAACCACGAAGGTGGCGGCTCCAGCTTTCGAGCTTTTCATGTCCCTAATGTCTAGCCTGCTCACCGCTCCTGCATACGTTGAAGTACTGCTGGCGGTGGAATTCACTGTAGGAACGCAATTGGCATGAAGAACGCCATCTGATCCTGCCTTCCAACAATCAGACACGCTCTTGAGAGATGGGCTACTTTTGATAGTTGTTGGCGCCTCCACACTCGTCACAGACGTACTTCTGCCACCCTTAATCTCACTGTCATCTGGCTTGCACACTACCACTTTCACGCTCCTTTCTAAACACCCCATCAAGTCCTGCCATGATTGTCCCACGGCGTCACAGGTCGCTTGACACCCATTGAACTCGCCAGGTTCACTTTCTCCGGCTTCTTTCACCTCGGCACCATTGCAGCATGCATACAAGTTCCAGAAAGCGTGCGGGTTTTCGCATGCTGAATTGCTGATCGCGCACGATGCATTTTGACTTCTGGGATTTTGAGATATTGAAGACCAAGGGTTGCAGCATTCCTGCCGAGCAGCAAATGGTGCCTGGGTGGGGGAAAAGGAAGGTGTGGTGAACGATGCTGTGGCTTCGATGCCCGAGGAAGGGTAGCTAGCAGTTGTGTATGTGAAGGCGTAGGTCGTCGTTGGTATTATTGTGGCTGGTACTGTAAGAGTGGAGAGGTGTATGACCCTGCCATGCTGGAACGAAGCCATTATTGATGCGATTTGTGATCCGCTACAAAGCTATCTCACAGATACGGGCGGAGTCTCCGGTGAATCCTAGGGGATGACAGATATGGTTCTGTCCGAGATGATGTCCTCAAGATTCTCGATACCTTCGCTGTGGGTAGCGACTTCTATACATCTCGGAACACCGGCTTCTAGTGTAAACGCCGTCAATATTTATTCATGACCAACATCCGGCATTGTGAGAAAGTTCGTATCGCGTTGTGATGTGGTTAGTGTAGTGGAGCCAAGCCTAATCTGGACAGTTACCGAGATGAGCCTCATTGGTGGCCTTACCGAGCCCCCTATTAAGTGGGGCATGACTGCCAAATACGAAAGGTTCAAAGTCGCCTTGTTTAAGCTGCAAGTTGCGAGAAAGACGAGGTATGAATATTGTTGACAAATCATGATCGCCTCATTCCTCTCCGGAATTTGACCTGGCAACAGAGGGTCGAGCACATGGAATCATTTTGAAGTGACCAGTCGATCTCGCGAATATCTCACGTGCCAGAACCGTCGCGCGGCTTTGTGGGGTGGTAGATGAAAGTATTTTGATCCGTGCCGCAAGTCCAAACTAGCGCGGCCTTACAATGCGGATGGTCCAACCTTGGGACCTTGGAAGCGTCACGCACATCGCAGCCGAACAATATCGACATCAGCATTCACAATCAACCAATTGGTCCAGTGCTTTCTGTGCTAGAAGCCCCATCTATAAATCTCTGCACACTGCTATGGCTCTGGTAGGGAGTTCTGCAGCCTGCCTGGATAAAGGATCAGGCATTTCACGACACAATCTCGTTTACCCCATACGTGCTAGAGCCAGGTACATCGAGGCCGTCAACAAACACGGACTAGCAACACGATCCTTCCAACGTTCACCGTGCTACAGTACCGTCCGCTACTCCTTGTATACAATCCGCGGGTGCTGGACAAGCTTTGAAGATGCCTTGTCTCTCGATTTAAGAGTCTGGGGCCTCCCTCAACCGTGTTGTTACTTCCAGCAGCTACAGCGTTCAAGAACGATCGCATTGCCTTCGGGTTCCACAACACTGAGCGGCTTCTCAAATCTTTCAACAGCAACATGTTCAAATCCATCGTCGCTCTTGCGGCCTGTCCAGGGCTTGCACTTGCCCAAAACAACACGCTCCAGTTCTTTTAGCCTCATGCGGCGGACTACCAAGACCCTGCTGCCACTATCTTCCACATCGCCTGTCCAACGCCCATTTACAGTACTAGGAAAGTAATTTGTTCGCCAAACGAGCACAAGCCACCCCACCAACATTCACACCCTTACTTCAACCACCTCTTGCACCATCAATAGTAGACCAAATATAATAATTTGTAGCCAATTTTATTCGCAAAAAGCTAATATTTTGTCTGGTAGCCATGCGCTTATTCCACTGCCTGAAGGCGGTGTGGCATGCTATGAATAAGATTGCGCACAAGCGTGTCAGGTATAGCAAGCCACCCCTCTTTCAATGCCCCACAAAACTTGTCCCAGCCCTCTTGAGAATTACCAATATGATCTAGCTCAGGGTAGGTAAGATGAACAATCCTTTTCAAGGCCCACCACATGTGCTCAATAGGGTTGAGGTCGGGTGAGTATGCTGGGTGTTTGACAGTCCATATCCCATGGCTCTCTAGATACTCTGAGGTTGCCTTTGATGTATGGATTCGAGCTGTAAGGGTATCTGTGACAGCGAGCTTAGTAACAATGGGGGGGTGGTCCCCTAAGATTAATTGCTACCGTTCCCTGGCCATTGTGTGCCCGATTATCTATGCGCTCTCGCCCGTACCACGCTAGCGTCCCGATGGGTTAGCGCCATCGTCCCGACACGTGACAGCCTACTTCACTACAGCACCATAACCCCGTTACACGAGCATTGTCTTGCAGAAATCAATCTCCTGGCTGGTAGTAAGGGATAAGGCCTTGTTCGAGTACTCTGATATAGGACTGGCTTGTATACCCCTGACCCTTTGAAGTGTAGTCCTTCTCCATGATCACTAGAGGTGACCGACTAACTCTACCACCAGGTGTGATCCATATTGATGCCCATACCATCTGTTGGCTCCCACGATCAGTAGTCACCTCTGTGACTTTGTTATGGCCAAATTTCTCATCAGGATAGCCAAAGGACCACTCAGTATCCCTTCTAGAGCCATGTTGGACTGAACATTCATCACTGAACCTGACAAGGCACCGTTTCCAGTTGAAGTTTCGACCCTCACGGGCATATCTGAGACGCTGAGCAGCTGTAGCAGCATTGTGTTGAAGTCGTGTCTTAAGCAAAGCTCGTAGACACTATTCGATTGGCTCTCGGGGATGAGCAGAGGTACAGAAAGCCGTCAGAGGTTGGTTATCACTGAGCGGGCTCGGAGCGGCAGAGGTTTGACTGTGATAAACCGCCGTGATAATCAGGGGGTAGTTGTCTAGTCAAAGACCATGGCGACTGGTTGCAATGAGTGATACAGAGTATACTGTCTGGCTTGAGAGCAGGTGAGATTCCAATAGCAAAGTTGACTGATGAGGTTGAACACGATGCCATAAGGGCAGCGTGTCTACTTGCTTATATACTTGACAGGAGGATTGATTGTACTGCTTATATCAAGTATTGTCAGTGACTTGATACTTGGTCCAATCGAGCATTGTTGATGTGACCTCAATACTTGGTCCTCGGTGTCCTATTGATTGTTGTTGACGTGGGTCCTCTGCAAGTGGGTTGGTATATGAGTCCATGATGATTGTTTGTGTACGAGATCCACGTTGTATCCACTGCAGTCCTTTTCGTACAATCTCAGTTTGTATAACAGATATTGCGAGTGTTGATTATACTGGGTATCACTGACGCGGCTTCACAGCTCGGTCAATCGATACTGCAGTTCCTTGGCTGCTCTCGTCTCGTTGCGTAGTCCTGTTTGTTCAGTGTTGTTTTGCAAGTTGTTCATGGATCGTAACAGCTGCAAAGGCTGCAGAAGTTGCTCAGCGCAAGGCTGAGAAAGAGCATCACAAACTTGTTTGTGATGCAAGTTATACAATTGCCCCAAAGAGGCAAGCACAAGGCTTCAAGCCAATTGCAGTTAAGAACAACTAAGAGGTGTGGTGGTGCTGCTGCTGTGTGTAGTTGCCCAGTCCCCCTAGCCTGCCCTGGGAGGCTCCCACAACAACCACCTGCTGCAGCCAAACGTCAACTCTGCCTGCACGTTTTATATGAGAGGATTCTGTCACATAGGTCTACAGAGTACTCCATCAAAATTTCTTGCAATAATAACTATTGTATGTGGTTGTACAGCCTCATTTTGACGTGCCTGTGAAAGTGGTGAGTTGCGCGTTGCGTGCCCGTGCGCGTTGCGAGCACGGGCACGGTAGGTGGAGCGTGATAGGACAATGTCGCATCGAGGCCTTGCTTACGGCTTCAACCACGAAATTCTGTTCAAGAGATTCATGTAGTTGTTGAGCTGCAAATAAGCGCGATGGCCATGCTATTTGATGGAGGTCGTGAAGTGACAATCTAGGAACAAGCTTTGGAGAATGACGTCAGCGGTTGCTTGGTTTCGGTTTCTTGGGCATTTCCACCACCATTAAACTCGTCAACACCACTACTCTTCATCATCAGCTTCGTCTGGCTCGACACACTTGCAGTCATGTAGCAATTGAAGTGCCCATTTTGCACTCACAAGGTCTGTAGGCCGGACCTTCTGCCCGGGTTGCCTCGATCACTTGCCGCGAACACCGTACGGCAGCCCTGCGATTGACTCTAGAAGTGATCGAGGACCTACATGCGACAACACGAGGGCTATGGAAAGTGCTCATCAATCTGACTAGATGCCTGTTGTGCAACGCGAAGGATTCGGTACCTGGATAGCTCAGTGCTAAACCTGCGTTGTCCGCCTATCGAACGTCGGCAAAACTCACGGTGTGGAGACGGCAATTGAAATGCCTGTATGGGTCCCAGGCCCTATATCGAAGAGGTGCCCCGCTGACGATGCCACAGAGTTTGTTCTCGACGGTTGACAAGCCACGGAAACACTGACTGAACCTTGAAAAGATCATCCCAGTTGTTGACTTCGGCATACAACGATCCTCGTCAACTGGCGGGCATCACACTATTGAGGACTTGACTGTGCACCCACGCTCAGAATCAGGCGTGCTCCTGCATATGCAAGGCATGGGTATATCGTGGATAACTTCAAGAAGATGTGCATATAGCACTTTCAATTGGCCGCAAGGCTAGATATTGTGCCGCATCAGGACAGGTAGGTCGGAGACTGCTGACAGGTTTCATACATTTACAATTTCCCCCACCCCGTGAGTTTTTGTCTCGACAACCTCCATCTTTCAGCGGCCATGAAGCTACTCCTCGGCGCTCTTGAAGGCAGCGCCTTGACCCTAGCAGTTCAAGCTGGCACTGTGCTGGTCGCGTATTGGCTCATATGGCTAGTCTACAGTCGCACATTTCACCCCCTCGCCAAAGTCCCCGGTCCAGTCTGGGCCTCTCTATCACGAACATGGCTCATGTATCGCATGTTTCGCGGCGACTACCAATTAGCTCAAGTAGCACTTCACGAGAAGTCAGTTTGAGACCTTTCCCAGAGTACGCTTAGCTGACATAGTATCTTAGATATGGACCACTCATTCGCATCGCACCTAACGAGCTTTCCTATTCGAAGCCAGATGGCGTCTCTCTCATCTACCGCCTCAGCAGACCCCTCGAGAAGACGGACTGGTATCATGCCTGGAAAGGCGCAGGTCTCAAGTCTCAAATCGACATGTTCACCATCACCAACGAGAAGAAACACACTGCTTATCGCCGGGTCGTTGGCGCTGTGTACTCATTAACCAGCATCCTGAAGAATGAGGTACAGATGGATCAAAACGTTGCTATGCTTCTCGACCGCCTTGATGGGTTTGTGGAAAGAAAGGAAGATGTGGATCTTGGGCTTTGGCTGGAGATGTATGCTTACGACAACATTGGGTCTGTGTTCTTTGGAAAGCCGTTCGGGTTTCTGGAGACAAGCAGTGACTATGGCGGATACATAGCTGCGGTGCACAAAGCAATGCCGTTCCTGTCCGTGGTTTCGATGGCGCCGGCTTACGCGCGGTCTATTCTTATGGTGATCGCTGCTGTGGTACCCTCTCTTCTTCGGGCCGTTCTGGCAGTTGATGATATTCGCAAGACTGCGGTTCGAGAAACCGAGGAAGCCATGGCGAGGAAGTCCGACGACTCTCAACGCCACGACATGCTCACTCGGCTCCTGGACATCACCGAGAAAAAGGGCGAGAAGATCGAGATCACGCATCACGAAGTCACAGGCGAGATGTGGGTCGCTGTCATAGCTGGCGCCGACAGCACAGCAGGCGGTCTCCGCGCAATCATCTACCACATCCTCAAACACCCCTCCGTGATGGCCAAACTCACCGCCGAAATCGATTCCGCCTACGCCAACGGCACCCTCACCCACCCCGCCCAGCATTCCCAAGTCACAACCCTTGTTTACCTCACGGCGGTTTGCAAAGAAGCAGCGCGCGTGTGGCCAAGCTTCCAGGTCATCATGCCGCGGTACGCGCCAGCTCAAGGTCTTCAGCTTCCGAATGGCTTTTTTGTCCCTGCAGGGTATAGGGTGGGTATCAATCCATTCGTTGTGCATCGCGACACCGGGCTCTTTGGAGAAGATGCGGGGATTTTTCGACCGGAGCGCTGGCTGGAGGCTGATAAGGAGCAATTGAGAAGAATGAACTCGGCTATACTGACATTTGGAGCCGGGACGAGGACGTGTACAGGACAAAATGTGAGTGTTCCGTGCAGGTTTTCAGCTAAGTTGGACAAAGGATGGTGGGATGAGATGCTGACAATTTGTGACAGTTGGCTATGGCGGAGATCTACAAGATTGTGCCTGAGATTCTGCGTCGGTTCACGATCAGCATGCCACCGGAGAAGGAGTGGACTGCATTCAATGCGAGTTTCAACTTGACGAGCGGAGTTGTTTGTAAGATTGAACGGAGAGGTACATGAGATCTGCCGTGCCCCGAAAAGGCAAAGGCACGCGAGCTTAGTAAAAGTCTGATATCAGTCTTCATTTATCTGCTCAACTCCCATTGCTTCTTCCGGACATCGTATGCACGACCTCAAGATTCGGCTTGCCAAAGGTGCGCATAGCACGAGTCTCGTGCTTGTGACGCTTCCCATTGTCAAGGAGAACGCACTCAAGGGACCGGAAAGTTCGATGAGCCGCATCGAACTGACCCGCAGCATCGACCCGTGCTTCTCGTGTTCAGAATCCGGTCCAGTCAAAAATCCACGTAATCATACGCATTGTGATCGTAAGTTCCTGCACGGCGCCGAAGTAATGTCCCATTTTGTGGAGTAGGTCTTGTAGGGTTTTGTAGTGACATGCTCCTCTAAGGTGAAGTGTAGTGTAGCTTTCACGGACAGGCTTTGTCTCGCGGTGGATCTGTCGACAGACTTAGGGCAGACGCAAATCCACACATGAAAATCCGTAACATTGCGGGTCAGCAGACACCAGTCGCACTGTCGCAAACTCGAGCGCGAAGTTATAGATTTAATTGCGTAGTTCAGGGGGTAGGCGTAGAAGCGGCGACTCAATTTGATTGCGCTCGTTGCTACAATGCAATTTGATCGGTGACAGACGCTGTAGAAGGCCTAGGGATTACTTACATCCGATCACGCTCGTCAGCTGTGAGCTTGCGCGTGGTCGATGGTTTTCTTGTGTGAGCCATGGCGGTTGAGTTGTGCAGAAGAAGAGGAAGGAAGGAAGGAGGAAGGTGGCAGGGAAGTGGGGCCCTAGCGAAATATTCGTCTTCACCTTCACTCGCACGAACACTTCGGCAAGCATTTTGCTTCCCCGCGGTCAGAATCTTCAGAAAAATAACTTGAAAAAGTTGATGGGATCAATTGAAGTCACATTGTGATCGGAGCCAAGAAGGGAAGAGAGAAGACTTATTGCGGTACAACTTCCACGACTGCAGACAACAGAAGTCATTCGTTGAACTAAACTGCCGATCTGGAGTCATGATCTACAACTGTGTGTAGCTGGATCTTCCATCTTTCGCCCCATCGACTACATGCAGCTCTTGAGCATAAATAACCTGAAGGTTAGCCCTGTCGAAGAACTCGCGTAGCTCACGAGTTCAAACCTCGTGGCCAACTGTCTTGTGCATATTGACAGGGCTGCCCACGCACCTCAGAAACGGGAGTATGCTCCTTGCATCGTCAACCTCGTTTCTAGCCCAGCCACCGGGATCTCTCCCCAATAACCTCATGTAGTGTGCTAACGCCTCCGACACCTCGAAAGGTTGTGTTCATTGATAGCTAGATCCTTTTTCACCCTTCCCTGCCCGATCCTCAAATGATCCCGGCGTAGACTACCTGGAGGCCAGGCTTGTCGATAAGGATGCGCATGAGACGAGTAGCTCTGTCCTGTGCGAGTTTCTCACGCGACTGATGGGAGAGGACTACACGCCTCATGGACGGGAACATACTCCTTACCAAGTTGAATCCATCATCCTTAGCCCCGAATGCGGTGTTCTCCAACAACAGCACCATATAATGACCCATGGATGTTGAGATCTCAATCGTCTGAACGGCATCGAAAGAGTGGGTGCTTTCATCAACTGTTTTACTCCACTTGTTGAAGTCCGTGAGAACTTCAAGGGCGAGGCTTTCTGTAAAGCTTCCCGTCGAACCCGTTGTTTCGTGGTAGATTCGTCGACACGTATGAGGCAGACGTATGTTTGCTCGCAAGGTAAGTGGAGGTGGGGATACTGAAATCCTCCCGGTAGGGAAGCAGGGCTGTTGAAGGCGTCGGTATTCAATACGAACTGAGCCTGATTCAAAAGCGAGGTTGTAAATCCTATTGCGCAACTCGGCGGTAGGGCATAAAAAAATCGAGGCTTTCTGATTTGCCTTAACGCTGTTGGTAAATTGCTTAGAAAGCTTGGATACCAGTGACTTGCCATCGGACTCGCAAGTTAAGAGCTCCGGATCGTAGGTGGAAATGGACGTTGTTGTGGAACTGTCACGATCGGCTTGTGTAGAAGAAGAGACAAGTGTTATGAGGCTGCAGGAAGAGAGGGAAGGTGGCGGGAAAGGCTGTTCTGAGAGCTGCGTCTTCATCTATGTACTGTTTGCATGTGATGTAAGACGACGTCCTTTCAACCTGATCAAAGAGTGGTATTACCTTCGACTTCAAGCAATAACACGCCACGACAACGCAACAAGATCTGGAGGTGAAGTACCTGAGTTAGTGCCGAGCGCGCACTCGCTCTCATTTATATGTGACGAAAAATTGGTTGGAGTGGAGTGAAGGTGCGGGATGATGTAACTACAGAAACTCGTTGGTCGTAAAGATCTAGAGGGGTGCGCACTTTCTGGTGTTTAGCTCTTTCCTAGTGTAGATATTGCTTCACGCCCCAGTCTAACCGAGCACTCCACTCCTCCGCTGTTCAATTCCCATACCTCCTTACCCATGTCCATCAGAAGTCTCAGGCTTCTCATTCAAACTCCACTCTCAGGTCCGGCTTATCAAAATACTCACGCATCAATGCACCGTACTCCCTGAATCTCACACAGTTGGGGAGCACAACACATTCCACCAAGGGAAAACAGTTCCGTGCACTCATCATATACTCGTCCATCTTCCAGTCTCTGCCAAAAAAAAAAAGGCCGCTGCCCTCCTATGCTCTCCCATATACGAGGCAATAGGATGTGGCAGATACAGCCTTCATATGTTGTCGAAATGGCGCTTGTCGGCGTCTAAAGTCATGTCCAGGTCGCCGAAAGTGCAAGATTCCTGAGTAGCAAATGTGGTAAAGCCTGCAACGAATGGTTGCGATTCGTAGTGGATTTGTCGGCATACTTTAGGTAGACGCACACCTCTACGGACATATATGGCTGAAAACTTTCAAGGCTGGTGCTGTTGCTGGACAGGCACCTAGAGGGTCAGATGCAAGATCGGAGCGCTAGTGTCAGACAATCCAGGAGACACGGTGTTAATGCAGACTGACGTAGTCTAGTTGCGAACAGATAGATGGAGCTCGCATGATGTTGCGTGCACGCAGGCGGTCGACAAGCATACCCCATTACAGATAGAATCCGACATTGTACGAAGAAGCTGGTTTGGGTGTACGCACCAATTGAGTGACAATTCGAACAATGAAAATCCTTGTTAACGAGATGTGGTTGCAGTCCAGGTTGGTGGAAGGAAGGCTTGGGGCCTCATGCTGTGAGTGTGGCCAGCGACCTGGTAGGCAGGTAGGTCCCCTGGTGGACGCTACTGTACTCCACCAGACAGAACAGTACCCTACAGAAAACAAGACAATACGCCGCAGCCACCCCACCTCCTCCCACTCGGTTATCCATGGTGGTCATACTACTAGCGGGACCTTGTCTTGAAAATCCTCGTAATACTCGGTCTGTCGTCGATTGCCAGTCTCTTCAAGAGCGGGTCGATGCTGCATTTTGTGCCTCTCGGCCGTGATTCGGCCGCTTAAGACTCGGTCTTGTGTACCACAAACTCCTGCTCTCCGAACGCATCCCTGAAAACCGATATCCTCTTCCTCGTCATCCAGACCGTAAGCACAGCCACCTTCCTCATCTCTCCCTCCCCTTTACTGCTCTTTACTGTCTCCTTCACAGCCCCATCTCCCCTGTCGACATCCATAACATCGACGTCCCCTTCGTTTTCCTCCTGTGCCTCGTCTGCATCATTCTGTGCACCGCTCTCCGTGCTTCTTTTGCGCGGCACAACAACACTACTAAGCACAGTGTACATGTACCACTTCTCTCCTTCCTCTGCCTGGTTCGCACCGCTCCCCTTCTTCTGTGTCTCCTTGCCAGCGATCCTCCTCACCATATCCACAATCCCCACCAACTTAACCGTTCCCTCGCCCTGCGCTGACACCGCAATTATGCCTTCATCACTTTTCAGCGCCGCAGGTAAATCACCGCCCTTGTCGTTCGTTTGCAAGTCGAGGTAGCGGAGTAGCTTTGTGATGCCGGACTTGACATTCTGGTTCCTGCTGTACACGATAGGTACGACGTTTTCTGTCCCTCGCGCCTCTATCGCCTTCCCCTCCTTCCCCTCCAACAACACCCACGGCTCATACAGGCTCGGATGGTTCGTCATCACCCCCTCTCTCGTACTTTGCTCCTTCCCTTCTACAGCTGCAGCTTTGTTCGGCTTCGCGGATTCGTCGGACGTCGTACGCTTGCGCTTCTTGCCGTTCCCTGGTACCTTGGTGCTGTGCTCGCTCGTCGCGCCGATGATGGGTAGTGTGGGGCCTTCGCTCGAGTATGGCACTGCGGTGGGTATGGATGTGGAGGTTATGCGTGTGTCGATGGAGGAGGATGCGAGGATGTCGCTCATGCGTTTTGGCGGGGCCATGGCTAGGTTGTATGGGCGCTGACGGTCTCAGGACGTCGACGAGTATACAACAGCTGGCGAGCAAAAGGGAGGCGGAGGTGTTAGCTTTGTCGTGGAACTGAGAGCGAGTGAGCTGCAGAATGACGATGTTTGGAGCTTGACGCGAAGTTACGCGCTAATTGCGGAGATAAAGATACGCTAGCTAATCGCCGGATGTTGAAGGGGCAGAAGCACGCCCACTCATTCTCTTCTGATCTCCCTCGACGCCTTGCACTAAATGCCGAATTGACCCTCGACTTCCTTCCGCCTCTGCTCCCTCTCGAGCTCCTGCCTGATCTTCTCTGCTTCCTCGCTGACGCCCTTCTCGCCCTTCTTTCTCTGCCGCTCTTCGTACAGCGCTCTGCTCTTCATGATCCTAGCAACAATCTCCGCAGCGTTGACGTTTTGGAATTCGTGGTTAGCGACTTCGCGGTAGATGTTCAGCGTCTTGGCGACGGCGTACGGGTCGTAGGTCAATGGCATGAACTTGGTGATGCCGTGGTAGACGGCGATCGGGGTGCCGTAGGGGAGGGTCAGGAGGAAGGCTTTGGAGAGGGAGAAGGGGGCGCCGAAGATGGCGGCGTGGATGTACTGCGGCAATGGTTTTAGCAGGGTCTCAAGCAGTGTTTGAATATGGTCGCACCTTGCACTGCAGCACGCACAGGCCGCGCTCGAAGATGTTCATGATGGGGTAGTTGATGCCTTTCCAGTGATTGATGACCTCGTCGTCGTGGATGCCTGCAATCAGGAAGACTGGTCCGTAGTCCTCGCCAGATTTGGAGATCCTGTCTGCCTTGGCCTCTCCCGTGTACCACCCGCGCTCCTTTGCGGCGTTCTCTTCGATCTCGGTGACCTTGCGCAGGAACTCGATGTGGCCGGAGGAGAAGAGATCCCACCCGCCGTCGACGTAGACGACGACCTGGCCAGGCTTGACACCCTTGCCCTGCACGAGTTGGTGAAACTTACCCTTCTCCTCCTTCACGGGCCCGAAAGCCGAGCTGGCTGCCTGGGAGCTAGCTGCACCGGGGCGCGGCTCGGTCGAGGCAGCGTTCGTCGCGTTGCTCGTCGTCGTTCTGCGAAGCTTGGCCGGTCTCGAGGCGTGCCAGTACCACACGTCGCAGCCAGGCGCTCGGCCGGTGGCATCCGTCGCATAGTCCCTGATGCGCTGCAGCATAGCCTCTCCCTCCCTGTGCCTCTCCAGCTCCCCTCCTGGGCCCTCGTCACCCGAGAGCCTCTTCTCGAGGGACTGTATGAAGTGCGACTTGGTGCACAGCAGCATGCGGCCTACGAGGTCGGTCGTCGAGATGCCCGGCGTGCGCTTGACAACCTTGAAGCGCCCCGCAGCCTTGACGTAGCGGTAGCAGTCCTTGCCGTCGCTGTCGGAGGTGATGTCGTCGCCGTGCACGACAAAGTGGCAGCCGTAGTGGGAGATCCAGGGCAGGGACGTCACGTAGGGCGCGTGGGGGATGGCCTTGGTGGCCCAGCGGCAGGCCTCGACAGCCATCATGCGCTCGTTCAGGCGCATGACCGTCGGGCCCTTGTTTTCGAGGATGGCCTCGTCCGAGTGCACGCCGACGAGCAGCTCGGAGCCCAGCTGGCGGGCCTGCAGCATGGCGCCGGCATGGCCTGCAGCAAGAGTGTGAGTGATGGTCCAATGCAGGGTCCGCGCCAGGCCTACCGTGATGGGCAAAGTCGAAGCAGCCGTCTACCCAGACGCGGTCCTGCGACACGTCGACGTCGTCCTGCGGGTCGACGGGCCAGGCGCCCTCGGTGGGAATCCACTCTCCCTGCGCTCGTTAGAACCGCCAAACTGCAGAGAAGCGGGAAGTGGGGACGTGGAGGCAGGCAGACCTTTGCGCTCTGTCGGCGCTGCAGGTTGGACATGGTGATGAAGGACAGAAAGCGATAACAACCGATCGTCAACAATGCGAACCGTGGATCGAGCGACGTCCAAGAGCCGCGGGACTGTGCATGCGGGCGGGCGTGCAGGCAACGCCACAGGCGCTCGGCACGGCAGCGCCCACCGCTGGACGCTGGGAAGCGATGGCGGCAGGGCTCCCTTCGCGTCTGCGGTGTTGCGCCGATTTCACTGGCTGGGCCTGCGCTCGACTCTCCGGCCGCCATCCTCTGCGCCCACGCGCGATGGTTCTTGCGTCTCGGCGTAGGGGGCTCCATTGGTGCAGCAGTTCTGGTGTCGCGCGTAGCCACTGTGACGCTGCGAGTCTTATCCGCGCGCTGGCCGCAAGCATCTCCTCCTCTCCACCCGCGACATACACGGACATGTTTCCATGCGCTCAAGGATAATAGAGCACTTTGTACATAGATGCACCTCTCGATCGTCGAAGCCATGCCCGGCCGCTAAGCACACACCCCCCCCCCTCCCCCCGTCCCCCCCCCCCCCCCGCATAAGGCATACCTGCGACACAAGCCCCTGAGCCTGTCTCCACAGCCCTGGGCGTGGAATGCGCCATGGAACCTCCTCCACCGAGCAGCAGCAGCGTCTTCAGCAGACGGCCCTCCTTCTTTGGCGGCAAGAGCAGACACAAAGCCTCGCGCTCCAACGTGCCACCGACGCTCTATCTGCCGCCGGCGTCACCTATTCAAGCGCACAATCCCGCCGCGCCGCCGCCAGACACAACCCCTCCTCTAGCCAGCCAATCCGATCCGCCCGCGAGAGCACCGACAACGTCACAGAAGCGCTCCCGGCACAGCATCTCCAGCACCGTAGGGGATATCGGGCTGCAGTTGCGGAGGAGCCGCAGCACGTCCCTTCGGAGCGCCGCGTCGTCCCACCATAAGAGGCACCCCTCGGCCTCCACCATGCACTCCGTCTCGCTCTCGCCCGAGAAGAGCGTCCCTCCTGCGGCGCCCATATCTGCCTCGCGCCCGACGCTCTCCATATCGACCTTCTCGCGCAGCAAGGCCAAGAGCAGCGACAACGTCAAGCCCGATGGTGGCGGCCTGCAGCACTCGGACAAGACGCCCTTGAGCGCCCTCGACAAGCCCAAGACTCCCTTCGGCATGGCCGTCCCTATCCCGCTGCGGCACCCGCCCAGCCAGAAGGAGGTGCAGCAGGCACAACGGCAGGCGAGCAACGCTGGCCTCGCGCCCGCAGCGCCCATACCCGTCCCCAGCGGCGCGAACCCCAACATCATATTCCAGCACATCCACGAGCTTGCCTCGAAGCGCATATCCACCCTGGACTATCTGCGCAAGGCGTGCGTCCCCCATCCACCCTCCCCACCCTCCCCACCCTCCCCACCTGCCTGATCACTAACAAAGCGCAGTCATGAAGGCAGGATATACTGGTTCAACACGCTCCTCTTCTCCAAAACCGACCTCGGCCGCCTCCCCTCCTTCACACCCCGCAACCAATCGCGGCGCGCAACCCAGTACCTCCTCCTCGGCTTCAGCCTCCCGACGATCCTCGACCTGCACGCCAACTCGCCCGCCGACTACCTCCGCGCGCTCAACGCCCTGCTCCTCGAGTTCGAACAGTACCAATCCATGCACCCGACCGACGGCTCGGCGCCGAGCCTGAGCCGCGCGAGGATACCGCAGATGTTCAAGCGGGCAAACTTGGGCGGAAAGGGCCGGCGCAGCAGTTCAGCGGCCGGCGATTTTCCTCTGGCGACACCGCAAGCGAGTTTTGGGAGTGACAACGCGAGTATGATGGGTGTGGACTCGCCGCCCACAGACGATCTGCTCCCGAATGAGACGTATCTCTACCTCCAGACACCGAGTCTGCCGTTCGATCCGGATTTTTTTAGCACGTTTGCGACGCTGTGCGATGTGCTTATTGATTGCTACGCGAAGATGCTGAGTATGCTCTCCACGCCCGAGTCAGTCACGCTGGCCGGGCAGGGCGTGCCGAGCACAGTGGGCGATTTGTTCAGCAAGGCCGACGCGAGAGTGCGAAAGATCATCTTGGCAGGTGTGGTGAGGGAGTTTGAGGAGAGCTGTCGACAAGGGGTTCGGGGAGAGGTTGGAGGTGTAGGGAAGGTTGTGCTTGGAGGGCTGATGTAGCGATGGTCTTGTGCATCAGCACCAGGGAGAGCTTGGCTGGGGAGCATGTCTGGCGTGTTTATGACTTTTATGAGGAGGAGTTGGTGTTTATGATACCCGTGTGGGTCGCTGCATAGCGATGGCGTTTTTGCATAGTTGACATGCTAGACAGCGAGGCCTGAATTCACGTGATGACGACAAGTTCCCGCTTGCCTCATATATCTATATAGCCTGCGCGTCGTGAAAATGGACACGTGCTTGATGACCGGGTTTTCCGGGTTTTCCTATCAGCAGCTCGTTTCCACGAATCTAGCACGCATGCCACTCCATCGCTATGCACCGGATCACTCCCCATGCTCGAAAGTCTCTATGCTCTCCATCTCATCATCAGTAGCTCTGTCTTCCTCTCTATACCAAAGCTGCAAACTTCGGCGCCAAGAACGAAGCTTAGCTGCTTAAGCAGCAACCTCCTTCTTCTCCACGACCTCGACCAAATCCGCCACACCTCTCTGCCTCCCAATCGCCACCTTCTGCAGCTTCTCGCTCCCAACCGCCTCACCCTCATCCTTGCCCTCACTCGCGTCTCCGTCTTCAGTGAAGTCTCTGGGAATATTGGTCAGGTCCATGCGCATGCTGTACGCGTCCTCGCCGTCGGCGTAGTACTTGGCTTCGACCTTGTCGACGGAGAAGCCGAGGGTTTCTTTGTACAGGTTTAGGGCGGCGATGTTGGACATGCGGACGTGCAGGGAGACGTATTTGGCGTCGAAGGTTTCGGCCATGGCGCGTTCTACAGGATATCAACATACTTGTCCATTGATTTGAGGTGGAGATGTGTGGTTCGAGTTGAGAGCTGGTGGGGATTGGAGTTGGAGTGGGGAGGGAAATTAGGTGCACACGTGACGAGTTCAAGGTAAGACTGTATAGGAACAGAAGACGTACGACTCTGACGCATCAGCTTTTCCGCCAGTCCGAGACGACGATGCGTGCGCATGACTGATAGCGACGTGATGTGGCCGTGCGGGATACCGTCGGTGGGCTCTTCTTCCATCTTAGCAAGGACGTACCCTACGATCTTGGGTGGGTCATAGGGTGTCTTTGGGGGGCGGGAGACCTTTGCTTGTCAGTTTTCGTTCTGGTGGGAATTGATGTGGGAATTGTAACGGAATCTATAGGTTTGCAAGAATGGTGGATGTTGCAGGTTGAACATGGGATGCGTGTGTGCTGCTGGCTGAGGGCCTACTCCTTCGTCGAGACACGAGTGCCCATCATCAAACCCTCCGCCTTATCCCAGCATTCATTCCAGCTCTTGAAAGCCAATTTCTTCTCTTTTCCACCCGCCCCCTCTTCCAACTCTTGACATTCACAACCCCGCATCGCCCTTACCATCCAGAGAAGAAATTGTACTCACATCAACAGCGACATAGCTCAACTGCGGCCAGCTCATCGCATGGTAGAGATAGTACTTGCAGAAGTAATTCTCAGGCAAGTTTGTGATGTTGGCGAGTTGGACGTGTGGGATGTCGCTAGGGCGAAGGAGGCGGATATCCATCTTCTCAAACGTTTTCCTTTGCTAACTCTTGCTTGACTGTAGGGATAGCTTCGATTGTTATGATTGAGCCCTTGGTAGTGACTGAGGACGTATCACGCGTTTAGTTGTTGATGTTTGTAGATGTCGAAGCTGTTGGTGTGGCAGTTCCGACGCTCGGAAACTTTGGGCTGTGCGTTACGTCAGCGGGTTCGACCAATCAAAGATCAGGACACAGAACCACCGCGAGGAAGCCACGATGCGCAAGACAACAAGCATTGCACGGTAATGGTCACGGACAGTGCTCTTCCAGTCATGCAGCACTTTCTTAGAGGCGTGTACACATATATTGTGGATGGGCGAATCAGAATCCTTGTATGCTGATGATGATTGTCAGTGGATCTGAAAGCGTCACGAAAGAGCTAGAAAACTGCTACTCAGCACCACCACGAATTCCTGCCTTGTAAACAGAGACAAGGCATACGTTGCACACTAACATTGAATTTAAGTCTTCCATTCACTATTTTTGTATGCCTCATTAACTTATTGTCCCATGTCCCCGTCACGTATACGTGCCAGACCTGCCGACAAGCACAAATTCATACTATCTACATAATCGATCAATGTGTTGCTGGCGTAGAAGTAAAGAAGGATGTAGCTTTGCTCAAGTGTGTACAAGTCGGCTGAATAGTTCAGACTACCGTCCTAGAGCAGCATCGACCTTCGCTTTGACCGTCGGCAATAACCCCTCCGTAAGAGGCACACACATGCCCACCTTGATGCCGAGATCTGTCGCGGTGTAGTAAAGCACGCAATTCAGCCACTCTCGTCGGGCTACAACATCGATTCCTTTCGGCTTCGTGATGCCGAACTCCAATGTCGGTAGGTTTACAGGGTGGTCATATGGATGTGGGGTCGAGGAGTCGAAGATGTGCGTTTTTGGTGCAGCGGGATCCCACACTGGTGTTGTATTCGAGTCAGTGTGGCCATGAGAGAAAGGCTGTCGTTCATGTGGAGCATCGGGGATCAGTAGGTGAAATTTCTCCTCCTGCTTAATGCTCTCTAGACTTCGACCTTGATATGGCGGCGTCTGGTATGGATGGTGCATGTTCTGCGTCAGTACGTCCGGCACAGGTGCAGGCGATTCATGTGTTTGTGGCGAGTGATGACCAGTACTCGGTGGGCTGATGGGCGCTTGTGAGTCTGGAACCAGACCCGATCGTAATACAGCATCCATGATACCGAGTGGCCACAGGTTGACGTAGCCTCGCATGCCCATAACGTCCTCGTACGACTTGCCATATACGGGAACGGTGAAGCTCGCGAGAATGGCGGAGCAGCTCTTCTCGATGATGTTGACGAGTTGGACGGTGGCGAACGAGTGGTGAACGCGTAGCGATGCGCTGTCGAAAGTGACTGGCGCAAGTTCGTTCTCGAGTGCGAACGGACTGGCGAAGTTGGGTGATAGAGGAGCTACCGTGACGGGGTTAGCCTCTGGCAGTCGAAACATCCAATTTAGGATCTCGAGCAGATCGCGAATCAAGAAGATACGACTTGTGCGGTAGAAGCCCCACACCCAGCATGTCTTCAGGTTGGAGTAAGAGTGAATCTCTTCTGGCGCGCCTCGACTGCTAAGAACAAGCCTCTGCCACTTCCCATCGTAGGTCGCTCGGACTTCTGGTGTATTGGGCTCGAACCGATATCTCCAGATGAGGGGTATGTTTACCTCCCACGCCTGATATTTTTGATCCAAATCAAGCGCGGCTTGCAGAAGCTCCGCAAGATCTCTCCTATTAGTGGGAGGAGTTGCACTTTGTTTGATCTCATGCCACTTGGCGTGCAGTCGTGCTTCCCTATGAATGAGCTGCATCACAAAGATACCGGTCTGGTTATACATGCTAGGCAGATGCTGCCTTACATTGATCGCATCATTGACAGGCAGTGGTGGTGGCTTCCCGGTATGTAAGTTACCAAGCAGCTGTTGCCAAGATATCAGCTGCATGAAAGGGTTAATGTACTGTAAGAAAAATGGGAATTTACCATCTGGGCATATGCTACCTCGTACAGTCTGGCAGAGACCGGATTACTGTAGAACTGTTCAATGGAACGCATGTTCACCAAAGCGTTCGCACCGTTCGAATGAGCGATGTAGGTCCCTTGTCGTTGCTGAGAGTTGATGTTCTGCATTTTTGTCAGTATCGAGTCGAAGTACCTGAAAGGACAACGCACTTCGTAAACGCCCATCAAATATACGGAACATAGGGCCTCATCAGACATTGCTTGCGTCTTGTCCGCGATCATCTTAGACAACAGGACCATGCCTCTGCCCAAGCACTCTTCTCCAAGTGCTGCAGCTTGAGGTGCGTTGCATCGGTTTGCGAAATTGACGTAAGCAACCGCGTTGACGACGATCGCCACACATGAGTCCTCCGCAGCTCTATTGTACAACACGGGGATGAAGCTCCACAGAGCATCGGACGGCTCATTCGACGGGTGGTTTGGTGACTCAAGTATAACGAAGTCGTACAAGAATCGCTCGTAAGCTATGCGGCGAAGATCTGGCGTCAGCTCCGGTGCGATGGTGAAATTGTCGAACTTGGAGATGGCCGCGGTGCCATCAAAGAAATCTGTATGCCCCTCATAAATAGTTGCTGACTGATGTTGAGTGCTGCTGATGGATGGGTGACGATTCCGCCCTGCTGGTGAAACGCTATCGCTTGGAGGTGACCTTTGGCTGTGGCTGTTCCCACTGAATGCTCGTTGCTGCGACTTCAATCTTTTCCGCCATAGGTCTTCGGCTCTCTGCGCAGCAAACGCGGTTTGATTCCGAAAGAGAAGGTTTGCCTGATCGCGATACTTGCACTCGTGGTCCGAATTTGTGCATCGGTTACAGGCCGGTTTCGTCTCATCGCACTAGGTCACAGATGTCAATGACGTTTCCCAGCAAACGACGGACACTCTTCTGGGTGATCATCTAACGTAGCCACGAATGGGAGAGGAGTGTATAGACTGATTAGCCACCGGCAGATAGCAAGACACGTGGATGAAAGCAAATTCACCTTGACTTTCCGAGCCCTACAAGGCTCACAACCTTTACTGGGTCGACCGCGATACGACATTTGGCGCCCTGAAGGGGTATGTTTGACTGGTGAAGTAACGAAATAGTCTGGACAGGTTCGTGGGAGAGATACTATAAAGGTAGATGAGTTTGGACAGCCGTGAGTAGCTGAGGCTCCTCAACGAGGTTCCCCAGCTTGAATCGTGACGCGACACACCACACCAGTGGACCTCCTCCGACTCCGTGTCGCCTTTTTTGCTCAACTGGGACTGGGATAGAGAGTGAGACCGAAAGGGCCCGATCAGGTGGGATCGTGTCGCTGTCTCTCCACACGCGCACGAACCGCGGCTGAGGATGACCTGGAGCTGGGAAGCTCGGCTCCTTTCCAACATTTGTTGTGCCTGGATCGTTGATCTGCGATGTCCCGCAGGTCGAGATCAGACGAAGTTACCAAGGCCAATCATGGTGACGCCTTTGGTCAGGCTCTAGCCATGTTCACGCGATCAGCGTCGGTAACTCGAACATCTCCGCATCCGAATCGGCTGCTTCCGTGCTGGAGAATTGCAACACCAAACACCAGACATTATCGATCATCGTCTGAAGCTCAAAATTACCGGCGTCAAGCGTTCGGTTTGAATTGCGTCGATGGCTGGCACGAAAAGCCTAACTTTGTCAAGGGAGTGCGGATGACGTTGCAAGTGTTGATCCAGGCCGGTGTTGATGTGAACCCTGAAAGCGTCCATGTAACGTGAGTTTCCATCATGACCTTTGCTTCTAACGTGTTTCCGGCGCAGTGCCTGATCCGAATAATCTTCTGGATGCAGCTCGCGACCTTGGGTCCGGATGTTGGCAACTGTTTGATCGACGAACGTTTTCGAAGCATTGACATCCGTTTCGCGATATGCGTTTTCACAGCTCACCGGTGTCGCTGCTACTTTGATTGATGAATGGTGACGGGGCAGTTGCGGTCAATATCCGCAGTCCCAGTTCTCTTCAAAGTCGAAATAGTGTCAATTATCGTGGAGACCAGCCGAGCTTCAACTATAGGTGCAGCCCAAGGGACATCTTGCAATGACTCGACTGCCAGCACATCTTTTGGGCTTAGTGCTTCGTGATTGATGACCGGACGCAAGGCGATCAAATTGTCAGCTTAGAGCCCGTGAAGGTCATTTGGCGCCGTCGAAGGAGACAATGTTAGATAGGTAGCCTACGTCATCGCTGCCATCGTTGTGTCAAGCGCGGAGAACAGATAGAATGCTGGGTAGGTGAGAGCATGGCTTGAAAAGAGGTTGTCAACGTGATCCAGGAAGCCAACCGCTGACGTTGTCTACATAGGTGGACCGTCCGCGCCTCCTTCCTGCATCCAACTAAGGTAGTCGCGTCCATCTCACAACAAGCTCAGCCTGTCAAACCCCTTAACCACCGGCGCTTCCCTTTTCCTCTCCACCTCCTGCAAGCTATCCCACAACGTCGCATCCCCACCCGTCGGCTTCAGCGTCCCATCTATGCCCTCAACACCATCCTCGACCTTCTTCGCCGTCTCAGGGTCCACAGGATACATCTCCCTGACAGCATCCCTACACCTCTCGACAACATCCTGATGCGCCCGACTCACCGCATCAGCACGCTCTCTCATGCCTCTCTTCACAAGACCCTCAACTAAGCGCTGGATATCATCTTGCATACTGTTGATGCGTTCGATGAGGCGCTCGATAGAGTTTGTGAGGTACTCCTCTTCGTAGACTGTTCCTTTCTTGCCTCTTGCACGCTTGCGCTCCTCGCGACGCTTGTTCTTGCTGGTCTTGCGCGTAGCGGTCGTGTTGACTGTACCGGTCTGTTTTGTGTATCGCGTCATGAACGTGCCGCCGCTTGTTGTGTCGGTGGGGGCGAGGGATATATTATCAGGGATGTTATTGTTGATGCCGTCCATGCCGTCGTAGAATGCCATTGGGTCGTCTGCCTTCTTGGTGCGTAGTTCTTGTAGACGAGGGACTTGAGCGAGCAATTGTGATCGCATGTCGGCGAGAAATTCGGTCATGTCTGCACTGCGCTCGACAAGGGATGGGTCAATGACAGATTCTATGAGGGAGGGATCGCGGCGGAGGATAACCAGCCGAACGGCTTCTGCAAAGTGATGTCCGCGGCACATGAGCTTCGCAGCGGAGGGCAGGTCGGAAAGGTAGTCGAGGGTGATTGTGGCTGCAGAATGGTAGTCTTTAGACTCGGTAAGGCCTTCGGCCAGCGAGGAGGCAAGGTCTGATAGCTCTTCGTCGGAGATACCGGCCAGCGTTGCGGAGGAGAGCGCTTCACGCCAGAGATTGGCGGAGCGGTAGCTGGGCCAGGCTGAGGCGTGGTCGGACAGGTATTCGTATGCGAGAGCAGCTTCTTTGTGCTTGTTTGTGCTGCTGAGGTAGTCGGCGTAGAGACGCATAATCTTCTTCAAGTGCGCTGAGTCGTACTGATACATGTCCAAGGCCTCAGTGTACAGAGCATGCTTCTGGATGTATTCTTGCGCTTCGTCGAATGCCTGAAGTTCTTTGAGATGTGTAAGCGCTTTGGCGCGTCGGCCAAGCTGATCATCGATTTGGAACTTCCGTCGGACATCGGTGAGATCTTGAAGCGACTGCAGATGAGGAAGGTACTCTCTAGGGTCCTTTTGCGACTGTTGAGCAATCAGTAGAGCAAGGTCGAGGTTGTACAATCCCAGTGAAGTATCGTAGAGCTGGTTGACATCGGCAAGGAAGCAGATATGCTCGGCAGCTTTATCTGTGAGAGGGTCTTGGGACGACTGTAGCCTGCCGACCATCTCGAGTCCAGCTTCCAAAGCAGGCGGCACCTTGGAAACGTGAGATGTGATGATGTTCTGTAGATGCTCGTCTTTATACTGCTGTTGCTCCAGCACAGCAAGGAATGCATCGGCAATGCGGTTGACCTTGTTCGCAACCTGATCCTGTGATAGCTTTGACTTGTTTACGAGGTCCTTAGTCTTGAGTGTTTCGCGGTACATTGTCTCTGACACGTCCTCATTTCTACGATTGTTGGTTAGATTATGCGAACAAGATGCTGCTGAGAGCTTACCGGAGCTGCGACAGGAACAGGTCAATGTGCTCAACCTTCTTGATTTGAGTGACGATCAGCTCAATGCTCTTCATGAAACGCTCAGGGTCGTGGTCGTGCAGAATATTCATGTCCACGCGCTGATTACGGCACGCAAAGAACGCGTCGCTGTACTGATCAGCCTCGACACTGCGTCTTATCGCCGCAAGCACAAGCGCTCGAGGGTAGATGGTCTCGAGGTTACCTCGTGGCATCTGTAGGACCACCGAGTAGGTTGTTGGCATCACGGTTACTAGCTTCGCGCCACGCTCGATACTTCGGCAGCGTTCATCTGTTTGTGGCTCATCTCCCGGTACTTCGAGTTCTGATCACTGTTAGGGTGGTACTCTTATTGAACGACATTGAACTCTTACCATCTTGTGTTGTCAAATGCACGAATTTGAGAAGATGCTGTGTAGTTGTAAAGATGAGATGAGCCGGTGTAACGACAAATGAGATGCAGTTGCGGACGAGTACGCGGTCGTTGGCAAAGAGCACACCGCTTTTGGTGAGACCGAACGCAATATTCTGCCATTGTTAGCAGTACTCTCGAATAATCAAAAGGGTCCACTTGCCTGTCCGTCTATGGTGACAACCTTGGCTTCAGGTGCGAATGCAGGGAATTTCTGCATCAACGTAGTCTGCGGTGGCAGATCCGATGCTGCCTCGTTCGTGTCAATCCGGTGTAATGCACCGTTCTGCAACTGCAGATAGAGGCTTCGATAGTCCACACTACTTGTGAGCGACGACACACTGTCTGCCTCTACGATGGTACCCTGCGGAAGAAGCGTCTGGCCCTCGCTTCTCCATAGCAAGTTCTCGTCATCGGCCCAGCTGTCTGTCAACACATACAGTTGCTCATCGTCAACGAAGGTAACATGGCGTGCGGACTGCCCCTCAAGTGCATCACTCTGCCACAAAAGTGATGGCCTCGATATCGGTCGCTTAGTTACATCGAGTCCATACACTGCTAGATGGCTGTGCGTGAGGACTGCAAGCCTTGTGCCAGACTTGGAAAGTGCGACATCGGTGGGCTTGTGGTCCAACGACAACGTACAGAAGGCCATAGGTGGTGGTACATTGGCAACCCTTAACGGTGTAAGCTTCAAGGACACTGGGTATGTTAACAAAAGCAACAATCGCGAAACTGTACTACTCACAGCCGTCAATCGAAGCAACGAGGCCGTAGTCGTTTGGTGGGGCGATCGAACCGGTCGCTGCAGCGGACAAGAACTCGGCGATCTGTAGCGCGCCTTGACATACTGTTAGACAAATGGCATCGCGACCGACAAATATACACACCTGGTGTCGAGATGGCAACCGCGAGTGGTCGCTCAGCATGCCATGCGCACAAGGCTGTCTGTGTCGCTGTTTCAGGAAATACCAGCTCTTGCTTGAGGTAGTAGTGATAGTTGCTCATTGTCCAGAGCTGTACCTTGTCTGGATGCGACACTGCAAGCACACTCGAATCGCTGTTCCACTTCAAGGTCAGCGGTGTGATCAAAGCCGCAAGCTCTTCTTGCGTAAAGCGTAGATCGAATTGACCATGACGAAGCCCGTTTCGCTCGAAAAAGACGACTTCGAGCTTATCGCTGGTGCGACGAACACTGGCGATGAGATTGCCGGAAGGCCGCCAGCTGAGTGCGCCCTCAAGTCCATCCACTGGCTCGCTCACACTGTCCAACTGGCCCTCTCTTGAGTACACTCGAATCATGCGGCGTTGCTCCTGCTCGACCTTCGTCAACGCAAAGTACGCGCCATCTCCTCGCCAGCTAATGGTGACGGATCGATCGTCGAACGGACTCAACTCTCCCGCATCTATGTGCTCGGGTACGGTAGGATCTTGTAGTGCCCTCGCTCTTTTGCCCTTGAACTGCGTTTCCTTCTTTCCCCATCCAACAGAGACATGATTTGAGACGTTTACGTCTTCCGGTGCGAGTGTGATGCTTGCGATGTTCTCGATGTCTCGGCTCATAAGGAGGAGAGTGTCCGCATGTGTGGTGATGGCGAGAAGTTCTTCATCCGGTGACCATGCTGCAGCGGCAATACCAGCATCAACTGAACCCACAATCTCAACCAGTTCTTCGTTCGCAAGTGGATTCTCTCGAACCAGGATGATGTCGCCGCCAGCTAGGATTAGGCATGATGTCGTTGTGTCCGCGAAATGGTGTAGGCTCAATATCGAGTCGTGCGTAAGCGACGGTAGTGGACACGGTGCATCCCATGCAGCTATGCTTTCCAGTCGGTCTTCGGCGCCGCTGCGTGTGTAGTGTAGTCTCTTGAGTTCGATGGCTGCACGTGACTCAGATGGTCCAAAGGCGCATATCAGCGAATTTGACGCAGCGTCCCATGCTGTCGCAGTGAGGGGCAACGGATCTTCCCCAGAAAACTGCAGGAGCGACCTTCCCACGATCTTGAGGTTTCGCATCCTTCTGATATTTCGTGGATTTGGCGGCTTTTTAAGTTCGCCTGGCAAGATGGTGGAAATCAAACAATTTTCATTCGAGGTACGACTCACGCTAGTGTGCCTTGTGCCAAGACTGCATCATCACGAAGGTATGCATGTGTAGCCATGACATTGCGGCGAGAGCTACAACTTTGAAGGCTGCAGCAGTAGTGACAGGCAATGGAATTGATGCTGTTGTGTCTAGTACAGTTGCCGCTGGGATCTTCACTTATACTACAGTTTCCCATGTCTCCCAATCCCCTCAGGCCATGTCCATGATTCGTTTGCAAGCATTTACGGCTTGTTCTTCTTTGTCTGCCAGACTGTAGAGGAGGTGCGGTTAGTTTTCTGCGCGGTCGAGATGCGGTCGAGAGTGATAGCTTACCAGCCAGGAGGAAGGGCAGGAAGAAGCCAGTAGCTGTTCCTGTTAGCTATGCCATATCACCCGTTCTTCAGCGTGCCAAGCTCACCCATGAAGCCCCAGTACTTGAAGGCAAAGCCCTTCTTCAGCGGGTCGAAAGGCAAGTTGCTGCGGGGACCCTCAGGGTAGTGGTAAGGGGAGGACATCTGCGCGCGGGTCGACTGGAAGCCACGGCGGGCGACGAAGGTAGGGGCCGAGGCGGCGCGGAAGGTAGCACGTGCGAGCATCTTGTGAAGTCAGCGGAGAGTGTAATTGGCGCGATATCGAGCGTACTTTGGCGTTGTGGTAGAGTGGAGAGGGGTCGTTGCTGGTGGAGTGATGCGGTTGACGAAGGTTGCGGCAGCAGCTCTCGAGTGCCAAGGAAGGAAGCCCCGACGCACCGACGCGCCAGCGCTGTCGCGCGCCTGCCGTCAACTTTTTAGGATCTTCACCCAAGTCGAGGGCGTCGTTTCGCTCACCAGATCGCAACAGCCCCGCGTCCGTGTGGGCTTCGACACTGTGCACACCAAGAAGGTCACTGCATCCACTCAGCACATCAGCGGTTTTTTTATCGAATATCGCCGCCATGGACGACCTGTTCGACGTGTTCGATGGGGACAATGGCGCGCAGAACGCCCCCAAGAAGAGCAAGAAGCGCCAGGCAAATGGCGCCGTCAAGACGCCCAGTGTAGATGCGCCCAGTGTAGATGCGCCCATGTCGGATGCGCCCATGTCGGATGCGCCGGTAGCGGGCAGCGAGCGGTCCGAGGAGAATGAGACTGAGAGCAGCGCCCCACAACACCTGAAGCGACAGAAGCGCGACGCCGAGCTCGAGGCCATTGTGACCGACGACTTTGAGACAGAGCAGACACGTGAGGTTGCCGCAGCGGCCGGACTCCAGGCGCAGACGGTGCAGGACGGACAGGGCGTGGTGCTCTCGCATCAAGTCCGCCATCAGGTCTCACTCCCACCCGACTACGACTACGTCCCCATATCCGAGCACAAAGCACCCGCCGAGCCTGCGCGCGTGTGGCCCTTCACACTCGACCCCTTCCAGCAAGTCTCGATTGCATCGATACAAAGAAACGAGAGTGTCCTGGTCTCGGCGCATACATCCGCAGGAAAGACAGTCGTGGCCGAGTACGCCATTGCGCAATGTCTCAAGAACAACCAGCGAGTCATCTACACGAGCCCAATCAAGGCCCTCAGTAATCAGAAATACCGAGAATTCATGGCAGAGTTTGGCGATGTTGGTCTTATGACGGGTGATGTCACCATCAACCCCACCGCGACCTGTCTGGTCATGACAACTGAGATTCTGCGATCCATGCTGTACCGTGGCTCCGAGATCATGCGCGAAGTTGCTTGGGTTGTCTTCGACGAGGTCCACTATCTGCGTGACAAGTCGCGTGGTGTGGTGTGGGAGGAGACCATCATCCTGTTACCCGACAAGGTCCGCTACGTCTTCCTGTCCGCTACGATCCCCAACGCCATGCAGTTCGCCGAATGGATTACCAAGACACACAGCCAGCCGTGCCACGTTGTCTACACCGACTTTCGACCAACACCTCTACAACACTACTTCTTCCCGCAGGGTGCGGACGGTATCCACTTGGTTGTCGATGAGAAGGGTGTCTTCCGAGAGGAGAACTTCCAGAAGGCTATGTCGTCGATCGCAGACAAGGCAGGATCCGCCGCCAATGACTTCATGGCGAAACGCAAGGGCAGGGGCAAAGATAAGAAGACGAATACTGGTGGCAACAAGGAAGGCTCCGACATCTACAAGATTGTCAAGATGATCATGGTCAAGAGCTATAATCCGGTCATTGTTTTCAGTTTTAGCAAGCGAGACTGTGAGAACTACGCGCTGTCCATGAGCCAACTCTCGTTCAACGACGATTCGGAGAAGGCTATGGTCTCGAAGGTGTTTAGCAGTGCCATTGAGATGTTGTCAGAGGAGGATCGTGCGTTGCCTCAAATCCAGCACATTCTCCCTCTGCTGCGAAGAGGTATCGGTGTCCATCACTCGGGCTTACTGCCCATCCTCAAGGAGACCATCGAGATCTTGTTCCAAGAGGGTTTGATCAAAGTCCTGTTTGCAACCGAAACCTTCTCCATCGGTCTGAACATGCCGGCCAAGACTGTCGTCTTCACCAGTGTGCGCAAGTTCGATGGTGTCGCACAGCGATGGGTAACACCATCTGAGTTCATTCAAATGTCTGGTCGTGCAGGTCGTCGTGGTCTCGATGACCGTGGTATTGTCATCATGATGATCGATCAGCAGATGGATCCAGCCGTCGCGAAAGAGATTGTTCGTGGACAGCAAGACAACCTGAACTCTGCGTTCCATCTCGGCTACAATATGATCTTGAACTTGATGCGTGTCGAAGGCATCTCGCCTGAGTTCATGCTTGAGCGCTGTTTCTTCCAATTCCAGAACACCGCTGGCGTCTCGAGCCTAGAGAAGCAGCTGGGAGAGCTTGAGAACCAAAGAGCAAGCACAGTCATCACAGACGAAGCAACTGTGAAGGACTACTACAACCTGCGACAGCAGCTTGACAGTCACACCAAGGACATGCGCGATGTCATCATGCACCCCAACTACTGCTTGCAATTCCTGCAAGCCGGTCGCTTGGTCAAGATCAAGTTCAAGGACTACGACTTTGGATGGGGTGCAGTGGTCGCTTTCACACCAAGGAGAGCGAACAAGGGCGAGATCTTGCAGCCTCAGGAGTCATATGTCGTCGATGTCTTGCTGTCAGTTGCGAGTGACAGCAAGTTCGCGCCACAAGCAAATGACGGATTGCCACCAGGTGTCCGGCCGCCCCCAGCAGAGGAGAAGGGCAAGATGGAGGTTGTACCCGTGCTACTGAGCTGCATCGAGTCGATAGGGCATCTCCGTGTGTTCTTGCCCAACGAATTGAAGTCAACTGAGCAGAAGAACAGCGTGCGAAAGGCCTTGGATGAGGTCAAGAAGCGTTTCCCAGACGGTATTGCAATCTTGGATCCCATTGAGAACATGAAGATCACAGACGAGAGCTTCAAGCGTCTGCTCAGGGTAAGCAGCTGCAGAATTGCTATTGAAGTCGCCACTAACATTTGCAGAAAATCGAAGTTCTCGAATCGCGTCTCCTGTCAAACCCCTTACACAATTCGCCTAGGTTGCCTGAATTATACAGCCAGTACGCAAACAAGATGGCGCTTGCAGACAAGATCAAAAAGACCAAGAAGGACATCGCTGATGCATTGTCTGTTATCCAGCTTGACGAGCTGAAGAGCAGGAAGCGTGTGCTTCGACGTCTGGGCTTCATTGACGACGCCGATGTCGTTCAGCTCAAGGCCCGTGTTGCCTGCGAGATCAGCACTGGCGACGAACTCGTTCTCAGCGAGTTGCTCTTCAACCGTTTCTTCAACGAGCTCACACCAGAGCAGTGCGCTGCTTGCTTGAGTTGCTTCATCTTCGAGGAGAAGAGCAGCGAGGTTCCAGCGCTGAAGGAGGAGCTTGCCAAGCCGTACCGCGAAATCCAGCAGCAAGCAAGGGTGATTGCAAAGATCTCGCAAGAGAGCAAACTCACAGTCAACGAGGACGAGTATCTCAAGACATTCAAGTACGAGCTTATGGATGTTGTTTACGCCTGGTCCAAGGGCGCGACGTTCGCGCAGATCTGGTATGACGAGCCCTACCCGCGTATAAGAAACATGCACTAATTCGTTTGCAGCAAAATGACCGACGTCTACGAAGGCAGCCTGATTCGCCTGTTCCGCCGGCTCGAAGAGTTGCTGCGACAAATCGCTCAGGCCGCCAAAGTCATGGGCAGCGAGGAGCTCGAGCAGAAATTCACCGCGGCGCTCGAGCTCGTCCGTCGCGACTTGGTCGCCGCACAGTCATTGTACCTCTGATTCAGGCAACAGCTTAGCTTCGTATTGACTTTTGCGGCAATGAGGTGGGATTTGTATAGCATTTTCAACGTTCTCTTGGTCAGTATGGTACTCTTTCCGGCGTTGCGTCTGTTTGAGCATGGTATAACGTCGACGCTACCGGAGCATACCAGCGTCTCAGGCGTACGAGGGATGCATCGGCACTGTGCACACCAAAAGGCGTTGTGGCGCGACTGCTATTCTGGATAGGAATTTACTAGGTCTACCACCGCCGACATTTGCGGTGAACGATCCCCCGACACCATTGTTTGAACTTTCACCGTGATGTCTTGCTGGTTGCTGTGCTGGAAGTGTCTGGATTCTGACAAGCGGCATGATTGGGCGGCGTGACGCATGGACGTCTTCTACCCGTGGACCCACATCCTTGCCTAGCTTCCTTGACATTCGTCTTGTGGCTTTCCTCCTCGAACCACAACACACGTCCAACCAACACTGCCAACCGCACTTCCCACGATATTCCACCGTTATCGATTCACCCTCCACGCTTTTCGAACCGACTGCCGACCACGCAGACAGAGTGTTTCCACATCGTTTGCCGGGCCGGCCGCCATGTGTGACATCAATCAAAACTTCCCCTCCGCTCCACACCAGCTGCACAACCGCTGCTCGCCCATGCGCAACAGTACGTATACGTGCCACCAACATCGCCGGCACCACCACCACCACCACCACTATTGTGCACCTACTGAAAATACCATCGCAGCCCTCTCGCCTTCCTCCGCCATGTCTGGCCGTAAGCGGAAAGCCGATGACGATATCGAGGATGAGCGCATGTCTCAGTCACCGTCCAACTCGCCTGCCATTTCTTCACGACCGCCGCCTCGCTCGATACAGAAGCGTGTGCGCTCGAACATCTCTGGTCGATCTCTCCCTCTACCCCGCCTCCTCGAGACTCTCTCTCCCGACCAAATGCGGAACCTGCTGCAATCGATATGTCAGCGCCACCCAGACATCGGTAACGAGGTCGTCACAACAGCACCACGGCCAAGCATACAGTCGACATTGGAGGTGCTCTCCAAGTACGAATCTGAGTTCCAAGCGGCATTCCCATTCGGCGGCAGCTCGTCATCAGACTATGCATACAACCGGGTACGACAACAGCTCACAGAACTGCTCGAAGCACTGAAAGACTTCACACCCCACTTCCTCCCGCCAAACGAACAGCAAGCCGCCACATCACTAGCCTTCCTCGATGGAGCCACCGACGTTATCCACCGCCTGCCCAACTGGGACACCTACCAACATAGCCGTCACAAAGAGGAGGCATACGAGGAGATGGCCAAGGCTTGGGCGATGGTCATCCGCGAGGCGGCCAAGAAGGCAGGAGGTATGCAGCTGCTGTACGGTGGCTGGGACCAGAAGATTGCAAAGCACAATGAGGTTTCAGGCGGAAAGATGCAGGAGGCAGTCAACGAACTGCGGGGTGGATTGGGTTGGATGGCCGCCGAGACGCCAGCGCCTGCGGCAGGGGGACAAGCCGATGCCATGTCCATTCGACAGCAATTGTTGAACGGCAGCTATGGTATCGGTTCTCCTGCTAGCATTGGAGCTTGGTAGATGTTGACGTTACTTAGGGTACCCAGCCGTTTGCCGATATGAGGAGTGCTATTATCGTCCCAGCGAGATTGACGATCACTTCTTCGGCAGCTGACAGCCCTGACGTCCTCCCGGGTCCCCTTTTCACCTTTGCCGATCAACACATTCAGACACAACCATCTGAGCACTCTCACGGCCGTCGTCATCAAATTCACCAATTGCATGGAGGCAGGCTTTTACATTCACGACTTGCATAGCGTCTCCTTTCTCTCTACACATACCACTACACAACAGCATCAGGCGGTTGGGTTTCTCCTTTGTCATCACCGGCGTACAGGCTCTAATCACAGATTGGGCTTATCCCACCTCTCTCGGCGTAATGTTTTGCTATTTTTACTGCCCCCAAAACTTAGGTGGGCGGCTCTCGGTTCGGATGGATACCAGATAGAAGCTTTTGTACTGGAGGTTCAACAGCGCGCGGCTGTCTTGGCAAGGGCGTGTGTAACCGAGCTGTGGAGGACGTCCAAGACCGTTAGTATTAGAAAATGAAAGAGATGATTATTCGTTCCTCCTCGCACGCGATGATATATCATCTACAGTAGGGTTAAGTGAGAGTGAGAGTGAAAGTGCTACACGTGATGGCGCGTTGGCCCCACGTTATGCCTAATCGCTCAGGTGCGTGTTCTCAGCCTCGCGCCAACCTGAACAAACGATCTCCTAGGCGCCGACAACCCTCATTCCTCCACCATAGTCCTTGGAAGACCTCCGGGGTCAGCTACAACACCAAAAATTGCACCCCAACTACTATGGCGATCCTGCCGTCCCAGCCGGGCATCAAGATCTCGATTGTCTGCAACGGAGCCATCCTGCAAGAATATGAGGACGACGACGAAGAGCCAAACCACGCTGTGGTCTCCAAGTACATAGAAGCAGTGTCGGGTGCGGAATTCGGCATCCGCTGGGACGTGTCCTCGCCGTGGCCTCCATATACAATCTTGTTCAAATACTACCTTGACCAGAAGAAAGCCAGCGACAGGTACTGCAGGCTGGAGAACTTCAAGCACCCCTCGTACATCTACACTGAGGAAGGAGCTACTAGCATGGTGAACGGGCAGGGCTATCTGCACAGATTTGCGTTCGCAGCGCTTACTGTTGGTGAGTGCCATGAGTAAGCCTAGAGGTAGTCAACGTACTGACTGTTGTAGATGACGCTGGTGCGCCTGTCCCCGAACAGCTGATGAAGGATATTAAGGGCATGGGCGAGATCACCGTGAAAGCCTTCTTCGTCGCGGTGCAGCAGACATCATCTGTGGTCGATCGTGCTCTCGACAACAACATCAGGGAGGTCGGCAAAATTCCAGAGAAGGCTCTCAAGGGCAGGTCGCTGTCTCATCAGACTTCGTATGCCAAAATCCTGCTGTAGTCGCCAATCAGGGTTCGACTGACCAAAACAGTCTACGAGCCCCGCAAGCGATAGCCAAGTTCTCAACGGCGACCTGTGACTACATTGACCCTGCGAGGAAGTCATTCGCCACGTATACCTTCAAGTACCGCTCTAGAGGTAAGCTACTCGGGTTTCCCGCTTACTGCTTGATCACTAAACCGCACCAGATGCACTCAAGTCCCTCTTGATCATTCCACGAAGCCCCAGCCCAGTGCCGCTCGAGGACCGAGATGTCGACACATTGAGCGCAGCAGAGATGCGAGAGCTTCTGCGAAGACAACGAGTATGTACAGCTCACTCGCTACAACGGACACGCACTAATACAGTGTAGGAACGCGAGGCAGATGCTCGAGCTATAAAGCAAGAACGCGGCATCAAGCGCGAACTGAATTGTGAGCAAAGCAGCACATACACAGACGATACCGACGACGACGAGATCAGCATTGTGTCGACGAAGAGACGCCGCGAGAATTACCTGATTACCGTTAACGAGAACGGTGTAGAGGAAATTGATCTCACCTGAGCAGGTCCGCCCGCTACGCATGGTTGAATGCCTCCCGGCTGACGCATAACTCCATAACGACTTTCTCACTTTTTGGCGCACAAATGGAGTCCACGATGGATATGGCACGGTATATACCCCAGATAAGGCGTTATCTCATTATTTCAATGGATTCATGTAGCTCAAGGCTTATTGAGGCCCATTCACCTAGCCTCTGCTGTCCCAACCTTTGTGTCACCTAGTATTGTTCTCTCAGTTACCCAAGATCAAGCCTCATCCACAGCCGTTTGCCAGTGCCTTATAGTCGCCTCTCGCCCACCACCAAACTTCGAATCCTCTTCAACACCACCTGGTCACGATAACATGGCGATCACACCAGCTGCACCAGGCCTCGAGGTCACTATCGAAGTCGACAACGTCGCACTGCCAGAACATCAGTATGAAGACGAGGACATCACTAATGCTGGCCACGAGGCCTTCGCGAACTCAGTCACGAAGTACCTCGAAGTGCCCTTGGGAGCCGAGTTCTCTATACGCTGGCTGTTGAAGGATGGGTTCCATAACGCTTTCACGGTCTATGCCGCCGTCGTGCTTCAGGCCTGCATGCAGACCAGACCGGCTGTTGCCTACTCATGCACTCGGACCCCACTCTTTTCTCAGCCTTATTACTGCTTTCCTCCCTCGATTTTGTGAATTATCCTTTCCGAAACCGCTGCCACAACACCGCGTTTCATCCTCCCAAAATCCTTTGCAATGAACCTCCTTAACATTGAAGCGATCGTGCCGGTAATAGAGGAAGGTACTCTGGGTGCCTCAAGTCTCAAGGTGCACAAGTCCACTTCGAGCGCAAAAGGCCTGGAGCGGATCGTGGTCGGGTCGGGGATCTCGATCTACGGGCTTCCCTGCTTAGGCAGTTGCGCTGGAACTGGTATGCTGTCTGTGGCTTGTTAACCTGTGCGCCACAGCCTCACCATTCTAATCGCTTACAGGTGGTGAGAAAAAGGTAGGTTTAGGTTGACCTAGACCTTTGACGACCTTGCGACTAAGCTGTATACCTCCAGCTACCGCCTCATAGAGGCTCGTGGAGAAAATCTTTGCGTGCCTTCGGTAGCTCTTGCAATGCAGATACACGTACCTGCAGAGCTAGGCAACGTTGCTTGTCGAACAAAGTGATATATTGTTGACCACCTCCACCATGGCCCCTAAAAAATCTACGGTACCATAGCACCTCACAGCTTATAGCTGCCTGCTCCCGCCTTAGCCGCTTCCTTAACACTCTTACCCTCCGCATCCGTAACCACGCCCTTCCTCCCAATAATCTGCACCCCACCCTTCTTGAGATCGCTAACAAGCTGCTTCTTCTCCCCTCTACCACCCTTGGCCTTCTTCGCCTTCTCCTCCTCTTTGGTCGCCCTCGGCTTATTAAGCCCCGCCTTCTTACTCCTCTCCTTCTCCCTTCTCCTCCTGCTCGACTTCTCTTCTCTCGAAAGCTCGTCACGCGACAGCGGCATACCGCTCTTGGTGACGATCTCAGCTTTGTTTTCATCGTCGCCGGGCTTGTAGACTTCCTGTGGTGCGAGCATGGATGCACCGGCGACGTCGTTGCCGGCTGTGGGGCGCGCGTCTTCCATTTCGATTGCGGGTGCGTCAACGCGGATTTCGAGGTTAGGTGCTGCGGGCTTGGGCTTGAAGTGGCTTGAGCTCAGGCTGTCGAGCTTAGCGCTGAGTGTCTTCCATAGAGCGGTTATCTCGGCGTGTTCCTTCTTCAATTTCTCATCACGCGCATCAACAAAGTTCGGGTCGTTGAGGCGGAGATGCTCTTCCTCATACATGTCAGCAAGGCTTTGCTTAGCCTTTGTGTCGTCGAGCTCGAATCTGCCACGGCGGACAGGTCCTGTGGCGAGGTCATCTGGACGGCGGCGGTGGACTTCATCGAACTCGCCGGCGAGGACGCGGCGCTTGATCAGGGCTTCGATATCTTCGGAGAGCTCGGCGGTGACGACGTGGACAGGCTTGCCGGCGCGTTCGAATTCGAGGTTCTCTTCCAGTAGCGAGTTGAGCGGGCGGTCGGCGGCGCGGGCTTCACCGGAGAGTTGCCATTGGCGTTTCGCTACGTTGGCGGCTTCGAGCTTGCGGATTTCTTCCTGTAGCTTTGCTTGTCTCCGTTCGTGTGTTGACTTTCTTGACTTTGGGTCCGAAGGATCTACGTCTGAAAGAGCGGTCTCGCTCTCGGCATCGTCGCCATCTTCAAACAAATCCCGGTGTACTCTTGCCATAGTGTTCTCCATGTCCGCATTCTCTTCTTGCTCTTCATCCGCCGCTGTTTTTGTGGGGAAGTTGTGTGGATTCGGTCGCCCGCGCTTCTTCTTGTTCTTGCCAGCTTTTTGCGCCGGAGGTGCGAAGAAGTCTGCGTACATAACGTTGTTGGCGTTCATGCCATCGTCCATGCCATCGAGATCACCCTCATCGAATTCTGCGTCATCATCGCTGTCGCCTTCAGGCGCATTGAGATCCACGTTGCCGAATGTTGGGCCACCCTCGTCTGACTCGTCTCCTGATTCGTCACCACCAAGCCCGCCCTTGCCAGCGCCACCTGCCATAGGGTCCGCTGTCCAGTCGACTTCCTCGTCATCGCTATCGGCTGCTTCACCGCGTGTATCCTGCTGCTCCAGGAATTCTGATTGCTTGTTGAAGTCGTCGATGGAAAAGAAACCGTCGTTGAGGCCGTTCGGATCCGGCACATACTCTGCGGCAGGTTCATCGTCTAACCCTTCTTCGTCAGAGAACGTCCCTTCCCCTCCATCTTCCATCTCGACATCCTCCTCGTCCGAAGGCTCTTCGTCTGAGGGCACAGCATTTTCGTCATCATCTATGCCATCGACCTCGTAGTCTACACCCTCTTCGCCCATTTCTGAGCCGGTGTGATATTGCTCCTCTGGGTCTGACAGTTCCTCTTCCTCGTCCTCTCCATCCACTGCCACGACGTCATCGTCAGAGTCTGGCAGAGCAAGCTGAATCTCCTCAGTCGCAGCCTCGACAATTTTCCGTGTCTGCTCGAACACCTGGTTCACGCCAAATCCATCCAAATGCACCTTCTTCAGATGTAGAACCCTCGTGTCCCCGTCATAATCTCCCCCACGCTTCCGCTTCTTGCGCGCATCTTGTTGGCGCTGTGTCTGCGACTCGCTCACACCGGCGGCGACGGGATCTAGGTATCGTTTCGCGGCGGCGAGAAAGGCGGCATTGAGCTGTACAGTGGGCTGCAAGAATGCGACTGGGCTGGCGAGCAGATTTATACTGGAATTCGAGGATAGCTCCATTGGTATGGGCTGCGCGGAGCCTATCGAGAGTGTGCGCGATGAGATTGATGCGTCCGGCGATAATGTCGAAGGCGCCATGCTATACTCAGCTTCCGCAAGCGCCGATTTTGAGGTATCGCGTTGGCTTCACGAGTGTCGAGACATTTCGTGATGTTCACAAGAACTTTTTTTGCCTATCGATTGCAGTTTACGTCCGTGCGTTAGCGCTAGCACTTAGCGCGTGCTAGCGCAGTGATGATGCTCACTCAACTGGCTGTGGACATTCCCCTGGACGAATATTTTTAAAATCAGAATGTATACCCGTGGTGGATAAAGTGGCCTAGATCAGGTCGTCACTATATTCAAGAGCTTCGTAAGTTCATCGTAATGGGATAGGTTAAATATCGGAAAGGTAAGAATATGTTAGGAATACATCTACATAGATAGCTAGAAATGAGCATAATATGCCTGTCGTAAACATCAGTCGTGAATCATAGCCTCATAACGCGACCATAGCAGCGCCGATGGCGAGCGCAGAGATCACCATTCCCCACACCGACCACTGCGGCACGAATGAGGCTGTACTCGGCGTAACCTTCGCCTCAACGCTCGACACGCCTGATGCAGTCGCCGTACATTGCTCGCCGCAAGCGTAGCCATTGGGACAGCAGTTTCCACCTTGATTTGCTGGGCAGCTGTACCAGGCACTAGGACAAGACCCACCCTGTGCGGCACCCTCAGTCGCAACAGCAGCTCCAGAAGGCGCAACAACAGTCACGCCGTTCGTCGCGATGACTGTGGTCGAAGAAGGTAGGACGCATGATCCAGTAGTCTGACAGTCTCGGCCCACTCTGCAACATCCGGATGGGTAGTATGCGCTGCATACGTAGAAGCCGGTGGGGCATATATCGCCCTCGGATGCGGTTGAGGTTACCGTCGTAGCAGCCTCGCTAGTGGGGCGTACGGGAGCTGATGGCGCCTGGCTGCTGGTTGGATCGTCACCGAGGCAGGATGCGCCTGTTGCGCACTCGCGGCCGTTCTGGCAACAGCCGCCGCCTAGGCTGACGGGGCAGGAGAACCAGCCGGTAGAGCAAGTGTAGGCTGACGTTGGTCGTGATGACGATGGGGCCGGTGTAGACGTGGGAGTGGAGGAAGTGGTTGGTACAGCGGAGCTCGAGCCAGATGTAGGGACTACGACGGCTGTGGTCGATGAGGATGAAGGGCGTGCAGATGTGGACGGTTGGACGTAGGTAATCGAAGTTCCAGCGGCAACGCCTGTTGATTGTTAGATCGAATTGGTGTTGCAAAGGATTTGGAGTCGGACTTACAGCCAATACCACTGCATTGAAACCCAGGCAGACAGCATCCGCCATTCGATGAGTTGGGACAGGAGGTGTAGCCCGCAGCGTCGTTGCAGCTAATCGTGCCAGAGCATGTTTGTCCATTCGGACAGCAGCCCACAGAGCCAATATCGGAGCCCTCTACTTTCACGCATGTACTGCTTCCCCCACAGCATAAGTCCGGCGCCCCAATCGAAGAGCAGCTGAGCGTGCCTTCTGGACACTTGAACTGCCTCTTGAGCAAGACATCCCTAATGCGCAACCGTTCGAACCACTCGTCAGCGGCGTTTGGTCTAATCGCCGGCTGTGCCTGGTATGTGCTATTCCCAAAGTCCCCAAAGTCCGATCTCTTGCTTTGGCTCGATGCAAATATCCAGTTGTCCAGCATGAACATCTCGCCTTCGTCTGTACTCATCTTCTTCATTCCCACAGGCTTTTCGTGGTGTAACCTTTCTCTTATGTCCAGACCCCGCTTCACATGTCTCTCATCCTCGGGGAAGTACTTCATATGTTTCGGAAGATTGTGAGGCCATTGTTGCTGTGCGCTTGCTACGGGCGCAGCGCAGAGCAGTAAAAGTATGGTCGTTGGCAGTGATAAGAGGGTCGAAATATGCATTTTGGAACGTGCTACACGTTGCAAGCTCGTGGCTTTGTCGAGACGCAGGGCGAGGAATGTGGAGTGATGTTGTGCAAGATACTCTAGAATCTACTATACTTTCGTGAGGTGGCTGGTGGAGTCTCGAATGCGCGAATCATGCAAATCGCGAGGCTGGGACGACAATGCGTTGGCACCTCACCGCCGCTACGGTGTCAAGGTACATCCTCACAACAGCGAATGAACGGTCGTCGTTCCAAGGTTGCTATGGAAGCTCGAGCTTGAGTGTGGTTTCGAAGTCAACAGGGTCGTGAAGACGATGCGACGTCATATCGGCGATGTTCTTGAAAGACCCTCCGATCTTGGCGCTTTCCTCAGGTTTCAACTTCGTGTTCAGCATCAAACTTAAGCAGCGCGTGTACTGCGTAGCTATCTATTGAATGATAGTCGAAACAATCTCTATCGGTTAAGTTATTATTCCTGACAATATGGGCCATCTCCGCTGAGGCACTGCAGGCTCATCAGCTCGACAGGCTTCTTGTCCTGCTCTCCAGAGCGATATCAGCCACCGTAGGTGTTAAGAAACATTCATCAGATATGTTGAGCACAAAGGCCATTGTTGGACTTGAACCACGATGCAGTACCTTGGGAGGTTTGTGTACTTGCTCATTAGGCAGGGTGGCAGGGATTTCAAGGCTGAAGGGCAGGGATGCCACGACCCTAAGCGAGGCGTAGTCACCTTCCGAGCACTTCTTCCCCGAAACATCAGAGTCATGCATTCCTATACACACGATGCGCAAGACGCTTCGAAGGTCCTGCAATGCTTGCGCAAAGTCAAAATTGGCGTGTGACCTACGGACACCACAATGTTCACGATGCGCCAAGAGAGATTCACCATGTGTATACGCCAATCAGCCACTGTCTGCATCGCCAACGGACAGCGTAATAACGCCCTCAGTTAAAGCAGCCTCTCCGGCAAACGACGACACTTCGATGGTGGTGTTGACCAATCCTGGAATCCAATCCTTCGACCCTTTCGACACATACCCCAAAACAAGACTACCACGACCGCACGTGCAGCGACTGATCCAGCATTGTGAGTCTTGCAAAGGTCGAGGTCTGACCAGACTACAGCTTGCCTAACGCACAACAGTCCTTTCTCACATCGCTTTCCAGTACTATCCATTGGATCTTGACATCACATCGAATCCATTCGTTGTATCTTGGTGGCCACTTGCTCTTGCAGATCCCGCTCTATTCCACGTGTCACTCCAGACCGCATCACTTGATATCGACTTACGAGCGCAAAAAGGGTTTGCTAACTCAGAAATCTTAATGGCTGACTCCGTTTCACTAGTCAGACAAAAGATCGCTGATCCTACAGCTGCACTGCAAGATGAGACGATGGACTCTGTTGTCACCCTGGCCGCCATCGAGTATGGCAAGGGTAATACGGATGTCAGTGCGATGCATGTCGATGGCCTCAAACGTCTTGTTCAGATGCGAGGAGGAATCAACAATGTCAAGAGCGTCACCCCTCTTACCGCTAGGATGGTTGCATGGTACGCATCAGTCTTTGCTTGGCCCTCGAAACAATATTGACTGACGCCATGAAGGGTCTGCATGATTGTCATGCAAACGCCACAGTTTCCAGCGCAAGACAATCTTGGATGCGGTGATGGTATTGCGCCTATATCGCAATGGTACGAAGCTACGAGCAACATCCGAGTTCTGGCTCCGACAGTGCTCGACATCCCTCTTCTCGATCCCGACATCACAGACGCCCTTTGCCGGCTCCATAACCTCTTTGACTCGAGCCAGTACACCTTGTCTAGTACCGACTTACATGACCTGACATGTTATGTCGTTCACAAGCTATTACTCTGGACACCTCAGCCCCAGCTCAACAGCTTCCTGTGCGATCTGACTGCTTCTGGGATCGTCCGACACGCACTGGTACTATATCTCCTCATCATCCACGGACCCACGTACTTCTCACATGCACGCCTACAGTATGCTACGGCTCTCAAGCTTCAAGCGCAGATGGAGCACGCCTGGTTCAACATGCTCTTCAGTCATGGCTCTCTCGCACTGTGGCTCCTGTCTGTCGGCATGGTGGCCTCTGATGGAACACCGGAAGGTCAATGGTTCGTCACCCAGGCTCGCATAGCTGCTGGAGCTCTTAATTTACAGACATGGGATGACATTGTCGTTCGCTTCAAAGAGATAGTCTGGCTGAACTCGCGAACGGCTGAACCCATGTTCCAGCGAAAGTGGCAAGAAGTGTGGGCCATCACACCTACTTGAGTCACAGCGAGAATTTCACGTCAAATGAACCTTACAGGCCTCACTCACTCCTGCTCAGAAGCACTGTCGCGTTGCAGGTGGGGATCCATACCTTCCCGTCGCCTGGCGTCCAATGCGGACCCACTCCGGACCAAACGGGACTAGTCTCCGATCGCCTAACACCACCCACGATTAGTCAGTGCGACGAAGTCCATCGGACACTTGACCACAAGGCCCTAGTTCCCATCATCAGGTACATACTGTCAGAACAACTCCCTCTACTACACGGAAAGGCCCATGCTGAGTCCAGGAAAGCCCTCGCCGGGATTTTCTTTCCCAGAGCGCTCAGCATATATCTTCCTACACAGGACAGGTTTCAGTGACTATTTCGATAGGTTTGCGGCCTCGAGTGAACGCAACAACGGCGAGTCGGTCCCATTCCTCCCGATTTTCAGAAAGTTCAATTGCGCTCTCGTGTCTCGTACCTTTTTTTGGCGACTATGTCACTAAGGGCGACATTATAGAGGCCGTCACATACTTCGACTGTGTCATGGCGGCCGTAAAATTATGTGAGATGCCCTTATCGAAATTCATCCCAAAGCTGCGAACGGTGCATTCAGTAGGGCTCTGAGGGACCAGAGAAGTGTGGATTAGAGAGTCGCGGCTTTTTTTTAAACAGGCTTGGAATCTCACACGCGGCGCAATGCTCGCAACTGGTTTCACTACTTTCATCTTTGTTTGCATTGTATCCGGAAAATGCTCTTGATTTACTGGAGAGTTTGTTAACGGTCAGATCTACTCAGCAGCATGGGGCAAAGTAAGGTGAAGGTGACATGCGACTTGGTCTTTTGCGCCTCCCCTAGCTCCGTGATGTCAAAGGCACTGTAGTCCACGCCGCCGAGTTTCTCCATTTAGCTTCAACGATACGGCCTTGTAACCAAGCCGCTCGAGACGGTATGGGTAGACCGATCAAGCCAGAGTACCGCTTCTTTGCTTACGAGTACGACGTGGTGTAAGTTGTGGGAGTTCGTGGATAGTGTGCATACAGGGAAAGTTGCAGGATTGAATTGGGGTTGTCTTGCAGGAAGCTATGAAGCGTTATGTAGGTGAGTGAGAGTAAACAACACTAGTGCGAGGATGCAGTCACCCTTACGGCAGGTGAGGTACGACAGGCAGAAGGCACTCTAAACCATGACATGTCGGGAATGACAGGACTGGTTGGCAACGGATTACGGAGGGGGCGTGTTGGATGTTTTGCAACGACGGCCTGGAGGTCCGCTTTCTGTGACACCTTTATTGGAAGACTGTGTTCGCCTGTGGAACTTGTTCGCTTTCAACAACTGTTTGTATCCTCTGGTGGCTGAATTCTCGTCTCCCATTCCCTTCTTCATGCATCTACCTACAACGCAAAAGTCCACAGCTTCATGGAATCTGCTTATCACCTCGTCTTGAGAAACTTCTTTCTTGCGAGGCAATATCGAGGAGGGAAAGTAAACGATGACATGTTCCTGAGGTTCTCCGTCACTCTGAGCGCTTCTGCCATATTCCAGCGCATCACTCGCTACTGCGAAAAGGTCTTACCACCGATCACTCTGAAAATCTACTCAAACCACACCACTCGGAAGTCATGCATCGTACAATCACTTCTCGGTTACTCTCTAGCCAATCAAGGCGCAATGTGATATGAGTGAACCTCCCCTACTTGTCCACACTGTTTGCAGCCTTGAATCCACCACCGAGTTGTACCTGTCTCACGCCTCACTTCAAGCCTTTCCTGCTGCACTACCTCCACCACATCCCTTGAAACAATTAAATCCTCTGCCTCTGCCTGGGATAGGGTTCCTCCCTTCTGGATCCGTCGCTTTTTGCGGGATTTACGCTCGCTGGCAGCAGTGTTGGCTGCCTCAAGCCAAGCAACTCGATCAGCCAAGAGAGCCTGAGAATGCACCATCATTTCAGCACCTCTCTTAAACTGCTGCACCATCTCAATAATTGGCCCAGGGCTTGAGCTAGCATGAGTTCGAATCCGGTTTAAGATAAGCATTGACTGGGCATCTATTTCTATTGCATTGCTTGGGGTTTTTGGCTGCCAGGGGGTGGTGGTAGGCAGTGGTGGTGTTGGCGTTCGAGGCTTGATTTCAAGCTTAGATATCACCACCTCTGAATCCATGGGAACCAAGCCGGTTGCTCTGAAGCCAGATCTGATGTTGCTTGACGAGAATACATCCTTATATACTGCTGAAAACACTGCTAGGAATGCTTTCTTGTCAATATGGTTGATGTGGCAGTTTGCCAAGGCTCCCACTTCTTTCTTGTACGCGCGCTTCAAGGGACCAAAGCAACCAACGTCAAGCGGCTGAAGGATATGTGAGGCATGGGCAGGCATGCAGAGAGTGATAATATTGTTCTCCTTGCAGAGATCCTGAAATTTGATGGTTTGGTGGCTTTCATGGCCGTCAACAATGAGTAGTCGATACTGACCAACTGTACGCGATGTAGTATGGTCAATAAAGTGCCTTAGCCAGGCTAAACCAATCTCATTGTTAGTCCATCCTTTGTCTGCAACAGCGATCCTCCAGTCCTTAGGATTACCATGATACCAGGCCTGCTGGTGGTTCTTTGCTTTAAAGATGAAGAATGGTGGCAGCAGCCACCCCATGGCATTGATAGCAGCAATCAAGGTAATCCACTCGCGATCACTAGCCTGCCGGCTGATAGGATTCAGGCAAATCTCAGACGCTGTGACTACCTTAACACACCCCCCAAGGCCTATCTGGAACCCAGTCTCGTCAAAGTTGTAGGTATCTTCGTCCAGGATGCCATACTTGGCTTTCATGTTGGCTACCAGCGAGAACCAGGGCTTGATGATAGCTGGATTGCTGCACAGGATTCGACGATAGTCCCAAGGCCTTGATAGCTGAGTCTTGATATCTGTTTGACGCTTGACGAAGCGGTATACCCAGCAGACGCCAACAGAAGCTTTTCCTCGGATAGCCAGCAGGGAATTAGCCATATCACGGACCTCATCAACTGTGGGAGCAAATCCACGTAGAGATAGGTCCCTAATACGGTGCACAAGGGCATCCTCTTCAGGCTTGGTCATATTTGATGAGTTGGCTCGGGTATCGCGTCGGGAAGTCATTCCTTTGAATCGGTTGGTGAGGGTGCTTCGAGCAACACCATGCAACGCAGCAGCGCGTGTAAGGCTTAATGACGCGTCGCAATTTAAAGCTTCAATAGCTAGGATGATCCTATCCTCACGAGAAAACAATTCAAGATCAATTGGTGGTGGCATTGTGGGTGGTGGTAGATTTGGTTGTGGGCTTGGCGGAACCGGACAACTTGGTGATGCGGACAACTCAGTGATCGATTACGTTATTATCTATTTGCTAATTGATAAAACCTTGAGAAACTTGGTCATTCCAGCCCTCATAGGCAAGCTCTCTGGTCTCAAATTCATCCTAATGAGGAAATTTCTTGAGATATTGCTTTACAGGCTACCAGCAGTCCTCAATCGGGGATAGGTCTGGTGAATTGGGACAGTTGAAGAAGTAGTTGAGCCCAATTTTCTACTTCCGCATAGCCACAATATTGTTGGCAGAACCTCCCCCATGGCCACTATTATTGTCTTCCGCTAGGATAAAGTTGTCTCCTCTTTTGAGCCAGGGCAAGACCATAGGCTCAAGAATTTGATCTCTGTATACCGGGAGGGATAGCTTGCCATTCTTGTTGCCAATTGTGTTGTAGAAGGTAAGGTCACTCTTGAAGTTGTAACCCACTGCTGCCCATGTGTGTGCTGCTTCCCAGTTCTTCTTGTCATTCCGAGTGATCTGCTCTTGTATATAGTCTGCACAGTACCTCTCTCCTGGTTTCCTGAGTATACGCATCTTGCCTTGTGGACCAACGTGCCAGTGAACCTCATCAGGGAAGCGTACATTGCACCAATCTTCAGGCTCTAGTTTAGGAACCAGCATAGTCTCAGAGTATAGCACATGGTTCTCAGCATTTCTTTTTGATACCCACCCCTTGCTACAAGCCACACACTTGTGCCAATCCATGGAACCCATGTGACATTTCAGGGTTCTCCCAGATACTCCAAAGTCCATTTCAGTCGCTGCAACGTTCCCTGCGGTCAAGCGTGTTGTGGTGGTCAATACAAAGTATTGGTATCCTCGTCTTAGAGACGACACGGAGCGAGGACTACGCATTGTGTTTGGTAAGCCGGATTTGCGGGTCGAATTTTCGTGATACAGGTGACAAGTGTCCACGTTCAGGGTGAGTTAATTCATCATGTCACCAGAATGTTTGCTGACATGTCGAAGATCTCAACGTAGCGTTCACACGGCGGCATGGGAATGGTCGAACAGATACGCAGTGCTGGATCTAGAGTCGTACCTCGGTAACATAAATTCAAAGGTTTGTAAACGTGAAGTCCCAACGTCTAGATCCTACATGCGAAGTTGTCAAAGTCTGCGGGCATGTGCGTGGAGTAAAGTGAAGGTAATTACGTACCGCGTTCATGCCAACGTCCTCCTGGTGTGCGCATGCATGCCTCCTCACCATCTACCCGCCTTCATCTGGAAAGTCCCATTGCCACCAAGGATGGATGCGCCTACCCTTTCTGAGCAAGATCGAAACCTCATGTACGCGCGAACCAGTCCTTGGGTTTAGTTCACGTCCACTGACTGTCACTTCCTGCGCCTTCCTGCTGAGCTCCGTAACGCCATTCACTCCCACGTCTTCGACCGCGCACCATTTCGCAAGACACGCAAGTCCCCCGATCGGCTTTTCGCCTGGCAGGTCACCCAAGATAGCATAAGCCTTATTCTCTCATGCCGGCAAACCAAACACGAAGCCGAGACCTACAACGGCAAGTTCACGACGCCTGTACACCTGGGAAATATCGGTTTCCACAACCTGAGGAAGACCTTGGGCGATGGTGGCCGCGCGAAGATCCGAACGATGGAGTTGACCATGAACAGGGCAGCACTATGGTGCGATGTCGTTAACAGCAACGCGTATCATGGCGTGTTTGCTAGCTTGTTTATGTCTGCGAAATGTGTGGTGGTCAGCAACCCGGCGCCGGTGAGTGGCCGCTACGCCCAGTCCGCACTGGCGCAGACGTTGAGGATTGCGTTCGGCAAGCCAGATCTTGAGATCATGTTCCGGTGGTGTTGGGGGCGCAACGGAAGACAATATCAGGAATGGTCGAATGGCTTCGTATGTCAAAGTTGATATAATTGGTCTAAGCGCAGTGCCTGAACGCCATGCGAAAACGCTGCACTGAGTGTCAATATGCTACGCTAAAAGTGGGAAACCACATACACACTGGCAGTCTTGGTGCCCTTCCTGCCTTCTTTCCCTGCACCTCTCTTCCCTCTCTTCATCTCTTCCTTCTCTTCCCTCTCTTCCTCTCTTCCTTCTCTTCCCTCTCTTCCTGTCTTCCTTCTCTTTTGCTCATGGACTATCTGCCCAACAGCCCAGAGAACCAATTCGCCAACTGCTGGCCCCTCACACTAGGTGTAAAGCTAAGTACACTCTCCGCTCCGTCTTTCTTGTGCTCAGGCGTCTGCGGCCCTTGCGGCGTGCCATTGCACGGAACAGTATTGCCTCTCGGCCTTCGTGTTGGTGTGGACTTGCGACTCGACGACTCTTTCTCTTTTGTACGCAAACTCAGGGATGCTGACTTCTGCGTGCGGCGCCTGAGGCTGGACTGTCCGGGTGTTGAGGAGTCGATGCTGATCGGTGTTGCTGTACGCGCATCTCTGCCGGCAACGTGTGATGACGCGTTCGAGTTCTCGCTAGATTCGACAATTCGGATGGTAGGAGTCGATGGGCTATGTGCTAGTTGCTTCGCTAGGCCAGGCGAATGAGCCAGCATCTGCATTGGTAGGGGTACTCCAGATTTGACCCAAGGACGAACCGTGTAGCCTAGTTGAGGTGTACCTGTGAACCCTGCATCAGCACACAGTAATGTGAGGGCTAAGAATGGATCAAGGCACGGTCTCAGGAAGGGTTTGCACCTTCAGGCGACGGTGCCCTTTCTTCCTTAGCCTCTTCCTGTGCTGGTGCGTCTTCTGCTGGTAGAGTTTCTTCTGTCTTCTCCTCGGTGCCATTCTGTTGAGCTGCAGCTTCTGCGGCTGCAGCTTCCATCCTCTCCTGTCGTTGTCTTTCCATCTTCTCTGACTTCTTTCTGATACGCTCAGCTTCACGCTCCATGTGCTCCTTTCGAGCACGTTCTTCGCGCATGAGACGTATGCGTTCAACTTCTTCGACTCCACCGCTCTTCTTGAGCTTGCCTTCCGAGACGAAGTCGCCGAGCTCTCGTTTGAACTCATCGTCGCGCCGAGTCTCGAGATCACGTTGTCGAGCCTTCTCGGCGCGCTCGATAGCTTCGAGTCTGCTTTCGTGGTTTGGTTGCAGAGCTTTGACTTCGCCTAGCACTCCGTCTCGGGCTTGTCGGGGGTCTACAGCCTTATCTATAGCGACTGCGTTCAAAGCCTTCTGTCCGCTCGCGGTGCGGATTCCCTTGCCCTGGTCCTTCTCATTCTGAAGGTTCTGTTGCTTTGTCGCTTGCTCAACGAGTTCGAAGGTCTGAGTCGCTTTCTCGAGATCGTCTTGCAAATCAGCCGCAAGCTCTTCTTGCATGGTGAGGAGATCCCTTTCTTCACAGACTGTCTGCAACTCCTGCTCCCAGATCTTTGTCCACAGAGGCTTCTCCTTCGCGAGGAAGTCCTGCAATTTCTTGAGCTCAGCGGTCGCCTTCGATAGATCTTTGGCTGTGACCTCGAGCTGGCGAGGCAGGGGTCGTACACCGCGCATGACAACGTCTTTGCGAAGATCCTCCACCAGGTCCTGGAGATCATCCACTCTGTTGACAATCTTCTCGGAATCGTCCTGCAAGTTTTTCTTGCCGCTGTTGATGTATGCGCGGCCAGTGTCTCCATCAAGTGCGGGCAGCGCGGCCTTGACGGCAGTTGACTTGACGGCATTTGCCTTGGTGCGGACAGCGGACATGCTAGCCTGAATGTCTGAGACCAATGAGGAGTATGTCTGTCTGACAACGGCCAGGTCACGGCGCAGTGACTGCACCTCGCTGAGTTGGGCTGCTGATGTGAGGGTGCCATCAGGTGGAGTGCCAGCCTGCATCGGCCTAGATGGTAGCAGTGCTGAGGTGCGCGCTGAAGAGGGTGGTGCTGCTGCAATGCCGGCAAGCTCACGTGCTGTCTGCTGTTGACGCTCGGCAACAAGATCGATAGCCGACTGCTGGTCGGTCACAACGGTCTTGATGCTCTCCACCAGCTTGCTAAGGCCACCGAACTTGTCGTCGATGTGGTTCTTCACTTCGTCGAGCTGTTCTACGTTCAGAACAAGGACCGAGCGCTCTTTGATGTCGTTCAAGTCCTCAAGCTCATAACGCACACCGGAGACCGGATCTTGAATGTGGATTTCCGGCAGTTCGCCGTTTCGGTGAGTGTCCCAGGCGAACTTCTCGATGAAGGCCAGCTGCAGTCGACCAGGTGACAGCTCAGATCCATCTGAGAACACGTACTTCTTGATCTTGCTCTTGTATTGCAAGAACAGAGTAAGCTCTTTGCCAGGTTGGGGTGATTGCTCTGGCACGAATGGTTGCGGTTGTGGAGAGGGCGATTTCGCTGCTCTGCGAGAACCACTCCTCACCGGTACACTCGCAGGCTGTGCAGGCTGCTTCTCTGGCGAGTCACTAGCCATATCAATTGGATCGCCCAGTGGGCCACTCGTAGCTCCAAGGGACGGCTGATCTGGCGCTGGGAACTGCGGCTGGGCCAGCATCTCCTCTGGCGTTTGCTGCATAGGGCTCAGTTGCGGCCCAGACTCTTGGGGCGGCGGCAAGACCGGTGCCGCGCCTTGCGAGCTCTCCTCTGAGATGCGCCTTGCGACATGATTCGCTTTGTCCACAGCCGTGTCCACTGTCGGTCGCTGTTGGTTCGAGCGCTGCCGGTTGTGCATCATAGATCCTCTTGTCCTCACAGCGTTCATCGATTCCCGTACGTCCCTTCCTCGATTCGGGATTGGTGAGTTCTGCACAGGTGGAAGCGGTATGCCATTTGTGCCAAGGTGCTTCTGTATCTGGTAGGCAGAGAAACGCCTCGAAGCCCTCCTCTCCAGCTCACCGCCCCTCTGCAAGGCAGCAAGGGCATCCTCCTGCTTCGGCGGCGGTGGAGGCGGTGGAAAGTCGACGGCGTAGTTGGGTCGCGGGGGCTGCGGCGGTTCTGGCGTTTGGGGCATAGCATCGTCAGCTGGATATGGCGCGATGACAGGCATCTGCTGCGCGGTGTTGCTCGACATGGACGAGTCCGTGGACAGTTGGCTTGCTCCGGTGTTGCGGTTCGCTCTGGGGTTCGAGGGCAGAGAGTCGTATTTGGTGGGCGACACTCTGCCGGCGACGGAGGAGGACCGAGGGGGCAGGTCGGGGTTGGTGCCATTCTCGTCGCTGCGCGATGGCAGCCGTTGGCTCGACGCTCGTGACTGCTGCTGCTGCTGCTGCTGCTGCTGCTGCAGTTCCTCTGGCTCGCCCATGCTTCCTATGCTGCCCTGCCTTGGACTGCCGCCATTCAACGCGCCATCTCGGCCTGTGCGCTGCCGCAGGCGCTGTTGCTTCTTCTTCAGCCCATGCAGGAGGTTGATGATGATGTCTCGTATGCGGGGGAGGAAGTTGTCGAGGCTGGCTTGCGATGCTTCCTGGCTTAGTGTCTCCTCGAGGATCCCACGCAGCAATTCGGGCACGTTCCCGAGATCATTTGTGTCGACTCCGATGGCGTTGAATGCCCGCGACGCGATGTTGAACTCGTACCCCAGCCGCACATAGACGTCGGAGACCTCGCTCTCGGTGGCGGTCCCGCGCGACCATAATGTCAGTGTCTCTGCGCAGTGTTAGCGGGCGTGGTGGGCTCGCTGGGCGCACGTGACGAACCGAGGAGCTGCTTGGTGGCGACGAGCAGATGTGTGACCGACTTTTCGATCTGCGAGAGCTGCTGCTGGGGCTTCATTTTGTCAGCACAGGGTGGCAGAGGGCGCCGGCGCGGAATGCGGGAGAGAGGCTCACGTTCTTGGGCGCACGTCGCGCGGACCCCTGCGAGGAGCGCACCGAGGATGCTTCGTCTGTCATGCTGTGTGTCGAGCCGACAGTGCTGCGAGGGTGTGAATGTGGTCGGGCCGAGCGAACGGGCGCGTCGTCTGCTCGTTCGGCGGCGGTCGTGGTGGAGTCGATGTTGGGTTCAACGATCAGTCACGTGTCGCGAACTCCGGCGGAAGATCAGCCACGAATGTTGAAGCAGGTCCGGGTTCATGCGCGACGTTACATTCCGCCTGACGGTGCAATTGAGCTGAGCGCAGTCTGAGCGCAGTCTGAGCGCAGTCCGGGTTGAGCTGAGCGCAGTCCGGGAGAGGCATGCAGTTGCAGTCAAGATAGCCAGCCCAGTCGATGCATGCCGAACATCTCAGGAGCAAACCACACAAACACTCGTCATGGCGTGCAGCTGGACGGCCTGACCCGCCGATGGCTGCGAGCGACCGCCATTCGCCGGGAATAGCACGCTACTGTCGAGCTGCTGTCGAAGCCGTGAGTTCACGCTACGACATGAGCTAGCTGCATGTCAATACTTGGGGAGTGGATATCATGGAGCGCTCGCAGTGGAGTGAACTGCTGTTTGCTGACTGCGTGATGCTGCACTGCGGAAAAGGACCTCAGGTCGACAGCGTTCCATAGTGAGGCTTGCAGCATGTCCATCTTCTCCACTGCCGTGCAAACGCCCTCCCCACTGCTGTGCAAACGCCCTCTTCCGTGCCGTCTGGCGTCGTCGTGGGGTGTCACAGCATAATCGCCGCGACACACGCTCCTCACCACCCTCTCTGCTCCACTCGGCGCCCTCTGCGCGCTGCGGTCGTCTGCTCCAGGCATCTTGAGACGCCAGCTTCCCACCGCGCCCTCAGCCTGGCCTAGCTCCCGCCCGCTCTCCGTTGTTTCATACGGGGCGATCCGCTTGGCATTGCAGCACTCACGACAGCATCTGGGCAACTTTCCCACAGCCTCTTCATCCACCTGCTCTCCGCCCGTCTGGTCTTCGCTGTGGGCGTCTCTTTTGTTGTCGTCCCCCGCGCGTGCTGTTCTGAGCGTCCAGCGCTGCTGCCCTCACTCCCCAAAAGGCGCCCCTTCCCCCCCCCCCCCCTCCCCGCTCTGCTTCACTGCGTCTCGGCCTACGGAGCTTGCCCGCGTTATTGTTCTGTCCCTCCATGTCCATCTCCGCCGCGACCCCCAACAGCGCTCTCCATGCTCTGAACCAGCCCGCCGCGACGCCCGGCCAGAAATTGAAGATGACCTCGTCGGCGAAAGGCATTGACGCACAGCGCAAGCCCGGAAGCCCCATTGACGCCGCCCAGAGGTGAGCTCTCCCACACGTTCCCTATACATGGCTTGCACGAGCAGCTTGCTGCGCTATACCTCTCGGACTACGCTCAATTATCTCGTCGAGAAAGCGTGGGGTAAGGCTGGCACTCCGCCGTAGACCTCGTGTGACATGCTAGCGGTCACATGGAGGGACAGTGCAACAACCCAATCTTGCCAGGCACCCTCAAGATGTTGTCTGTAATCAGACTTGCGAGATCTGGGGGCTCGTTGTTCAAGCCTGACTACATCAAATCGCGCTCAAGCGCAACGCTAACTCGCATCCGTCTCTAGGAAACCGCCAGCTCCCAAGGCATGGTCCCTGGGAACGAACCCTATCACCCAACGACCGTCAAATCCCACACCCACCAACGGTGTCACAAACACCCCGAAGCTCTCAGCCAGCGTGTCTGGCGAGACAGCAACTCCAATGAGGCACCTCAGCGACCGGATGATGTACCTGCTGGCCAACTTGACTGTTAGTACACGTAGCAGACAGTAGCGGGAAGGGAAATGGCGCTAACACCAAAGCTCAGGGCCTGCCGGGAACCATCACACTCAAGAATGGCGCAAAGTACTCTGGCGTGCTCTCAGGCACCTCTCTGGACCCCAGCGAGCTGCGCTATGTCTTCAAGATGGTGAAGCAGCTGCAGCCGGCCGACAACGCCCAGGCCAACGGTCAGACCCCGGACGAGTACGCCGGACAGGGCGAGTCCTACGTCATGTCCTTCGATATGAGTGATGTTGCCGACTTCAATGTCAACAATGTGGTGCTCGACAGGACACAGGCCAAGGGCCAGAACGGCACGGCCGGATTCCGAACTGATGCGGATATCTCCGGCAACCTGGCGATGCGCGAGCGTACCCTCCAGAAGTTCGAATTCTCTGGGCCCGATACCAGCCTTGAGCTCGGGTCTGGGGGTCTCGGAGGATGGGACCAATTTGCTGCAAACGACCGCATCACAGGCAAAAAGAGCAACTACGACGAGAACATATACACCACTGCCATCGACCGCAGCAACCCTGAGTATGCTAAGAGGGCAGCTCGCGCCGATAGAATCGCGCGCGAGATCGAATCGAGCACTGCGACCAACTCCCACATCCGCGAAGAGCGTGGAGGTCACAACGCTCAGGACGATCAGGGGCTGGATGAGGAGGACAAGTACGGCATTCAGTTCGAAGATGAAAGGTCCATAAGCTAACAGCTTCTTAGGTACAGTGGTGTTCGCAGAGAGTTCTCGCCTCTCTCGAGTGGCCAAGCGAACAAGTACACGCCCCCTGCAAGACGCGCGCCCAGTGCTCAGGCCACAGTCCAAGGTGCGCCAGTTGACCCTGCGATCTTGTCCTCTACCATCGCACGCCCCGACTCGGCAGCAGCACAGGCAGCGCAGCAAACCACCACTCCCGCCGTTGAGAAGCCGACCACCCCTGCACCTGCGCCTGCACCTGCAACAGCACCTTCACAGCCCGATGCACCCAAAGAAGCTGCTTCCCAGACCGAGACCGAGACCAAGCCAGCTGCTGCAACTGAGCCTGTCGCGGAACTGGCGCAGAAGCCCAGTACTGCAGCCAAGCCGGCGATTGCAGCCATCCCTCCTCGCAAGGCTGCAAAGCCACATGACGCTACGACCAACGTCGAGCACGATCTGCTTGACTCTTTCAAAGCTTTCTCAGCGGCAGAGAAACTCCGCATGTCGGAGCGACAAAGGAGTATTGCGCGCGAGAACAAGGCGGTGAAGCTGAATGACCTCAAGAAGTTTGCCCTGAACTTCAAACTGAGCACACCGGTCCCAACTGATTTGGTCCCCATACTCGCTAAGGACGAGACAAAGCAGGCTGCGATTGTGGAGAAAGCCCTTAAGCAGGCGCAGGAAACCAAAGCCTCCTCACCTAAGACATCCACCGCTGTCTCAGACCCGAAAGCAGCCACGCGAGGGGGTGCAACCAAAGTCGACGCCCCAAGCACGTCTCCCAGCGACCGACAACAGGCCCAACGTCCTCGCCCAGGCCAGTCCGCCTATCAGTCGGCCAGCATGCGGGATCGCTCTCACCAAATCCCAGCTCAGATTCCCGCCCGCAACCAAGGTTTGCTTAGTACGCGCCTGCAACTCACTCAACAGCAACACAAGCAACAAGGCGGTCTTCCCTACAACGGTGTACCTCAGCCAATACCCGCACAGGATATGCGCGCACCCTCTGGCCCTTCGCAAGCGTCCAGTGGTGTGCAGACACCAACTTCCAGCGCCTCCCTGAAATTCAACGTTCGTGCCCACGAGTTCAAGCCCAACCCTGCTGCGCACACGTTTCAGCCTGGTGGTAACGCCAGCGCCGCCTCCAGCCCCAGACCCGACTCTGCAGCATCGAGACAGGAATCTCGCAGACCTGCGATCACGAGCTTCTTTGGTGGACAACGTCCGACACTGAAGAATGTTGATCTGAAGGAGGCCTTCAGTCCGTTCGATCGCCTGGCTAAGACAGCTTCTGAACAGGACAAGAAGTTCAACGCTGGCATCCCATTCTCGCATCGCACACCTCCAACATGGGACTTCCCGGAGTCTAACAGAGACAAGGGCTACAAGGAGCTGTTTGAGCATGCCCCACCTCCCCAAATGGCAGGAATCCACAACGGCATGCCGAACGGTCCTATGCCTCACCAACACCAGCTGCCGCCGCATCTACAGGGCCCCCAGGTCATGCAGCAAGGACACACCCCTGGACATACACCTCGCGGTCCCCAAGTGCAGCCTCACCACGGACAGGGTCCACCCCACTTCGAAGCACCTCACATGCAGTTCTCGCATTCGACCTCATCAGTCCAGCCTTCGCCTCGTCAAATGCCGCCTTACGTGTACGGTGGGCAGCCTCAGCCAATGCCCGGTTACCCGCAACAGATGCAGGTGCCTCAATACAGCATGAGCCCTGGCATGCAGCACGTTGCACTCCGTGGCCCACAAGGCGGCCAGTTTGTCAACGGCCCTGGACCACAGATGGGAGGACACATGATGCAGCAGAACCCTTCAAACGGGCCCTTCATGGGTATGCCAGCACAGCCTCAGATGCAGATGTACGCGCAGGCTCCTGGCTACCCTCAGCATCCCGGCTACATCCTTCCCGGTGCCAATGGCTTCCCCAGCCCTCGCCCTGGAGCGCCAATGATGAGCCACCAAGGATCGCAGCAAGGACATCAGCAACCTCCTATCATGTACATGCAACCCGGTGCGCAGGGTCCTCAGATGTACCAAATGCCACCAGGATCGAGTAAGTCATACGTCATGTCGTACCGTCCTACGACTAATACCAGTGCAGTGACGCCAATGCGAGGCCCTTACCCGCACCCACACCAGCCACAGTACGGTTCACCGCACCAGCAACACCAGTTCCCCCACCAGCCTCACCGCGGTACACCAAGTGCAAGCTATGCTCAGCCCATGATCCACCAACACTCACAGCACCAGCACCAGGGCCCTCCTACAGGTCCAGCCAACCACGGAGCCGAAAATGCTGAGGAACCCAAATGAGGACTTTGCAGAAACCCTTTCGTGACTGCAACAGGAAATCTGGCCGGCTGAGCATGGTCGTTCCCTTAGACGGTCGACTATCTCCACGCGACGGTGAAGTAATGTCAGGAATTAGCGATAGGCGTTGGTTGGCGTGGCTGGCATCAAAAAGTGTCGTGCAATACTCGAGGACATGTCCAAGGAGCTGACACTGAAACGTTGAGCTCAGTGTGCGTCTGCGAATGCCTCCATGCGTTCTATGCGCGCCGCCTTGGCGAAATTAGGAGGGGCTGACTGTGAGGTGAGGAAGGAAGGCAAAGGAGCAGATTAGATAGCTAGCACAGCAGTCTTGCATACGTTGCGCTGCTCATCAATGTCACCTAGCTTTGGATACTCAACCCACCTTGCCTGCAGCCGTGTAGCCATTTCTCCCACCTTCGTCCTCCGAACATCTCCGCGGTCGTGTGATGAGTTGCACGCTTTTGACAAGACCCTGGTCGTGATCACCAGGCACCGGCTTGTGCCCTGCGCACTGACACGGGGTCCACGTTCCAAGCTTAGACCCTGACCCCAGCTTTTTCCAGACGTAGCAATGCGGCCCGTCTCCCTGACGTCCGCGCGGCGCCGATGTCGTCGTATAACTTGAACCTCTCCCGAGCAAATGCGATTCTCGCCATCCCGGCTTCCCATGAGGCCTGCGAAATGACGGATACCGCCGCCGAGCCACTTATCACTTCGAATGATGACGACGGCGAATATGAACGACAGGTGAGGTACAGTGAAGAGGTGGATGATGGGGATGTAGACGAGAGCGCGCTTGTGTCGCCAGGCGTGTTTATTTGGACGCTCACGCTGTGCGCGGGTATTTCTGGGCTGCTGTTTGGATACGAGTACGTCCCTCTCTCGTCCTGTCACATGCTTCCGCGCCTACGGCACGCACGTCGAGCAACCACTCCTGCCAACACTCTTTTTTATGATGCTCCGCCTTACAAAGTGACCGCTCGCTGATGCCTCTGGTGACTCGTACTGTCGAGGACCGGCTCGCTAACACCCTCCCAGCACAGGCGTCATCTCCTCAACCCTCATCAGCATCAACTCCGACCTCTCCTCCCGCCCCCTCACCACGTTAGACAAGAGCCTGATCACCTCCGCCACATCCTTCTTCGCGCTCCTCGCCTCCCCGCTCACAGGCCTGCTCGCCGACGCCGTAGGACGAAAACCTGCCATCCTCGCCGCCGACCTCCTGTTCGTGCTCGGCGCAGTGTGGCAGGCGTACGCAACGTCTGTGTGGGCCATGATCGCGGGCCGCAGCGTGGTTGGGGCCGCGGTCGGGAGCGCGAGCTTCGTCGTGCCGCTGTATATCAGCGAACTCTCGCCGTCTCCGTTCAGGGGACGACTGGTTACGGTGAGTAGTCTGTTTATTACGGGCGGGCAGGTTGTGGCGTATCTTGTTGGGTGGGCGTTTAGTGAGAGGGGTGGGGGGTGGAGGTGGATGGTTGGGCTGGGTGCGGTACCGGCGATTGCGCAGTTTGGCATGTTGTTCTTTATGCCTGAGACGCCGCGGTTCTTGATCCAGAAAGGCAAGGTCGCAGAGGGCAAGAAAGTGCTTACGAGAGTCTATGGGGATGGAGCGGGGATGGATAAGCTGGTCACCGCCGTCCTACGTCGCGTCGAAAAGGAGATCCTAGAAGAGGAGGATGTCGCAGCCCCATCGACCGTCAAACACGAAGGAAGCTGGAAGGCGAAAATGACACACATCATCTCCAACTTCCACCAACTGGCCTCCGTCGGTCCTAACCGCCGCGCCCTGACGATAGCATGCATGCTGCAAGCTTTCCAGCAACTCTGCGGTTTCAACAGGTAAGCCCCATTACAGGAGCCTCCGACATCAGCCGACTGACGGCAAACAGCCTCATGTACTTCTCCGCAACCATCTTCCGGCTCGTCGGCTTCCACAGCCCGACACTCACCTCGCTCTCCATCGCGGTCACGAATTTCGCGTTCACGCTCGTTGCTTTCTGGTGTATTGATCGTATCGGCCGACGCCGCATCCTCCTCCTTTCCGTGCCAGTCATGGTCGCTGGTCTTGCGCTGTGCGCTGTGGCGTTCAGTTTCATCGATCTTTCCGGCGAGGAAGGAGCTTCGCACCTTCTGGTCCGAGCCGAAGGTGCAGAGGCGGAAGGGAGCAAGGTCTGGCCCGCGATCATTCTCCTATCGATGGTCATATACGTATCCTCCTACGCCGTCGGACTCGGGTGTGTGCCCTGGCAGCAGTCTGAACTCTTCCCCCTCTCCGTCCGTGCACTGGGCTCTGCGCTGGCGACGAGCACGAATTGGTTCAGTAATACGATTGTGGGGTTGACGTTTTTGCCGATGATGGAGTTTCTGACTCCGACGGGCACGTTTGTGGTGTATGCGGGGGTTTGCGTGGCCTGTTGGGTTACTGTCTGGCGCATATATCCGGAAACCGCTGGACTGAGTTTGGAGGATGTCGGGGGGTTGTTGAGAGAGGGGTTTGGGGTGAAGGAGAGCGTGGGACAGTTTAGGGGTAGGAGGAGTGAGCGATAGATCGTCAATTCGTTACGTTCCTTCCAGGCACGGGCGTCCTTCACGCGTCCACACGGTCGAGCCTTGCACCGTCGTACTCTAGGAATGCGTAGGGCTTGTTTTTCGAGCTTGAACTGTTCTGGTCAAGCACACGGGGGGTCGGAGGTACTCGGGTGCTTGCAGTGTCGTAAAGGCCACTGGGTGGCGGTCCGGGACCTTGACGGGCCTAGACGTCGCGCAGCGCATGATCAAATCGCACCTCAAGATCCATGCGGTCAACCATGCCTCGTAGGGTACGCTTGATGCAATCCCTACCACGCTCGTCGAACTCTTGCTCCACTTCGACGCAATGTGGCGCGCCGAAGTAGCCAGCAGCAGGGACGTTCAACCTGACGAAAGTAAGGTTCACCCCGGCATCTACAGGCCACCGCACTTCCCACACTGGCGCGAATGCGACTGAAGTCCAGGCCAGTGCGTCAGGTAAGGCTGATGTAGGTTCCTAGGTATCGGAAAGCTTCCTGATGGAGGCAGCAGGAGAGGAGTGGTCTTCTGCTATCCTCGACGACGAGCAGCTTGACAATGTAGTCAATGTACGTGCATGAAGATGGCGCACGAGTGTCGGCGGAGTCGAAATTAGCGGCGTAGGTCTTATTGCGAAGTTTGGGGGACAGGCGTATGGGGCCGAAGAGAGTGTGTGGGGCGGTTCAAGAGTTGGAAGAGGGAAGTGGATGCAGGACGGTAGTCAGGCTATTCTAGCCCCTATACAGCTACTTGCGTCATGGCTGTAAGTCGTTGTTACTGCTTGTGCGACCGTCATATATCACTGACCACCTGCGTAGATGCTCAGACTTGCCATAAGATGAGATGCGTGTTTGAATGCGTCCAAGCCTTCTCGACAGACTCCGCTTCATATTCCACAAAAACCATCCGCCCCGAGCCAGCCCCCTCAGTAGTCGAACTTGCGCGACACATCCTCCTCCTCGCTCCATGCATAATCATGCTCCCGAAGAATGATCTGATAGCAGGTTCTGTGGACCTTACGATCGTGCCAGGTGGCGCGGTTTGAAGCGATGGAAACGCGGAAACTCACCACTCCAGTTTCACCAATGCATTGTGGGATATGACTGGAAGGATGAGGGAGAGTACACGGCCCCAGGACTTTCTGAGAACCGTGGGCTGGTGTCTGTCTTTCCTCCACCGGGACCAGAGACCACCCGGTAGCTTGTGGGAATGATGCAGCCGAAAGAGAGTCATGGTTCGTCGCCTATAGACACTATTGGGGTAGGGGCGGATCGCGCATCTCTTCATTGACGTTGATCAGACGTTGACATGAAAGAATGGAGAAGAAGGTTTCTGCCATTCTGATGGGGTGGTACGCAGGTGTCGAAGGTGGTCATGGGTTGGCCGATGTACTTTGCGGACGCGTGGACGCCAGCGGCAGGCTATCGTACAGCACTCCAACTAGTGAGGGCCACCTGCAACCTTACGATACTGGTGCAACAACATTCGGTACGATCGCCGGTTTGGACAGTCACTTCTGGATAAGCTGGGTGTTACAGCAGCCTTTCCCCTGGATTTCGGCTTGTCATACACCACATTTTCGATTTCCGACACTAAGCTCGGCACTACCAACCATTCAGAACTATCAGAAACTTTTCCTGTGGAAGTGAAAGTCACCATGGATTCGCGTCCAGGGCAGTACATTGCTCAAGTGTATTGCCGACCTTCTGTCAGGATTTCCAAGTCGAGTCCTTGTTGGATTTGTCCTGGTAGACTTGAATGCAGGAGATACTAAGAAAGCTTCAATCAGTGCTTCGCAGCGGCCATTGCAGAGGTGGAAACATGGTCAATACGTCCTTCCTAGCAAAGACGTAGTAATCGAAGTGGGATCCTTCTCAGATGACCCTGGGAACTTGGCAACGCAGTACTACCTGACAGGAAGCAAGCTATGATGACTGGGGGTCACGGATGTCAAGGGGCATACAGGTAAATTGGACTGTCAGAGTGTGGGTGAAGGTCGTTAGGGGTGTAGGTGGCATGGTAGAAATCGGGCCAGAGCATTTGCCGAGACTGAGTTTGTTTTTATAAATAGGGTGGGCAGCATTGGTCTGCCTTATCATTTCTTCTTTGTTGTTGAAGTCATCAAAAGAACTGCTACAGAAAGAAAACTCAGTTCGATCAGTTATCTGTGTGTGTGAAAATGGCATGACGTACTTCTTCTTCAGTGTACTACAGCCCAACTAGTTCGGGCATAGGCCAGAAGCCAAATATGCTCATGTCCGTGAAGGCGGTAGACTGAATAGTAGAGGTATTCCAGCGAACGAGGTACCCCTTCATGTCTCTAAGAGGAATTAAAAGAGACCAGGGCTAGAGAGATGAAACTGACTTCAAGGGTCTCGTAGTACAGCTGAACGCAGGCCAGAATAACGGACAGGCGATCTCGATGCTGGACGAAGTATCTGCGATTGTATCTGCCGAGCTGATGTGTTGCAGTGTCTAGCGCATATGACAATATGTGATTACGCAGCTCGGCCGAAAAGCGAAGCACGGCGATTCAACTTGATTTTTTGCACAACTGCGGAAACAGCCATTATCCGTGCAACTTACACCGCGTTTCTCGTAAGGCAGACAAAGCTGACGTTGATTGTTGTGGGTGATGAAACAACGACCCTTGAGTCGTCGATAATTTTATCTTTTCGACGGCGTTCTCTCCGTCTGGCACGAGCAGAGAGACGAGGCATGACAGGTAATGTTTGCTTGATAATAAAGAGCGGAAGCAAAGATTGGGAGGAGGGGGACTGAGGCGGGATGAGAACGAAACTCGTTCTGCGTATATGCACTGGCTGCATGTGGGGTGATCCCTTGCTCTTTCTCCAGTACCAACCTTACTCTTTCTTTGGTACCAAAAGGAGATTCTACCAGTGCGCACCGTCATGCTCGCTCGTCAAGGTTGCGAAAAATAACCTCTGTTGCGGAGTCAGGAGGTAGACGTAGCAGCGGCGACTCACGCTGGTTGCTTTGACTACTCAAGGAGTGATCAGCTGTAGTCCAGCCGCTTGCAATAGGACTGTACTTACATGGCACCGCGGTCGTGAAGCGGAGCGTTGCAGGCTTCGACAGGCTCGAATGCAGCATCTGAATGCGACAGGTGGAAGAGTTGTGTGCGTGGGTGGATGGCGGGCGAGAATGCAGTTGAGGACGTGGGTGAATTTATATCTGAGACCGCAGGTGGCTGAATTTATATCTGAGACCGCAGATGATGGAAGTGAAGTGACGGCTCGTGGAGTGCAGAACGAATCGCGCTGTCCCCCTTCACTCGCTCACATCTTCGCAGATGCAACTCGCCTGCAGTCAGTGACTACCCATGCCTTTGCAGCACGATACCCAGGTCAAAGTGGAGAGCCAGGGCAGTGTTCAGTATAACGCGTATCACGAACCTCTGCAAGTCTGTCTCCCATGCTCTCACACAACAAACATTCTAGAAGCACGCCTTGTCCCCAAGCCCTTGCCAAGCTGGGAATCCCTCCTGAAGCAAAGCCATCCTTCGAACGCCAACACCAACGCCGCGCTGATGCATCAAAACATGTCAACTCCTTCTCATCCGCGATCTCCGCCCTTTCCCACCTCCTGTCGCAGACGTGTCAGTGTGTGACGTCTATCTCTTAGTTCCCCACAGCAGTGTCGTTCAGCGCGACACAAACCGCGCCCCTGTGATGCCCGTTGTACTGTCTTATGATACTCTGGCTGCCCAGCTCCCACAATCGCGCATAATGATCGCTACAGGCGGTAACCAAATACGCACTATCCGCACTGAACGCGCAATCCCAGACCCAGCGCTGGTGTCCATGCAACGTTGTCTCGAGTGGAAAGGCGGCAGGATCGCGTTCTGCTGCTGAAGGAAGGGCGTCGCCGGGCTGGACGTTGTGTGGGGAGGAGAGATCGACGGACCAGATGCGGCTGGTGTGGTCGGCGGAGCAGGTTGCGAGGTGGCGCACGTCGGGGGACAGCAGGACGCGGGTGATGTAGGTGTGGTGGGCGAGGAACTTGCACACGGGTATGATCGACGTGAGGTCGCCGCGCATGACCATTTTCCAGACGTAAACGTTGCCCTGTCTCCGTTAGCGGGCCACACTCACCTTTACCACTCCCTGCCGCAGGGATGAGAGAGACTCACGGCGTTGTTGCCGGCGCACACCATACTCCCATCACTCGCGACCGTGACACTCGCGACAGACACATCGTCCTCAGGAATGAGCTGGTGACTGCACTTGTTCTCTCCCAAATCCCAGATCCGCACATTGCCGCCCCGGTCACAGCTGATCAACTCGCCCTGGTTCGGATGAATGACCACGTCGTTCACCGGCACTCCATGCGTATAGTTCCTCTGCACATTTCCACTTCTAGTGTCCCAGATCTTGACTGTGCCGTCTTCGCTAGAGGTGACCAGCCATTTCGACTCGCAGTGGAACGCGACGCCGGTTACGTTGCTTGTGTGACCGTCGAAGGTGAGGATCGCGTTCGGGTTGGTCGACTTGATGTCGTAGAGCTTTACGGTGTGGTGCCCGGCAGCGGCGAGGTAGCGCTTGTCGGGCGAGATGCAGAGGCGGTTTACTTGCGAGTCGGGGTGTGGGATCGTGCGCGAGCAGATGCCGGAGAGGGCTTCCCAGAAGCTGGGACGAGGTCAGTCGTGGTTCTTTGGGATGGAGAAAAGAGGCGGACCGGATCGTGTGGTCGTATCCCGCTGCGCTTGTTAGCTATAGCAATGGAAGGTGTGGGGGAGGGGACGCACCTGTGCAGAGGATCACGGACATGGTGGGCGATGAGATAAGGCGCAGTCTGTGGAAATGGGTTTGTGTATTCGGGAAGATAGCGCGACTTGGATACACGCGGTTGGCTTAGCTACAACATTGCGCGCCTGGCTGTGTGTGTACATGTTAGGTCACCAAGCTGCAGTTGAGGTTGCTTCATTTCTCGCACAGACCTCGCTTTCAGCCCTACCGCGGTGAGCCGAAACGGACGCGTGACGCACATGTGAACAGTGTGCGAGGTCATCATGTTTCTCTATCCAAATATGCGCTATACAACTCAATTCCAACATTCACGGCCATGTTGATACAATCTTACAATCTTACAATCTTACAATCTTACAACTTCGACTTCTCGATCCTCTTGAACAGCACATCGTTCTCCGGGTAAGGATCCACGGTGATGTTGTTCAGAGGGTTCAGCTCGCTGGCACGGTAGAACATGTCCTCGTACACTCTGCCATCGGCGCGGCCCAGACTGCTGTCGAGCACCCAGTCGTCGAAGCCCCAAGCATCGACCAGACGAACGGCGTGTGGCCTGATCTCCTTCAGTAGCTTCATCACGGCGTTGGTCCTTGCAAGCATGATCTGGTGCTTGCTGCAAGCACCGCTGGCGTAGAACTCGCTACCCTCCTGCTCAAGTGTGTGCAGAGCGAAGAGACGGAACAGCTTCATCAGAACATCAACAGTCTCGTTGTTGATCTGGTCGTTGTTCGCAATAGCCTGCAGTGCAGACAGGTTGTTCTTGACGATCATGTACTGCGCATGGGCCTTTGACAGGCGATAGAAGTCGACAAGGAGGTCGTTCCAGGGCTTCTTCTCTGTGTCGCGGTGCTTGGAGGCTTCGAATGTGAGGAAAGATACGCGCCATGCGAAGGCATCGACGAGGTCCTTGTCAGATCCAATGATGTCAAACGCACAGCCGATTTCTCGGCGTGACTGGAACTCGGTGAGGATCCTAGTTGTGTCGTTGGTGGGTCGCTCGCCCTTGAGGACAGAACGGGCGGACTTGAGAAGGTAGCGAGCTACTTGCTGGGTGAGCATGTAGTTGTCGCCTTCCCATGTAAGAGTGGGGAGGTAGTCCGCGTACCAGGGGCCAATGCCGCTAGAGGATGTTAGCATATGAAATTCATTGCGATGTCTCTCGGCCTTACCTGAAGCTGGAGTATCCGTGACCACCGCACGCACGACGGCAAGCCTCAAGACCCTCGCCAGCAATAGTGCTGCTGAGCGACTTGAGTGCGCAAGACGAGGCGTGTAGGTCAGCCATGAGGTCGCTGCCGGATTCTAGCTCCTCAGGGCCAGCACCACGCTTCGCATCACCCTGGTCCTTGGCTTGGGTCATCCTCGCCTGATTGGCCTGGTACATATCCATCATGGACTTTCCTGTAAAGTGCAGAGCGAATGTGGCGGCAATGAGAGGGAGGAGACGAATCTGGACCATGGTGTAGTTGAGTACAGGTGTCTCGGCCTCGCCAGCTGGAGCATCTCGGTCCTGGAACTGGCGACGGACAGCGCAGTAACGGGTGGCGATTGTGACACCGCGAGCGAGAACGCTACCAGCCTGCATAACGATTGTCGAACGTACCCATGTGAGTGTGCCATAGACGAGGGTAGGGGCGCCACGGCGGCCAAACTTGTTGGTGTTGGGATCGACATGTGTGTACTTGGCAAGCATGCTGATGTGAGGTACCTTGACGTTGTTGAAGAGGAGGAAACCGTTGTCCATGGTATTGTAACCAAACTTGGGACCGATGTCTCCAACGTGAATGTTGGGGAGAGGCTCATGGGTCTTCAAGTCACGGATCTGAACGCAGAAGGGGGTCGGGCCGTAGGACTTGCCCTTTATGATGAGCTGGGCCATGACCACGGCGTGATTGGCGGTACGGCCGAGAGAGCCGATCCACCATTTGCTAGAGGTCAGGTGTGGCGAGTGGAGGGTGAAGGTCTTGTCGTCCTCGTTCCAGGTTGCTGTTGTCTCGAGTCCACGCACGTTCGATCCGTGGCCGAGCTCAGTCTGGGCGTAGCATCCAATGATCTCGTAGTTCTCGGCCTTTGTGAGCCACTTCTCCTGCTGCTCGGGTGTCCCTTGACCGGCAAGTGTGACCTGCACAATTAGTGTGATGCTGGTGCAAGTGGCAGGATCCGGCGTACCTTGAACATGCTGTCGTGGAGACCATATGGACCAGGCTCACCGACGAGCTCTGTGGCGGCCCTGAACTCCTCATATGACCAGTTGTGCTTCTTCTTGAGAAGTCTCAACCTCTTCTCCCTTGCAAGAGCTCTTTCGAAACGATCTGTCCTTCCCATGAAGTAGTTCTGCGACTTGTCGAACACGGGCTCAGATTTGAGGAGTTTGGTGATCTTGTTCCGCCTCTGGATGACATCTTTGGTGTGTAGCAGCTCTTCCAGCTTCTGAACAGGAATGTTCGAATTGGCACGCTCTGCAGACAGGAGTTCATGGCCCTGTGCGCCCGAAGGCTTCAATTGCTTGACCCAGTCCGGTGTTGGCGACATGGTGATTGATGTGAGAGGTGAAGATGAACAGAGAGTGGATGAAGTGTAGGGGAGCTGATCTTTGTATGCATTACGACAATACGGTCGAGATCCCTCGGCAGCCGATCTCGCTGGAAGCGCGCTAGTGAACACCGAGGTTCGATCTCACGGCTCTTGGTTTGAGCCTCGAAAAGCGCCGAGAAGGCGCGTCTAATCGGGAGGCGCGTGCAATTGCGGTGAAGTGCGCGTCGGCGTTCTCGACGATGTCTTGAAACGGACGTGGTGCTCTGCGCTCTCCCCGTGTCTCGCCCCGCGGGTCCAGTTGACCCCGGATGGTTGCTCGAAGAGGTTAGCTGAACAGCGTTGCGATGCCGAGGTTCGTCGCTGAATCAGCTCACGTGTGTTGATAAGATGATCTGATAAACATTGAAATCTTCTGAAGAGCTTCTGCGCGACCACACACGAGTCGTGAAGTGGAGCATGTGAAGGCATTCGGTGTTCAAGCTATGGGGCTTTCACAAGATACTAGATGAGGCCATCTTGTGATTGTCGTCAATGCTACGAGCACCCAAGTAGCCTCACAACCCTCTGCCCTCGTTGCTGTGGCCAGACAGGACCCTGACAAACGTTCGACAGAACATTCGGAGTTGCTCACCAATTACCCCTGCTATCTGCCATATTGAACAGTTAGCTCTGCTTAAAAATGAATGATCCTGTCCTCCAGCCATTTGACCGAAATTGCCGTCCAAATGGCTTGTGCGACACAAAAGCAACCCATGACGAAGTTGCAAGACACGCCTCTAAACTGGTGGGACAGCTGCATGTGGGGCAGCCAGGCCGTTGCTGCCTTTGACACAGGACAATGACTAGGGTATAGCTGTAAGCTCGACATTGGAAGCATTTTGCCTCGCTCTGTTGCTGACGATACAAAGGCAGACAGGGGAGGAAGGAGGGATTGTCGAAATGATGGCTGGACCTGAGGCGGTGCTGTCAGCCGCAGTAGTGGGATAAGGTGGCAGGTGGTCTCGATTTTGGAACTGTCGGTCGAATTGAGTTTTCAGCCCTGTGCGAGGGCACGCGAGCTGTGTACGAACATCAGGCTACGAAGACGCCTTCGATGAAGCAAGCCCACCTCAGGCTGCTGTTCACAGGCCGGGCGCGTATTTGCTGAAGAGCACCGTCCCGTGGGCGCGCAGAAAATGCACCCAAGGTTGCCGTCATCTCCCTGCCCACCTGGCACGTCAGGTTCTCGCAGCTAGCTAGCACTAGCGCGCTGCCTGTCGAGGGCCTCGAGAGATTGAGAGCGTCACTCCGCCTCAACACCAACAGCACCTGTTTACTCTTTAGCGAGCCAGACACGCAATTCTCTCCCTTCCCGCTCCTTCCCCCTCTGTTTCCCTTCACCTTACCGTCGACACCCTCAGACATCTGCATCCGCCCGCGCTTGCCCTTTTCCAACCACCCCACACAGGACTCGAGTGACGGTTCACAATTGCATGAACGCAAAACGTCGTTCGCTGCACCTCCACATCTCCTCCCTCTTTGCCCCGCGGTCCTCATAGGCACCAGGCATCATGGGTCAGACACTCTCCGAGCCCGTCGTCGACAAGGTAGGCGCCCGTAACTGCCCCGCCCCCGCCCCGCGTTTTTAAAACACTGCACAACAACGATAGTTCTATGCGCAGGCTTGATACTGTGTTTTTAAATACTAACAACTCTCCCAGAAATCAGAGTCCGGCGATGGCGAGACGTTCATCTTCGGCACCTCCTCGATGCAGGGCTGGCGCATCAGCATGGAGGATGCCCACGCCTGCATCCTCGACCTCCAGGCCGCAGTTGAGGGTGGCAAACCTACCGAGGCCGACCAGCGACTGGCATTCTTCGGTGTATACGACGGCCATGGCGGCGACAAGGTAGCCATCTACACAGGCGAGCACCTGCACGAGATCGTAGCAAAACAAGAGGCGTTCAAGGAGGGCGACATAAAAAAGGCTCTCCAGGACGGCTTCCTCGCTACTGACAGGGCCATTCTGAGCGGTATGTCATACGCGTCTCTATCCGGTTGCTGACAGGCGGGCTGACTCATGGAACAGATCCAAGATACGAGGAGGAGGTCTCTGGCTGCACAGCATCAGTTGGTATCCTCTCCAAGGACAAGATCTACGTCGTAAGTGGCAGCACACGAGTCTCTATGGCAGCAATCTGACACCGCCAGGCCAACTCTGGCGACTCGCGTACAGTCTTGGGTGTAAAGGGCCGCGCAAAGCCGCTCTCTTTCGACCACAAGCCTCAGAACGAGGGTGAGTGAACTGAATGTTGACAAGAGGTTGCGCTGACGTTTCCCAGCTGAGAAGGCACGTATCCAGGCCGCAGGAGGTTTCGTCGACTTCGGCCGCGTGAACGGCAACCTTGCCCTGTCCCGCGCAATAGGTGACTTCGAGTTCAAGAAGAGCGCCGATCTTCCGCCTGAGCAGCAGATCGTTACCGCATTTCCCGACGTTGAGATACACGAGATCAATGCCGACGACGAATTCCTCGTTGTTGCTTGCGACGGTAGGTTCGATCGAAATCCCACGATGGGGTCTTTGGCTAACTCGCACAGGCATCTGGGATGTACAATCCTCTCAAGCCGTCATCGAGTTCGTTAGGCGCGGAATTGTGGCAAAGCAGGACCTCGCCTCTATCTGCGAGAACATGATGGACAACTGCTTGGCTTCCAACAGCGACACTGGAGGTGTTGGCTGCGACAACATGACCATCACCATTGTTGGTCTGCTCCAGGGACGCACCAAGGAGCAGTGGTACGAGGATATCGCAAAGAGGGTTGCAAATGGAGAGGGCCCATGTGCGCCGCCAGAGTACGGCAAGTCTGAAGATCCAGCTCCGCCGGCCTCTGAGGCTGAAGATTAATTCAATTCTAATTCATCAATGCAGCCGAGTTCCGCGGCCCGGGAGTCCATCACCGCATTGACGATAGCCCCGATGAGCATGACATGGATCTTGACCACCGGTTTAGTCCGAGTACCGGTACGGGTGGCCGCATCATTCTGTTAGGCGATGGCACTGAAATTGAAACCGACGGCGCAGACAACGAAATGTTCGACAACGACGACGAAGAGAAAGACCTCGATTCCCAGGTCAACAAGTTCAGCAAAGACGACGCGAAGCGCGAGGGAACCCCGGGGCCCAATACCACCGAGGTGACCGAGTCGCCCTCATCCGTCGCGACCGAGAAGTCTGAAGACAAGGACACGACCGGCGAGAAGACGAAGCTGGAAACAGCTGCGAGCGAGAAATAGTTCTGTAACTGGTTACGGTCGAGTAATGTCTTTCATACCATGATTGCGAGCGGTTCATTTGTCTGTTGGACGAGGTTACGAAGATACGAAAATGGGCAGTGTCAAAGTCACGATCAAAGATACCTGGCGTCATACCCTGTCGCCATCCGCTAGCTTACCTATTTTTTCGATTCAGCCCCTCTCTTGCGACCGTAATGTGATGTGTTGCTCGTGTCAAGGTCGGTCCGGGAGGGCTTCGCTGTGAGACGTGCCTTAAGTGGCAACGTTCACTGCGAACACTTACTCTTCTTCCATTGCCTACGGCTGAGCGATAATTCAGTATGGTCTTAGACGAGTAGACTATAGTGTGCAAGTCTGGACATCATTGCGATGGACGTTGTGGCATGTTGTAGCAACGACTCAACGTTGATTTCGGCCTACATCACGTCGAACCGACCGAATCTGCACCATCACCCGAAGAGAAACTGTACTCTCACATCAGAACACGGAGGCTTCTTCGTTTCAGACTCATAAGATGCTGCAACGTTGTGTGGTGATTTATTATATGATTTTCACGTAGCCGTCCAACGTGAGAAACAGCAAATATGTGCAGACTTCGCGATGCCCACTCTCAATGTCTCTCACGCACACACAGATTTCACAATACAGGTACGTTCAACAGTGCAGAAACATCTGTGCCTACTGACTTGTTGCCTTCTGTCTGCAACTGAACTACAACTTGCTCGTAAATGGCAACAGCGAGTAATTCTTCTCCCCACTCTCCAACGCACTCCTCCCCGCCTTCTTGATCTCCTCGATCGACGTGTAGCCTCCAACGTTCATAAGGATATCCAAGTCTGCCAACAAACTTCTAATGACGTGGTCCACGCCCGTCTCACCCATGATGCTAAGGCCCCAGATCCACAGTCTTCCCACCCATACAAATTGCGCGCCGAGCGCGAGAGCCTTGAAGACGTCGCTGGCGGAGCGCACGCCCGAGTCGTACATAATGTATGTTCTATCTCCCACCGCTACATTCACATCAGCATTTCACACTAAATTACGAGAGGGGAAGGACTTACCGTCTACAATCCTCTCCAGCGCATCGAGACTCGCAACCGCGCCATCAACCTGTCGCCCAGCGTGGTTGGACACTACGATGCCGTCGAAGCCGTACTCGACGCTCTTCTTTGCGTCGTCCACGCTCTGGATACCCTTGAGGCAGAATGGTTTACCGCCGCTCAACTCCTTCCACAGCTTCATGGCCCACTGTGCCTTCTCCCATGTATGCGCTCTCCCGTGCCAGACATTGTCGATCCACATGGCGCCTGCTTCGTTGGGTTGCGTCTTTGGGTCTATGTTGGCTTCTTTCAGGCGCTGCTGGAATACGGGGTCAGAGAGCCCCAAGTCGGCGCCAATGCCGTGGTAGAACGCATAATTGGAGGTCGCGACATCGTCGTGGCGCCACCCAAGCTGCCATGTATCAAGCGTTAGAATACAGGCTGTAAAGCCAGAGTCGACGGCGCGTTGGAGAAGCGAGCGAGTGAGCTCGTCGTCGTGAGGCATGTACAGCTGAAAGAAGCGGACTGCTGAACCGCTGCCGTCTTTGCTCTTCGCAGCGCCCTCATCGTTCGCTTTGCCCACATCCTCAATGGGTTGCGAGCCAGCTGTTGAGAGCGCGTAGGGCAGACCAAGACCGCCTGCGGCCGAAGCGACGGGGCGTTCGCCAGATGGGTGGTAGATCTTGTTAATACCAACGGGCGCAAAGCCAATGGGTGCGTTTACCTCGTGGCCGAAGATGCTCGTCTTAGTGTCGCGCTTGTTCGTGTCGACGAGCATGCGCGGGATGATGCGGTGGCGGTAGAAGGCTTGTCGGTTCGCCGTGTGCGTGTGCGATTGCCCCGCGTTGGACGAGGCGTAGTACCAGCCGTTCTGGGTGAGCTTGGCTTTGGCTTGTTCTTCGAGTTTGCCTGGGTCTGCAGGTTGTCAGTACACATCCAAGTCGTGGTATGTGGAGTGCATGTAGGAAATTGGGAGTGTACCAGTGTTGAACAGCGGTGTCTCGCCGTCATTGATCTTCCAGAAGTTCTTTCGCTGGTACATCGCATATTGCGGTGTCTTGCGGATCTTGGAGTTGGCGTTGTTGGGGTCCATGATGGCGGTTGAGAGCTATCTAGTTTGATGCGGTGCTTGTAGGTGCAATCGGGGAACAAGAAAGGGGCACGGAGATGTCTCTGGTTAATACTGAGAAGTATCGCGCTCAATTGATCTACTTGTACTGAGGTGAGCTATCGGCGCGCTCGGAAGCAACGTTAACGGTGGCACTCGCTCATGACGAATGTTGTGTGCTTCCAAAACATCATCTGTCAGGGTCCTGCCAGTTCCATTGGCATTCTGTCCGGCGTACTCTGCGTTGAAACATCTCAAATCGTTCGCGTTATCTCCGTGAGTGTAAGATGATTGGAGGTTAGAGGTATGATGTCGATGTGATGTCTTCCCGTGCGGCTACATTGGCGCTAGGCGGGCATGTGGGGCCAGAAAGCTTGTTCTGCGGTGCTTCGTTGAACACAGGCTTGCAGAACCACTCTTACAAGATTAGTACAGACTCTTGTAACCTCACCTCTGCCGAAACAATCGCTAATGAATTTTCGTCCCCAACATTTCGAGACCACATTGATCTTCTACGTTGGGAAGAATTGATCAGCTACATTGCCTTTCCGGACCATTGATCCGCAGCTTCAACGCACAGTTCTATCGCCATCGGACAGGGCTGCTTATGGACCAGTCCTGAGATTTGCATCCAAGCACCAATGAGCAACATACTTGACAGTGTGCGAAGCTGACGAGCCCTTCAAGACCTTTTCTGGTAAAGAGCCAATGTCTTTCAAGCTTGGCTCACGGTCAGGCATTGTGGTCATACGCATATTGGTTATGCGGTAAGACAGTACCGAGATCGTACCCATTCTAGCGACCTCTTGCGGCAGGCTGTCGTCAATGATAGCCGCGCTTTCGTCTGCGCTCCGGTGTCAGGCGATAGTTGAACGAGATCGCAAGGACTTACAAGTGTTCAGTTCACGGAAGCGAAAAGGCTGCTCCATGTTCTCTCCGTCGATGCCTAAGGCACTCGCTTCGATCAGATTGGTGTATCCTTCGCGACGGTGCTCGTATTGGCGTAGAGATACCTTGCGCATTACCGTTCCGTCGATCTTCGTGCTGACCACGACGCCGTTCTGTTCGAAGAGTGAGGGTGGAATATGTACATCGACACCGAGCAGTTCGTTCGATGTAGCCTGCACGTACTCCGTTACTGTCTCACGGGACGGCTCAGGCTCCTCAAAAGGTTACTCTTCCAGCGGTTCACCGTTGACGATGACAGCTACTGTGAGCTTAGGTTGATCAGGGTGGATTCCCATGTTGAGTGGACTGACATTCGGCAGGTTATCAACTATCTTTGCGCTTGCAAGACTGTATCGATCTATATGGCCGATTCGTGGTTTGCTCAACACAATTGTATTGCGCAGACGTCACAAGAATATCCCTCAGCTCATTGTGCTCTCAACGAGTGCGGTACGGATGCTCCAACCACGCAAACTGTCCGCTTCTGGTCAGCTTTTGCTCCTTTGCGTTCTTAACAAGTCCGTCTTTCCCTTATAATTGGGATGTGTACCCTGAACGCTTCAGTCAAGCACAATGACTTAGCCGGGCGTGGAAGGCTGGCAGTGACGCTTATCACTTCTCTCCTCAATGACCACGATGTCATCATCAGAGCCTAGGTCCACGACCTCGCACTCCCGCTTGGCGGCTGTGCTGTGCTCTCGCTTGAGCCTTTGGTTCTCGACCCCCTTCGCCTTGACGATCGTCAACATACTCAGCCTCATCTCAGAATCTGCAGCTTACCCGATATTGATTCAGCAGCTGTATAAGCTCGGACGCGTTGATCTCTTCAGCGGGACGCTCTTCTAACGGTGACGGACTCGGTGTGCGTGGAATGATACACAGTGCTTTTAGTGCATCCCACAATGATCAGTATCCCTTAACGAAAGCTCCGGTGGAAATACGGAAACATTGAATTGTACTTATGCAGGGATCGATACTTGAACTTGAACACAGCGATTGGATGCTTCTTGCCGTGCAGATAGTCGGCCTGACACCCAGAATTCCTGCCCGACGGTTTTAAAGGATCGAGGCTGTTGTTCAAGACAAGTCCTTGGCGGCCAGTCGTCTTCGATTGACTCACCTTATCGCGTGCGAGACCGCTGAACCTTTCAGAGCATTTTCTGAGATTGCATCAAACTCGTAAAGTAGGCATCAAGTTCGTAGGCTCTTGTGCACGTATGTTTGTGGCCGCATAGACGAGAATCTTAATTTGACCGAGGGAGGCAATGTGCCATGTCATGTCATCATCAACGGACCCAGCACTGGAACTATAAAATTTGTCGGTACCGCCCTCGTGGTAGTATTTACAGTCGTGGTTCGTCATCCGCGTCTTCTCGCCATCGAGCTCGATGGTAACTTTAAAGCTGTTTTCAGCGAAGAGTAGGCCAGGAATCGTGTACTTGATGGCAAACGGAGATCCTGAGCGAGCTTCAACATATTTTGACACAGTCTTCGGCTTTGGCTTCTTGCCGTCGCTGTCGAACTCCTGAAGCGCTTCGCCATCCGAAACATTTTAGACCTTGAGTCCCGGATAACCGGGATATATAGCCATGGTATGCGGGCGAGACAAAGCGGTCACCGTCAAAATTGTCAACAAGGGTGGTGGTAGGGATTAGAAGCTCAAACGAAGCAAGCACGACCTTGAGCGATGAAGTGAAGCTGGGCGTGCCGATAGTTGGAGCAGAGGTATCTCCTTAACTGTGTCTTTTCCGCTCGATTGGCGCGGCGACGTTTATGCGGGATGGTGAAGGGGAGGTGAAGGCGCGCCTGCTCCTTGAGCTTTACCCAGCGCGCTACGTTACCGCCCAAACACGCCAAAGCAAACGCGACTTCCACCCCACGTAGCAGACCTTTCATAACTCGTGCGGCGAATCCTCTTCAGCACCAGCATTCATCCAGCCGGTTGTTCTATTCGTTATCACCCGCTGTATTTGTACGATAATACCATGACTACCTTCAGGCTACCGCAAAGTCAATCTCCTGTAGGCCATACCCCACTTATCGATCTTGTACCTGCGAACCCAGTAAGTCGAGATGCCTCATACTCCAACTACAACGAGAACACTTGGAGAAACGCTCTCGGACAAGCAGATCGGCCTGTTGCTGACGCTCAACCTACTCGCTGGGGCCCGAGCGGTGGACTCATCGACCATGTGCCATCGACAGATCAAGGACAACCTGCATCATACTCCAATCGCAACACGACAGGCTGGCGACAGCGCCTAGAGACATCGAGAGCACATCCTCTCCCAGGTCCGTCAGACCCACAGGGACCAATCAGCTTTAACTCGGTCGGAGTTCCCACATTCAACCCGCAACAGTGGCGAGAGGAGCAGAGAGGGCGCAACACATCAATCGCTCCACTCAACGCGGCAGAGGTCAACAACTCCAAGCGCGATCAAGAGGACCGCGAACGGATGAGCCTTCCTCAACAGTTCGAGCGCAGCTTCAGACGGACCTTGCAATACATTCCCTCGTTCGCACTCCTCGGGTTTGGATCCATGAACTTGGCCATCTGGGAGCAGATCCTCCTCTTGTTCGCCCTGGCACTACCTAACGGCGGCATCGGCGGCGTTCTTACAGCGTTTCTCGGCACTGCTTTTGGGTACTACCTCATCACATTCAGCTTAGCTGATATGGCCCGGCTCTATCCCACGTATGCTGGACCTTTTTACTGGGTTGCCGCGCTTCAGAAGTCCCGAACTACCTCCAGCCTGCCGCACCAAATGAGCTGGCTCTGCGCGTGGATGAGTCTACTTGGTATGGGAATCAACCTGATTGTCAACATGATATTCACCTCAGACGTCGCTATGTTCCTCTTCACCCTTGCTGGAAAATGGTCGAAATTCGTCTACGCCTTGGAAGAGCCAAAGAACTACCTCAGGGTGCCTTGGGCACTGCCTGTGACCGTTGGTATCGCGACCATCGTCGCTCTGATTGCCAATTGGAAACACGCCAAATACCTCCCAGCTTTGCACAGATGTTTCGTCGTTAGCCACTGGCTCGGGTTCTTGCTCTTCGTTGTCGCTATTCCGGTCATCTGCCACACAACAATCGGGCTGAGCTTGACGGTCTAGGAGGCCTTCCGTCATTTTGACAGCACGTCTGGATGGAAAGGTGCAGTTTCAGGTTTCGTCTCAACAGGTGTCCTTGTGCAGCCGCTCCTAGGATGTGGGTTCGTCGCGCACATCTCGGAGGAAATCGTAGACGCAGCCGTCCTCATCCCCTGGACTATGCACGTATCGTACCTCCTGGAGGTATTCATGGCTTTCATGATCTTGATGGTCATTGCGATCTGTATCGGCCGGAACGAAATGCTCACGCTTCGGGACTTCGCTGTGGCCATGCTCGAAACAACCCAGGTTCCCTTGACCTACTTCCTATCGGCAATACTGCTCATGCTGTTCGTCATGCGCAGTATAACGCTTTTGGCAAGTATCTCTCGCCAGCTCATGGCGATCGGCAGGAGCTCAGAAACGAAGGGCCTGAACTTCATAGATGAAACCGACAGATCTCCCGCACCCCGAAATGCACTGGTCGTAGTTGCGATACTGACAGCAGGCGCTGGCGCATTGTGTCTTCTGCGAGACTATCGTATTGTTTTCGAGCACATGCGCCGACTTGGTGCTCTATGCACCCTCACCTCTCACCTCCTCTGCATCGGGACCTTGCTCTTCTATCGCATACGGGAAATCTGTGCAACTACCTCCACGGTCAAGCTTCGTCCGAGCAGCTTCAAACCATTGAAACTGGCTGTCAACTGGTTCGCATTCGGCTGCTGCCTTTGGTTCTTCGTATTCGTCAACTTCCCTTCCGAATTACCGGTCACTTGGGATAACGCACCCTGGAGTCTGGCGGTGTGGGTTTGTATCGTCATTTGGCTACTTGTATGGTATTGGACCTCAGCCCGTCTTGACTTCCTTGTTCCAAAGACCCCGGACAACCTCCAGGATTCCGCAACAGACGCCCCTGCCGTAGACACAGATGCCCCGAATGCTTCCGCGGGTATCCAACTTTTCAGACATGCCAGTCCAAAGCTGAGTAAAGCTGTCAGATATCTACATGGCGATGGAGAAGTCGGCACTAGCCAGCGTGAATCCCTCAGGAGGCCCTCTACACCGGAATGGCTAAAGAGAGGGTCCGGTGATTTTGACTCGCACAGAAGTACGGGTGTGTTGAACACAGCCGAAGCAGAGCTGCATTTTGATGACGTTGACGCGAATCGCAGCCAGGAAGCGGTGCTCGGCAAGGGCAAGCAGCGTGCTCAAGGCTGTTTGGAGCCATCAAGGTGTCCACAGAGTCTGCATATCCCGGATGTTGGCCCCTCAACTGCCGCCAGGCCGCTGTGTGGCAATTGCGAAACCCAACTGTCGAGAATCGCAGCGGGCAACTCGGCGTCAGCTCACGCGAACGCGGCCCCGAGGCACTCTTGAAGCAAGGATCGGTATGATCATCTGAAGACCTTCAAGGTGGGTTGGTGGGTTGCTCGCTTGGACATGGACAGAATCGCGAGTATGGAGTGAGGAATGGGGTATGGGACATGGGTTGTCAAGACTGATGGATGTAAGCATACATGGTCAGCTGGTATAGCATTGGACATCTCCAGGGGTAGCCTTCGAGACATCAAGGACGGTTCATAGAATCCAACCTACGTAGAAATGAGAACATCACTACCAATGGACTCTCCAGCGCCCTTCCCGTGCATTCTGGTGCGAGTAGTGGTTCCGGGGTCTTCGACTGATGTGATCATAACCTGAAGACCTCTAGGCTACGCTTTACTCCGACATCTGTTCAAGACGACATCCAGTCTCTTGGCATCCGCATTAGCCCAGATATCAGTATTATCTTCATCTTCGAGAAAGTCGGATGCTTGAAAGATACGTTGGCGTCTGGGCACTGCCGCATCTGGCGCAGCGACAGATGGTCAGCCACACTAACGAGACTCTGAAACTTATCGTTAATTGATCTGCTTTCGACTACTAGGTCTGTATCTAGCCGTTCGTCTTCAGTGACTACCTCTAGCCTGGTCTATTGTGCATATTCACAAGACATAAGCTATAAAGCGAAAACGAGAGGTCGCGGATGTGCGGGATGTTGAAATGCCTGAGAACCTCTTGCGCCTGCCATCCACACATGTGCTCGATCGAAGCCATGGCGCAATTTTTAGCTCTATCCTTCTCTCGCCTGTGGCGCGCCACTTTGGGATTGACTCAAAGATGGGAAACGTCTGTGAATTGCAATGATACGCCCAAGGGTGCATCGACGGATTGTGCAAATTGAGTAGTGACGTGCATTTTTGTCAGATTCGCAGAGTTGAATTTGTTGTGTGCCTCCAGGCTTCCTCTCCAAAATCCGGCATCGTCAAATTTCCCAGATGATCGAAGATACTGCAGGGATATCGAAACTTGTGCACAGTGAGAAAATCAGTGGCACCGGATCATGTCTTACATCCTGACTGGATAGAATGTGTTAGGCACCTCCAGGTTCAGGTCCTAGCATCCGGAATGCTGAGATGTCGTGAATCCGAGAATGCAGAATACCTCCCCAAGATCGCGGGAAGATGATGATCTCAAAAGTAGATGATGATGAATTGACTCCCTTCAGCCATCATCAAAGGATATTGGAATTGCGAATATTCCTGGAAAAACCACAAATCTGAGCAGTGGTAACCTTAGGAAGACTAAGATTTTTGTGACCCAAGCAAACTTGAGATGTTGAATACCTCCGGACTTTATTTTCGACGTCGAGAATAGTAACTCCGCTTGTAGGGTTGAGGCGCGTCATACCAGCGAGTAATTCGGAAGATGGGTTAAACGAAATTAAGGTAACAGATGATGATGCAAAGCTTGAGCGCACTGAATACCTCTAGGTTTGTTGATCAGTCTAATTCACATAATGAGCGATGAGTTCAATATTACCCATGCTCAAAAACATAAGGAACGAAAGTTTCCGTCAACCCTGTGATTTTGTCAAAGTGGACAATGTAGAGTATCGCCCGGATCAACAATTGCCATGAGGGTTGCAAGGTCCACACATGTTGTAATTGTGAAAGGTTATCGTGGTGTGTAGGTTTCTTGGAGAATCTCTCACACGGAGACTGCGACAAAGTACAAACTCCCTTCTGCCTCCATCAACAATGTTGAAGTAGCAAATCTTTAGGCGGATACGTGAATATGCTACATACTGGATGCCGGGAAGACCCACGAGAGCGAATGATTTCTACAATCTGAGCAGAGTTGAACATGCGGAAGGCCTCCGGCCGCCTTGATCAATGGCTGAGATCTGCTATTCCTTGCAAGGGATCACGCGCAATCGTTATCTATCGAAGAGTGTATGCAGTGAAGATACTTTAGTCTGAAGTGATCGTAGCAAAGGAGGGGGTGTGGAGTACTTCTAAGATGTTGCAGTATAAATTGGTCCGTACAAGGTCTGACTATACCTGTAGCAGACTACCCTAGTTTAGTGTGTTACAGGTCAGGGATACAGTCATCTTCTCCTAGCTGGATAGAAAATCAGCGCAGTGTTCCATCGTATTCTACCAGCGGTCCCACATCGCCACATAACAGCGTAGCCCTTGTGCAGTGCGGATACAAGACATTTCAGGTCATTCTACACTGATCTACACTATATACACTCCCCAATTAACCATCAAAACAAATAAGTGGACCGGTAACTCAGAGGCAGCGATAAGATCATCCCCCCAATAATTCGTTACAACTTTCTAACAAACTTATGGTGTGAGATTGCAGATTCTGAAGTCACCGGTCTGATACCAGTTCGGCCCTTGACATTCTGGGCTTTCATTTTGCCTTAGCTATTGACCTTGAGGAGCGCAAGGAGCCTGATCCCAAGCAGGTCGCCAAGAAAAAGTCGTACACATCTGACATCTTTGAACATGTCTACTTCGCTCACCTTGAAGAGTGGACGCAACATACCATAGATCGCGCACACACAGCTCTGTGTTACTTTGACTTTCTGTAATCTCATTTTAGTGCCTAAACCATCTCAGGGGGCTCTAGCGATGACGTTGAGATTTGGGATTGGAAGTAGTCGCGTTGTATGAAGGTGAATGTGCGCAATGCTAGTGACCTCTCATGAACTGTGACTCCCGATCGGGCCCACTCCAATCTATCTACACTCTCCTCCCACCATTACCTGTAGAAAAAATTATCACCACCGATGGCGGACATGTACGACTGTCACAGTGCTGCAGATGCAACGTCTTATACGTATGTACTGTCGCAAGCACTTGCCCTTGACCTCGATCTGACCAAATCAGTACACAGCGCAATCAGGTCGAGTCACGCCTACTGCGCCTTACTGCTGCGGAATGCAACGCGATCTTCGCCTTCGCTCTTAACACAGCGAGCCTCCAGCCAACACAGACCGACAGCCTCCAGGTTGTCAAAATTGGCCACGCATTGAACCAGATATGCGCACAGATCCGCAAAGAGACGCAGCAATTTCTCGATTTGTACTCCAGGCTACACATGATCAATCCCGTCAGGACACGCCAGATTCTCAGTGTCATAAGAGCGCAGGAACGTGCCAAGCTGCTGGCACTGGAACTGGGTTCGGCGTATTGCGAGTACATTGGCAGACGTTCGTTTCCTAAGATGGACAAGGGTGCGCTGGCGCGTACATTCCCAAATGTGGAGCGCATCGTGCTGCTGCATCATTCAGAAGAATGGGAGGACAGACAGCTTGTTAGCAGTTCTGAAGTCTCTGTGCAAGCGTAAAAAGCTAATGGTGATATTCCGTTGAGATGTGGAGGAGGAAGTCCTTCTGTGGTAACTTTTATGGCTATGATAGTTTCGTGTATTTAAGCGTACGAAGTGCTTTCGGATTGCTAAGAAAGGTCTTCATAGCAATTAAGGAGTGATACATCATGGCTTTGTCAAAGTTGTAAGGCCCTCCCTCTTCTATAATTTCGCAAGCAGATACCGTCCACCATCTCCACTCCCCAGCACAATCTCCTCACTCCTGTAATCTGGATTGAACAACACCTTGTTGAGCGGGTTCTTGCGATGTGCCATGTCAAACAACTCCTCGTATACTTTCCCGTCATATCTGCCCAATGCTGAGTCAAGCAGGAAATCAGGTATCGACCATGTATCCACAAACTTGACAGCGTGCGGGCGAAGTTGCGTCATCAGGGTCAGGATGTAGTCGGGGAGCGTAGAGAGGGAAGAATGTGAGATGGATGTGGTGAGAATGAAAGAGGTGGAAGATTGCTCCATTGTATGTAGAGCGAAGAGACGGAAGCAGATCCTGAGTACTTCCGGAGTAGGACTTGACAGTGGTGTTTGCGCGGCAGACGTGAGCGCATTGTGAAAATTGGTTACCAAGATTTGCTCAGAGTACGCGCGAGAAAGGGCGTGTAATTGGATCATCATCTTTGTCCAAGGTTTCTTCTGCACAACGCGGTGCTGGTAAGCGGCGTAGCTGAGAGCAGCAGCACGCCACTGGAAGATTGAGACGATGCTCGTATCATCAATACCTCCAGAACTGGTATTGAGATACGATTCTGGGATCCTGTGGTCCTTATTCTCCAGATAGTGCTTGAAAAGCTCATCTGTCGAGTCCTTAGAAGGAGCGTCGGGGTTCTCTACACAGTGTTGCATCATCTTGATCAGGTAAGCTGCGACCTGCTGTGTGATCATCCAGTTGTCTCCTTCTACGGTTGGCTTCGAGAGGTAGTCGGAATTCAACCCTATGAGACCGCTGCCACCCCCAAAGCCGTGGCCACCCATTGCTCGCCGGCAGGTCTCGATGCCATCTGCTGCGAGTGTTGTGCATAGTGACTTCAGACCCGAGGAGATGCTGTGAAGTTCTGCCAAAGGCCCAAAGTCGCCTTTCTCGATTGTTGAGCGAGACTCGTGGTACAGTTTGTAAAAATACTCTCCTGTGTAGTGCAGGGCAAAAGTCGTGGCAAGTAGGGGAAGAATACGAATTTGTACTGTTGGGTAGTCAAGGACCTTCATCTCGGGAGCATCATGTGACTTGGCGTCGCGGTCAGAGAATTGGCGACGAATGCTGCAGTACCTCACTGCAACTGTCACGGCGCGCGCCAGCACAAGACGTGCATGCATGATGATTTGCCCACGAACGAAGGTCAGGGATCCGTAGACAACAGCCGGATGACCGCGCCGTGTGAATGTCCCGACTTCGTCAGACACCTCTGCGTAACGCGATAACATTGCTGATTTCGGGACGCGGTGATGATCAAACAGCATGTACCCGTTGTCCATGGACGCATAGCCATATTTCGGGCCGATATCACCTACGGCTATGCCTGGGAGCGGTTGGTGAGTCTTTGCGTCCCGAATCTGCAGCAAGAATGTTTGCGGGCCGTGGGAAGTGTAGGCGGTCGGGTTGTCTTTGGTCGGCAAAAGTAACTGTGCGATGACGATCTAAGGCGGTGATTAGCTAGAGTTGTGTGCCTGGTGGTGGTACAAAATGACGTACCGCATGTGTGGCTGTTCGACCCATGGAGCCGTTCCACCATTTACTTGCGGTCAGGTAGGGGCTGTGAATCTCAAACTCTTTGCTCTTGGGATCCCATGTCGCTGTGGTCTCCAGTCCACGCACATTGCTTCCATGACCGAGTTCAGTCTGCGCATAGCAGCCAATGATATCGTAGTTGAGGATCTTAGGCATCCAGTAGGCTTGCTGTTCCTCTGAAGCTTGTTCGCGGACGGTGGTAACTGGCCGTGTCAGATTGGCGCCCACGTTGCACAGGCAAAAGGAATTTCCTGACCAAACATAGACATATGCAAAAAGTACGGCGACATTTCGTCGTTCAGGTATTCCGCCATACTGTAGTCCGCGTGATCCCAGCCTTCCCTGCGAATGATCCTCTGTATTGCTTTTGCCCTTGCCAAGCCTAGATGATACCGCTCAGGCCGCGACAAATTGAGCTGCTGATCCTTCTTGAATAGTTTCTCTCTACTTAAGACCCTGAGCACCTTCTCTTGTCGCTGCAAGAAGCCGTCACGAGACAGCAGGTGCCTTGCCAGCTCATCGACGTTTATCGCAGAGCCATCACGTTCGGCCTGTAGAGTCGCTGTGCCGTTGTGAGCCGGCTTGAGGTGATCGGTAAAGTCGGTCATGGCGCAAATGTCGCTTGCGCTGTAGCTGGTGTAAGCAGAGCGTTACAGCAGTTGCAATGTGCAAGGGCGAGTCGTTCGGCGAAGCACAACAGAAGCTCGCAGTGTGCGCCGTAAAGCTCAATCGCCAACGGCAATAGTGCGGAGACACGCCATATTGAGGTTCATTTCAGCCTTAATAGATGCAGGTGGAATTTTCATTACAGCCTGTCGCTGCGACGTCGATGATGCGCGTCTGCGCTGCGGGGATGGTGTCGCGCGTTGCGAGGGGCGGCAATTCTCGGTATCTTCCAGCTTAACACAATCAAGTACAATTTCGTACTGCGCTAGGTTGAACGTGCAAGATGGCGAAGAGCAACGTTACGAAAGTTCATCAACAAGTGTGAGGAAGAGTTGTTGTTCATTGAATCAAAGGAAGCAGCGGTGGCTGCTGGCGGGAGCCGAGGTAGGCGCCCGCGAAATTACAGAGATTTATCGAAATCGTAAAGAAACGCCAGGATCCGACATGATCCTCATCGAGGTAGAAACATATACCCCCCAGAAACCAACTATCTATTTGTACAGGATATTCCTAGAGCCATACCGTGGCGATGCAACGCCAATAACTATATCCGTTAACCAATGCTTGAGGACGCGTATGTCGCGAGAGAGAGTATCATCAACAAGGGTGCGCCAGGCACCCGAAAAGGCCACAGCATGACCAAACATCCACAATGCCGGCAATACAGCGGTGTCAAACCGCGTCTGCCGACAGTAATAAGTCAGCTGCAGTCTATAAGACGACAGCTTTAGACCAGCTGCACAAGCCACCGTCTTCTTTCAGGACGCGGTCCATATCCTCTTCGGCAAGACGGACCAGGATCTCGAAAGGCGCCTCGGCACCGTTGGCTACATGCCTTCTTCTCGGAAGGAAGATCATGCCGCCATCACCGGGTCCGTAAGCTCGCCTGATGAACTCAGGTCGGCCTCCGAGGGAGTCTTCAGCCAAGTCTGTGCCAGGAATGCCCCAACGGCAGTCGGCACCGAAGTTGAGCCACGACGTCTATAATGGTCAGTATAATGCATCGTAAATGGAGATCACTTGACTTACAATGTAGCAATCAGACCCGAACTTGAGGGCCAGAGCACATTCTGTGTCCTTGATCTCTTTGAGGTCCTTGAAGAAGGCAAAGTGACGGTCGATCCAGTCGTTGTTGACACTTGTGATAGTGTTCTTGATCTTCCTAATGACGTGGAGAACGGTTGTGTCGGTTACGCTGCATCGTTCATTAGTTGGGGGATCTACGACAAATCAGGGTAGCGCATAGTCTAGACCATGATCACCATGCAGGTATGCAGGTGTGAGGTGTACGGATCGATAAATGCAGGACAAAAACAAACTCACCATTCCTCCGCTGTCAGATCTGAGATCTCGGCTGTGCATTTGGAGAACAATGCACAGTTACCCGTAAAGTCGGCCCTGACTGGGGGTTGCCATCTCCTGCGAAGGTCTGTAGCGATACCAAGGTTGGCTTCTGCATAGTCGTGCTTGACCAAGCGGGCCGCTCTTGCGCGTGTAACGTGCGTCCATACCAGAGCAGCAAGGACATTGCACAGCGTGGGAGGCGATGACGGTGGAAAGTGCGGTCGAAGACGTTCGCGGTACTCGCGAATGTGATCTGCAGGCAAGACAAAAAGTCGTTGCGTGCATTTGGTGCTGTCTGGCAAAGTCTTCTTGTACTGGAAGGTGCCTTCGCAATAGCAGTCTGCTGTTGGGCGTTGCGTTCCCTTGTAAGACACACGCTCATCAAGCTTGGCTCGTAGTGACGATTGATAATCGGCTACACTTAAAGGCGCTATTGAGGTTAGCCGGGCAATAGTCAATGTCAGTGCTGAATGTTACCTGGATCCATATCCCTGGAACCGTGCGTCCGTGCGACGTAAGAGACGTTTGTGGCGAGAGACTCCCAGAAAGTCGAGATGCCATGGAAGTCCAGGAGACTGTGGTGAACGTAGATGCTCAAGACAAGTCCGCCTGGTATGAAGCATGCCTGCACCCTCATCACCGGGGCGTCACTGACCTCGAACTTGCAAAGGCCTTCGCCATTGGCGGGAACGCCTGGGTAATTCGCGAAGTCGTCTGGAAGAAACGTGGCACTCTTGAATGCGCTCGGTGGCATGCCGGCCTTTTTCAGTGTCTCATAAGGATGAGGGAAGTCATCCACGAGTATCTGCTTAGCCGCAAACAGACCCTCCGTCGCCTCACGGTCCGTGACATCGACAGGATACGTGAGCTGCAGTCTGCCTGAAGCATCACCGGCAAGGCTGAGAGTGCCAGCGAGGAACGGAAATTTCTGGAGTGTGAGGCATAATCCATCGTCGAGAGCGCGGATGGCGGCCTTAGCGTTGTTCTGGTCTGCAAACTAGACGAACATTCGTTAGCCATTACACTCTCTAACGATGGAAATACTTACAGGAAATATGCATAGTGTTTGAGTATAGACGCGAACCGCATTCTGGTCAAGGAATGAGAGGTGGAATGACTTGAATCGGTCCTCGGCGGGTGGGGATTCTGCTTTGACGATCATGTTGATACGAATCACGATAATGTGCTAGTGTCAAGATTGTGCGTTTTTAGAAAGAGGATCAGGGACATATCCGGGGCCTGCCGCAGTTAGTATATATACCAATAGAGGAACAGTCACACATACCGCGAAGCTGCAGGGGCTCGACAATAAGACCTTGCGGTGAAGAGGTAACAAACACGCAGGAAAACCACGAGAGCTGTCACCGCAAGGTCCCTTTGTCGAGCCTGTGTGACGGCTAGGCCGCGTTGACCGAGACGTTTGGCACACGGCCCGACTGCACTAAGAACAATGACCATTCCATTTCCGTGCAATGGCGGTGCCATTATCGGGCTGCAAGCCGCATCCCCGTGCAAGCTTCGATCAGACAGGGGTTGTGGGTCACACCCGGCGCCCAACGTTGAGCGCCCCGTCTTCCCCGTCCGCCTTATGATTTCACGGTTCCTGAGCCAAACGTTGCGGATGCGGGCGATGTGCGTCCGGTTGTGGGAACGTTCAACTTGCGTCTCCACCAACCTGGACGCAAAGGGCAAGGGCGTGATTAATTTCGGCTGCCCACCGAGCAACGACCGTTACTGCGGAACTGAGGTGACAGGTACTTCAAAAGCAGACAGTCTCCTCCCCGTAAGTCACGGCGCAAGGTTTCGGGAGGACAAGGCAGTGCAACAGTCTTTTGTTTGCCCTCTTTTCTTCTTGGTCAGGCTGACACTCAAATAGACTCGGCGTTTGACGCTGGCGTGGGAACAGACTCTGAAGACAGATGCAGGGCCTGTCACGCCATGCGAATAGTTGTATTGGTTCGCAATAGGGCGATTAATGAGGCGAAGCCACCATCTCATCACCACAAGTAGACGCCGTGTTGCTCATCGCATACCGAGCGCGTACTGGTCAATAACTCAGGCAGCAGGCAAACATGTTGCGCTTGATGCCCATGAGAGGCAATGCAAGGTCCCACTATCCAGGTGATTGGAAAGCGCGTACCTTCAACGATAACTGAAACGAATGGTACAACACATCGAAATGTGAGTTCGTACAGTCTGAAATAGCACGGTCGCTGTGTAGCGGTGAACATTGTGGCCATACTTGGAGAACGTGGGCCACATTGTAAGCAAATATGCGTCATAGGTGCATGCGCATCGAGCAGACACGTCGCAAGTGGAGTTCGTGAGCTTGGGCCGAGAGCCAATGTACCTGCCAACTCAACACCGGTAAAGAAAAACAAAAGTCGAAGATGCCACCGAAGCCTGCGTGCCGAATGGTGGAAGTTGCATGAGTGTTGTGATCGTGATTCGAGACGAGTAAGCGCCACGTAGCGTACTCACGTCTCGTGCCACTATCCCAACCCAATGAGCAGAAAAATAGCTTTACCGCATTTCTGCAAGTCGGCAAATTGGTTGATAGGGCGAGCTGATTGACTGCATATACAGATGATTTGCTCTGCATGCATGGCAGGCTGAGGTACAGGCGCTGCAGCGCTGCCGTGCATATTCCTGCTATGCAAACAATCGAAGAAACGCAAAAGAAACGCAACCCCTCTTTGTTCGGACCCCTGATACATCCCAAGCATCCTAAGTGGCTGAAGGAATTTCCGTGCATCTGGGGGCCCATGCGGATGAGACGGGGGACGGAGCACCCGGCTGCGGACCGCAGTACCATGCAGAAGGCTTGTCCCACGCTGTTCACCGGTCCGGGCTCATGTGTCCTTCGGATGGTCTTCTGGAATGTCGCAATGATAGGCTGCTCTGAGAATGCATTGTACGGTCGCTCAGCTGGGTCTTGTGTTATGCAGTAGTCGTTCATTGAGGTAGCGATGGCGACGTGTAATGGTATATCAGAGATGCCTGGTTGCACAGGCGCAGCCAGCAGTGCCTGAATGCGGAATGCGAGAAGCTACACTGCGTCCATTGCTCGCAGCGTGTTCTATACGCGTATTTAAATAGTGACTGGACCGAGATGATGTATGCGTGCATTCCAAGGCTTAGTCCGTTTGTGATCGTTCGCATTCTTTTGACGAGAGGCGTCGCGCAAAGGTCCAAAACTGATGGTTGCGCGCGAGTCCATCGGATTGCTATCGTCAGAAACGACGGTACATTGCACGAAGGCTGTGTTGTCGTTGTGGTAGTCGTCACAGCCTTGTAGTTGTTAGCGCCGGGAGCGTGTAATATCTGCGGGGTAGAGGTTAGGGAACCCCGCGGCATCGAGAGCGTCGTCAGGAAATACCGATGTTTGCCATCGGACTGTAATGACCACCCAAATCGATTCGGCTTTTCGCATGCCTAGGCATTGCATAATATGATTATAGATCCTTGATGCTCAAATCAGGGCATGGTGCAGACTCCCAAGTAGCCTGATAGCCCTCCGGCATAGGCCAGACACAAGGATGGAGGATCGTTCGTTCATGGTCCCGAAGCACACAGGCTGCAATGTGCTTCCTAATACCGTATGTGCTCCACGAAGATGCGTCGTTTCGAAGCTGAATCTAGCAGCCACTGTTCAGCCGGTTGCTGAGGTACGCCAGTCGGACGCCTGCTCGCATAGCAATCGATGATGTACGATCTACGCATCAAAGAACCCACCTAGAGCTGCTCTCTGATGTATTGGCGTTGCGCGAGACGGTTTCGAACACGCTTGACGCGGCAACACTCGAAGCATTGGATCAGAGAGACGAGGTCTACATTGCGATTGTGGCGGCCGGTGGCTATGAGTATACCGTTGCAATGCTCACGGTGCTTGCATTGGGTGCGGCAGCTGTTCCCATAACACCGGCGCTTCCTGTGGAAGAGGCAGCATACTTTATCGAGAAGTCACGGTCTGCACTGGTCCTTGTCAGCTCGTTGGATCTCAAAAAGTGCTGTGAGCTTGAGAAGCGGATCGCGTCGACAAGTAACGAGCATTTTCGTGGCGTTCCAATTGGCTCGTGTATCTACGCACCGACATTGTGTCCGTCGGAGATTTTAATCTCCTCAGATCGTGCACTGGAAGAGAACGCACCTGGAGTCGTCATATTCACCAGTGGTACCACCGGCCCTCCCAAAGGTGCTGTCATGCGTAGATCATTCGTTTTCGACTGTGCGCTATCCGTAGCAGACCACTACAGGCTCGCCGAGGATGATGTCATGTTACACGTCCTCCCTGTCCACCATGCAACAGGTGTGGGAATTAACTTTTTTCCATTCCTCATATCTGGCAGTCGCATTGAATTTCGTAGCGGCGGCTTCGACGAGGTCTGGATGTGGGAGCGGTGGAAACAAGGTGCAACCCATCCACGGCGCCGACTGACCTTCTTTTCGGGCGTACCGACCATATATATGCGGATGCGGCGGCATTACCAACGTCATCTCGCTAAGCTGCCCTCGCAGGAGTTGGCGAAGTATATTGCTGGTGCACGACAGTTCCGTGCATGCCTTTGCGGAACATCAGCGTTGCCACAACCACTGAATGACTTTTGGGCCACGCTCATGCAAAAGCGAATAGTGCAGAGATATGGCGCGACCGAGTTTGGCGCCGTATTCAAGGTTCGTCTGGACGACAAGAAAGTCCCTGACGGATCTGTGGGTCAGATCGCGAGCGGCATCGATATCAAGCTGTCAGACGGTGACGAGGGTGAAGTGTTGGTGAAAAGCCCAGTAAGCAAGCCAGATCTTGCAGCTGCATTCGCACTGACCACATTAGCACATGTTCTCCAAGTACCTGCAGAATCCTGAAGCCACTGCAAAAGCACACGACGAGGATGGCTATTTCCGAACTGGTGATATAGCGCGTAGAGAGGGCACCTACTACTACATCGTTGGCCGGGCGTCCTTGGATATCATCAAGTCCGGGGGCTATAAGATCTCTGCATTAGATATCGAGCGTGAGCTGCTCGGACTACCGTACATTGCCGAAGCCATGGTAGTGGGCGTTGCTGATGAGGAGTTTGGACAACGCGTAGCTGCACTAATCTCGCTGCAAGAGGAAGACTTGACTGATTCCTTCCTTGAGACATATGGCAACGCCGAACACATACTCACTATCGAGGACGTGCGGAGGGACTTGCGTGGCAGGCTGGCGGGGTACAAGCTACCGACGCTGCTTCGCATTACTCCTGGAGAGCTTCCAAAGACAGTGACTGGCAAGGTACAGAAGAAGATCTTGGGGCCGCAGTTCTTTCCACCTGATTACGAGACATGCTCAGAGGTACAACAGTGGATGATGCCGGGCATACAATTGGCGAAGCTGTGATTGGCGCTTCTTATCTCAGGACGAGTGAAATTGCGAGGCAATGCCAACATTGACAATGATAGTGTGGGCGATTCGAAACGTTGAAGCAGAAGCATCTTGGGAATGGTGGAAAGGTGGATGACACAGGTGACGCAAATTTGCCAAAGTGGCTAGCGCGCTTACGTAGCGGTTGCAGCAACCCGTGGACGGCAAGCGCACTTCATCCTTCACCCTACACTTTGACGTCTGACTTTCGTATGTGCGCAATAAGATGTATCTCCTCTACATTCCACGAAATGCGTCACGGGAGCTTATCCCGATGCGGTCCACCAATATCACCCAACCATGTAGAATCATAGAAAACTCCTTCCATCACAGCGAAATAATTCAGACAAGCTCATTTCTTGCCAGAAAGTTTCGACGAAAGGGTGGCGATATATCTATCGCTGGGTATCGCGTGTGGATCACTGTCCTATAGGCCGAATATGTAACACAAGAGCCCCAAGCGCAAGTGCAGGCAGCAAAGGCCACTGTAATAGTAGGGAAACTCTACATCACATTCCCTGCGCACGTTGGTCATGACGTCTGGTTTGCGTTCACTATGTGGGAGTCTCAAAAGCGCGTCAACGGATCGCTTCCAGGTCATTTCATTACCTTCCTCCAGTCACTTGACGAGATCAAGCTGGTTTCCAGCAACTAATGTATTTATGCATAAATTCGTAACGCTGCACCCGATTATGCTTTAACGATACCATGACCAAGAGTTAACGAGTTTCTCTCAACAGTATTTGCCCAGCATCGACAGCATGTCCGGGCGCAAGACCATGGTGTATGTAGCAATAGCTGGCCAGCGCCCTCACTGGCGAACGAGATACTACCTATGGTCAAATTTCGCTGTGTCAGTGGCTCTCAACAGTACTTTCTCAAACCATGGCATCAGAACTTGATGCCGGCACTTCAGCTGGCCTCTCTTTTGCTCACCCCTTACTTTGGTTCAGTCGCCTGACCTTCGCCGAGCGCCGAGTGAAGTCGAACGCTCCTCCAAGATATTACATCAAGCCAACACGGTATTCTGAAAGCCCAGAGGCGTTGAGAACCGTCAAAGCCAACCTCATACAACTAGGTCATTGTGGAAGTGTCGAGACGATTGATTGATCTTGAGAGCTATTGGCTGGAATCGATCGAGACTATATAGTAGAAGGGGATAGCAGTGAAGAGTTGGGGAAGCAAACCGAACTAACCGAATGAGCTGGACTATCAGTGCAGCGGGCCGCTGATAGACACTGCAACGGACCGCTAGCGAACAGTCGTGTCGTCATCCTGATGTGGATGCCCCTGGGTTACAACCACGAATACGAGGCGGCATACGGGCTTACATCTGCATTCAAACGTGATTTGCCATGGTATCGAGACTTTCGACAATCAGATTGGCCGGCGGAACAGAGCGATGGACGTCTACATCCTCGTGTTGCCATGGACGCTGGATTATAGAAATGTTTCAGAAAGCGCTTTGCGGAGGCAAGTATGGCCCATTGCTACAGACTCACGTCATCGGTCGCGTTATCAACACCTTTTGCCCCGCAAGAAATGAATGCTGGGAAGTTCAAGCATCTAATATCTAATAAAATGAAAGATATCCGCTCGCCAGACGAGGTAAAACAGTGAACAGAAGACAATGCGCGAAGTGAACGGCACCTTATTCACACCCCTCTACCCAGACGGTCAGGCCCCGCTGCTCAAGCCCTGTCAGTTTCGTGGTAATATGTGGTTTCTAGTTAAAAACCCTGACTCGAACACAATTCTCATCGCTTCAATTCGCGTCATTCCGGTTGACTACAAAAGATGTATGCCCATTAGGTAGGAGGCTATGCTTTTGACATGAATCCCAGTCAGTCATAGCTTCCTTGATTTGCTTTGAAATTGTAGAATTCTTTTGGCCAGCGTCCAGTCTTTGGTTGGCTTGGGTGAAGTGGATTGACTATGTAACAATTGTGTAGAGCATGTGATAACCCACAGATGCAAGGTGGTTTTGCAATCCCAAGCTTAGCAGCTGAGGTAGATAGGAAGCTTGATTCAGTAGTCTGGGCAGCATGGCAGACGTACTTTGTCATCTTTTCAACATAGGTGAGTAAGTTTGGCAGATTGGTACCGTTTATCTCATATTTGTATACCTGATTGTCACGGGTATATACTGTTCAGCTCCCAGTACCTGCTATCTACAGCAGTACTGTACCTTTTTGGTCAGTGTAGTACAGTGGAGCTGAGCTGTATGCCTCACAAGAGTACTGCTGTAGATTTGCGGACGTTCCTTGCTGAGAGCCCGGGACGTCATCGGATTGTGTCACGGTTTAAACTACGTGAGGAGAAGCCGACTATATACTGGCCCTGAAAGTCGCTATTCCAGGACAGTATATACCAGGGTAATAGGGTCTCAATCGAGACCACAACATATTTAAACACACAGAATAGTGAGATACAACCTCAGTTCAATCCTGCAATTCTTCCCACATGCGTCCGGATCACTCACGATCCTTGTCAGATTGTGATCGGACGTCCGTCGCAGTACTGCGCAAAATTCTTGGTCCTCCTGCCGTTGAGGAGGTCGAGATTTCGATCCAATATCGCAATCCACTGTCTTTTCCGGGAGGAAGTATAAAGGATTCGAATTGTGAGGTCACTGTAGACAGGGGACTGGATATGGGACAAAAGGGTATATTGTAGGAAGTAGATAGACGAATCCTTAAGGGGTCAGCCTTGGGGATTCGAGGTGGCTATATACTCTCGGTCTCGGAGGTTACCCTCCGAGGTCCCGGTGGTGGCCCGTATGGGTCCCGTTATATAACCATAGGTCAGAACATCCGTGACAGAGACACTGTAGGATTACCGACACTTGTTACAAGTGTATAGTATGTAGACATGCTGCCCTTATGGCATTGTGTTCAACCTCGTCAATCAACTTTGTTATTGGAATCTCACCTGCTCTTGACCCAGACAGTATACTCTGTACTACTCATTGCTACCAGTTGCCACGGTCTTTGACTAGCCGACTATTACCTGACTATTACGAGCCTCTTGAATAGTTTACCACTACCATCCAGACATCTCGCTCATCCCTGAGACCCAACCGAACCGTGCTTCCGAGCTTTGCTTAAAGTACGACTTCAACAGCAGCTACGAACAGTATATGTAGGTGAGTGGCTGTAAACGACGCTAGTAGGAAAAGGCAGCAACCTCTCCCCATGGGGTGAGGTGCGACAGGGCGTTAGTGCAGGAGAGACCCCAAACCGTGACACATACAGAGACTACTTGTACACGCGCAGCTGCATATCTAGGCCGCCAAGATGGAACATCCCACAGCAAACTCTCCGTCAGTCTGCGGCCTCGACGGACCGACCCTTAAGTGACCCACCGCACTCGGCCTCATGTTTGGGGCGTCGCAAACAAAGTACGGCGAGAAATCGGCAAAGACGCAGTGGACTTTACCCTCGCCGAGACATCGATACCGCGGCAATCATGTCGTCAGCGAACCCCACCATGCCGAATAACGTCCGCAAGCATTTCGATGCAGCTCTACCATTGGTTGGGGGTGATGGAATAGCTTCGAAAGTCGAAAACATGTCCTACCGGCTTCAGCCACCCCACCAACAGCTCTATAAGCAAAAAGGCTACATGCGCCCTCGATTGTGACACCCTTTGGTTCCTTCGTCAGCTCAATTGCAACTTTTAAATACCCCACCGCCTCGATTTGCACAGCACACACAACATGTCTTGCGAAAACTGTAAAACAGGCTTCAAGTGGAACGGCACTGCCTCCGGCAAGGAGATTACTCTCAACAACGCAAAGGCCTACGTTGCTGGCGACTCCAAAGATGCTGCTATCCTCATTCTTACCGACATTTTTGGTTGGACTCTCCCCAACATCCGCTTGATCGCCGACCACTTTGCAAAGGAGTCCCAGGCTACTGTCTACGTCCCTGATCTGTAAGCTCTCTCGAAGGAACTGCAAGAACGTCGTTGGTTGACACCTCATAGCTTCGAAGGCGAAGTCGTTGACCCCGATGCGCTGTCCGACCCAGAGAAGGCCAAGAACTTCGACCTCATGGGCTTCCTTGGGCGTCACAACAAGGAGATCCGGTGGCCGGTGATCAAGGAGCACGCTCAGACCCTGAAGAAGCAGTACAAGAAGGTTGTTGCAATCGGCTATTGCTACGGAGGATGGGCATGCTTCAAGCTCGGCGCCGACCCCCAGCTTATCGATGCTATCTCCATGGCCCACCCTTCGCTGGTTGACAAGGCCGAAATCGATGCCACCAAGGTCCCTATCCAGATCCTTGCGGCTGAGAACGACTTTGCATATACCGAGGAATTGAAGAAATACTCTTTGGAGAGGCTGCCGCAGCTGAACATTCCTTGGGAGTATGTCTACTTTCCCGGTGTGCAGCACGGCTTTGCGGCGCGTGGTAACCCCAACGATGCTACACAGAAGGCTGCGCTGGAGAAGGCAAAAAGGGATGCTGTTGGTTTCTTCCAGGAGTACCTGCACTAGGGTGTCAGTACTTTACTTAAGATTTGAACGATATTTCCACGGATTTTTACGTCTTCTGATGATTCATGATGGTCGTTTGTTTGCGTATGGAACGAGTTGATGCGCATAGTATCTTCCTTCCTTCATGGTAAACAGCGCTAGTTTAGAGCGCCGACAATGGGTCGACCTCCATCACCTGGGCACCATTGCTTTTTGTACTGCTTCAACAGCAATTTCACCGCGACACTTCGACGCCCAGGCTCACCTCCAAAAGCATGTCCTTCCAGAACTTACCGGCCGAGTTGCGGCTTGCTATGCTTGAGACGCTGTTCTGCGCTAGCACAAGTGTCGACTTAACGAACGCACTGCGCGTGTGCACGGACTTGGATGAGCTGTGATCATCGCTACTCAGGACGTACCTCGCGAATAACAACGACAATATCTCCCGGTTTATTCGCTCTTCTGCCGGTTTACGCCATCAAACCTTACGCCTCGTTCGCAGCCTCTCTATAGTCCTCTATCCAGTTCTTGAAGGTCCTCCTCATTTCAGAGTGCCGCTACCGCAGATCGGCTTTCCTTCGAACGTATTCGCGTACGCGAAATACCTCAGAGATGATATCGAACTGGACGAGGTCGTGGATTTTCCGAATTACGTACTACCCCTGCCTGCATCCCTTCTCTCCAAAACCTCTCTGCCAGCACCGGGTTTGACTTGTTTAGTGGCTGCAGCAAGACATCTTGCTACTGTCATCTGCAATAGATTGAGCGCATTGATTACATTGTCGTTCAGACTGGCGCCTGAATCTGCACAGCCGCTTGTCCCAGAGCTACGCCAGTTTCCTGAGCTGGACCATTTGTTCCCAATCGACGTTGTGGCGGACCTTCTCGATTCTCTTAGGACTACCTGCGTACAAGTCGAATTGGTGGCGCACGGTTACGATGGTATGACTGGAAAGCAGATGTAAAACCACCTCCGGGACTCCAATGTCCTGTGTCAAGCCTTGGCACGACTGTTCTCATGACTCACCCACCTTCGTCTCAAGGCAGGCAATGTATGGTCATTCATACTTGACAATCTCTTGGTTGGGCCCGTTCAGCGCAATCTGCAATGTTTACGCATTGACATTTGCAACACTAAAGTCACGAATGAGCGACCGCTTGGCATCGACACGTCTTTTGCTGAGTTTGCTGTCGCGAACCATGATTACTTGCCACCTGACCATGAAACTTGGAGATTGCATTGGTTGCGTATGCAGAACCTGGTCGCAAAAGGACTGCGAAAGTCTTATGAAAAAGGCCGGTTTCCGTACATTGTCACGATGCATCTTCTCGCCACTTAGTCAGATGCGACTGAGCTAAATTTCGATGGGGAACGCTAGAATAGACTGGACATCATCGAACAGGGTATCTACACCATCCCGATCGTCGTGTTGCACCCAAAGACAATCTACGATTACGTGGAAGAAGGACCGTGGAAAGGTAGACAGATCGCAGTGTGGCCGTACATCTCCACTTGTTTTAACGGTTTGATTTCTGCGGACACTAATGAGACCTGGACGAACAGCATGACTGGTGTCCGCCTTCCTTTGTCCAAGGATCTTGGCAAGCTTAGCAGGTACGCACTCCAGTGGGAGGACGCAATGATGCTAGGAACATCTCGCGCAGCATTTCGAGAAAGAGTGAGGACGTGTTGCGGAGATGCAATGGCTGCCGACTTTGATTGGGAAATCAACTTCAAAGTCGAGGAACCCCATTTTAGATTGCCTTACGTTACTGAGGCTTGATGGAGTGGTATGACTGATGGGGATGCTATGATCTCGATAGAGAAGAACCAACAGGGATCTCGCCAAACAGTCATGCTCTGTCCTAGACACCGACAACAGGGACTTTGTACATTCCACATCAGGCCCCCAGGAAAATGTAATCTGGACCGCAACTAACGACACCTGGTATGTAGTCTCAAGGGCGAACGCAGTATGACGCATTGCAATCTACAAACCAACAATTCGGTGCATCGCCCGAAGTATGTATGGGAGCTAAAAAGTGGATTCTGACGGATGTCATTGGCTTGACATGGCACCTTCCCTTTTCAATCGCCCCAGATCCACCTTAGTCAGCACATCTCTACCTCAAGAAGAACCTGGTTGCTGATGTAAATGTTGGCTCGAAGGAGCTCCGCAAGCAAAAGCTGGTCGAAGGGTACAACAATTTCAAGTTCAACGGCTTGGCCACTGGCAAGATGCAGCTCGAAGTGTGGGATGGTAGCACCATGAGCGGTGGTGGCTATGGAAAGCTGGAGGTATGAGTTCCGATCTCACTGTTGCCATGGTAAATGCTAAGGTGATACAGGTAACGAACTCGGCTTCGTTGTGCAATTACAACTTCCAGGTTGTGGGCTTGCCAGGCTGAGAGCCACGACGCAATTGCCTCATACCAGAATCATACTATCACAAATTCGGTCCTACTAAGCGAAACATACTTGATTTGCTGTATGAGACCCACCCATCGTCGCATTGCCGAGGTGGCCTGATTGACAATTGTGAGCCTGAAATATCCTCCACTTTGGACAGGTAGCAGCATTAGTAGACGTCATGCCAAAGGTTCGGGAGAAATTAGAAATACCGCACCGTACTGCCGCCTACGAGCTACTGGACGATGAGATCTTCAAGTTGACCTTGACCGAAGAGAACAAAGCTGAGGTCTTTGAGTATGGTCTCTCCAAGCTCAATAAAAGCCAGCATGAAGCATCGTCCATACTTCAGAATCTTTCGAAATGGGATCCGCATATCAGATCGCTGTTTGCCCTCCGCTCATCCTCCACCATCCTCAACACACCTTTTCGTCTCGTCTTCCCCAATGCTGATCTCTCATCATTTGAGGAGACTGGCTTGTACGTTCGTCAGTACATGGCAGTATCATACTGCTGGCGTTCCAAGGATTTCCTATCCGCAGGCTACGAAAGGCACGGCAGTTGGCCCATAAGCAAGCCTTTTGTGAAAGCGATAATCAGCGAGAAGGATCACCCTCGTGTTGGGATTTGGATGGACCAGCTCTGCATTGAACAAACGTCGTCGGTTGACAAGCAGAAATCTGTCGCAGCGATGGACATCATCTACCGGTCATGCATCCGCCTTTTAGTCTTACTTGAAGACGTGTTCCTGGACGAGGAAGAGGTGGCGTTGTCTAAGAAATATGATCCGTCCAGAATTACATTCGACCGAGCGTGGAGGCCGCCAGCGGATGAACAGGCTGTGTTTGCAAGCTTCTATAATAAAGTCAACGCGGCACGGTGGTGGGAACGAGCATGGTGCTTCCATGAGTTCAATGTCAACGAACCGTGGAGTCACAATAGACAGTGTCACGAGGTCTATAACGCTACTTTCATCATGAATGGCCCTATAGGATCAACAGTGAAGATCAAGTGGTGGACCCTGCACTACATCATGGCATCCGCCATGCCTGAGGACAAAGGACAGGAGATCTTCGCTCTCATCGACGCTGGAGATCGCGAACCTGGATGGAGGAGCAGTGTCATGGCAAGGCACAATGGCGTGAGTAAAAAGGGATGCATGCTCTTGGAAGACAAGTTAAGCATCATGATCAACACGTGTGGGCTTGCACTTGCGTACCAAGGACAGGCGCTGAAGAGCACGGACGAGATTCTATACATCAGCGCCTTGCTAGCTCTTGCAGTGGGAGAATCTTACCCACTTACCATGTTTGACGGCCGAGCTATCCCTAAGCTGAACAACAAATCAACGTGGTTTCAGCGACACCTTGTAGCTGATGATATCTCAATCCCCAGGTTCAGGATTGGAGGTCTGCATGGTATTCATTGTGTTTCGATGCAAGAAATAGAGCTGGAAATGGTCTTCCTCCCGCCACCTGCTATTTGGTCCGGCGTGAAAGATGAAGACCTCAGACCTACCTATGAGATCTTTCCTGGCACGATAGCGACCACGCGACCAACCACACATGGACCAGTAGGAGATCACTTTGCATCAGCGAGTCGACCTGATGCAGTCCTTGACAATCCGCGCCGTAGGTTTCTTGCCGGCTGTGTCATGAATGGACACGCCTTCACAGCCCGACTGTGGATACAAGTCGTACGAGATGTCATAGGACCCAACTACAACCAGGGACTGTTCAAAGACCTGAAGCCCAACCCATCGCTGCTATCTGCTGCACAAAGGTTCGTCATACAGCTCCTATCAGTCTCAACATTACAGGGCATCCCACCTCCCTCTACTTTCACACTCGAAGACGCGCACCTCTTCCTAACGTGGCTTACTGATCCGCGATCTATGTACTATATCAGCGTCTACACGTACCGTATGCAGTGTACCATTGACGGTCAGGGAGCATTTACTACAGGTGCGCAGGTCAATGAGCACTTTCAAGATGGGCCGATTGAGGAGTTGCGGGCTGCTGTGCCAACTGATCTGCTGGATGCGCCCTGCATCCCTCTCAGAGTGTGGCTTCTGCGACCGAGGAAGATTGAGGATGGAGTGGGCAAGTGGATGCTTGTGGGGAAGGCGATGTTGCTGGGTGAGCCGGACTTGAAGAAGGTAATCAAGGGGAATGAGGGAAGGGACGATGCGGTGGTGAGATCGAGGAGAGTCGTTGTTGGTGGTTGATGGACGAGTACCCAAATTCGTTCAACGACTTACAGCAGAGCTAAGGGACACAATTTCTACATTCTTGCATGATTCAATTATCGATGTGTTGGTTTGTGCAATAGAGAGAGTGCTCAATTCCGTGCCTTCCATCAGTGTTGAGATGGCTGGGGACCCCGGTTAATTGCGGCCCCGCAACCTGGTCGCGTTCCAGAACTTCTATTACCGAACGCGAGCGCTCCTTCGACTTCCAACCGCGGTCATTACAATCAACATGCACCACACCTGAGCTCTCGATTCACTTGCTCAATACATCCACATGAGGCCGATGTTTCCTTCACTACATGATTCGGCGTGTAGATGGCCCCGCCAAACGAGCAGCGAGCGCGCCGAACAATCAAAGCGTGCGTGATCTGCCACAAGAAGAAAGTACGGTGCGACATCGATGAAGTCGAAAGAGATCGATGTACGCCGTGTACAAAAGACAACTATCAATGCATTCCTCGCGAGCGGAAACGAAAGAGGTTCACCTTCAGTCCCTCTCCACCCGCAGATCAAAGAAGAGTCAAGGCGCAAGACGCTGAATCTTTACTTTCTGAAAGCGTAAGAGAAGATTTCGCTGTCAATCACACAGCCAACGGTAGCTCAGGCGAAGGGAACAACATTGCCTTTGGTTCAGGTAGCGCAGCGACGCTACAAGACCAGGAGCTGAAGTCCGAGGTCGATTTCGGCAGAAGGCTGTCAAGCACTGCGAGTCTGCATGAGCCTCCACTTCTGGAACGTCAGCTTGATCCATCGCTCGACACACCATACGGAAGCATCCCATCTAGCATGCCCGAGTCCAGCTATCGACCTAGGAACAGTGTCAGTTACCTCGGACGATTGGAATACCTCCGTGGCGACCTTCCTGTCGACGATGATTCCGAACTACCGAACAAGGTACCCCATCGATTATCCAACACCGATATCGAAATCCTAAGGATCCAACAAGTGACTGAGCTGCCACCTCGAGCTGTTCGCGAGAGTTTGCTTGATGCTTTCTGGACGCGTTGCTACCCGTGGACCCCAGTAGTGGAGCGCAGTTGGATAAATGAACGGAGCCCTGGCACAACATCCCTCCTTCTTCAACATGCCATATTTTTGGCCGGTAGCAGAGTCAGTGCGCCAGTGCAGAACTACCCTTCGGAAGACTTCTATAAGAAGGCTCGACTGCTGTTCTGGATGGGTGCCGAGGATGATCCAATCATCAACATTGCATCGGCGTGCCTGCTACAGTGGTGGAACCCCGAAGGACCTGAAAGAGTGTCTTTGGATACAAGCAGCTTCTGGGTACGAGTCTGCGTTGGTCTTGCATATCAAGTCGGATTGCACCGAGAGCCGAACGGGAAGCCAGATGCTGGTCTGCGAAAACGAATATGGTGGTCACTAGTGACTCGTGATTGTCTAATCAACGCAGGTCACGGACGGCCTCGCGCGATTGACCTCAAGCTTGCTGATGTGTCACCCATCTCCGCCCTAGACTTCGACGGTGTTGCGGGTTCCGCAGATCTGTTCGCCGCATACGTGGGCATCTCGTGCGTTCTGGGTATGTAGGACAAAAGGTTTTCCATTTCAACTAGTCGAAGACTGACTATATGCCTAGGCGATCTCACACAGAGCTACCTGCGCAAGCAGGGATTGCAAGAACAGAAGAAGTCGCTTGAGGACAGACTCTTTCGATGGCTCAAAACACTACCAGACCATCTGCAGCTGTGCAGAGCAACCGAAGGGCGGCCTCTCAAGTCATACGGCTTTGAGGCTCGTCAACTACACGTTCAATACTTCACAGTCCTGGTTATTTTGAACCGACCACTTGACCCTAAGTTAGCACCATCGACAGCTTCGCTGCTAGCATCATCGTATATTGCGGGCATCTTCGAAGACTTTATGGCTCGTGATGAGCTTCGCTATCTTGGCCCAATCTTTACCTTCTACTGTTTGACTGCTGGCATGGCGCAGCTCTCGTGCTATCGCTATTCAGAGATGGTGGGTTTAGCTGAACAAAACCTCAACATCATGGCTCGAGCGCTCGAAGAGTTGAGCAAAAGGTGGCCCACAGCTGTCGGCAGTCTAAAACATCTGTAAGTGTTTTGAAGACCACCGCAACATTATTCAGCTGCTGATGAAGCCACAGGATGGACGTCCGTGAGAAAGCAACACAACGTCCTCATCTTGGCCAGTTCCCAGATATCAGCCTTCCAAGTACCACGGCGCAATTCTTCTCGGAATTTGGTCCCGATCTTTGTCGAATGTGGCACTCAATCTATCAACGAATGCCCCAAGCTACTAGTTATGCACCGAGAGAACTTGAGATGGCTGGTATTCTGCAAGATCTGCGTACACCGAACAACCACCACCATCTTGATCTCGACATCAATGCCGACGTTGCTGCTCAGCACATGATGAATAACCAGATTACTACTGAAGCATCTCTAGAGCCTACTCTATTGCAACCGCAAGAATGGTTTGGCCCATACGCGATGGGCAACTGGTTGATGACCGATTGGGATCAAGGCGGCTTGGGTTGGTGAAGTACTAATATGCCTTTCTCAAAGCAGCCTTGCGCAAATCAATTCGACGGCCTCGCCTCCAAATCGAACACAACTCGAGCGAGTCAGCAAACAAAGCGAGTTACCGAAAATCGCCGCCCATGGCAGGGGCCCAATCTACCCCACATCTCCGCATTTCGTGTGCCGAGGCCCGCTACCCGTCTTCGCGGGTTCGTAGCTCCGAGCATCGTCATTAGTTTCGCGTCGACAATATGCTAGGCCACTGCCTATCGTGTGTACGTCGACTCCGGACAGTACCATGAACCCCACGAGTACCGCTCAGGACAGCTTCTACATTGATCAACCTCGTTCAGGACCACAATGGCACTAGGTCCGTACACGAACCTGGGCGTCGACCGCCATGACCGCGTCTACGTAATCACTATGCAGAAAGCGCCCGAGAACCGCCTGAACGTTAAGTTCGCACAAGAGATAATACGTGCACTACGAGACATCGAGCAAGAACTTGGCTCAGGCTCAGACGGCTGCGTTATCACAAGAGGAAACGATGAGAAGTTCTGGTGCACAGGATTAGAGTTGGATGAGTCTGACACGAATCCACACGCAAACAGTGATGGTTTCTTTCCGGTATTATGCCAGTAAATGTGCACTGAGCCTGTGCTAACGACACGTTAGCTCTTGGCGACACTTCTTGACTATCCTTTCCCCACGATCGCCCTCCTCACAGGCCACACCTTCGGCGGCGCCTGCCCCTTTGCTCTTGCTCACGACTACCGCATCATGAATTCTAACAGAGGCTTCTTCAGCATGCCGCCCGTCAACCTCGGCCTGCACTTCCCTGGCATCGGCTACCTCCCACGCCTCAAGCTTCGACCACAAATTGCACGCAAGATGCTGCTCGAGGCACACAAGTGGACGGGTAAAGAGGCGCTGGAGGATGGGATTGTGGATCAGATCGCCGAGCCTAAGGAAATGCTGGATGTTGCGCTCAGAAGAGCGAAGGAAGTGCAGGGGAAGGCGAAGATGGGTGTATACAGCTTATTACGAAATGAGCTGTGGGGTGAGGCGGCGGAGAAGATTAGAGGAATATGTTATGTGCATGGAAGAAGGACTACAGCGCCAGCAAAAGCTAAGATTTGATGGTCAGCAAAAGCAAAGAAAGCAAAGCCAATGCGAAGTCTACCACATCGACGAATCGTATTCACCACCGGCAACATCAATATACATCCCCCATAACCCATCCGCACCTCTCACACACGCTCCCGTGACATTTTATCCGCCCACAATGAGCGTTGCCACATGTCCACCGGCCATGATGCATTCCCAGGTAGCATCTCTTATAGCCACCCTGATATCGCTATCCAGGACCTCGTCAAGCTCGATACTAGAGCGTGCAAGCATCGTCCAGTGTTCCATCGGTAACCAGATCGAGGGATCTTTGTGGTATCGGTCGTGTCGTATGCCCGGAGTGTATAGTGGAGGAGTCAGGTGGTTGCGCTGTGGTTGTGGCGGTGGAAGGAGTGATTGTATGTCCAAGCAATCACCTTTGATACAAACTGCCCGGAATGTATCAAACCGTTCATCAAGGCTAGTCATAGGCACAAAGCAAGATCTTTGATTGACCTGACTACCTGAGCCAAACCAGTTACCTCCTCTATATCATCCTCTCATGCTGTCCAACTCGGCGTCTCCCGTCCACTGCCCTTGCACTTGTCTCCCTGGCATTTCCTTCGCCCACACCCTTCACATGTCCACCCGGCCATCATGAGCTCCCAGGTATCCTTGTGACGTACGAGACCTGACTGCATTCTGTCTGTTTGCGTTCGGCGTCCGAGAACACGGCAAAGTGCGAGAGCCTCGGAGCTTCCCGTGTGCAAGTACCTAGGTAGATAAGTACTTCGCCCTTGTCTGCTAAACCTTGGGAGTGGTCTAAAAACTAGAGGAGTGTTTGGTGTTGCAGACCAGGCAGAATGCGGCCAACACTGCGCCACCTTGCCTTTTCGGGCGACTGCCGCGGCACAAATGCCAAAGCAATGGAGCGATGACGAAGTTGAGCAAGCACGTCGAGCCACCATACGCACGAAACAACCCAATAACAATTGGCCTCGGAGACCTTGGCTGCGGACGAGACAGCTCCCGGCGGAAGATGGCGAGCAACAACATAGCGTCGATTCTTGCTGAGAGTGGAATAGTGTGATGTATGTAGCTGCGCATGCCCCAGAGTCGCCTGCCCTTGATACAATAGTCTCCTTCTTGCCGTACTGCACGATCATCGTCTACGATTCTTGCTTGACATCTTCATCCCAAGTCAAGCCTTCATCAGAGATCGACTGCGATCCTTAATCCCACATTTCGTACCTGCGCAACCTGCAGTCAGCATTGGCAACAACAGGGATCGCACAACACAGGCCCACCATGAACGGCCACGCCACCACCACCGAAAAGCACACCGCAGGCTACGCCGACAACGAAACACACCTCGACGTCCTCATCGTTGGCGCCGGCATCTCGGGTGTCAACGCCGCCTATCACGTGCAAACCGAACTTCCGACATCCTCCTATGCAATCCTCGAGGCCCGTCATGAGCTTGGCGGCACCTGGTCGCAATTCAAGTACCCTGGCGTGCGCTCCGACTCGGATCTACACACACTGGGCTTCAAGTTTCACCCATGGAAAGCGCGCAACCCCATTGCGACGGGCGACAACATCCTTGCGTACCTGCAAGAAACGGTGCACAAGTTCGACATCGAGAAGCGCATTCGGTACAATCAGAAAGTCGCGAGCGCGGACTGGAGCTCCGAGCAGCAGCGATGGCAGGTGCAGGTCGACGTCGGCCGCGGTGAGGAGAAGAAGAGGGTCGTGTACTGGACAAAGTGGATGATTCTGGGTACCGGATACTACAGCTACGAGAAGCCCATGTTCGCGCACATTCCTGGCCTGGCGGACAACTTCAAAGGCCAGACGATTCACCCTCAGTTTTGGCCTGAAAACTTGGACTACAAGGGCAAGAAGGTAGTTATCATTGGCAGTGGAGCCACGGCTATTACGCTGCTCCCTGCGCTCGTGGAGGGCGGCGTAGGTCATGTCACGCAGTTGCAGAGGAGCCCGAGTTACATTGTCGGTTTGCCGCAGCCGGGCAACAACTCGACACCGCCGCTGTGGCAGAGGCTGCTGCCGCAGTGGATGGTGTTGAAGTGGAAGCGTACGGCCCCCTCAAGAATTTCCCCCAAAGCTATCCACTAATCCATGTCACAGGCTTCCAATTCACCCTCGTCGCCATTCTCCTCTATTACTTCTGCATCCACTTCCCCAACGCCGCCGCCAACTTCATCCGCGGCGCCGCAAAGAAGCAACTGCCCCCCGACTTCCCCATCGACCCGCACTTCAAGCCTGGCTACAACCCCTGGGAGCAGCGCCTGTGTCTGTGCCCCGACGGCGACTTCTTCAAATGCTTCAATAGCGGACACGCGAGCATCGTCACCGACACCATCCAGAACGTTGTCAGCGACGGCATACTGTTGAACGGTGGCGAGAAGCTGGACGCAGACATCATCATCACGGCCACAGGCCTCAATTTAAGATTCTTGGGCGGCATTGATTTGGCTGTTGATGGCAAGAAAGTCGACGTCCCCAGCGAATACATGTGGCGCTTCGCCATGCTCTCCAACGTTCCCAACCTCGGACAAATCATCGGGTACTGGAACGCGTCCTGGACACTTGGCTCGGACACCGTCAGCCGCCTCTTCACCCGCGTGATCAAGCATATGAGTGAGAACGGTTACACGGCAGCCATCCCCACTATCAGTGAGGAGGAGAAGAAGAACCCCCAGAGTGTGAGTCCGTTGAGTAGCACGTATGTGAAGAACAATTTGAGCAAGTTGCCGAAGTGTGGTAACACTGGGCCGTGGACGCCACGGGAGTATTATTTCAAGGATAGTTGGAAGGCTAAGCATTGCGATTTGAATGATGGGATGAGGTTTGAGAAGGTCAGCACATAGATGTCATTGAGATAGATAGGAAACCAATTCGCGTACTGTATCCTGTATCTGCTGAACAGAGCTGCGTTACCTGTGATACTCCGTACTACGTTTCTCAGTTTTCTCATGAAGATTTCAAAGTGACAGAAGACCTAGATGCGCACAACTGTTAGCATCTTTTGCTGCCAAGCGGCATCGAAGCATCCAGGGTAGGTAAGGGGTGCGTCTGCGGGGCATGCCCTTGCCCTTGCCGCAATGCCGTACCCTGACAACATCGAATTTCCTCTCAACCAGGGAGACAACAGCAACGCTTCTCCACATCCAAAAGGACATGTGCTTTGACGACTACGAGCAAAATGAGCTGTCAAAGTTCGCAGCCGGCGTTCGCACAGCATATCCTGTGGGGGCGAGACGCATCAGGTTGTTGAGGCTACGCATGCCAAATCCAGGACAACCACATCACTTCGCAGTTTTTACCATGTCGCTATGCCGGAATCTACGCACTATCGCCTGAGTATCGAATCAGCTTGGCGATCGGAGACATCAACCCGCCCTTCTGCGTGTTGTGAGGCGGTACAGTACTCGTCTCGACACGCACCATGCTCAGGAGGCCTGCGCAACGTCCTCCTGTGTGCCGGGATTCTTTTGTGGGGTGCTGATTAGAGATGGCAGCTGCAGACCTGTAGACAACAGTCCGCCCTTTGCAGCAAGGCTGAAACTTCACAGATAAGCACCGAACGCAGTCAGCTAACCCTTGTGCAGGCTAACCCTTGTGCAGGCTGACCCTTGTGCAGGCTCGCCTCCACGAAACTTGACCAACGTTTTGCTGGCATCACACGAGGAACTTCAGATTTGCTATGGACGCTATGGAAATGTCTCTGTTCGGGCCTGAACGTTTGATTGATCGGTTTAATGTTCGATGTGAGTGGGCCTGACGTTTGTCTACGCTAGAGGCCAAGGACAAGGACGAACTTCTTGCCTACGGAGCGATTTACGAGGGCCCTGTCGACGACGAGCACATTGAACTATATATCCTCATCAACTTCGTCCTTTTCACAAAGACTTCATCGGCCGCATACCTAGAAAAGGCGGTTCGTCAAACGGAAGGATGGGTAGCAGTGACTGGCCCAGACCATCCTGATTGCGAAATACTTGACCTGATGTCATCGAAGATGTTGGCTTATACAGAAGAAGGGTAAGTGTCTTCTCGATCGCGATCCAGGCACATCCAACATACATAACGCGAGGACTGAAGACTACAAGCTCACGTTACTAGGCCTGATAGTCAAGAACCTACCACTCTCGAGGTTCCCTTCGAGATGCTACATGTCAGCTATCGGGCCTACCTTGGGGTAACTTTTTTCCATCACAGCTTATGTAACAGGAGGATATATATTCGCTCACTTTGATAGACCTATCAATTAACGACCTCAATCTCTCTCATATTGCTGACGTTATTTCATATCTTGTTCAAAAGCTTCCAACTATATCCTCTGCTCGCAAAGTCGATGCAGACTAGTATGTACAAGAGAATTGTTTTGTTCTCCACCGATGGATATTTCACCATCTACAAGTACTTAGCAAACCTCGTCCTACTAACCCAGCCAAGAGCAGGGACCTCGCGTTTGCTCATCTGCTTGACGCTCTCAGCATAATCGCTAGTACCCTTATCGGGCTCCGCATCAGCAGACTTGCAGGTCGGCTGCGCACCGTTCTTTCCAAGCTTGCCGTCGACGGCGGCAAAGTGCTGCTTCTCCGAGGTAGTGGCGATCATGTTGGTAGCAGCCTCCTCAGTCCATCCATTGATGAAGTCGCCGTGCGAGCACCAAGCGGGACCACAGGCCAGCTTGCCGGGGAAGGTGCCGGACCAGCCGTTGGGCAGGACCTTGCGGAGGTCGTAGCGGATGGAGAAGCGTAGCTGGGGCATCGACTTCATGCCGTTGGGGCAGTAGTTCGTGGTGCCGTACGTCTTGGACTTGTACGCTGTCTCAAGAGTCTCCTCGTTGACGCACTGAGGGAAATAGAGGAGCTGCTGGAGGTGGGTCGAGCAGGTCTTGGAGGGAAAACCGTTGCTGTCGAGCGCTGAGGCGGAGTCGCTTTCGCAGAACCATTCGACCTTTGCGTCGGCGGGCATGGCGCTCTGAGTTGTGGCGGAGGCGTCTCCGGCAACCATCTTCACGTTCTGTGGGATGGCGACTTCGGCGGGTGTCTCGCCGAGGTTGTAGTACGCACTGAAGCGCATGACGGGGATAGGCTCGTACGTTGAGCCATCAGCAGTGTAAAGAGCTGTGGGAATCCAGTAGACGGACAAGTCATTGGGGTTCTGGGCGTTGGTGCAGCCGGCCTGGAGCTCGGCAGAGGTGTTTGTGTTGGCGGTAACGGCGTCGGAGCCGAAGAACGAGTGCAAGTGAGACTTGCTGTAGGAGCCAGGGAACACGATGGGGTCAACGTTCTTGTACATGAAAGGTGAGGCGACATTGACCTGGGTGTAGGCGCTGGCGAGCTGTGCGAGCAGACCGGCGCTCAGAAGGAGGGTGTTGGAAGGAGACATCCTGTGCCTATGGTATGAAACGAATGTGATTATGGAAAGTAAAGAACGAAAGTGAGAGAGAATGTAAGGAGTGAACTGCTGGAGATGTCAATTGTGTTCGCGCCAGGAGTACTTATTCCTCAGGCAAGCACTATCATGCACGCCGCAGCGTAGAACATACTCTTCCTCTTTCGTGCTGTCTCTCCTAACTCAGTTTCAAGATGCCCGTACATCACTCGTTAAAGCAATCATTTCGACCCGTGTTGCCGTGCGCTTCGCCTCGCCTTGACATCGCTACCGAGAGAACGCCACAGTTTGCCTGAAAACGTCTTCGCAGTGGAGATGGAGCATGAACGCGGGTCGTCGCCGCGATCCGCTCTCTCTGTGACAAGTGTGCTGATTGGCCAATGTTGCGGCTCAAAACACTAGCTCCCGCGATAACGGTTTTGAAACACCCCCATTCATTTTGTTCCAAACGCCAAGAGGGGAGTCGGCAATGCTCTGTAAGGGTGTTTCTATGGCTCAGTCGACTTCAAAAGGTATATGCTCCGTGAAGTCTCTGTCGATGTGATCTAGATGTGACCATTGCGGGATAGCTCCAGATATTCTGGGAATGCTCAGGAGCAAGCGACAAACCAATGAATAGCCGCACACGTATCGATTCATACAACCCTCAATTACGAACATCCCGCTGGAGTCCGCAACTGTGCTACTTATGGCCTACAAGTCTCCAGTAATAGTTGCGACAAAGCCTTAGTTGCTGGTGGCGAATGTTTTGAGAAGGCCTTCATTTAGAAATTTGGGGCCCAATTGCCCTTAGTGCGATGAGAGGTATGGTGATATCTGTACATAACATCCAGGATCTTCGAGCAGGAAGCATTTGCCCACCTACCGTTCGCACTCCCGTTAGGAGCAAAGGGGCATTCGGAACGTTCTGCGCGCACGATGCTGCCGCCGTCCTCATGTGAGAGCTTAGACGCAACAAAGGCAGAAATAACAAGTCATCATGGAAGAAATCCGATAGAAATAAGGCGTAAGTGGAGGAGCGAGCATCAGCACCCTCGAGATGCAAAGATGAAGTTGGTCGTGAACCTTACCGGAAGCGGCTAGTAGATACGTCACAGGTTTCCTTCCACTGGAGACGACCACAACTCATCCTGTTGACCTTGTCACAGTCGAACTCGTCTGAGAGATGAAAGGTCTCGCGTCCTTCCTCCTGATCCTGCGGGACAGACGGAACAATGAAATCCCAAGAAGTCCGCCATCAGGCTGCAAGCGCAGCGGGGAGCTGAGGAGAACGCAATCGCACGGCATCTTCGAAAATCTCCTCATCGGCCCGTGTCAGATAGCAAGCTTAGGCGTCTTTGTTTCTTCCATTTGTACAACAACTACTGCGGCTCTAGGCGAGGCTTTAAGCTTGTCTTAGATGCACCGCTCACATTATGCAAACAAGTATGTCAAAGGAACCACACACCTGTGGGATTTGCTAGTTAGAAGTACTTTTTTACCTCAATGGCAATTACAGTCTTTGTCCGGAATGGAGCTGGTAGGAGCTAACCGCCGATCATGAATCTTCGAGTACCAATGAGTCTGGCTACTGGTTCAATCTTTGGTATAATCAAGCGATTGAACTGGCAGAGCGCGGCTGTGAACTGGTGATATGGCTTGTCACCTTGCGTCAATCCGACATAACACTGGACAGCCAGCTACGAGCATACTTCATGCACAACTCGCAAGAACAATTAGCAATTGACTAAGTCCATAATCTCCGTGATTACACGGACAGCTGGGATTTTGCTCGTAAGCTGGTATTATGCGTTGAAGCTGGGTACGTGATTTGCGGGTGGCAAGAACGAGACTTTCGGTGAATGGGTACGCTGACCAGTAGATACAGTGATGTGGCTGCTTCAAAGATCAAACATAAGCCCCCCAAACTGTGTCCATCGTCCGTTGTGACAATATCGAAAGCCCGAAGCTGGTTACAGACATGCATCAACACGCAGCAGGTGTGCCTCGGACCCAGGTCTGATGACACTCAATGCAATTTCAACGATATTGACGTGATAAGGCCTCGTCATCTTATCAAAATATGCGTATCTCCTTCGCATTTTGATTTGAAAACACATTCAGAGTTATGCTTGGTAGAGAAGTCCGATACTCTATGGCCGCAACATGCTGCCCTGAGTTATTGTTGGGAAGGAGACCAAGAAGTCAACTTGACCAAGCCAATTCTGACTTTATGGCGCTCCGAGATCTTGTTCTATAATCTTCCACAGACCATCAAAGATGCTTTATGGGTGACAGCTGAGCTCGGTCTTCAGTACCTCTGGGTTGATGCCTTTTGCATCATTCAAGATGAGGACGCCGACAAGAATAAAGAGCTCGCCAGAATGAGCGATGTATACTCAGAAGCGTACATTACGTTGCTTGCAGCCCGAAGCCCCAAGGGTCAAGATGGTTTTCTTCAATCAGATATATGACGAGAGAAAAGAGGCTATCGTATACCCTACATATATCGCGATGGACAGATAGGATCATGATCTTCTGGACGGGCAGAGATGTTGGGATTTTAGAGCCAGTCGATCAACGCGGCTTGGTGTGTTCAACAGCAACTTCTCTCAACCCGAATTCTAGAATTTGGGACACATCGATTTCGGTATGGATGCGCCGCAAATCGTAGGGAAGGTGTTACAATGGAGGTAGATAGTTGAATCACTGACTCTGGAACATTTGCCCAGCACGGAACAGGCCACTCACTTGTCTTGCCGGCTGACTGAACTACATTACCGGCAAACGGACACGACTTTCCATATCTCTGGAAGCGCATTATCACTCATTATAGTGGCGTAGGATTGAGCTATCATGGTGATAAATTGCGTGCCATCTCAGCCGTTGTCAGAAAGTTTGATCAAGGCTCACATGCGCGATATTACGCCGGCCTCTGGGTTGATCAACTGCCTGATCTATTGTTTGGGGGCCTGAGTACAGAGTCGAGAGCTCACGAAAACCCTTTCGAATTGCCGCTTATTTCGCTCCATCGTGGTCTTGGGCATCGTTCCATGGTCAAATCTCTCATGCCATGATCTATTCCAAAAATACTGTCTATAAATTGCTCAAAAGTGACGTCGTCAATAGGGTTACTGGGGACGACTTCAGCGACGTCATCAGTACGGAACTCAAGATACGTACACTAGCACTTGCTGTCAAAGTCGGTATCTTTGAAACAGCATCTGAATCGTGGAGAGCGCTGGAGCCAGGGCAAAACTCGGAAGACTGTCAAAGGAGAACAATGGGACCGCAGAAAACCTCAGAGGGGACCTTGTACTATTGCTGGGGACATTTATTGATTCTGTGTCCATGAAAGAGTGGATCAATATGTCTGGTCGATATGACGAATTTAGCGTGACGGAATCTGGCGTTCTACTGGTTCGAATTACATGGGAAGATGGACTGATCCTCAAGCTACAATCACAAAGTACAAACACGTACACACGCATGGGCACTTTCCAGATAGAAAGATTTGCTCAGGAAGACTGGACATGGAAGACGGTAGATGTTACGATCATTTGATAAGAGTCAACACCTTACAAGGTTGTACCTACAACAAAAAAATTCCAGGTCAATGCTCGTGCGTACATTACCTGGCTATGTCTCTCCACGCAAGAAGATCTAATACTTTGCGCTTTCGGCAGCTTTCTCTCGCTCACCCTTCCCTTGCCCGAGATCCTGCCATGCACATGCAGCAAGCTGATACATCTTTTTGTCTCCACGCATCACACGCTTAAGCGTGATCCAACTCGGTTCCCCTCTGTTACCGGCTTAGCTTACTCTCCCCACTTCTATCATTCTACATACATAAATAGTTCCCCTCCTTCATAGCTGTTCAACCAACTCAGCTCCTCATGTTTCTCACACGTTATACACAACACCCTCCCTTTGTGCCAGTAAATTTTAATGTCTTATCAGGCTTGAAGTCTGAGTCTTTGAACAAGACACGTCGTGGATTGTCAGGATGATCTGGCCTTGGCACAAACATTGCCTTCCGACAAGGCTTTTTCGTGAAGAAGTTGAGACAGGTGCCGTGCGTAATCACCTCCGATGGTAGCTTGAAACAGCTCTTCGAGTCCGGTCTGTTTGCGTGCACATCCCAGAAAAACTTGAATGCCTTCGTCTCGCTGTCGTACTGATCCATCTCCTTGAACTTATCTTCAGTGTTAGGTTCCAAGATAACTGTCACCAAGAGATGCTCGTCGAGCCCTTCAGGTTGCATACGATGCTTGTACAGGCTCTCGATCTTGTGAATACGCTGCATGTCTGGTGTGTTGTTGACCTCGATGCTAACGTTTGGTTTGGCGTAGGGGTTGAAGTGTTCAGCCTTGCGTACCTTCATGTAGATAAAGATCCGGTTCTCTTCACAGTACACTGCGCCCGGCCCTCACTCGTAAGGCCCATAGTCACCTTCGACCATGATGGGCATGGCCCAATCGTGTGAAAGGACCTGTAGTGTTCGTGGATGTTTTCGTGGTGGGGATGGTGGACGCGGCGGTTGAGGTGCATACTGCTCGGAGCCGAAGTCGGAGTCGGGGTCGGAGTCGGGGTTGTAACGTGAATAGTCGTAACCTGAGGCTGTGTTGTAAGGGTTGTAGTCGTCGCGCTTCTGACGTTTGGCTAGACGCAGCTCCGTCTCATCATACTCTCTACGTCGTTGTGAATCCCCAAGAACCTCCCAGGCACGATTGGCGTTCTTGGTGATCGTCTCGTTTTTGACCTTGTCATTTTCTGGAATGTTCAGGTTCTTATCAGGATGATGCCTGATCATGATGCAACGGTATGCCTTTTTGATGTCTGCGTGGGTAGCGTCTTGCTGTACACCCAGAATCTCATAGTGTGTCGACATGTTAGCTTGAATAGCCTAGAGCGAAGCGCAAATGCTGCATCGATCTCACGCGATGGGCAGAGAGAGCGACGAAGACATGGCTGTCCGCACCAAGGATCTCTTTGTTGCCCCCTTGAAGCTCGTTTATCGTTACTAACTTGAATCAACAACGTGTGCTGTGCGCTTCCCTTCTTTGTTCGGATTTCCAGATCATGATGTCGGCTTGAAAGGTTGTTTGTCGTTTGTGATGTCTTAAGCACATATGCGCAGAGTAAGCAAGACAGGATACCACATACTAACGAGCAGCACCATTCTTGCGATCGAGGAATATCAGACTTTGGTCTTACTGCAATGAGTCATACGAAGAGGTAGTTCGATATGGACGACCGGTCGGATTGACAAAGCCACTTGGGATATGCTTGGTTTAGTCAGATCTAGGCAACTGCAAACAGCGTGTCAAAACTCTGACGCTGATCTCTACTTGCACTTTTACATGCGACAATGACATTCTAGACCTTTCCAATACCGGCACCTTGCTTGACGACCTTTGTGACGTCCTTGAGGGAGGTGAGCTTGTACTTGTAGGGAGCCTTGGTAAAGTTTCCGACCTGGGTGATATTGACGCGAGCTTTCCCGAAATCGTTCTCTGCCAAGATGTTAGCATGTGGTTTCTTTGCTCAAGAGTGAGATCACTTACTCGCACCAAGGTTGGCGAATCCGTCAATCTCGAAGTCGCCGTCGGGGCTGGTGTTAGGGCTGTCTTCGGGGATGACGAGACCGTAAGTGCTCAACGCCTCCCTTGTGTTACCGGTGAAGACGTTGCCCTCGACAAGAACCTGGTTGTCGCTACGGCTGTGGATAGCCTGGTACAAGAAGTCCTGGTACAAGTTGTTGTAGATGTGCTGGTGACCGAAGCGGCCAGCGGGTCCTCGGGTGCCGGAGTTCCTCCAGTAGTTATGGTGGTAGGTGACGTGAAGGTGGCCACTGTCAACATCCCTCAATGCATCGCTATTGCCAATCAAGGAGCTCTTCCAGTGGTCGTGGAAGTAGTTCCAGGAGACAGTAATCCAATCCGAAGCTCGGACAATGTCCAGCTGTCCATCGTAGTAGTCAGGGCCAATCTCAACGGAAATTTCGGAGCTGAACTCTGATGTTTGTCAGTAGGTAGCTTCAAGGTTGAGGTCGAACGGTCTTACCGTTGTGGTCAATCCAGACGCGAGTGCTGTTCTGAATGGTAATGCCATCGTTATTGACAATTTTGCGGATGGCAAAGTTGCGAAGAATAACGTTGGTCGCATTGACGATGGAGATACCAGCACCAGTGATCTCCGCGCCCTTGCCAACGCCGATAATTGACTCGAATAAGTTAGAAGATGTGGTGATGCTTTGCTATACCATTATCATACCTTGTTGCTGCCGGGTCGCAGACGGGATGTCAAGTTGAAGTTACCCTTGGCATAGATGATCTTCGGCTCTGTGCCAGCCACAGCTGAGACGAGAGCTTCAACTGAAGAGACTGTAACAGTCTGGCTCTTCTTGCCAGCGCCGCCAGTAGTCGGTCCAATTGGGTTGTCCTTGGCAAATCCGACCAGGCTGTAGTCGGCTCCCGACGGGATAGCCGTTGTTACGAAAGCAAGGGAAAGAATGGAGATGAGTGAGAGCTTCATCTTGACCGAGGCGAGAGCAGATAGGAGAAGGGCCGAGCAATCTCTGGCTGCTCAGAATTCGGACCGCTGAGCATGGTACTTATAGTCCAGGTATTACCCCAGAATGGCAACATCTTCAATTCAGGTCGTTGGAAAGTCCTCGTGGCTCAGCTATAATTCTTCCGCGCCGTGGCGCACAACTTGCCAGGGAGGAAGAGGCTACATGTCCGCACATGCAGTCGATATCGTCGCTGCAGAGCTGCATCTCATTGTTGACAGCCTGACAAGCCGGATGGTGGCATCAAGCAACGAGATGAAGATGTACGATGGCTGAGGGCAATCTCGTTAAGTGGTGGAACAATCGAACCCCAGATTATCCAGAGTTGAAGAGGGAAGATCGACCGTCTTGGAACATCTTGGCGACTGGGGAAGAAATGCGAGATGAACGACCTCAGGAGGCCCGTGCCAGGCACCTCTCCACCTGCCAAGCACACAAGCTCCACCAGTGCTTGACCTCGACCCTGCTTCATCACCTCATCTGTGCTCATCATTTGACAAGATGAGCAAATTTCCGCTGCCATCAGCCATTGCTACTTCTCGTTTACGCATGTCGCTTGCCGTGCTACACTCGCACCTTCCTGCTGACCTGTCCGCGGCCGCAGTTCGAGCGCCTGCATCTTCGAATAGCCTGGCTTGGCTCGAGTCCGAGTAACCAGCACATTACGACTTTATCATATTTCTTGAGTTCAAGCCTATCACTTTCAGGGCAGGTCGAGTTGGGATCATATACTTCATCTCATTGCTACACACGCTTGACGCTTGATCGACACATCTGGCAGTATGGGGTTGATCTCTCTATCATGGTCTGCTCTTCATTTTCGGAAAACGCGAGATTCTGGGACGTCTATCAGCACCAGCCCAAATCTGTGCGTGTGCAAGTCTAGACTCTGGTTCTTCGCTTCTGTCTCCGTTTCCCTGGCCACCTTGCTGTGGGATCTCTATTGAGCTTCTCGGTCGTCCTTGGCCGCTGGATACTAACCTCGTCGTTCGTTCATCCCTTCTCACCTGCTTGGCCATGATCCATCCCGCAGCCTGCTCAGCCGCTTCTTTCGGAGAACTGTGCGCGATGAGATAGCCTTGCACACCAGCTGCTGTCAACTCATCGTTCGGGATCGCCGACTTAAAGCCTTTGGTCAGCCTTTCGAAGTTTGGCTCCTCCAGATCCGTGTACATGCGCTCGAAGATCATTCCGGGGGTCTCTTTCGTTACCTTTTCGAAATAGATATCTCTATCGATGCGTCCGGCACGTATGAGAGCTTCGTCCAGATGTACTGGCTTGTTCGAAGTCATGACAAGCACACCGCCGTCTCCAGCCGTGTCGATCGCATCCAAGAGACCCGCGAGTGTGACAGCCTCTTTTCCTTCACGATCGTCTCGCTTGTCATTGGCTTAGGTTTCGTCAAGCTCAGACTTCTCGGATGTGTCTGCCTCCATCTTCTCGTGGCGAATACCAGCTGTATCAATGTCTTCAAGCAGCAAGACATCGTTCTTGCGTGGTCCACTGAACAAGTAGCGCAACTGTGTTTTGTTGCGGACCTTCTTCAGGCTTAGAGGCCAGAAAGTGCCCCACATCTGCTGTCCTCTCGTTCTGCGGGCTGTCGTCCATCCTTTCGAGATACAAGATGTGTCCGTCGTACCAGAAACATGTTGCATGGACAGCAGAACATCTCTTGACTTCGTGCTTTAGGTCAGCACTATCCGCCTCGAGCTCGTACGTTCCAGATGAACATCGACGTGATTTCTGCCAGATCCATTGGTATGCTCTGTGATTCACTCGTGAATCTCGTTCACAGTGAAGTACTCATTCGAGACGATGATGCTGTGAGTAAATGGCTCGACAACCCACGGACTCAAGTATGGCCTGAAGTATTTTACTCCAATGTAGACTGTAATAGTATAGATAAATAAAGGAGTGATCTTTGTGACATCCAGGCTCAAGTGCACTAAGATAGGAGCAACTAGTGGCCAGAGTAACATCATTTCCAGTCGGCTGGACGTCAGCATCTGAGTCGCGCTCGGCTTTGAAGAGCTGTCGGATGCTTCATCGAAATCGGCCGACAGGAACTTGTCAGCGTGAAGGCCTTGCATGTTAATGTGCGGATCGAAATGTACAGTTGTTGCAGGATATCGGAACTTTACGCGTCTCAGACTGTTCAGAGCAAGCGGCACGTCATGCTCCACTTGTTTGCCATACCATACTAACACATGGGTAAAGTCAATTATTTTACTCGTCTTGCGCCTGACTTACACACTGTATCAGGACATGGTTCACACACGTGCACGTGACAAACAAGCAAGTTTAACGTCTCTGCTTATGCCCACCAACACTCAATCCAAATCCGACAGCAAACGACCATATTCTCTACCAATCCTCCCTCGTAGGCACTTCGCAAACATCCACCTAAACGCCCACGAGAACTGAGTCGCGAACCCCCGATTTTGACTCCCAGGAACAAGCGCCTCTGCGCATTGCCCCTTGAGGACGTCTACATCGACAATGCCTCTCCTATCGTTGAACCATATCGTCAATACTGTAACATCCCTATACTTGGCCTCAATCCTATCCAAAAAACACGGCAGCGGGACCCCTTCACCCAGGCTGTAAACGTTGCCATCATAATGAATGAAAGAACGATCATCCGCACCATCCGAGGATAGATGGCTGTAAAGAGTTTGAAGATGCAATGCAGCCCTTGCAGCGCTCCAGCCATGCGCGCACGAACTCTGTTCAGTGTGGATCTCATAGTTATGCAGACCTGGCCCATACGTAGATGCAGGCCAACGCGTCGGGAAAAACGTCGCATAAGTCATATTCGATATCCAAGATCGAATGCAGCTGAGGAAGAAATCTTCAGCGCATAATCAGCATTTTGATGTGTTGGCATTGAAAGCTGAGTGCACTTTGTGTGTTTGAGCCCCTGAGAAGGATGAAAGCTTTTTTAATATCTGGACAGCGCAGGTGTCTCACTTTTCTGCACAATGCCTTTCATCGGTATCTGCCAGAACAAAGACGTCTCAAGGACACAAGCCCGGCTTTCTGAGACTCATGAGCAGCTCGTTTCGGATCGTTCTCCTCTCGAATTTGACACAGCGCAGATCTACCACAAAGCGCACGAAGACTATGTAAACAAGAGTAGGAGAAAGGAACTTGCGTAACCTCCCACTAGTTCGGGTGTTCTAGATTGATACTCAGCATCTTAGTGTTCCAAAAATCTCGGTCGGGCACCGACGCCTATTTCCCTTTACGTCTCTCCCACCATCCACAATGCACACGAAAGATGGCGACGCTGCAAAGGCAAAATTATACCTAGGTATCGACTCACGGAAGCCACATACAAAAGGGCAACCTTCTCTTTACACACAAGACCCAGGGCGCTCTTTCTCCGACTTTGACAGTCAAAAATCATCCACTACCAACTGTTCCGCGAGACCTCAGACAGCAAACAGAAGTTGGCAAAAGCAAAAAAGTTGGACTCGCGGGGAATCGAACCCCGGACCACTCCCAGTCAGGATTCAAAGCACTAAGTGCTTGCGAGATGCTAAGGGAGTATTATACCACTAAACCACGAGCCCCTAGCTCATTTATATTATATTGCTCATTGTTTCTATACATATTCTTTGAAGAAATATTTTTCAAAAAACTTGAGTTCCAGCTGTCCCATAACTAGCTTCCAAAAATCATACATTTTACCTTCTCAAGAATGTCTTTCAGTAGTCTTTTAGACGGTTTGTATTACGCTCAGCGCACATAGGCACATATTGTTACAGTCTTAAGACGTGTGTCTATTCTTGCCCGGGAAAGCGGCGTGGTTGCGTCAGGTTGATCATTGGATGAGAACATCTTTCCCAAAATCCAGTTCTCAAGATCTGAAACTGTTGAGTCATTGAATTGCTCTGCTCACGCTTCCAATTATTGTATTGTGCAACCAAGTTTCAGAATACGTCTTGTGGTTCTCGTTTCTTGCTTGTTGGTGCTGCCAAGCCAGCCAGTCAGTCAGGGCGCCAGAGACAACTGCTGATGAGCTTGGCATTTACCACGGAACTATTTTCAACACATAATCCGCAATGCGGTACACAGGCGCCCACGTCCAATGACCGCATGCTTCTCGAAGCATCTCTCAACGCGTCCTGGCTTATTCTTAAGAGTCGAGAGTACTCTCTGGATTAGCATGCAGGGTGTGATTCGTTCGAGGTTGTCCAACGCGTGCGAATGAATCTCTGGTGCTGCTAAGGTCAAAAACCTTCGAGCATCTTGCCGTCTCAATCGCTGAGTGCTGCCTATAATGATATCAGTACTAGCTTTTGGTACACAATTGATCTCGAACAATTGTATGTACTGCTGGACTTCCCAGGGTTGGTGTCGTGCTTACAAAGTGGTTTAGTTCGACAAGTCTCAACCGCGAGAAGCTCAAGCCAGCCTTGGCGCATGCGGGTACCCGCCACGCGGTAGGAGAAAATATGCCCACCGCCAAGAGTACTTCACAAAAGCACCCTTAGGCTGCAACAGCCCTGCTTGAATTAAAGAAGTAAATAAGCTAGATTGTAGAGGGTTACACTGGCTTTCCTCTTCAAGAGAAAGTAAACCCTAATGTTTTGTTGTTATTATATTATAGTCGTGCAACAGGAGGCAAGGTGTTGGTGGTCGCAGTTTTAGTAAGGGAAAGCAGCTGTTCGCGGTGCGCTTATTTTCCCGCACCGCGTGCCCGCCAACTTAGCATGTCGCTCTCCAGGATGTTGCACTTCTTGTGCGATCGACAGCTGCCACTTCTTACGTGACTCGCCTATAGACTGCATTCCTTGGCACCTGTTGTCACTTCATAGGGAGACACTCGCGAAAGCGATACGGCGCTGATGCCTTTGTTTGACCGGGGGCAGGGTGCATGCAGCACGCCAAGCTGATGTGCTGCGCCTCTCCCCCGCCAGCCTTATCAACCGCAATGTCCTGAAGGGCATTTCAATCAAGCTCTATTACGTGGGTCGACCATACTATGGGTCCGCTGAGCGCCACAGCTAGCATTATCACTATACTGCAACTGACGGTGAAGGTTGGCGAGGGCCTGAGCGATGCTAAAGACGCCTCGACAGACCGTATCCAGTTCACGACTGACATCTCGAACCTCTCGAACCTACTCGTCGCTCTGTTGTCTCGTCTAGGCGAGAGCTCCGTCGACCCCTGGCATGCGAACGTTCGAGCACTGGGCGGACAGGATGGACTCATCTACTAGTACCGTGTTGCGTTGGAGCGACTGAAGGATAAGATATCAGCTAGACATGGGATAAAGAAGATGACGAAGACACCTCTCTGGATGTATATCAGAGACGATGCTGAGCGCATTCTGTCGAGGATAGAGCTGCTAAAGTCGCTTGAGCAGATTGCCCTGGAAATGGACCACTTGTTTGTGTTGCTTTAGACATAGGGTGGCAACAGCGCTAACACATACAGTAAACTATCCCAAGCCATAGAGAGCCGTGTTAGTACCCTGCAGAACGACAACAAGATCATGAAAGTGGGAGTCGATGCCATACAGCAGGACCAAGTCCGTCAGAGGCACCGCCTCATCATGAACTGGCTATCTCCCGACAACTTTCCAGCCCAGCATGCTGACCTCATTGCTCGCAGACAAGCAGACACAGGTCTGTGGTTCCTGGACTCCTCTGAGTTCACCGAGTGGGTTCATGGTGCAAGCCAGACGCTATTCTGTCCCGGCATCCCTGGAGCCGGCAAAACGATGATGGCAGCAATTACGGTGGACCACCTCCACAATGCCGTGCAAACTCCCGACGTGGGCGTCGCGTACCTGTATTGTAATTACAAAAGGCAGGCGGACCAGACTACTTCCAATCTGCTTGCGGCTATCCTCAAGCAGCTTGTCCAGGACCGGCCATCGATTGCGGAGCCCTTGTCGAATCTGTACGATCGCCACCAAGTGCGAAGGACAAGATTATCGCTTGAGGAAACGCTCAGTGCTTTGCAATCTGTGCTTGCAAATCTCTCAAAGGTGTATGTCATTGTGGACGCTCTAGACGAATGTCCGGAGCGAGACGGTACTCGAAGTCAGCTCCTAAGACTCTGCCGCAATCTGTAAGGGCGCACAGATCTGTGTTTGATGGCTACCTCACAACACATTTCTGACATTGTGGAGGAGTTCAAGGACATGCCTTGGGTGGAGGTGCGCGCAAGCAACGCGGATGTGACACGATATGTGGTGGGCAAGATTGACCGGCTAGCCAAATGCGTCGAACGCGATGGCGATCTTCAAGAGCTTGTCCAAACCAAGATCGTAGAAGCGGTAGATGGCATGTGAGTTATTTGCGTATCGATTCAGAATGTTCTTGACTCACGAACTTCTTAAGGTTTCTTCTTGCTCGTCTGCACATTGATTCGCTTGTGGATAAAAGAACCAAAGCCAAAGTTTATTTCTGCGCTCAACAACCTGTCAAAAGGCTCTCGAGCGCTTGACGATGCGTATAGCGAGGCAATCGTCAGAATAGATGGCCAACTACAGGACGAACGCGTACTAGCGAAGAACGTTCTTTCGTGGATCTCATATTCACAAAGGCCGTTGACTACTGGAGACCTCTGCCATGCCTTAGCAGTAGGGTTAGGCGATGAAGAGCTTGACCGGGATAACATTCTCGATGTTGAGGACATCTTGTCTGTATGTGCTGGCCTTGTCACGATCGACGAAGAAAGTCAGGTCATCCGCCTCGTGCACTACACAACCCAAGACTACTTAGAGAGCATCCGAGAGAAGTGGAATCCTGATGCTCAGTACAACATTTGGCAAGGTCGACGTTAACACGAAAGACAAGAATGGATGGACGCCGCTGATGCTAGCAGCATACAAAGGTCACAAAGACATGGTTGAGCTGCTGCTGGGCACTGGCAAGGTTGACGTGAATGCGAGAAGCGATGAATTATCGACGCCTCTGCTTTTGGTGGCGCAGTTTGGTCGCGAGGCCATTGTGGAAATGTTGCTGGGAACTGGCAAGGTTGACATCAACGCAAAAGACAAAGATGGGGATACAGCGTTACTGTTAGCCGCACAGGAAGGGCATCAGATTATTGTTGAACAGCTGCTAGCCAAACAGCATATTGCAGTCGATGTGGAAAACAACGACGGATGGACACCGCTAACGCGGGCGGCAGAAAATGGACACAAAGATACAGTCAAGCTGCTGCTTGGCACTGGTAAATCAACGCTGACGCGAAGAACAACGACGGTCGGACAACACTGGAGCTCGCAGGAACAGGCCACACAAAAAGATATAGCTAATCTGCTGCAGACACACCTTGGTGTCTTGTGACAGCTAATAGCGAACTCCATTTATGGTGCGGACGTTAGCTTATCAGAGAAACAGGTAACATGACGAAGCTTTCGTATCCCTAGTCGTGCCCCAGCTTATTCTCGCGTCAAAGAACACGAAGAGCAAGCAAGAATGCAAATGTGATCTGCCTTGGTAGTATGTCGCTTTTCGTTTTTGATTTTTGGTTACGTTTTCTTCGGATGCACAGACGTCCGCTGATGCTGCAAACCCGAAAATCTCGAATGGGCCCTTCAAATGTTGCATATGCTTAAGAGCCTTGGGAATAACGAGAAATACTTTGTCTGGACATGCAAAATGCAACGTCACAACAAGGCGGGATCCAAAAGCTCTCGACTGATTTCTTCCAAAAGTTGCAATTGCGGTGTGCGATCCACGCGAGTCCAGTGTTCACACCTTCTGGAGAAGAGGCCGTTATGAAAATCTTCGTGTACAGACCGCACTGCGTCTTCACATCTGCGTACCGATACAAAATTGTCTTAGTTCCTCATAGTGGAGTTGACGCATGCAAAGATCCAGGCTATAATTGTGCAAGCATGATAGACGATGTCCCAGCCAGTATTGCGTACTGTGGGACTTCACGACCATATTCATTGGCTTGGCCTGGCTTGTCACGTATCGGACAGAAACAGGATATAGTCAATTAAGTGATCGCAATGTGTAGTCTGTATGTTTGGTCACAGAAAGTAGATACATTTGCATGTGTACTGAACTGTAGCGGTGTGGACTGCTGTAGAATACTGATAGCTACGGTAAACGATATCGTAGGACTATCGGATCGATGAAATACTGCGCTGTATTGCTATCTAGCTAGGAGGAGACGACTATATACCTGACTTGTAACACACTAGTCCAGGGTGGTCGATCAGGGTATAGTCAGACACTGTACGGACCAACCGATACCGCAACATGAACTAATAAACCAAGAGTTTCTACGCCATCCCATGCGTAGTGATGCACCTAATGAACGTTATTTCCTGTCTGGTAACGCCTCGCTGACTCTGTTCCATCAAGATCCATTTTCTTCTTCAAGAAGCTGCTCAACTTGGCGCCACGACTGCCTGATTCGACTTGTGAGCCAGACACTGGCGGCCCTCCATATGCCGTCTTGATCGGAGGGACGGGTGGTGCATCAGCCGCGGGCGGCTTGTGGTGGTGCTCGCGCGGTGCGAAGTGTTGCGATTCGATTTCTTGACGGCCGGCGGCGATGATGGCTTGGTTCTTTGCATGGATGGCGTTGTCGGGCGCCATGTAACGGCGGTCGATGGAGTCGTTGAAGGTTCCCCGTAGGGCTTCTGTTGCGCCCTGGAAGTCGTTAGTACAAGAGACATGATGCTTGTGGTAGAGACTCACGTGAATGCCAGCGGCCGCGGCTCGTAGATTTGCCATAGTTGACTGCTTCTGTGCAACATGGTCGCCAGGTTGTTGTGAGTGTGGAGCATGTCCCATTCGATACGGCACCGGTCGGCTGGGATCCTCTTGAGGCTGCTGTTGCGCATACTCTTCATGCTGGCCTGCTGGCACCTGTCGCGGGATACCTGGTGGCGGCGCTCGCGAGGGGTAAGAAAAGTTGGCCCGCCCTGGACTCGCAGGCGTTACAGGGCTCACGGGCTCGTTTGTTGTCTGTCTGTTCATGGGGTTCTGATGCTCAATGGCAGGAGAGACAGAAGATAGCTCGACCCTGTGTCGAATATTGCTCTTATTAGGTATTGGTGGTGAGGGGTTTATAGGAGCGTTTACTGACGGTTGAGTTGGGAGAAGCTCAACGTCGTGATGTTGAGGCACTTGTGCCTGAGCTACGGGCGACACGGGAGCTGGAGTCGGTGGACTCGGTCCAGACATGCTAGTGACGCTGGGTGTTGCATTGCTGCCGGTGGGTTGCTCTGTTGTCGTAGTGCCGCCTGGTCCAGTGATTGTGGTGGTAGTGGTCGTCGTTGTAGTTGTTGTTGTTATGATGTTCCCTGTTCTGTTGTCCGTGTGCGTCTCTCTCGTGACATTCTCAGTGCTTCTAGCATGTTGTTGAGGTTGCTGGGGTGGCACGAAGCCACTCTGCTGAGCGTGTGCAGGAGATCGTGCGGGAGATCGGGGGGGCGGAGGGTAGTGTTCGTACGCCGTTTGAGTAGGTGGAGCCCGACTTGGATCCGCCGGTGGTGTAGGTGGAGTCACTTCAGTCGATGGTCCTTGGTGGTATGCTTGGCCTTGATTGTAAGCTGGTCCTTGCTGTTGCGGAAACTCCTGAGGAGGTGCTGGAGCAGGCACCCATTGCTCTCCAGAGATTGGTCTACTCGTGAAGCTAGGGTTTGCACTACTGCTGGGCTCACTACTTGCGTACGCTGAGTCGAATGTGTTGGTTGAAGACTCTTTGCGGATCGTGTCCTTATCTTTGTGGTCGTCTTTGTCCTTGTTCTTCGAGTGGTAGCCTGACAACCTCCATCTTGACTTCTTTTCTTTCTCGGCGCCGGACATAGTATCGGAGGGTCTTTGAAGCTGTGATGAGACTGCAGTGTGGTTGCCCAGGCCTCCTGACATCTGCGTACGCTCAATTTCCGCTCTCTCGAGTTCTTGTCGTTCTCGACTTTTACGTTTCTGTAGTTTTGCAGGTGGTCGCGATTCTTGCATGGCAGTTGGCCGGATATCGATAGGTGGTTCACGTTTTGTCGTTAGATATGCAATAGAATCTGAGACAATCCCCAAGCCGTAAAAGCCATGAAAGAAGACTCAAATGAGGTTTTGATTGAGGAAGAGATTCCTGGCAGGTCTTCAAGTGCTGAGAACGGGTAGGAACAGGGCCCCGCTGTCCATAGCCCATGATATCATACTGGATTTTGTGGCGTACGCTGACTGTGGCACCCAATAATGAGACCTGTCATGACGATCACAAACCAGCGGGGTTTAAGCAAGGCGGGAAGACCAGGATGATTTGATGCTCGATGGCGTCGGCGGCAGGGAAGCTTGGAAGAGGCAGGTTTCTGGAGTACGCTTGACCTGTTCGGATTTTTGACGGTCGCGCATGCCGACCAACCAAAGGTTCCAGACCGCGCAACCCTGACCCTTACGCGGATGACAAGACAACTCGCTGCACGACATCGCGTTGACACGAATGCGCCATGTATCGAAAATTCTTGTACTGTGAGAATATTCAGTCAAGCTACAGGGAGACACCAATCCGCCATAAGCAATGCTGTATCAGCACAACCTCATGCAAACCCTCCACGAGCTGAACATTACTTCAATCTCGATTTTGCTTCTGTAGGGAGATGTATCTCCACTTTCAACGACATTTCAATCTTGTTCTACATGTAATTGATTCCGGTCTTTCTGCAATTTGCGTGTGCAGCTGACACGATCATGCCGGAACTGCTAGGCCTCGTCGCGAGTGTCATTCAGGTCGCTGGCGCAGGATTCCAGCTGTCTAAGACGTTATTCGAGTATGTTAATGAAGTTACAACGGCGGATCGCAGGACCAAAGACACTGCTACAGAGACCAAGATGACAAGCGTCGTAATTGAAGAGCTGGAGATGTGTTCAAACACGAAGAAACGGCATCGCTTGTGTCCGAGAACGCTGTGAAGATCGCGAACGACACCATTACAGAGTGCTCCACACTTTTTGCCCAGATCGATGCGACGCTCAAGAGTAGCAGAAAGAACACCTTTGGTTGGTTGACCCTGCCCTTTGGCGATACGAAGCTTGAGTTCTTGCGCAGCCACGTCGACAAATCGGCTCTTTATGCAGGTTCTCACTCATGCACATCAAGTTGCATCAAGGAAACTGGATCGTGCTGCGGAAGCTTGTCAATATAAAGAGATCAAGCAGCTACTGGAAAAGAAGGATCAGTCAACTCAGAAACACGAGGAGCTGCTGCGCAAGGACAGCGCAAGTGAAGACAGCACTCTCGTTCATAATGACGACCTTAGGAGAGACATTGGCCAAAGTGTAACTTCAGGTCCCGTAACAACTGCGTCGGTTGTCAACTCAACCATTACCGCTCAGAGATTTGCAACATGTGTGAATCACGTCCGTAGCTTTTTGAGGGATATCGAGGTGCTACAGAAGGCTCTCGCTTCGAGTGCACCCGGCGACGATCATTCAAAGCACCATCAGAGTCTTGTGGATTCATACTTCCACACCCGCGGCTGTCTTGATCAAGTAGTACTAGGCAGCTCGAAGCCTAAGACATCTGCACCAGCGGTAGACCTGCAGACACAGACGAGCAAGATCTCCAAAATCGCTCTCTACAGCCTAGCTCAGCCGTATATGCGGCTACCAGCCCTCGCTACTCGCCTACATCGCCCATGTACTCATCATACCCTCATATCAGCGAACACGTTCCCGCTGGTAGCTCTGTGTATGCGATGTCAACCAACACTGGTAACGAACCTGAGAATAAGAACCCAATGAATGCAAGGTTCAAAGATCTTGTTGGCTCGAAACGGAAGAGCAGTTCACATGGACCTACTGCAACGCCATCTGTGCCGTTCGGCTCGTCGAGTTCAGGATCCAAGCTGGGCAGATAACGGGCGAGATACGCGCTATGAAGCTCTCTGACGACCAATTTCAACAAGCCGCAAAGCTCGTGGCTAGTCCAGAAGAAAGCGAGGTAGAGCCCGATTCGCATGAGGAGTCTCATCCACCCCACAAAGAAGAACCACTTGCAATACCGCCAACGCAGGCTGATTGCGAGCATGTAAAACCACCACTCATGTCTGGTGAGCCATTGAGGCAAGATGCTTCGGTGGAACCAGATTGGATAAAACGCGTCCTCGAGCGAGGAGAAACTCTCAATGACTTAATATCAGAACAGGCAGTAACTCCGCAGCGGCTAAGACTTTCTACCAGATGGCGAAAAGACAAAACGACAGCTGGTTTGACACTCCGCTGAGCTAGTTCAACGGGTCGTTTGGCTCCACTGTAGATTCAACGGGGGAAAAGGCGCATAAATGCAATAGAGGTGGAAGTAAGACCAAGAAAGACATGAACAATGAGAGCTGATTACGGAGTTGTTGAACCAGGTGTCTAAGCCTTCGAACACGGGGCAACAAGAAGTCGACAAGGTGGATGCGCTGTTGAAAGAGCGAACCGTCATTCTCGATTGAGATCGGGAAGTAGACTACAATACTTTGGATAGTATCTGGACATAGATAGCATGCAAGATTGCGAAGGATTTGTAGGACCGTTTATGTTTGTTTGTTAAAAGGCAGACACCTGGATATGTGTTTATTCGCAGTGTGGCGGAGACAATCCAGCATACAGCACACAGTGGACTGACTCCCTTGATGTGCCGTAAGAGCTTCCCATTACCTGACTACACCCACTCTTGTAACAGACAAAGTGTTATGCACCGATCCAAGCATCCCACACGGCAGGATCTGATAAGATCCCATCAAAATCTCCTCACGCCGCAATACCCCGAACACTCTCTCCAAAACATCTCCCGAGCCCCCCACCCGACATCACCCGTCACCACCTCACTCCAATAGGCGACCCTGAAATCCTTCGCAGTTCCACATCAACTCGACGCGTTTCGCCGCGTCCCAGGGTCCTTCGCCAAGAGATCGAATTTCTTTTACTCGATGGCAACCATGTTGTGGCCGCGTCTGTCTAGCGTGTCTGCGCCGGAGAGATAGTTACTCGATTGCTACACGTTTCTGTGCACGCGCGATGGGCCTTTGTACCACGGCTCGCTTGCGGCTTGTCACTTCATCGCAACTAAAGGTAGCCCGGAGGCATCTCGGCCCGTGATTTGTCATGAGCTTGGGAAATGGGAGTGGGCTGGGAGGAATGGAGGAGTGGATGGCTAGTTGGATGCGGAAGAGGTACCGCATGCGTGTTGTTGCATTTGTAACTTTTATTGATGTTGTTTACCTGCCATGCTTTTGGTTTTGCTTGCTTCTGCTGCCTCCTTGCTGTGCTTATTACTTTTCCCACGGGATGTTTTGAAATCGCGGGGCATGAAGATTACTCTATCGATACGGTGTGACGTAGTGCGACATGTTGATGGCGGGGTAGGAAATCTTTTGTGACCGTGCTGTACAACAATGACAAAAAATAAGTATCGAGGAATGAGATGAAGCTGTTGTAGCGTGGTATCAATTTATTCATCAAAGGTATCTAGTATCTATGTGATACGTCCCATATGCCAAACGCCATGCCCAAAGTGAAGGAATCATAGGTATCATGTACAAGAACAGCGCCGTTCAACAGCGAGCTGTTCACCACCAGTCACCCTGGTCGTGCATGGCAGCAGCAACCTTGCGGAAACCAGCAACGTTGGCACCACCGACGAGAGATGGGAACTCGCCATCAGCGGGGGTGATGTACTCCTTGGCGGTCTCGAGGCAGTTATCGAAACAGTCCTTCATGATCTTCTTGAGCTTGCTGTCAACCTCCTCAGAAGTCCAGGATAGACGCTGAGAGTTCTGGGCCATCTCAAGACCAGAGACGGCGACACCACCAGCGTTGGCGGCCTTTCCGGGTGCGTACCAGATGGCCTCGCCCTTCTTCTCTTTGCGGTGAGCCTCGAAGACATCGATGGCCTCCTGGGTGCAACCCATGTTGGAACCCTCGGCGATAAACTTGGCGCCAGCCTCGATGAGAGCCTTGGCCTCGTCCTCGGAGACCTCGTTCTGGGTCGCTGAAGGAAGAGCAATGTCGACCTTGCCAACCTCCTTCCAGGGGCGGGCACCCTCGACATACTTGAAGCTGTGGTTCTCGAGAGCTGAGAGAGCCTTGCGCTGGAGCTTGAGGGTAGCGATCTTCTCAATGTCGTCAGGGGAGAAGCCCTTCTCGCCTTCAGCGATGAGAGCACCCTTGGAGTCGGACAGAGAAACGACGGTACCGCCGAGCTCGATGATCTTGAGAGCAGCGTATTGAGCAACGTTGCCGGATCCGGACAGAGCAACGCGCTTGCCCTTGAACGACTCGTTACCACCGCTGGCGTATGTGATCATGTGCTCGACGTAGTAGACGAGACCGTAACCGGTGGCCTCAGGACGGATCAAAGATCCTCCCCATGAACCACCCTTGCCGGTGAGGACACCCTCCCAGCGGTTGCGCTCAGCCCTGTATGTGCCAAAGAGATATCCAATCTCACGTCCACCAACGCCGATGTCGCCCGCGGGAACGTCTGTGTCGGCGCCTGTCATTTACGTAAGTAAAACGTTCATTTGGAACCTCGACGCAATTGTGCATCTCGACAGAAAGTTTCCAACGACCTGGTCGAGATAAGGCTAGCAACAGCCCGCTCGTTCCTGTTGGTCGCCGTGACTAGCTGCCAGATACGCGGTATGCGGGACCGTTAAGTGAAGGGTACCACGCCCCACAAGAGGCGCGATGCGTGCGACGGGTTGAGACTTACCGATGTGCTTGTTTAGCTCCCTCATGAAAGCAACGCAGAACTTGCGGATCTCGTTGTCAGACTTGCCCTTGGGGTCGAAGTCGGCACCACCCTTGCCACCACCCATGTTAAGGCCGGTAAGAGCATTCTTGAAGATCTGCTCGAAACCCAAGAACTTGAGGATGGAAAGGTTGACAGTGGGGTGGAAACGGAGACCGCCCTTGTAGGGACCGAGAGCAGAGTTGAATTGCACACGGTAACCCTTGTTGACCTGGCACTCGCCCTTGTCGTTCTCCCACACAACACGGAACTGGATGATGCGCTCGGGGACGGAGGCAACCTCGAGGGCCTTCTTGTACTCGGGGTTCTTCTGGAAGAGGGATGAGGACTCGAGGGTGGAGACGAGCTCTGTGGAAGGAAGTTAGTATTGCTTCAGCGATTGAAAGCCAATTGAGGAAGGACTTCTCGGTGTAGAGATGTTCTTGCGGTATGGCAATCAATGGTGGTGGTACATACCCTTGCGGGCCTGCTCAAACTCGGGCTCAGACATTGTGAATTGAGGTAATGCGATGTTGGGTTGGGAAGAAGAAGTTGAGCCCGTGAAGTTAACTGGAGCAAGATAGTTGTCAAGGAGATGGCAGGCCAACGTGAGAGCAGACAGCTGTTATATATACGCTCAGCCTAGGGTCTACCTGGAGCTGTAGGAACCAACAAACAAAGACTCGATTCGAAAACGTCAGTGGCCGACATATCGCACGCGGAGAAGCATTCCCAGTGGTGAATGGCTGTTCTCGCCGCCATGTGCTATACTGCTATTCGTTTCCATGGTGTACTCTGATAGAGATAAGGAACGCGCAGCCAATCAAGAGCATCGCGGGGGCGAACGCGTCGAGATACCGCAAGGGCTCCGGCCACTGCATGCTAGCAGCGCGATGTAATTCTCGGTCGTCATCCATGGGTAACAGCGCACCAGAGCGTCTGCCGGTTTCGGGCGCACACGGCGCGGTGTCGGGCTCTTACGTGTGGTTCAGGATTTCGTGGGGCACTTGGGTACATGCGGATTCTAGTGGGGTACATTCACGTGAAATATCGGACCGCGGAAAATCTTGGAAAGTGGCTTGTGCTGTAGTCAGGGTGCACGCGACAGTAACATCTCATGCACCGGCATCACCGTAGATATTGCGCAGTCATCATGCATGCATTTTGCAGAGTATTCTCTCCTGATGCTGTCATGACATGTCACTTCGCAGCCTTCTCCCACAGGCAGTGCAGCCCTGCGACGACCCCCACGCATGTATTTCTCCGTCCTCCACATTACGGGCAGTCTGTGGGGTCCCAATCTGGAAGCGAGAACCACCGTTAGCTCGAGTGAAGGGTGTTGAGGAGATGGTGTCGCCGAAATCGCACGCTCTACCATGGCAGCTGTCAAGAGGGACTTACCTGTTACCAGATACTCATCCAGACCATCCATCGTCTTCATGTCACGGTCCTCAATCTCGAAGCCTCCGATCTCTGAATTCTCAACGATGCGCTCCTTCTTCACACTCTTGGGCAAAGGCACGTAGCCATGCTGCAGACTCCAACGGACCAGCAGTTGTCCCTGAACGAGTGAACCGTTAGCATCTTCTGGAAACAAATAGCAATCTTGGGTCGAATAGAACTCTTCAACGAGAAAGTTCTCTTCGAGGCGCATGGTGCAAGACACTTACTGTTGTCACGTCAGCAAGATACATAACACTATATGTGGACAGGCTTGCATACCAGGAGTGCACGAATACTTCTTCGAGAGGGATACGATCTTAGGATGCTTCATCTTCAGGGCTCGAACAAGTGGTGCGTAAGCCTCAACAACGATGTTGTTCTGCTGACAGAAGGACGTGATGTCCGTCCGTGTATTGAACGGATGCACCTCGATTTGGTTGACCGCTGGTGCAATCCTGGGCTTCGAATCAAGAAGTTCTTGCAGCTGCAATCTCGTCAGTTCAACGTACTCATTACAGTGGTCTCGACCCAATAGCTGATTGCTCCCGAGCCCCTGCAAGATATTCGAAGAGACCATTCAGAATCAATATCGTAGACAAGACACTGATGTGTGGTTTCACAACAACTCCGGGATCCTCGCTATCCGGCGCAAAGCATCGTTGCTGACGTTGTCGGACAGATAGAATGGGAAGGGACACTAACATGCTTGACGCCGTAATTGGACACACCTCCGATCCTTACCTCGCCGTCGTCGATAGCGTCTTCCACGGCTCTCCAGCTGTCAAGTCGTGCTTTCTTGCCACCATAGGGTGAATGCAGGAGAAACAAGTCGATGTAGCCAAGTCCACATTCCTGCACCGATTTCTTGATAACCTTGCGAACTGTATCATATGACGAGTTGGATGCCAGCTTGGAAGTGAAATGAATGTCCTCTCGCTTGACGGAGTCGACGTTGTCGGCGCTGGACAGGAAGTCTAGAACGGCCTTACCACTCTCCTTCTCATTGTGATACATTTGCGCGCTGTCCACTCTGTTGCATAGACGTCAATGGTTATACAAATGCAGGGGTAAATACGATGAGCTTACCCACGATATCCAGACTGCCGGTGTCAGCGTGATTAGCACACGGAACTTAGGCCAGGAACAGAAGGCAGTATACTTCTAGCGCCCATCGAACCGCTTGGTAGGTTTCCTTTCCCGATGTCAGGTAAACACCTAGATGGATTGTGGGCATGGAGAGCCCATTGGCGAGCTGCAAATGGTCAATCAATGGAGGCGCTCGACCGTATGTCGGCACTCGCGACGGACCTTGGTACGGGAAGCCAAGGAAAACGTGTTTTGTGCCATCTTAGAGTATCTCCGTATTGTGTTGTGCAGTGCAGATGGTGATGTGCGATGTAGCGGAGGAACAGCCACGATGTTGACAAGTGATGTGCTACATGGACATGCTCGGCGCTAAAGTCGGCGGCTTCAATCATTACATCATCTCGCTTGTACCTGGCGCCTGCCTTGTATGGAGGGGTGCCAGTCCGGAGCATGCACACAACTCTACACATGCACGTCTTATGGCAGTGCTACTCGGAGTACTTCTGCGTACCATGCCCAGCTGGACAGAACAATGATGCGTTCATGCATAAAAGCAACGAACCACTTGAGGCTGAGCGAATAGCGTCAGGTGACTAGTGCCGGGAGGTTTGCACTCGACAAGCGAATTGCTTCTTCCGCCAGACAGTTGCGCCGATTCGCCGAACAGCTCGTTGCGCTGAAGTGAGCATTGTGAAAATCGAATGACTGAGTCGTGTGCAACGTGTGCAGCCTTGTGGTCGTGTTTGATCGCCGAGCACACAATCTGCACTGGGTTGCATACGATACCGTAAACCTAGAAGGGACGGCTGTGCAGCAGCGGTACACTGTTTCGTGCCTGAATCCTCTGCAATGGGACAACTGTCGCTGCCGCAACCGCCGCAATGGGTCGTACTACCGCGGAAGACGATTCGATTTACCCTTGTAGGTGTAGAGGCGTTTGAGGCACCTGTCAGTTCTGGCTCCTGGATGACAAAGTTGGTGCAGTCTGGTGTTCGTGAGCGACTCGGCTCGACGCCTCGATTCTGGCCTGGATGGTTCGGCGCCTCCGGCCTGCCTGGGGTGCATCATACTGCAGTCTTTTAGGAGCTTTAGAGATACAAGACACAGCAAAGTGGAAAGGGAGGGCAGAGAGCAGCTGAGATGCACTGCGATCTGCATCAACCGGCAGTGCAGCGTGGTATGAAAGGCTATCGTTGATGGTTGCATCGGTCGCAGGGTCACAGCTACAGCGCTTTGGCATGCCGGCGCTAGAGCAGTTCTGCACCGCAATGTCAACGCGAGTCGCGTACGAACCGCATCTGCAAAGCCACACCTCGAGCGCTCGAGCGGTATTTCCGTCCACCGGAGGAGCGCGATGACCTATTGGCTCGGCCCGGCCAAGTAAGCTCAATGGAGCCGAATAGTGGCTCGACTTGATCTCCTCCAGGATGATTCCAAAATGCGTCAACTGAGAGCTTCAATAAAATCTACGGGAGGCTTGAGGGCGGCGGCCACCGAGCCACGCCCCGCATATCCATTAGCCTCATCACTCTCACCCTCGCGACGGGCACGAAGCTATAAATCCCCTATAACGCTCACCAGCATCCCTCATCTCCCCAACGCCGAAAAGCAACACTGGGTCCGACCGCCAAACTACTTCGCTGTCGTCATCGGCTGCTTCTCCTTCATTGCATGTGGACCCTGAGACCCTGGATCCTCAGCTCCTGCCGAAATACTAGCAAACAAACTTGATGATCCATCTTTCTCGGTGTTTGCGACTGTTATAGTAAGCCTGGTAAGTTGCGAGCACCAGTTCACATAAACCTGATGTTCCCGCCCCGCCCACCAACCAGGCTTTGCTAACAACGTTCGTTCCTGCAGTAGTCACATTGCTGCTTTCACCATGGCAAACCTTCCTGGGTTCACTACCAATTTTCCTGCTGGATATCCAACAATCCCACGCGCTTCAAATTTTACCGGCGGTGCACGCAACACATCCTCGACTGGTTCCCCGTCAGGTCAGAATCAGTCTACTGCGCCGCAATTCGATATTTTCGACTGGCATCCCGCGTACCAGAGCTGCCAGCGCTACTTCCTCGATCATGCCCAGCACGACAACACTGTCCAGGTCGTGGCTGCTCTGATCAACATCTGTCTCCCATTCCAATGGACACCTTACCCTCTCATGAGTTCGTCAGGCCCACTACCACATTCATCTGGCCCTGCAGCATACACACAGCCATGGCCTCGACAAGGACCTATTCTCAACTCGAAAGGTCAGCCAACGCCGGTATGGGTGTCACTAATTCCATTCATCAGACGCCTAGTTATCACAGGAATGGATCAGGCGGCCGTCATGCATGGGTTCTTCGGCGATGATTGGAAGAAAGGAGTGGGTCCAGTGCATGAGTGCGAAAGGCGAAACTACCTTTTCGCAGCCAAGAGCGTGGGATGGGCAAAAGTCAAATGCCAGTATGACATGTCTCCGCACGAATCAGTCCCGTTCATGAAGCCTCTACAAGACGTTCAGCTGGCGGAAATCGAGGGTGCCGAAAAGACCTGGAGTCAGTGGCTGGCGATGGAAGATTGGATGGTGGGACCGCGGGCACCTGATGCCGATGATCGATTCCCAGATGCTCGGCGCCGCGAATCTTGAGAGTCAAATTTACGGGTTGGCGTTGCATGGTGTATCGGAACTGTCAGGGTTGACAGCTTTGCCTTGGGCGGGAAGAGGCGCCTGCCACCTGGGGCGGAAGGAGTTGCAGGGGGCCGGGGTTTAGCGATGATGCATTGCTTGGTCAGGCTGCATAGTGACCACCTGTATGTTGCTGTTTGAGTCGATTTTCCTTTCGGATATCTTGATGTAATAATGTGGCTAAGGACGATATGCGCGTCGACATGCCCTAGGCGGAAAGCCTGCGCGATTTGAAAGAAGCAATATGTTCATGTACCATGCAATACCTTGTCCGACCCGTGCCACTAACCTCACAAATGTCGAACTATGCTCCTTGCTCTTTACCAGAAATTCACGCGTGTGTTTCAATGCATCGAAAGGTGGCATCCATTGTGTGATGATGCTGAGGCCGAATGCTCCTGCCCGCATGAGATCCAGCACAGACCTCTCGGCTAAACCTGATTGCTTTGGGTGTTCTTTAGCTTCAGCGCTCATTGCAGCACCCTTCACCAACAACCCCGGCTAGCGATCACTTACATCCTTCCAGACCTCTCTATTGTTGGAATACATATTTAGCTGACACCCAGCCCCCGGTCTTACGGGCCGCTCGGCACCTCGTCGATGGATCATGGACTCCATGGTCAAAGAATGGACGGTATTTCTTGACCGATGCCTGAACCAGCGTGTGCAAGCCGATGTATTCGACGCTGCAACTGCACAGCTGCACCGGAGGTCGCCACTACCTGGATGCAAGCTCGCTGGTCTTTTGCTGAAGCCGCGATCTGCGACTGCAAGTAGTGTTGACCCTCGCGTGACCGTCTATCTCGAGCGCCTGCTAGCCCTGAAGAAGGTTGACGCGTCAGATGTCCTGTCTGCAACATTCTACTATTCCAAGGACCGACCACCAAAGTCTGGTGAGGATGCGTCGGGGAAAGAGCCAAGATGGAGCAGCTCGCCCGAGTTGGAGGAGGTTGTGTGCCATCGACTTCACAAAGCCTTTGCTGCGGAGGAGCGCCCTTACAACAATACAGAAGGACTGCAAACGCTGATTGTCGTCACGAGATGGATGCAAGCTATGGTCACTTCACATACCAGCGATACCATGATGCAGGCCATGGCTGGTATCTCACAGCAACCTCAACAATCCATCGCCGTTCGCGAAGCTTTAGGTGTACTCGTAGTCGGTCTCATCGAGAACTCGAAGATCCTGCTGATATTGAATCACTCCACAGTCAAAGGTCAGTACCCTTTTAGTACCCCCGAGGAAGTATCACTGCTCCGTTGCTGTACCTGGTCTGAAAGTAACTCCGCTCACCTAAACTAGATCTGCGCAAACGTTTAGCTCAATCGCTGGCGTCGTTCATCCCATTCTTATCACATAATTCCTTGGGTTCCCAATCGTCGTTGGAGATCGCCAATAGGTTGGAGATGTCCCAGAAACAACACGAACTCTACGAAAAGCCTGCAACCATTGAGGGTATGCCAACCGAAAGTGCAAATCTTGAGGTGGCTGCATTGCAGCTTGAGGCCGTAATGGATTTGCCGCTTGTATCCACAAGAGCTGGACTCTTTGTATATCTTAATTCATTGGTAAGCTTCGTATCGCTTATGCCTATGCAGTGCTGATGACTTTCCAGCTTGTTGCTCGCCCGCTCACGGATGAGTTTACGATTATCAACTATCTACATTCAAGATACAAGGTATTCTCTCTCCACGACACTATGAACCAGCATTAATACATGACAGATCGACGCCCAAAACATGGCTACAGATCTCATCACCGCTTCATTCGATATTCTTGCCAATGCAATGTACCGTAGCGAACCCACGTCGACTATGTTTTGCCTGAAGTCATTTTTGATCAACAAGGTCCCAGTACTGCTATTGCAGCTTTCGGGTTCAATCTTCCCAATGACACCCGAGATGTGCATCACGCAAGCCCTCAGTCACGTCGACCTTAATGCATTCCCTGCATTCTCGCAGGGGTTTGACGACATTATGGGTGGCAACACTTCGCTCTCCGATGTTAGGCAAGACTTCTTGAACGCTTGTGCACTTCATGGACACCTCACCACGAGTACCGTTGAGCGACTTCTTGGAGAAACGCCCATACAAGGACCGCCCACTACGAGATACGAGAAGAAAGCGCTGTTGGATCAGTGCAAGAACAATTTCGACAAAGTTAACGCTTACATTGATGAGATGGAGAACCTTGACGGCAACGCTGGTGCTATTGTTGGTGCTGTTACCGAGGTACAATATGCCCTTCATTCGATTCCTAATCACCCAGACTGATTCCCTTCCAGTTTATTGCACATCTCTGTGAGACTCAGGTTACAATGTACCTGAAGCAGATCTGTAACTTACTGTCGAAGAAGCCGCAGTGTCTGGATGTCATGCTGCAATTCACCTCGCCTGCTAGCATCCTGCGGCCGCTGTGTCAATTTCTCGATGACTGGCATTACGACAATGACCAAGGTCAGGCATCTGGACCCCAGCAAGCTATCAACTACTAACGTTAGCAGGAGAATATCAACCCGTGTACGACGAGTTCGGGGCGATACTTGTCCTGATCATGGCTTTCGTATATCGCTATGACCTCACACACACCGACATTGGAATTGGGCAAGAGTCCTTCGTCGCTCGATTGATCGAGCGCGGCAATCACAGTATTCCGCCAGACGACCTGACAGAAGATCAAGGTAAACACCTTGCGAGTTGGCTTAAAGGACTTTACGATTCAGGGAACGAAGGTCTCAGCAACGATGTGTTTGCATCATGTCGCCCGCAAGACTTCTATTTGATAGTGCCAACGTTCTTCAGTCAGACGGTCATGGCATGCTCGGCCGGCGTTCTGTCACACGAGACCGTGAAAGGCGGGCTAGAGTGTAAGTTATCATATGGTCCTGATCAAGTTAATTGCATACTGACAACCCTACAGATCTCGGCGAGACATTCCTACTGCCTTCACTGATTGGAGGCTTGAGCTGGATGGTCAGCCATGCCCTCAAACAAACACACAATGACCTTGATGCGATGATGAGAATATTTCACGATACAATTCTTACCGTACCCTCCTCTGGAGATGCGCAGGCCATGCATTCCACAATCATTTCGATGGTGTCGAGTCGTTTGGAGAAGTGCTTCCGCACATTGCAGCGACGCGACCCAGCTCGAACCAACATCGAGCCTCTACTGCAGGCTATCAAAAGCAACGCACACTACGATCGCTCGACATATGCCTCAATCCGGGAACTGGAGCAATGGACCAATGCACCCAACAGCACCTTGAATACAGCCTTACGACATACCATACAGCAACTGGCACAATGGGCTTCTACTGCTGCCATCAATCCGAACCCGCCCAGCTACACACATCGCCAGGTTTACGCATCATCAAGTACGCTAGGAGTATATCAAACCGTACGAGCGATCATAGACGAGGTTAAAGCACAGACGGAAGCTGGCAACGGTGCAGCCGCATTGGACATTAGTGTGTCGATCATCTGCGCGCCGACCGTTGAAGACAGCCCCATACCGGTAGATTGGATAGGAAGCACGATTCCTGCACCGGCGCCGCCACGTACTAGGATGAATCTGCGCGAGATGTTGAAGAACGTGTTCGATAACGCCGCCGCCTTGGTTGCGACAGATCCTTCGAGTGCAGAAGCAATCGTGCGTCTGCATCGACGTGTGGAGGCACAACTCGCATCGATCGGCCAAGTAGGTCTTCAAGCACCAGTCATAAGCCTCCCAAGTGTCAGTATCAACGACATACAAGCTCAAACCATCTCAGACGACATCAACAAGGCTATGGAAGACGCAGCGAACGCTAGTCTTGCTAACGACCTGGAGATACCAAACATGGACAAGAAGGCCTTGGAGCGCAGCATGGAAGAGCTCAGCGGTTCGGCAGGCTTGGATCTGTCAGCCATGGGTATGGACACTGGCGACAACATGGCAGGCGATATGAATGCCAACCTAGGCGCCCTCCCGGATCTCGGTCTGGGCGATATGAATGGCATGGGCATGGACATGGACATGGACATGAACATGGGAGGAGGCGGTGACGACGATTGGGGCTTGGATTTCGACAACATGTAGGACATGCAGGATGCAGACATACAAGGTGCAGAGTGGGACTGGCACTTCAGGTGTTAGCATGGCATGGGACGAAGGGCAGGATTAATTTTCACAGATCTTTTGAACGGGCCAGATCCCTGGGTGTGAATGTTAGGGAAACATCAAGGGAGGAAGAACGCAGCTCAGCTGAGCTCTGCATGCACAACTGTTGAGCATTAATACAGCAAACATGGCAATCGTCTCCTGATGTCAAAAAGTGGATCCTTCTCGGTGTGCACTGCTCCGTAAATCCTCGAGCTTCGGAAATGCCAACCTCGGCCGCGGGACCGGCATCTTCCCCAAGCTCTCAGCCTCCGACCCCACAGTCTTAACCTCCACAGCTCCGCCAACCATTAGCAATACCCTAATATGTACACCAAACAATAACAACAACACCCAATCGCCATGTCGAGCCCTTGCACCTCCGTTTCTCGAGTTCTTCCGCGCGTTGGGGCGACGTGTGCGCGATGTGGTGGGCTGAAGAATGGCGGTGGCAGTCGGCCGGTAGCGCGGAGATGGATGAGCAGCAGTCAAGCCACAGCAAAGAGGCCCAAGACTGCCATATTCTTTCCTGGTACGCCAAGCACTATCAGGAGCGTCAAGAATATCAACATGCTAACAACGACCAGGCCAGGGCGTACAGCGCGTCGGCATGATCACACCATGGCTCGAAGCCTTCCCACGTACCGCGAAACCCATCCTCGAAGAGATCGACGATACACTCAACCTGCCGCACACGCCGCTCACCAAGATCATTGAGTCTGGCACCAATGCCGAGCTTACGTATACCGAGAACGCACAGCCGGCGATTATGGCAACGAGTATATTGATCCTGCGCATCCTCGAGCAAGAGTTTGGGTTCAAGACAGCTGAGCGCGTCGACATCACACTGGGCCACTCACTAGGCGAGTTCGCTGCCCTGGTAGCTGGCGGATACCTCACCTTCCAAGACGCGCTGAAGATGGTACGGCGTCGCGCAGAAGTCGCCAGCAAGTGCAGCAAGGAGGCCGTCGAAGCTGAAGGCGGCGAGTTCGGCATGGTCGCTCTAGTCTGCGAATCTGAAGAACACATGACAGCGCTCGTAGCTGCGATACACGAATTCCTACGACTAGGTGGCTCGCGCTCAGACTCCAATGACGACCTCCCAGCGGTGCAGCAAGTCCTCATTGCGAACATCAACTCGAAGAACCAGATCGTGCTCAGCGGCAGCATAGCCCGCATCAACACGCTCCTCACGAACCTGCGCCAATTCGGTGGCCACGATCCGCGACACGTCCGCCTGAAATCCGACACACCGTTCCACGGCCCGCTCATGAAGCCCACATACGAGACAGTCAAGCGCATGCTCTACAAGCAGAAACCAGACGGGAGCGACATCGTCACCTGGCCAGGCCTCATGCCCTGCGTGTCGAACGTCACGGGGAAACCATACGAGAGCAAAGACCAGCTGAAAGATTTGCTAGCACGCAGCTGCATCGAGACCGTACAGTGGTGGAAGAGCGTCAAGTACCTGCACGAAGAAGAGAAAGTGCGTCGCTACGTCGGCATCGGGCCTGGCAAAGTAGGCAGAAACCTCGTTGGCAAGGAAGTCGGCATGAAAGGCGCCGTCAAGGGCGGCGGCGTATGGGCAATCACCAGTCCAAAGGATATGGAAGAAGTTGTGCGCGCGCTTGACGATACGGAAACCTGCGAAGACTGAACACAGTTCCTCATTGTCGATGAGATGAGATTTGATTCGGCACTAAGGATGTTATGCGCCCTGCACATTCAGCCCAGCATCCACCTGGATCCGCATCCCTGTCATACTGCTATTCTTCGCCAACATGACAAACGCATCCACGCAGTCTTGCAGCTCGGTATCTTTCTTCAGCACCGCCGCATTCTTCAGCGCCTCGATGCGCTCCGGGCTGTACTTCTTGCCCCACTCGGTCAGGAGCAGACCCGGCAGGACGGTGTTGACGCGAATCTTGGGCCCTTCTGTGACGGCGAGGCATTTCACGAGGTGCAATTGCGCGGCTTTAGTTACGCTGTAGGGCATGGAGGAGCCACCTTGGCCGATGCCCTGCGGAAGTCAGCTCATGCGCGCAGCTAGAATGAGTGGGGAGAAGCAGAGAATGGACGTACTGCTATCGAGCCCGTAGTGATCATCAGCCCGCCATCAGAGTTGAAATCGAACGTCGGCTTCGCAGCGAGGAGCAGCGCACGTGGTACTTTGACGTTGGCAGACCAGCACTACAACATAGTCAGCACGATCGACCCTGCCCTGCCGAAGCGGAGTGAAGGCGCAGTAGACAGATTGAAGCATACCCTATCCCATTCTTCCTCTGTCATCCCCTCATGATCCTTCCAATCACAAAACTTAGTCCATCCCTGATCAACATTAGCATGAACCAGTCAGTGTGGAGAATAAGTCAACGTACAGCGTTAGCAAGCACAATATCAATCCCACCCAACTGCTCAATCGTCTCTCTCACAGCTCTCCTCGCCTCATCCGTGCTCGTCATATCCTAGTGCCGGCATATCAGCCCATACCCTTACTATACTATAGCGACCAAGTGGCCGTCTATCTCTACACGCAACGCTCTTTCTTCTAGCCTCGTTCTTTGTTTGGTGGATTAAACTCACGGCTTTAATGAGCACAGCCTTGACACCTGCATCTTGACATTGCCTCTGTACTTCCTGTGCGGGCCCGAGCCGGTTGAGGTAGTTGATTGCGATGTTGCATCCTTCTTTTGCGAAGGTCGTGGATAGGAGTGCGCCGAGTCCACTGCCCATGCATCAATACAATGTAAGTTTCATTCGACGGGTTGACTCTGTGATTGACAATGTGCGGTGGTGAGTGTGGCTTTGGTATCGGGGACGTACGCTGAGCCGCCTGTTATCAGGACGTTGCGTCCTTTGAGCGAGTATGGCATAGTGAAGTATCGGATATTACTTGGTTGAAGCAAGGGAGACAATAAGGCAACGGAGAATCAGGCAGCACGAAAAGTCATGGCTTAGAGTTGAGGGATCCTTAGGTACATAGCTATTGTAACTGATGTGGGGCGTTTGGACCCCGCAATGCAGGGCGATGTCTTACATGTTACCCGTTTAGTAACCTCGGTATCTTAACGTGCATTCTAACACCGTTCATTTGATCGAATTTATTATCTTAGTCCAGGTTTTGAGATTATGTCAACTGGTCTCCCAATTGACTACAAGTTAGTACCGTGGTAGGATGATACTGCGTCGGGTTGTCCTCGGTGCAGGTGAAGTTCGAATAGTATGTTGTATGGAAAGTCTGCCATTCCTCGCTGATCAGATTCCGCACGCATGCGAATGCTGGAACAGGTGATACGAATGTTCCTCAACAGGGCACCGGAGGACTTGCGGGGTCCTCAAATACAGTGGCCTGTACGGTGTTCGGGCTAGCTGTGCATCAAGCCTACCTCTTGCACCTCGATAAATACGGTTTTCGAGACTTGCCTACAACTGCATATCGTCAAATCAGCATTCGCATGAACCAGGGCTTCTTGTAAGGCACAAGGTCCGTGTGAAGACGATCAAGCCTCAAGGCTCATACGAGATTGCTTGACATCGAGCTGCAGGGCGCGGGCCACTCATTCAATGACCTTGACGTGTTCAGCTTTGTGGATTTTGGCGCATATAGTGAACCTGATCTTAGGAACTTGATCTCGCTGAGATAAAGTCAGCGCTCGGCTCCTGAGAGCAGTAGGAGACGATGTTACAAATATCAGGTGCATCAGTTGTATATAATTCAAACATGGTAGCACTTCGCCCGGAGGTTTCCTCTTCAGCTTCCATGCGTCCTAATGCAGCAGAGCGAAGCTCCGTAAGAACAGGCGCGCAACGCGTTCCAAGGACTTGCCGAGTGAACGTACCAAAGGGAAACCATCAGCAAAAGCGATCTAACCTTTTACCAATTGCTCATCTTGTGTTGTATGTATGGATGTTGACGAATGGAACAACGTACGTACCTATCATGTTGCAGTAAATTTCGGACAAAGGCTCGAGTGGTCAGGGCATGGCGAAAAGTTGGTGGCATGCGTAGTGTTGGTAGAAATTGAGGTTCACGTAAAGACATCGGGTCGCGTCTGGCTGGAAGAAGTGACGCGCTTTACAGGGGTCCATCGCGGCCCATCATAATGTGGGGCGCATCTGTCCTCAGGGAAGTTGCGACCTCGAGTGTCAACAAGCCACCAACGCATTCAAGCTTTGCAGAGTACTGTAATCATGGACTTCCTCAAGTCAGCAGTGGCTTCAGCGATATCGAAAGGGTACCCAACATGGGGCTATTCGTTCGGCGATCGTGTAGACATTGACGACTCTATCTGGACACTGCACAATGGCACAAAGCGAGTATGGCCCTGATATCTAAACCATTGGTACGGCCACGCTGACTGTTGTTACAGGAAGACGGCTCTAAATGCAGTATCTTCTCCTTCGACATAACCGCGAATAAGTCACGATTACCTCTTGCCCGCAATTCGCTCCGGAAACTACGAACCCTGCGACACCCTGGTGTGGTGAAGGTCCTCGATACACAAGAAGTGGGTACAGACAACTTGTTCTAGGAATTCAAGCGGCTAAACGAGAGCAGAGTGAAACCCATATCTACATCGCGACCGAGAGACTGACGCCATTGAGCTGGCACGTCAAACGGAAGAGCCTCACAGAGGAGACCACGAAATGGGGACTTCACAATATTGCAAAGACGCTGAAATTCATAAACGCCGACGCTGCCTCGATACATGGCTGTATACGCCCAGCTTCGATATTCTTCGGCGAAAGTGGAGAGTGGAAACTCGGTGGTTTCGATGCGCTGAGCTCTGTGAAAGAGGACGACTCCATTCTGCCGACCTACGGTGGCTTGATACCGGACGCTGGACGATACATGGCACCAGAGATATCGAAAGCAGGATGGGAGGTCATTAAACAGAACCCGACACACGCGGTTGATGCATACAACTTTGGCGTTCTGATCTTCGAGTGCTTCAATGGCAGCTACAACAGCAGCGACCAGTTGGCGCAAATGAAGAGCATTCCGCCGAGCATGCACCAGTCATACAAGCGTCTGTTGAACCCGAATCCGAAGTCACGGATGAGTGTCGGCCAGTTCTTGGATCAGGGCAAGCGGATAGGAGGTTTCTTCCAGACACCTTTGATCCAAGTCACTGAGGATATCGACAATCTGGGGCTGAAGGCAGAAGACGAGCGGAACGAGTTGCTCGGGTTCGTGTATACGTGGAGACTGTTTGGCTTCGACTGACTGTTCATAGGAAACTCGACAAGGTCGCGGATGACTTCCCTGCTGACTTCTTCAAGATGAAGGTGCTGCCAGAGCTACTCAAGTCGGTGGAGTTTGGCGGTGGCGGTGCGAAGGTCTTCGGTACCGTTATGCAAATCGGACAGAAGCTGTCCGACGAAGAGTACGAGACGCAAATCACACCAGTAGTCGTCCGGCTGTTCGCAAATCCTGACCGAGCTATTCGTGTCTGTTTGCTGGATAATCTGCCGCTGATGATCGACCATCTACCACAGAAACTTGTCAATGATAAGATCTTCCCACAGATGGTAGGTCTGGCAAGATTACAATTGGCCGATGCGTGCTGACATTAGACCAGGTTACTGGCTTTACTGATGTAGCGCCCGTTGTTCGTGAGCAGACAGTAAGGGCTGTTCTTACAGTGGTCACAAAGCTTTCAGATCGAATAATCAATGGCGAACTCCTAAGACATCTGGCAAAGACAGCGAACGACGAGCAACCTGGAATCCGCACAAACACCACTATCTGTTTAGGCAAGATCGCGCGTAATCTAGGCGTCAACGTAAGTCTCAAGTAGAAGACTATGTGGTCGGGATACTAACGAGTCTACAGAGCCGAGCAAAGGTACTCGCGGCAGCTTTTGCACGCTCGCTACGTGATCCATTTGTACACGCCCGAAATGCTGCACTCCTAGCACTGGCCGCAACAGCAGATCTCTTCAGCGAAGAGGACTGTGCTACTAAGCTTCTCCCAATCATGTGTCCATCCTTGGTCGACAAGGAGAAGCTCATCCGCGATCAAGCGCAGAAAAGCGTAGACATATACATCGCCCGGATACGAAAACATGCCGCAACCATGCCCGACACCGTGCTGCCGTCACCCGGTCTCACTGCTGGTGGCGTTGCCGCTCCACGCATAGGCACCCCAGCGAACGAAAGTGGTTGGGCTGGCTGGGCTATTTCCAGTTTCACCAACAAGCTCGCATCAACAAGCGGGACGATCGAGCCTGGCTCAACTACGAATGGTGCTGCAGACCAGCGATCATCCTCTATGCCGCCTGCAGTATCCAGCAAGCCTCCGGTACCATTGGCCTCCAAGCCGGGCATGCCACTGCACTCCGCAAAGAGCTCCGCAAATATACCAACTGTCAAATCCCCTGATCCAGCAGCAGCATTCGCCGACGAAGCAGAGGACTTCGATGGCGACTGGGGCGGCTTCGCAGACCACGACGGCTTTGGCAACCACACATCCACCAAAGAGGGAGAGGAAGATCCTTGGGGCACACCAGCAGTCTCCAAGCCTACGGGCACAACATCGTTCGACGACAAGGGCGAGCCTGACTTTGCCGGGTGGCTAGCAGCGCAGAATCAGACCAAGAAAGCAGCGACGAAGCCGTTGCCGAGGGGCTTGACTAAGTCCTCGACAGCACCGGCGGCGAAGAGACCGATCGCTGGGGGGAGATCGAGTACAGCGGGATCGACAGCACGGAAGGTCGTCGTGGCGCCGAAGAAGGACGTCAAGAAGGAAGAATCAAAGGCCAAGGAAGACGAAGTCGAGGGCTGGGGTGATGACTGGTAGTCCAAATACCCACAGGATTCTTCGTGTAGAACTGCATCGCGACGGCGTTACCGGGTAGCCTTCTATTGCTCACACAACTCTCTTGTGCCCTGTACTGCTTCCATATTACACGTTGCTTCTTCTGTGGAGGTTCTTGCATTCTGTGTGGATATTCCTGTGTTCTTGCATTCCGACAGAATGGCTAGTTCGCCTCTCAGCGGTTCAAACTCAACAACTCGTCTACGTACCGACGAGCGTCGATGCCAATTCCATCCGACAACCCCTTCGGCCCCCACCCGGCTGCCTTGCCACCCATCCTTTGGCTCTGACTGGAACCACCCATGCCCATGCCGCTCCACATGCCGCTCACGATCCTGCTGCTTGTGCTTTTCACTTGTGCGGGCTCGCCGTCGCGTGCTCGCCTGACCAAGAATGCTTCCCTCAACTTATCCGTATCAAACGCCACGCTCCCGCTCCCGCTCCCGCTCCTCTCGCTCTCGTCTTTCGACTCATCGAGCGCGGAGGGCTGTGAGGGAGGCAAGCGCAGCCAGACAACCCACCAGCCACGCGACGACTTGCACATCCTCTCAATCTCGTTCAAAGACCGCCGTGTACTCGTCACAGTGGCCAGGATCTGGGAGTGCACGCTCAGCGCATCCACACGGCTCCACCCCACATGTCCCCCCGGAGCATCTTTACTGCTCAACCCCTCCGCAAGAAGCGTCCCCGGGTCCGGAATGTTTGGCAGACTGGAATGCACCGTCAGCGTGCGCGGGTCCCAGACCAGGTCGTAAATCGGCATCGTGTTCGGCCCGGCAACGTGAGTGGAGGAGGAGGTGGTGGTGGTGGTTTGGTGGTTTTGCGCGGCGAGCAGGCGCTGCGCTACGCGTGTGGGCGTGGTGTTGCGGTCGAGAGAGCGGTGGAGCGGGGCGAAGAAGGAGTGCAAGCTGCGGTAGAAGCCGGCGAGGGAGAGCGCGGAGGTGCGGTGCGCGAAGAGGAAGGTGTATACGAAGGGGCGGTGCTGGGGGACGGATTAGTAGCTCCCATCGATCGAATGTTGCAAGCTTGGGGTTGGGCGGATGGGGGGGGGGGGGGGGGGGGGAGACGTACGACATATACCACCGGCCGCAGTCGGCTCTGCTCCAGTCTCGTCGTCGCGGTGTTGAAGCTGGGCTCTTTGCCCTCTTCACCAGGTGTTTCGTCCGAGTCTGAGACAGAGCTCCCCTTGTTGACTTGCTCGACATACACGGTCCTTAGCGGGATCCGCGCATTCCAGTTCCCCTCGTCGTTCTCGTCGTCCATGTCCGCCTCGACCATGTTGCCTTTCAGCCCGACAAGGAAGTATCCGTCGTTCTCGGCCTGCACTTGTGCCTTGCGCTTTTCTTCGACAACGTCGACGTGCGGCGCGGGCTCGATGTAGCGCATTGCTTCCGGGCATGGTTCGCGGCGGGTAGCATCTGGGGTTGGCGCTGCTGGGTTTTGTGCAGGCTCGGGCTCGGGCTCGGGCTGCTTGGAGCCCCAGGCTGTGCCGTATCCGAGGGTCATGTATTTCATCCAGGTCTCGGTGTCGCCTAGGGATGCGAGCATGTGTCCAGTCTCTTGCCTCGCGGCGGGCTCACTGCGCCCTTCGGCTTCGTCGATGGCTTTTGATGCCTTGTCCAGTGAGCGCTCGACTGCCCTGACCATGGGAGGTGGTACGCGTGGTGCTTCGCCGGTGCCTGAGTCGTGCGGCGGCAACTGGTCTTCGGCGCTGGGCGGCTCTGCAGGAGGCGGACCTGCCTGTCGTGTGGGCGCGTTGGAATTCCTCCTCCTCCTCCTCCTCCTCCTCCGGTTCCTGCGGTCAGACGTTGGATTGTCTCGAATACCGTATGCGTGATCCCCGTGCTGGTAAATCGTCTCCATCCAGTGCGATACATCTCGCAGTGACGCTCGACTCAGGCCCCCAACGCCTGAGAAGACAACGCCGTCAGTGGCAGCCACGTTGCCTCCACTGCCAATCCACGGCTCAGCAGGCCCATCGTCTCGCCCCCTCGCCTCCGCCGCGCCTTTCTTGGCCTGCAGCGGTGACGCCTCGCCAAAACGCGAGACTACAACGTCGACCAGACCCTCAGTCCTGCGCGCAAAGTCCTCGAGCACATCGCGCTCGCTGCTCCCCCACTCCTCCTCGCCCACGCCCATGCCCAACTCGCCACCGGCTGCCAGCTTCAGCCCGTTGAATATGTCCACCGCGGGACTGCCGTGCAGCAAGACATCCCAGTGGGACGAGAAGCGACTCCAGTATGTGTTGATGATGCTGCAGAACTTGTCCCGGCCGTGCTTCTCGAACAGCTGCTGCAGCGGCCAGCCATGGTGGAGGGTGAAGACGGCGTGGGCGCGGATCAGCTGCTGGACCAGGAGGGCGGGCGGGCTGACCTCGCGCGAGGAGTACTCGACGGCCGGGGCGGTCGTGTCTTTGGGAGCCGCGCTGTCTTTCGGGCCGGTCGCGGCGGGGAGCTGGGTGAGGTCGACGGACTGGATGTGTTAGTCTGGGTGTTAGTCTGGCCGTTTGTCTGGCCGTTTGTCTGGAGGGGGTGTGGTGAGCGTACGGCGAGTATCCACCACCCTTCCTCCAGCTCGTGCAGCACGATGCGCGACTTCTCCGTCTCGATCGAGTCGACGGTCTCGCCGTTGGAGAACGATCTGCGCCCGTTAGCAGCGTCCCGCCCTCTCCCAGTTCCCAGGCGCACCTTGCGAAGCCAACCATGCCCTGTGCCAATCCGACCTGTCGCAGCTTCTCGTTCTCCTCCTCGCGCAGATCCTCCTCTGGCTGTGCATGCCCAGTGCTGAGCTTCTCCCGCTTCTTCGCAGCTCTCGCGTAGTAGAAGACAATCTGCCTGTGAAACGTCTCGTCTGAGTCGCCCAGCGAAGGGCTGTAGATAGCGAGGAAGCTCAGCTGCGCCGGCACAACGCGCGGGACCGCCGTCGGACTCATCGTGTGGTCGATCGTGTGGTCGATCGTGTTGTCGACAGCCTTGCGTGCTGCTCTGACGCTCAGCTGCGGGCGATCAATCGGCGGTTGCGTCACTCCCGCGGCGTCGCGTGCGGCTGCGGAAGGACTTGGGACCCCGTCCAGAGCCCATGCGCCTCGTCGCGATGCATTCTCCACGCACAGCGACAGCGTGCAGGGGGGGGGGGCGGTGGGGTTCGCATTCATCGCCCCGCCAAGCAGATCGCAGATCTCGATGCAGCTGCATCCGGCCAGCACCGGAATCTGAACCACGCCATCTCCTCCCCGAACTCGCCCTTCCTGAACTCAGGTAGGGACGTTAAACCAATCAATCAATCGCCCTTCCTGAACATGCTGTGGCGGCTGCCGGCCCCTGTCCGCTCGCTGTTCGCTTCCAATTTCCGCTCTCTCTCGCGTTCCGCGGCTGGTCCGACTCGACATGCGGACCCCTTGAGGATATTGTTCTGCGGCTCCGATGAGTTCAGCATCGCGTCGTTGCGCGCCCTGCACGATGCGAGCCGTCATGTGCCAGGCCTCATTGAGGAAATCCATGTCGCCCACCGCCCGGCCAAGCCGACAGGCAGGGGTCTGAAGGTATTGCGAGAAGGTAACTACACCTCGAGTTCATGCGCTGTAGTCGTGGTGTCGGCAACCACTGTTTGTAGCAAGCACTGTTTGTAGCAACCATTGTTTGCAAACAGCCGTGCATGCCGCTTCCGCTATGCACTGAGCCGTAAGAGCTGGACTCTGGGCTGTCAAGTGCCGTCCCCTGGCTGTACACTGACCGTACAATATACTGTGCTGGCTTCCGCAACCTCTCCAGACAGAGGCCAACGTCTTCTCGTCCTCCCACTAATACCCACACTATGCGTCCTCCCACTAATACCCACGCTATGCAGTCCCGATAGCCAAAACAGCGTCCTCCCTTTCCCTCCCCATCCACACCTTCGACACCTTCACCGGCTGGAAGCCCCCGTTCTCCTACAACCTCGTCATCGCCGTATCCTTCGGCCTGCTCGTCCCCCCACGAATCCTGGGCCTAGCAAAATACGGAGGCCTCAATGTCCACCCTTCGTTCCTGCCCGATCTGCGTGGTTCGGCTCCGGTAGAGCATGCGATCCTCAAGCGCCGATCGCACACCGGCGTGTCCGTACAGACGCTGGATCCGCACCGCTTCGACGAGGGCGTTGTGCTTGCACAAACCGCCTCGCCAGGAATACAGATACGCAAGGATGAGAGCGCTGAGGGACTCGAGGCGCGGTTGGCGGATGTCGGGGCGGAGATGCTTGTCGACGTGCTGAAAGAGGGGAGCTTCGTTCCCCCCCTCGAGAGTCGCGGGTGGTATTCCGGGCCTACAGACTATGCGCCGAAAATCACGAAGCGCGACCGCTTTGTCGATTTCAAGGCGATGACTATGGCGCAGATACTAGCGGTGCAGCGCGCGCTGGGCGATACGTGGTGTATCCTGCCCAACGGCGATCGGTTGGTCATGCATCAGGTCGTCGAGCAGAGCAACACGGTGGACACGGATGGCGATGTGCAATCCGGACTCTGGCACGAGAAGAACGGTGGAGAGCTGCTGTTCCGCTCGGCGTGTGGGCGTGTGGGCGCGATTGTGTCGAGTACGTATGCTGGCGGGAAAGCGGGGAAGGGGAATGCGAAGGTTGGGAAATTGTTGAGGGAGCAGGGTAAGGCTCAGAAGCTGTTTGGTTAGGGCTGTAAGATTGGGGTGTATGATGAGAGGACTTTGATACCCAGGAATATAGAGTGGAGTGCAAGATAGAGGTCTCTCCGCATTGAGACCAAGATTCTCGTTTAAGAAATCGTTGAATACAGTAGGTCACGTCTTTTGATATCCTGCTCACGATCAAACCCTGATAGCCCTCTCGAACCACGCCCAACATGATAGATAGACACATATACACTTCGTCGTTCGATCGTCTACCAACTCATGTCTGTAGCTCGAATGCAGGATGCCGCAATGCAAATGCATGTAACGACTGGATCCCTCCCAAATGACTGTAAACCAGCTATGCATCATCAAGACCTGGTCATTGTGACCGATAGCCTGGCAGAAGCAGAACGCCAAAACACCCCCCCGATGCATGATCGTAAATCACACCAGCATTCGTCCACCTAACAGGTATCCATAGTCTCATCCCCACCCGCCGCACTGCTACGCTCGGCCCTCTTCTTCGCCAGCAAGTCCGCCTTCCAAGCCAGGATCTCCTCCCGCAGCGCATCATTGGGGATGACATCCTCAATCTTCAGTGGTGTGCGGTTGAAAGGGTCGTGCGGATCGCTCAGAAGATGACTCTTGATGGTGCTCCTGTCGATGATCTGCTTGCTGATAGGCAGGATGACAGGGTCTTCCATCAATGTCGCCATCAGAGGATCCGTGTATTCGTCAGGATACTCGCCCAGATCAGCTTCTTCCATATCAGCAGCCTCCTTTGCAGCGCTGATAGCGCGAGCCATAGCTTCCCACTGCTTAAGTTGCTGGTCATTCTTCAGGTAGAATTTGGCCATGATCTTGTGTGCTTCGATCCAGTAGTCTGGTCGGTAAGAGCGCCCGTCTGTGGCGACGGCGTCGATAAAGGATTGCTTGCCTTGCAGATTGAGGTACACGTCCGTAAGCTCAGCCAGCATCTGGCGTGGGTTCCACCCATATTCCTCGGGGTTGTCGACCTTCAAGCTTGACTTCTTAGGTCCGACCAGAGCCTCGAGGTTGTAGTCAAGCATGTGCGCAAGTCGAACCACAACCTCCTTCTTGGTGAAGGAGTCAGCGAGCGCTTCTGTGAAGAGCTTGAGCATGGCCACGGTCTCGTTGGTTAGCTGCATGTAGCTCTTGGCCTTGCCCTGGGCAGCTGTGAGCTTCTCTTCCTTCTCCTGGCGCATAGCCTGATCCATGTTGGGGTCGCTCTTCAGTTCCTTTGAGATCTCGTGGATCTGTGTGAAGGCAGTGAACGACTCGTCGAGGACAAAGGTGACATCGTTCAACAGCAAGTTGACGAATTGTACGAAGAAATCGAGATTGACACTGCTCAAAGTAAGGTGATGCTCAACTGTGGGGTGGGAGAGATACATACCGTGCTTCTGTGGCAAGGTTGTCACGGTAGACCGGGTTCGGCCAGATGCACTTGATCACCTGGAAGATCTCGTATCGGATGTTGAACTTGTCGTAGAACTGCGTGTGTGTACCGGTGCTCTCGCATTCGTTGTAGAATTGCATCAGAGCATGTAGCAAGTGCTTCATGGCAAACTTATTTCCAAAAAGTGTGTCACCAAGCACACCCTTTGAGCGGTGCGGGATTTCCCAAACTCCATGGAAGAGAATAGTCACGAGACCAGACTTGAGGTATGGGTTCTTGATGTACTCTGAGCTTCGGAGGAAGACGATGCAGATTTTCACAAGCTCTTCGCACTGGATCGAGGTGATGATGTGCGGCATCATTCGCGTGATGAATTTGAAGTTACCGACGATGTCCTCAACGAAGTACTCGGGAAGACACCGGAAAGCCAGGGACTGTTCGCTCGGCAGGGGTAGTTGCAAGTCTTGCTTGGGGAAGTCAGTCCCAGAGACGAGCCGCAGCAGCCAGACAATGACATATCGCATGAGCTGCATGGATCGAGCCTGCATAGTCTCGTCCCCAAGTACACCTGCGATGGCGTAGCTGGTGCAGGTGCCGCGTTCGATCTGATCCTTGATCTTCTTGACATGGGCATCGAATATCCTCAATTGCACAGGATTCGACGCATACTTGTGCCGTTCGGTCTCGAACTTCTCGAGCTCCTTCTTTAGCCACTTGACATCCTTCTGCAAGGACGAAAGCTTCGAGTTAGCGGCCTCAGTACCATAGTGGTGGGCTGCCACGGTCAAGAAGAACACTTCGGAGATAAAGTTGCTAGCGCCATTCAATCTAGTGCTGTAGAACTCGTCGGAGGTCTTCTCGTCGGCGTTGATCTTGGTTTCATCCTTGATGTCAACACGCGGCGATCGTCGTAGGTAATCGATGTCGATTCTGTCGATCTTGGAGAAGGTAGTGTCCATGAAAGGCTCGCACAACCGGTCCAGAACGACAGTGACGTTGACCATGAACCCATCGGTCGACACGGTCTTAGCATCGACCTGTAGAGCTCGTCGCATGTGATTCTTGTTCACGGTAAGAGCGAACCAGTTGAGCATAGATTCTCGTGAGTCCTTATTCTTGATGAACGTGTTCGCAATGTCTAACAGTTCGTCCTGATGAGTTGATAGAGTCATGCGAAGAGCCCGTTGCGCGTTAGCGATCAGGCCTTTATCGCCTGCTGCTGCACCTGAGAAATAGTTGACCGCAACATCGCCCTGCATGGGTGATAATCGAAAGAAGGGTCCAAGTAGGGTCTGAGTTTCGATGTGCTGCGCCTCAATGTCGGTGGGCAGGAACGACTCTGACTGGACCAAAGCAGTGACGAGTGGAGGAAAGCGAATGAGGCTACGAAGCGCCAGCATGTAAGGCTTGTAGTCGCTGTTCATAGACGTCCTTGCTAACCGCCGGCTCAGATCCTCCACCGCACCCACCAACGCCTTTTTAGCAGTATCGTCGTCCTCCGCACGATTACAAGCTTCTTGGAGGAAGTCAAAGCAGATGCCCCGGTCATCGTCAGGTCCAAGTAGTAACCGGTCGGTCAGCACGTTCTCCAAGGGTGCTTCTTCGCCGAACATGTCGGGCATGGTGACAGCGAAGATGGTGTAGTTGAAGCATATCCGTCGAAGCTCCCTCACGATCTCATACTTCGGGTCACTCTTATTAGTGATGCTCTTAGTCTGCCTTGCAACCCGCTTCCAACACCCAAGCAGATACTCCAAAGCATTTCCTTGTGTGTGGCTCGACGCAGCTTCCAGCACGACTGAGTCCAGCACATCGGTAGTGAACCGAAGTAGCCGCCCTTCATCTTGCAGATCTTGCTTTAAGCTCGAAACATAGTAGACCTTGTTACCATGTGCATCATGTGTGCGTCTGTCCTCGAGCGTTATCCTAAAGATGCCGCTGATTGTACGATCTTCCCATCCCTCTATGCTTGTGTCTTGCGGCCTCGGCGCAGGTGGCGGTGCGGCGGCGCTGCTCGCAGTAGCGGCTGGCTTGATGTTGATACGGGGAGCTGGCTTTGGCTCTGTCTTGCCGTCCGTCTGCGAGCGTAGATCGGACGTCTGTGGGGATTGGGTTCGAGGTTGCGGCGAAGGTGCCTGGGCAGCTGTAGGCTTCGGCGAAGAGGTGCCAGACGCTGAACCTGAACCTGAAGCCTCAGGTCCTGTGGATGCTGGTCGTGGGGTGGAGGAGCCTCCAAGTTTCGCAAGTCGCTTGGCACGAATCTGTGCAAGGTAGTCGTCAGCTTGTCTCTTGGGGCGAGAGCTGTCAGGAAGCTGTACCTTGTCGGCGTCAGACATGGCTGTATCTTGCTCCGGTGGAGGTTGATCTGTCATCTCATGGTCGGCCATGTTGAGCGTTGTAAAGAGGGAAGGAGAGTGGCGCTGGAAATTAAGATATAATACGAAAGAAGGTGGTGCGCCGCAGATAGTGAAGGTTGACAATGATGTAGAGTTAACTACTGTGTATGGTAGCGGGCGGAAGTTGCCCCACTAGCCTAGCTTCACGCGCGCCTCCATCATTTTACGTGTAGAGATAGAAGCTTATGGAAGCACACATGGCAACGAGCGCATGAGATGCGCGCATTCAATGTCGCGTCGCGTAAAGTAGAAATGAGCTTCCACCAAGGACAGCTCTCGATATGCAAGATTTTGTCAATTTCTCAGCGCATCCAAAGAGCTACTCGTCAAGACCACCTAGCTATACTCTACAAGCACGTCTGTAGTACTTAAGCCTATCACGTGAGATGCACGAGACAACAACTACTTAGTGCACAAACATGATGTTGACAAAACACGTTCGTAGAGCATCACGTGCCTTCTGTGGAACGTGCAGACCTTTCAAAAGTCAACACTCAGAATGCCAAGGCATCGTGCAGCTGCAGGTGGACCGTGGCGGACCCTGAACGCCAGACGAAGTTGCGTAGAACAAAGCGTGGCCGAGCGAATCGATTGCTCGTCTGTGACGCATTTCACCGGCGGCCCCGCAGTTCCAGGCGCGGCCAGGACGAAAGGACAGGCATCCAAGACTGCGATAGCGAGGCCAGCTGAGACTACCTGTTCTGACTAGACAAGCGGTGACAATGGGACCGGTTGTTGTTCTGCTGTCCTGCAGGGCGAGACGTGGGGAAATGACAGGCGAGCGACCGCCATATCAAACCTGGTCTGAAACAGTTGCCAAAGTGTTGTTACGATGACGAACGCGCTCGTCAGGCTGCTGATTGTTGAGCCATCGGCGGTTGCCGTGGCCGTTAGAATCACAAAGATTGCTGCGCTGCTGGCGTGCGGCGTGTGTGATTCAGAAAGGACTGTCGCAGGACAGCCAGCGTAGTACCTGGAGGAATAGGTGCAGGTCACGAGGGAGGAGTCAATCTTGGAGGCATGTGCGTGGCTTTATCATGGTGCAGCCTGTCTATCAGTGTCCACTTTGTCGTCGTCCTCTCGCTCAAGCGCTAGCCGACTCGTTGCCGTGGAACCTCTTGCCTCCTCATATCAACACCAGATCACCGCCCGCTGCCCACTCCCACACCCTGACTACCCCTTAACAGCTTGCGTTACAAGCTGCCTTCTCGATTGCACGGTACGCAAGCATCAGCCACAGCCTCCCCGAGCGACGTTTGGCGCTCAGCCGCCGCAGCACGGTCCAGCCGCCCAGCCTAGCAGCGTGGAGCGTGCCCTTCATCCTCACAACTCTACATCAACCACCCTTTCTCCATCTCACCTGCTAACTCTCTGCCCGCCCAGCACCACCGTGAACACCACTCGATACCCCCACATTCGCCCCGACACACACCAAAATGGCCGAGATCCGTCGCAAGCTCGTAATTGTCGGTGACGGCGCCTGCGGAAAGACCTGTCTGCTCATGTAAGTCGACGCCCAGACGTCTATCGTGGACGTCACCCCCTTTGTCCGCCCTTGCAACGACTGACAGCGTGCTCGCAGTGTCTTCTCCAAGGGTACCTTCCCTGAGGTCAGTCCCCACCGCGCCCCTCCGCCGCGTCCCTGAGCTGCGTCAGCCTAGCGACCCTGCGCCTCCATTGCAGCAGACACATTTGCTGCTCCCCAAAAGCACATGCACTGACATCATTTCCCGCGCAGGTCTACGTCCCCACTGTCTTCGAGAACTACGTTGCCGACGTCGAGGTTGATGGCAAGCACGTCGAGCTCGCCCTCTGGGATACCGCCGGCCAGGAAGATTACGACCGTCTCCGCCCCCTCTCCTACCCCGACTCCCACGTTATTCTGATTTGCTTTGCCATCGACTCGCCCGACTCGCTCGACAACGTACAGGAGAAGGTACGTCTCACGTGGTCTAAGCCTGCACAAGCAGCTTGCTAACAATGCTACGTAGTGGATCTCCGAGGTTCTGCACTTCTGCCAGGGCCTGCCCATCATCCTTGTCGGTTGCAAGAAGGATCTCCGCTTCGACCAGAAGACTATTGAGGAGCTGCACAAGACTTCCCAGAAGCCTGTAACCCCCGAGCAGGTCAGTCAGAATCATATGTAGCAAACACAACAACAGCTAACCAGTGTACAGGCCGAGGATGTCCGCAAGAAGATTGGTGCCCAGAAGTACCTCGAGTGCTCGGCGAAGACCAACGAGGGTGTCCGGGAGGTATTTGAGCACGCCACACGAGCTGCCCTGCTCACCCGGAAAGAGAAGAAGAAGTCCAAGTGCACAGTCTTGTAGATGGAGTCAAGGACGTGTGAACGGACCGGGGCCGCCACAGCCGCACGATGTTGATCCTGGACAAGAACAACACTGTGGCGGCCTTCATGTGTTAATTGAGGGCGAACCGCACGTGAATCAAGGGTGCGATGGAAGATGAATCGTCCTGTCCTGGCTAGTTAGAGCCATTTCTTCCACGGCACCTATTCGAGGCGTTACTGTGCTGGATCTTTCTTGTTTGGAAGTAGTACATCATCTTGGGGCAGTCGGCAGTCTATGATGGGTTTATTTTCTCAGAGCGTGTGGGTCGAGATTGAGCAGCTATCGGTTTTCCAGCAATGGTAGGATCTTTCTAATGTGTGCTTGTTTTCCATCCTCGCTGCTCTGTCGCATCTGCATACCACTCGCTCGTTGTCGTTCTGCTGTGGGTTCGGTCAATCGGTGTCTTTGCTTGTAGCATCGCCGTCGCTTTGCATGCTCTCTATTTTGATCGCCATCGCACGCCATAACATGACTTGACAAGACCCTCACAGTTGACACGACCCTTTTAATTCCTACTTCAGCGACTTTGGCCCAAGGAATCTCCTCAAATAACCATGGTTCAGCTCCTATCAGATCCGCTACCACGTAACCCCTGCTGCCAGTCCCGTCCGCGCGCTCCTCAAGCAGGAGCACTCTTGCATGTGCATTGGCGAAGTACCCACTCCTGTTACACACTTGCATCCGTATTCGCATCCCTCGTTGGGAGGTCCGGGTAAGCACACCCGATGCTCCGCCCCGCATGGTCCTCCTGCATCGTCAGACCACCTTCCAGGACTTTGGCGGCTTGGTGTTTTTGGTCCACAACGAGTACATCGAAATAAGGAACTTGATGCTGGAAGATACTTAGGGGCATCTTACTTGTGAACTGCAAGCAATCAATACGATGTGTAGAGACTGCAAGGAGCTTTCACGAAGTTGAGGGTATTGAAAGGCATTTGCTCTTCATTTTGCGCTGTGTGATGATTACTGGACAATCATCACACATTATCATACTCTTGATACCATATGCCCAATACCCACATGCCATGCCATGTCATGAACGCTTTGCCCATGCTTTTAAACCCCGCATCAAACTCCCGATATGCGCCACGAACTGAACCCTATATGAACAAAGAAACAGCTAGAGCAGCCATCGCCAACGCCAGCGGCGCCTTCACCACTCCAACAGCACCTTGCTGACTGCTCTGTCCCTGACTTTCAGCAACCGCACTCGGACTCGGGTCCGCACTCCCTTCGACAGCCGCAGTCTGCGTCGCACTCACTGACCCGCTCGTCTTCAAGGCCGCTGCAGAAGTAGGAGACGTCGACGCAGCACTACTCGGCGAGCTGGAGGAGCTCTGTTCCCCTTCTGTAGGCGGCAAACCCAACCCGACTCTACTCCCATCAAAGTCGAACACGGAGTACACGTTCTTCAGGAATACATCGCCAATGAGCCACTGACTTTCATTGAACGTCTGGCGGCCCACGATGTTGCTCCTGCACAGTCCGGACTCGAGCTTGCCACCCAGCCAGTCGGACGTGGAGATGTTGTACCCGACTTTTCCGAAGATGAACTGCAGCGGCGCTTGCGTGTTGCATGGCACGCTGAATGTCTCGCCGCTCTGTGCGAACCCTGGGATCTGCGAGTGGATGGCTAGTGCGTCGGCGGGCGGCATCAGGATGTACGAAGTACCGGTGTCCATGAGACCTTTCTTGCCGCTGAGACCGAGTGTCTTTCCATTCACTGATGCGTCGGCCACGGGGATCTCCCAGAACCCGGTGTCGTTGGGAACGCAGTCGATCCAGTTCAGGTCGCCAGAGAGACGGTCTTTGTTGACTTCGCCGAGGTTGAGCTCGCCGTCAGCAAGCCCGTCTTTGGATCTGCTCAAGTATATCCCGTATATCTTTGCGCCGATGAGCTTGTCCTCCTTCAGCACGTCCATCACTTGCGCTGTGCCTTGTACGACGTCGCCGCGGCCGATGCCTAGGATGCCATCCATGGGGTAGGATTTGAACTCTGAGGAAACGTTGGTGGCGAGACCGAACGATACGGAGGGGGATAGGGAGCCGATGTGCAGTGTGTCGGTTGCGAGAGTGCCGCTGACGGAGCCGGTGCCGTAGGTTACGCTAAAGGGCGTATCTTGCGTCTAGAGTAGCTATCAGCTATATTGCGTGGCGTTTGTTAGGCGACTCGTCTTACCTTTAGAGAGCTTGAATCCCCTTTGCCAAATGTAGTGTGCGTTCCACAAGCATCGCTCTTACAGTCTTGTCCCATTACCCAAGTGTTGCTTGCTGCGGAGTCGAGGAGCAGGTGGTACTCCTCCTTACTATCGCCAATAGTCACAGCGACCATGTAGCTCAGGTCACTCCCATCTTGATCGATCGCAACGCTGTTCTCCTGGCTCGGGTCTTTCGAGTTGACAATATTGTATGTGTTCTGTTGTCGGGATCGAAGGGAGGTAGGAACACGTCGTAGCGGAAGCGTCAGCGATCCCGAGCTCGGTCTTGAAAGCTTAATGCCTCGCTGACTTGGAGGGGTCGTCGTGCTACCATCGTCGTATTGGTAGGGATAGAAGGCTGTGACTGTTGGCCACAAGGCTGCTGTGGCGAGCCATGTCAATAGCTGAGTATGCATTATGGCGCTGACGATGCAGGAGTAATGGCTCAACTTCAACTAAGAAGTCGAGGGCAGAGTACAGTGAAAGCTTAACGCAAGGCAAGCCCGTAGCAAGCCTTCTCAGATTCCAGTGATCGTCGCTGGTCAGGGCAGGCCAGGCCGGGGGTCTGGGAGCGTCGCTGTGCCTGTAATGAAACAGACAGATGGACAATCTCTCAAGAATGGCGAGGAAGGTATGGGCATGGAAGCGAACAATAAGGGAAAGCCATCTGCACCCACTCAGCTCTTTCATGCGCCTCTCGACTTCGGTGACGTCTAATTGTCCGTGTTGAGACGAACGACAGGGTTAGGCTGATGTTTGGGGTCGACGATGTGGGGACTTTCTGACCCCTGACCAGCTACCAAGCTGCCGGATCTGGGTCTTTGAAACAGCCATTCATGCCAGGCACGCCAATAACGGCGTGTGGAACGGCTGTCATGTGTTATCTTGGGACGTTGGGGTTTCCTAGACGGGGCGTCTGGATGGGAAATTGAGGATGTGATTTGCTGGACAAGGAGCTGCTGTTTGGTGGAGCATCAGCTCAGCTTACGAAGACTATCCACTTCAAGGCGATCTCTGAGGAAGCCGCGAATTGAGACACACTCTTCTGAGAGCTCATGTTGAATCTCGATGTTTTCCAAATCACAAGCCCATGGGCAGACATCACAGAGATTGTCAATGATGTTGGAAGAGTAAAATGCTGCTCGTGTGCAGTTTCATTGATGGACATAAAACGGCCCCTACGCCCTGCGTGCTGTATGATATCTATCCAACCTCAACTAGGCCAATAATTACTACAGAATCGAAAACCGCATCTCTGACAACATTCGCTGTCTAGTATTGTCGGCGAAGCCCATGCTTGGCCAACAGATCGCAATTAGGCATGGGCATGTTCCTCGCTTGCGCCATGGCTTCTTCGTCGACGAAGAACCACCCTTGCGCGTCTTGTATCTTCCTGCTTTGTGTGTATTGCTCGTTGTTGCACCGTACGTCCAGAGTGTGTACGTAGGATTGCTCGACCTGCTTGTCCAGCGCTCTCCACCTCTTATCTCTTGGGTTGCTGCCGTACTCCGTACACACCGAGGGCGCGACATAGTACTCAACACCAAACGCTCCTTGCGATTTATGCGCACATGTAAACTCGCGCTGTCGTGTGAACGCAAACGACGGGCCTGAACTCGACGATCCGCCAGAGAAGAGTGACGAGAGCAGTGGCAGAACGAAGAGGAACAGCAACGGCAGCAGATTCCCCAACGCATTCCCCAGCCCCGGCGTCTCTTCCCTTCCCGGCGGCTGCGCAGTCCCTGGTCTCCTCCTCGGTCGCCCACCCCCAAACTGATGTACCCGCACGCCTGGTCCGCCGCCGAGGTTGAACACAAAGCCTGGCCCTGTATCGAAACCGCCTATCTACATTAGCCCAGATCTTCCACGTCCACGTCCAATGTGGGTATGACACTTCGACCTACCGAACGGCGCGCCAAATCCACCGCCGAAGAACTGCCTGAACAGCTCTTCAGGTGTCATCTCTTCCTGGAACCCACCGCCCCTCTGCCCTGCGAAACCGCTGAACGGCGACCCTCCTGCGCCCGCTGCCGCAGGGTTGAAGCGCGCATCCGGATCGCCGCCAAACTGGTCGAATTTGCTCTTCTTGTCTGGGTCGCTGAGAACCTGGAAGGCCTTGCTGACCAGCTTGAATGCTTCGTCTGCGCCCGCATAGCCGTTTTTATCCGGATGTGTGAGCAGTGAGAGCTTTCTGTATGCCTTTTTGATTTCGCCGTCTGTGCACGTCTTTTTCACTTCCTCGAGACCGAGGATTTCGTAGTACGCGGTTGGTGCGCACCTTTTTATGCGGAGGACGGCGGCTTTTTGCTCGACGGTGTAGGCGCGGCCGGCAGAGCCGTCGTGGTGTGTGCGGTCGGACATGGCTGTGGTGTTGTGTTTGGAGAGGTTTATATTGATGTGAAGCGGCCGGAGGTGGCCGCGAGATTGAAAGGTGGTGCACCAGACGGTACGGTGTATGGTTGTCTGCGACAGTGGCTGGAGAGGATGCGCGGAGGGAGTGAACGGTCGAGGGTGGTAGGGCGATCTGTTGTTGTAAGATGCCAGATGCGGCTCGGCAGCGTTGTCGTTCGAGGCCACACTTTCCAAAGACCAGGGTGTCGCTAGCCCGCAGCAGCACGGGCTTCACGTCATTGAACTGCGACTTTCACACCTGATCTTCAAGCGCGTTGAACTGCGATTCCAAGTCATCAGTTCCTCCCTCTTCTTGAATTCTGAGACTCCTGTATCCTATACAATGTCTGAAGCAACAAAACAGTCAACGCTCCAATCGTTGCGCAACTGGGGTGGTATGTATCTGCGCCTTTCCTTCTGTATCCAGCAGCTCCAGCTCTCACGTGCTCCTGTCTTTACCTCAACTCTAATGTGCTACGATGTCAAATTGCTGATCCCCTCGCAGAGAACTCTGTACCGCCAACCCTTCTTGCAACACTCATCACAGCCCAACATGCGCGTCCCTTCCAGCCACTACCAATGATGTTTGCGCCAGTGCTGTTGTTCTCGTCCTACTTGAACTTGAGCAACTACAAGACTGATGCTGCCGGTATCACTGCGGCGTGGAGTGGTCTGTACGGCCTCTTGGCATTGAGGAGAAGTCAGGTATGGCAATTGTTGTCTTCAAGTTCTCTTATGTCGTATACTAAAACCGGTAGAAACTGAGGAACAAGTTCACGGTCAGAGGCGCCGTAAGAGGTGGCTCGCTGGCTCTCTGTGCAGTCAACGTAGTCGGCTGCGGGCTGGCCTACACTTTCGGCAAGCGTGAGAAGGAGGAGAAGTCGGCGTAAGAAAGACTGACATGATGATTGTAACATAAGTCACTGTATTATACCATGCGACAAAGAAAGTGCATCGACCAAGGTCTACAAAGAACGAGTATAAAACATTCAATCTCAACAACATGCCTTTGCCAAATCTACCAGATTCCAGGAAACGCCATCGCCATGATAAACTACATCGGCTCATGCAATCCACCACCTTAATCGTACATATCATACAATCCTTCTATCTTCCCATTTAAAAACCCCAAAACCTGCTCACTCTCGTCTTAACGCCCTCCCAACTATTCAACTTCGGCCGTACATCCAAATAAAAATTAAGCCCTTGTCCCGGCTGCGCACCAGGCTGTGTCTTCCCCGCGTAGAAATCAATCACATACTCGACTTTCGTTCCGCAGCGGTCTACAACCCAGTCATGCCGATCGAATGGCGCCTGGTATCCTAGCAGTGCATTCCACCGCGCCCGCGGTGTCAAGCTTGTGCTCAGCCCTGAAAACGACTCGAGTTTGGGACCGCCGCAGCTCTCGCTCCCTCGACCTTTTTCCCACGCTTTGATCTCGTGCCATGCCCGCTCATTCACAGCGTTGTGAATCGGCACAATAGTCTTCATGTCCTGGGCCTCCGGGTCAAAAGATTTGCGCCGCATCGCGTCGAAGAACATGCGTTCGCTGGGGTAGATCCAATTCCCCGATGCTTTATCCGCGCCTGTATCCTTCTCGTTGTTTGCGGGTCGGTCAAGCGGCGCATTGGGCACGGAACGTGGTATTGTGCTTATTTCGCGGTCGGTGCCGAGGCGCAGGTTGAAGAGGAGGCCGGTTGTTGTTGGCGCTGGGGAGGTTGTGGATTGGTCGAGGGTGGAGGAGTCGCATGATTGCTGAACGGGTGAGGATGTTGTTGCTGCTGCTGCTGCTGCTGCTGCAGATGCTTGCAATTGTGTGGGTGCTGCCGGCGGAGGCGCGGAGGCGTGAGGGTTGGGTTGAGGGTTGCCGGCTGCGCGGGCTTGTTGGAGCCATGCTTCACGCGCTTTGTGGTCTACGGGGCATCCGGCGGCGGCTGCTTCGTCCTGCTGTGAAGACATTATGATGGTGGTGGTCTGGGAAGATGTGAGCGCGGTGTTGCAAGGCAAGTTGCGAATGGCGAGACAGCCAGAAAAGTTGAGCTTGGACTGCGTTCGGCATGCGATGATTGCCGTCTTCTGTGATTGGCAGGCCTGGACTACAATGCTTTGGGCTAGTTTAGCTTCACGAGTCGAGGGCTGGTAGAATCATCTATATCAGAAAAGGAGAAACGAAGACCTCTTCATTCCACAATTCTTATATTAATTACAGCTGTCGTGGTCGACTCCTCGTGTTTCGTTGTTGAACTCACTGGACCCTGCATAAACAAACCTCTAAAACCCCACCATCGATTTCCCTTTCTCTCCACCCCTCCTCCGCACATCATACAAGTCAGACCCTGTCAAACGTCAAAATGTCTGAAATCTACCGTGCCAGCACCACCGCGCCCGTAAACATCGCCGTCATCAAGTACTGGGGCAAGCGCGACCCCAAGCTCAACCTCCCCACCAACTCCTCCCTCAGCGTCACCCTCTCACAGAACGACCTGCGCACCCACACCACCGCTTCCTGCTCCTCCTCCTACCCCGCGGAGGACTCGCTGCTGCTCAATGGCAAGCCCCAAGATGTATCTGGCGCGCGAACACAAGCCTGCTTCCGCGAGCTCAGGGCTCTGAGGAAGGAGGTTGAGGCTAGGGACTCGAAAGCATCCAAGCTCGCAGATCTGCCGCTCAAGATCGTGTCTGAGAACAACTTCCCTACTGCTGCTGGACTGGCTAGCAGCGCGGCTGGCTTCGCGGCGCTCGTGCGCGCAATTGCGAACCTCTACGAGCTGCCCGCAGATCCCACCGAGCTCTCGCGCATCGCTCGTCAAGGCTCTGGCTCAGCGTGCAGAAGTCTGTTTGGCGGATATGTAGGCTGGGAACAGGGTTCCTCAGCCGACGGCTCGGACAGCAAGGCATTTGAAGTCGCGCCCGCATCCCACTGGCCGAACATGCGCGCCGTCATCCTGGTTGTCAGTGCCGCGAAGAAGGATGTCTCGAGCACATCTGGTATGCAGACCACGGTTGCCACATCCTCCTTGTTCGCGTCGAGGGCGAGCGAGACTGTGCCTAGGCGCATGAAGGAGATGCAAGATGCGATCAAGAACAAGGACTTCGAGACTTTCGCCAAGGTCACCATGATGGACAGCAACTCGTTCCACGCTACTTGCTTGGACACATACCCGCCCATCTTCTACTTGAACGACGTCTCGAGGGCGGCGATCAAGATGGTTGAACAGATCAACACGGCGGCTGGAAAAATCATCGCCGCCTACACCTTTGATGCTGGTCCAAACGCTGTCATCTACTACCTCGAGGAGAACGAGAAGGCTGTTGCTGGTGTCTTCAAGACTCTTCTGGCTGACAAGGATGGCTGGAGTGGCGAGCGCGGTGCTGCCGTTGAGGGCAACTATGAGGTGGCGGAGAAGGCCAACTCCGAGGCCGAGGTCGCCGTTGGTCTGCTAAAGGAGGGTGTCAGCAGGGTTATCTTGACGGGTGTTGGCGAGGGTCCAGTAAGGACCGAAGAGGCTCTGATTGATGAGAAGGGCGAGCCAGTCTCAGTACTGTATTAAGCGACGTAAAAGCAAAGCATTAGATACCCTCGTATAGAAGCAACGTCCATCTTGCTTGAAGCTCACATGAAATATTGTACAAACATAGTCTATATCAGACGTTTCCCTAGTCACAGTCCTTCTCACATCTTCTGCCGTTTTTACGGAGTATTCGTTTCGAAGTTGGCTTGCTCGCCTCGTGGCTCCCGCGTAAGCCAGACTTGGCCAGCCTTCATCTTCTGAGTCTTGTGAGGGCACTGTAGCTTCTCTTCCTCAGTTCGGTGCTCGTGGTAGCTGCAGAAGTCCATGTTGAAAAGCTGGTGACGGTTCTGGAGGTCGTCCTTGCGCCACTTCCCAACCCTCTTGTAGAATCGCAATAGAAATTCGTGCGGCAGAGTCTCGTAGGCCTCCTCATCCTCGCCTTCGTCGAGATCGAGCCTCCAGACCATAAAGTAGCGGTCTACGATGAGATCCAGTATCGGGTCGGTTGGCGGTAAATTGTGGAAGGCATAAGTAACTGTCTCGTATTCCTCGAGGGCTGGACAGTCGGAGTCATAATCGTTGACGATGGCGCGGTTGAGCTGCTGACGCAATAGCGGTACCATGAAGCGGTCGGCAAAGACGTACAACTTCAAGCGGAGCATCTTGGCCGAGACGCTGTAAGGGTGTAAGGGATCAGCGATGCGGCGCCAATCCGGAGAAAGAGTAGGCAGTGTCTGCGTGTACAGCCATTCCACGAAAAGGTTGAAGATACAGGGCTCAACGTCGCTGCTAAGTACCACAGTACGTTCGGAGGCTTCCTTCCAGGCTCCAAAAAGGGCTCGCTGGAAGTATTCAGAGTGGTGACTGAGGAAAGTCTCGGACACATGGTACTTCAACCGCTCAGGTCCGACCTCGACGGTTACCTTGTCTGGTGTGGCAAGGCGTGCGAGAGCACTGTGAATCCTATCAGTATCGTGCGGTTGCATTGCTTGTGTGTGTGTGCACACCTGTGAAGCGGTGGCTCGTCCTCATCACTTCCTGGCTGCGCCCTGATCGATTGGGCAGTAGCAGGCCTGCTGAAAGGGTGGTTCCTCAGCAGCTGAGCACGAATTGCCTTGCGAGTCCTGTCAACCGCGTCGCTCATGGCGGAGTATTGAGGTTGTATGATAGTTGTTGTGAAGTGAAAGTTGGGAGGTGAGGAGGCAAGACTCCACGTACCTTCCTTGACGTTAAAGCACTGACGGCGTCCAAACACTGGAGGCAGGAGCGACATCGGCAGCTGCAACCTCGAAATGTAACACCAAGAGACGGTGAAGATACGAGCGAAATAAACGTAGTTAAGTGAACGAATGGACACCGCAGGCGTTTGCATTAACTGTACACTACCATAACACTGCGTAACATGCAAAAGACTGTGACATATAAAGAATCAGGTAATGCGCCCCATGCCATGGTATAAGAGCTCTTCTCGTATGTTCAAAAACGCTAGCATGATCAGTGATAACAAGATGCAGACGGAGATTAGTCCAGTACTACAGCGAGGATGATGATGACCAAAACGATGGCCAGAATGAGCAGGAGGATGCAAGCCTTACTCCTCGCACTCTTCTGGTAGTTGCTCGCCTGCTTCAAGTTCACATGTGCGCCTCTCGATGCATCGTGCGTGACTTCGACGTTCTCTTCAATAATGTCGAGCTGTGCACCCTGCTCATGCACCATGTGCGCAACATCACGGAACAGCTCATTGAGTTCACCGACCGACTGCTCGATGTTGCGAATCTCAGACTCGCGCTCGATAATCAGCGACTCTTGGAAGTCGACCTCGTCCTGGTTCGCCAATCGTAGCTGCTCCTGCTCTTGCTGCTGGCCGAACTCGGTGCGCTCTGCGCTTGGCGATGCCTGGTCATCGAGGGCTGCTCGTGCAGCAGATGCTGACGCTCTTTCCTTCTCGAGAGCTTGCTTCTGAAGTTGCTGGAACTCGGTGAGGGAGGCCTTGAATTCGCGGCTAAGCTTCGACTGTGTGAATCTTTGCGATGGCTGCCTGCTGTTAGCCTTCATCCTCCATTCTCCATTCATGACTTGACCGTACCCCAACATCAGGCCACTGACTGATTTTCTTTACGCCCTCTCCAATCTCCTTAAACTTCTCTGCCGTCTCTTCGGTCGTGCTCTTCACTCTTTCCCGTACTCGTGCCGTCTCATGCTTCGTCCCCAGCTTTGAGATCTCGGTCGATAGGCGGGCGACATTGCGGGTGAGGGCGAATAGGTCGTCAGAGATCTTGTTGGCGAAGTCGCGGAACTCTGGGTCATCGGCGTATTGAGGGTCGTCTTCACGCCTCCAGTTGGTAGGTTGGCTCTCGAGAGCGGAGCTGCGCTGGAATGACATGCTGCCGGACAACTGCGATAAGGGCTCGATTTGATCTCTGAAGTGACGAAGATAACGTCTCAGTGTATGCGACCGGTATGAGACGAATTTTGTAGCCTAAAGACGGGTGTGACTGTTGACGCCGTTACCTGGAGGTTGGCTCCTCGGCGGTACCTGCGGCGTTCGTCATTGTGCCAAGCTGCTGCGGCAAGTCGGCGTGGATCATCTCGTGGGCCGCCGATTGTTTGTTTGAGAAAGTTGAGCTGCTTTCACTGCTGCATCAACCCCACTTCCAGCCTTTTCCTTCTGTTGGCGGCGCGACGCCTGTTTCCTTCGACAGCTCAGCCATGATATAAGCTTTGACCAGCTTCGACATATCGAACCTTTGCGCAAGCACTCACCACGCGTAAAGATGGCGGCACGCGCACCTTTGGGTACTGGGACGCGCCCATACCGAGACTACCTGACGCCCTCGCTCCATACAAGATTTATAAGAGCTAGCAGATACACCATTTTGCTCTGCTATGCCATTGCGTGTTGGATGGGCGAGTGGAACAGCTGTAAACCGAAAATCCACTTACCAGAAGGCTTCCACTAATAAGACATGCAGTACTATGGTTATGGCTTCCTTTCGGTCCCACTGGCATTCGAACGCTTCTCCTATTCATCCCCGCCCTTACAATATACCTGCTTCGAATCGCGCAATGGCATGTTGGCCAACGACAGACTTTGACGCGCGCCGAAACCTTCCAGAAGTACTTCTTCAGGAAGAACACACTTCTGACCCTAGCCTTCTACGCATTCTCTGCCTGGCTATATAACGAGGTCTACACATGGTCGCGCACCGAGAAGGATAAGCTCAATTTCACCGAGCTAGGGCGCGCTCATGAGAGGCTCAAGCTGAATGAGCGGCCACTATACCTGCGCTTCTTGTTCTTCATACTGGCGGTCGCCCAAACTGGCGTGCATTTGTGGAAGGACTACGACCGAATCGACGTGCCGGCCATGCAGCCCAAGAAGCTTGGTGAAGGCGTAACAGCTGAGACACCGGTAAAGAGGGGCCCTAAGCCAAGGATGGTGCTCGTGAAGCAGCTGCAACCTATGTTTCTCACTTCAGCAAGCCTGGCATTGCTTGTTACTGTTGCTGGATCTACTTTTTACTTCGTCGGACCCCGCCATCTGATTTGGGAGTACTACTACAGCTTCAGCCGATACTTCATCAGCTTATCAAAAACCTCCAAGCCTACTGGACTGGCGCCGTTCGCACCTTTGGTAGCCAAGTTCGTTATGGAAGGAACACTGCTTGTGCTTCTGTGGGAGTTCGTCAACAAGGCCTTTGATTTGTACATTGCACAGGAGCCACTGAAGAACGATAAGCCCATCACCAGCGATTCCAAGGATCCTAACGGAACGCTGCTGAACGGTCTGAAGTCGAACAAGGAGGCCAACAAGGTATGTGGTATTGCCTCCAGATCATTGCATTCAGCTAACGGCACTGCAGGCTATGGCATTCTGGGAGTTGGCCCTGATCACAGACGCATTCCCTGACCGCCGCAAAACCATCTATGCTGAAATGGAACGGAAGAGAGCTCCAACTTTCCAGCAGATCGCCGACTTCTGTCTTGCGGAGATCAATCTCCTCATCGACCGCCTGAACGTTGGTCTTGACCCCACTTATCAGTCTACAGCTGCCTCCTCTGCGCCGCAACCGACGCCATCCGTCAACCTCGTTCCTCAGATCTCCCAGCCCCTCAAGGATGACAAGCCGGTCGTGGCACTGCCACCGAAGCCTAGCACGAAGTGGGAGCACTTCGAAGCTACAACATCTAGCATTGCCAAAATGCACAGTTCGCCGGGTAATTCCCAGCAAGCATATGGTCGTGAAGCTATCAACAAGGGCCTGAAGAAAGCCCAAGAAGGCGCCCAGCAAGCCGAGTCCGTCGCGTCGACCGCATCTACCAAGATCCTCTCGTCACCCTTCGGCTACGTCTTCAGCCACTCTCTACCGCGTAGGGCAAAGCTCGTCGTCCTCGGTGCGCCGTACTCCCGCGTCTCGCTGATCTGCAACGCCATTACCTCGCTCACCAACCTCGCTGTATTCTCCATCGCCGAAGACGCAATTGGACGGTTCCATGAGAGCGTGCCAGCCATCATCCGCAGTTTCACCGCTGCCATCAACAAGATCGACGCCTACATGGCCATCCTCGAGGTTCACTGGAGCGACAAAGATACATTGGCTAAGCCCGAAGCGGAGCGCAAGAAGGTTCCAGAGGTGGATCAGGTCAAAAAATGTTTGCAGAAGGGGTTGCAGAACGTGCTCGGCAGCTTCGAGAAGTACCTGGGTGGCATGGGCATGAGTATGCTTGAGATCTCAGATGCGAAGAAAGCGACCGCAATTGCGAAGCAGCCGGAGATGATACAGGCTCCGACTGCCCGTTAAAGGAAGCAGTCAAACAGGTGCACAATTTGTGCATACTTGACCACTCGACATGTTAGAAGGAAGAACGTATACGTTGATACCCAAATGTTGAAGTTTGCACAAGTACAATCCCAAACTATGGTATGTTGGAACCTTTCACTGCCATCATCGGATATGTAGTTGTTATTTTTACATTCGAATAGGTGATCCCTTCGGTACGATGAAGCCGACCTTGCTTGAAGGTGTATATGTCTTCCAAATATCGCAAAGTTGACATTTGACTATGACTGAGATACGATGATTCTTAATCTTGGACCTGATGAGGTCAAGCTTCCTTATTGTACTACTATCTGACTGCTGGATGCGAATACGAACCTGAACAACATCACTCATCAACACTGTAACTTTGTACGCGTCCGATACGGTTGAACCTTCTTCTAAGACTTGTCGTCTCAAAAACCTGCAAGTCCACGCGGCCTCGTAGATGTCACAATGCAAATATGAGCCTCGAAACTTTCCCATACAATCTCAGGGTCGAGATCACCAGGGCACTTCTTGAGATCCAGCAGGTCTCAACGGTCATCCTCCCGCCGCGGTCCGTCAGGTGATGGAAACCCCCGAGCCGTGCGCCTCTTCTGTACATTCCTGTACATCAGACAAAATGTTATTATACGCTCGAACGCGATTGGCACAAACTCGGCGGGACTAAGTCCGCCTATAGAGTTTTCAACACGCCAACACGATACCATTTGAATGAGGGTTCAACAGCCCTGTGTAAGTTTTCTAGCCACGGACTGGACTCTCAAAGCAGCATGGCTGTATTCTCAATGCTTTCGGCGCAATAAGAGCAGCATAAAGCCTTATGAACTGCTCAAGCAGCGAGTGACAATCACGGAGCTGCGATAGGCTGACAAGTCAATGAGGCTGCAAACCTCCGGAAAGATTATCGTAGGCTCAGCAAAAGGTTTTGTACAACATAGGTGGGCATTGTACATGCCGATGGAGGCCTGTCTGCACCCTTCACGCGCTCCCGAGCACCCAGGACATTGCACTCAAACCTCCAAGCGAAACTTCCCGAAGCTCTCGGAGGCAGGCCCGCGATCCTGGGTCGCAGGAGCAACAAGCAAATTCAATTGTATGCTGCATGCAAGGCACCTCTTCTCTGCACCTCCACCATCCAAGATAGGAAGGTTCAGTTACATATTTCGAGCAGTGACGTGTGCGAGTAAGTGGACTGCCTCGCATTACACACGCATACGCTCGACTACGCCCTCCACTCGGCACAGCTCCGAGTCGGCAGCGCTCGCCTGCACGTTCCGTGGGGCACGGCGTGCAGCTCGCATCGCCATCATGTTGCGTGTCTTTGGGAAGACAGAAATATGGGTCTAGCGTTGTGACTTGTGTGGAGGAATCGAATCGTACCTGATCATGACCCTGTCTGGAACAAAGCCAGGTTGTGTATGGACGAGTAAGCGGGTCCGGCGTGCACAGGCTTTGATCGAGGTGAAGATTAGGTTTGATTGTGCGGATGATGTGCAGCAAGTGTTGCACCGCTGCCTTGGGAAGGGCGTTAAGATGGGAGCTAGGGAGTTAGGGTTTGCGCCGCGTGGTAAGCGTGGTAAGTACGCGAGTATGGATGGTGATTGGATGTGCTGCGAAAGTGGCCTGAGATGGAAACCCAATAGAGAGATTACCGATGGTGAGTGGTTCGGAGAACCTTCCTGTTCGTATATGTGCGGTGTGTCTGCAAGTGTCAAGTCTGAAAAGAGGGTTCAAGGTTGTGTGGTGCATGCTTTTGGATGCCTTTGCATGCCTTGACACGGGGGGATTGGCTTCAAGGCGACGAGTTTTGAGTGCATAAATTGACTAGTGCACTATTTTGTCAGTATAGCGGATAAGTTTTATGCCTATGGTGCCCTTAGAGTAAGCAGGGTCTCAGTGATCGCAGTAAACTTCGTAATGATTTGTGTACAGACTTAAATCAGAGTTGGCTGCCAGTAATGTATCTTGCAGGCATAGGTGCGTTTCTTACAAGCTTATCTTACATGTGTTGAGGATTACAGCGTCATAATGCATGAAGAGTCGAGGATTGGCCGGTCTCGAGCTCGGTGGTGAAAGCAACAGACTGTCTGGACATTCGTCCAACAGTTAGAATAACTGAGCCAGACTCAGTCTGTCTTTGGATTCTTCTTTCCAATGTTGTAGCCCCACTTCCTGAGTGTCTTGACAACTTTCGGCAAGACGGCAGCAGTAAGTGGAACTCTGAAGAAAATCAGGGATTTGTGAACAAGGTAGGCCAAACCGAGTTGTGTCCAGATCGCTAGAATCCAGTCAGCCATCAGTTAAAAGAGATTCAAGACCACACTCACATGCATCACCACCGTTTCGTGCTTTTACAGCTGCTATCTCACCAGCGTCCAGGCTAGCCTCAGCAGTCTCTTCTAGTGCGTGCTTCTCGGCTGATGTCGTGCCCGCATCTGGAAAAACTAGTCTGACGAGGTTCCAGAAGCCATCTTTGACTACTTCTTCATAGTGCCCTATCCTATCTGTGCCGAGGAGCCGTACTGCAAGGAAGCAGAAGGGGAAATCCAGGGCAGACAAGCCCAGATATACACCTAAAGCTGCCCATCCATACTCTTTCGAAAGAGCCTTAAGCTTCTGCGACAGTGATTGCGCTGGCTCAGGGCTGCCTAAGTGTGGCGTTGGATCATGATGTGATCCATTCGACTTGTTGCTGTTGAGGCGGATGGAGCGGAAGCGGCGTACGAGGGCAGATCGTTGGAATCGGAAGTACAGCAGCGCGCTGTGCTGTAATATTTTTGGCGGTAATCGAGTCCTGGCTGAGTGCTGTGTTGAAGAGAAGAAGCTCCTTAGGAATGGCGCTGATGGGCGCGATACAGAGCTCCTTGTTGCCTGAGAGCTCCCAAACAGGAGCTGCTCTGTCCAGATGCGTGCGACTCGCGTCTTCATTGAAGGTGGAGGTCCGGATGAAGGTGGGGTGAAGTGGTGCTCACGTGGTGAGGTCTGTATCAGGTCGTTGTCGCAGTGTGTTCGCAAACTGGGTGTTTCGTCGCAGTGACGATAAAACTGCCAGGGTCCATCGCAGCTGCCGTCGGCGAAAAGAGCTCCGATCTTGCGCCTGCCTCGAACTCACCGCCCATCGTTTTGAGCATTCTATTCAGGAACAGGAAAGAGCGCCTGTAACTCTGCGACATACAGCATCTAGGAGGCAAACCTTCCCCTGGACTTTTCTTCTCGCCTCACTCTTTGTCTTCGATTCAAACGGCCGCAACGTCAGCAGCGACTGAATCGCAATTGTTAACGCCAGCATCGACCAGTCCTTCTGGCATCCTTCATTCATCACCCATCATTTCCGCGCTTGCAGCTGGCTGTGATACGGCCCGAAGTCAGACCACATGAGGTCGACGACGTTGAGCAAGTCGAGGTTCCCCAGTCCTAGAGGCCTCCGCGCCGGCAGCGGTGGCTGTGAAATCCAGGAACCAGGCATCAAAATTTCCGAGTCGAAATGGACTCTGGAGAACCCCTGGCTTTCGTCTGGGCACCGATGTCGCTGTTCTCGTGAGCCTGCGTCATCCTCGATTTCGACTTCACGGCTGCAGTGAAATTGCAAGATCCCAATGAAGCATTCTCTTCGATTGGGCAGCGTATAGGACTTCCCAAAAAGTACTCGGAGAGTGCCCTATGCAGGTGCCTGTCACAGAAAAGGCGCCTGACCAACGGCATGGAACGCCTTTGGCTGTCAGTTTGTGGCGGCACAACAGGGTTCATGAACTGGACGTAACTGGCCCTCGGTTCGTCCTCTCACTGCTGTGGAACACGGCTTCAGCATCAATTGTCACAAGTTACCGTACGATTACTCCAGATGTTCATTGGAACAGCTGCAATGTAGCAGTCCCCACCGAACGCCCTTCGACGTCGCCTAATGCTGCCTCAAGTGCCATCACTGGGTTCTGCATTGACAATCGGCTGTCAAGCGTTCTCATACCAATGTCCTTATTGTTGTATCGCTTCATACTCTCGAATTCTATATTGCGGGGCAAACGCGTAGCTTTATCATCGGCCGTGCGGGTCCAACTCTATGCGAACCTGTTCACTGGTACAGTAGCGCGTCTATGGAACAAGGAGTAGACTCTATTACAAGGTATCACTTGCAATGCTCGAGTCGGCGCTATCGCGTCGCAGATTCGTCCCTACTGCCCTACATATCAGTTACCGAACGCACGTTGGGTGTAGGTGCATGTCGAGTAATGGCGCATCGACAGACTCAGCGTCATCGCGTGGGATTATTTTGGAGGGTGGCGTTGGACTGCTTGCGGACGTAGCCGGTCGCTAGCAATCCTCAACGTCTGACGTTAGCCTATTTCGAACTGACATGGATCCATACATGCTATGCTGTATGGAGAACCCTCGCTAATTGGCTCACGCGATGCGGAATTGTGCTTTCCTCCCTGCAACAACGTGCTGCACTGCCGATTACCCTAGCACATTGCCGGGTCGTCAGCAACCCACCATCACGACACATCACAACGCTTTGCCTCTCGTCTGCAGCGCCCCTTATTTCGCCTCTGGCTTTGCCGTCGTTCTTACGATCTCTCATCCGCTAACTGAATCAAGAACTCGCTCTAAAGCGGCTCGGAGCCTGACTGCGGGGCCTGCGAAGGTTTGCGGGCTGGAAACAAAGTTTTCGGCGCACCAACAACCCTGCTACTGCACCAGTCTCAAACTTAGACCTTCCACGTATCGACCTGACGAGTGGCCAAGCACTTATTCATCTTTCAGGCTCATCAAATCCCCTTCAGGCAACGCCAAATCCCTGATTGGTTGTGGGACCGAGTCGTTCGTGGTTCGTCAGAACTCAAACGTTCCAGAGTAGCGGACAGGGCTGGTCTTGGACCGGAAACGTTGTCTTGCATACCACCTAGCTGCTCGGCTGAACTTTGGAGTGTGTTCCTTTTCTTCTTCTTTGTGAAGCTCGGCCGTCACTTGCTTCCTGACGGACCAGGGTCCTTGCCTAATGCACTCATTGGACGGATAGTCTGCAGCTTGGTGTCGCACCCACTCCTTCGCTTCACAGCTTGACAGCGCCCAAAGCGGCACACTCCCGGAACCAACTGTTTGAGGCCTCGACCAAGCTCTCGACATACGCAGCTGCATGAGCTCGTGCTCGGGGTCTGCCTGCTTCTTCACGTGGGTTCGCCCTCCTTCTTGAAATGACTATTAATATGCTTTTGTATATATACTCACCTCCCGCGCTATCCGCTCACCCTTCTTGATTTCACTGCTTCACCATACATCGCTCATTCCACTCTTGTTATCAACAATTATACCACTTTCCTTCATAGCTTTGATTGTCAAGTGTCTCCTTCCACACTATCGACCTTAACCATCGACCGGTACTTTCTCTTCGACAACATGGGTGGTAACCTAGAAAATGTAGCCGGCTACGGTCAACTCTCCCTCGGACAGGCTGTCCATATCGCCCAGAACAGTGACGGTGGTGTCGACCAGCGTCTTGCTCAATTTCTTGAGAGACGGTTAGCGGAAGTTTGGGCAAAGCTCAACGCTCAGCCCACATCATACATCCTTCCAGCAGACGAGTTCGCCCTTCTCAACTACTACCGGCCACGTTTCGGCGACTCTGTAATTGTTAAAGACGCCACAAAACGGTTCTGGGACAATCACAAAGGTACTGCTTGACCGAGTGCATCCCTGTTCATTGTTTCCATTCCTTGACGAGGTACCCAACGACATTGTTTCCTGGCTGGCATACAAAGGTACTAATCCAAAGTTCTAGATTAACTCCTCTCGATACAAAGTTCTTCTATAGGCGTTTTAGCGGATTGTAAAACATTGGATTCTCGTACGATACCTCTAACGACGGCGTTACCGGTTTTCCTTGGCGGCGAACTACGATTCAGGTGGCATCCAGGGTCCTACTGCTGCGACATGTGCGATTCAGAGCAGAGCTGCACCCAAAACTGCTTGGCTAGCAAATTAAAGAGTTGGCAACGAGATTGGAAAGGCAAAATCGCCACAACGTTCGGCATACAACGGCAGATTGCTACAACTCTTTTCCATCTGTCTAATGCTAATCACGATTCCTCGTGTAACACCTGCTGTCCTTATCACGCCACCGCAATTGCTTGTCTCAAGTCCTGCTTCCAATAGCTTTACCAACAATGAGTCTTCTCTGCTCGAATGCCTGCAGGTTGCGCCTCCCATCGCAATTTCCTCTGCGGCATGTCAGCAAACCCTGATGGTATACACCTTCGCCTTTTCGTATGGCCAACCTTTCATAGGTACGTCATGAACATGCTGAGCGCTTTCTCCACCAAAGCGTGCGAAATGCTCATACCTACACACAAATGCATTTTGGTGACAAGAAGCTTACCTGACGTATAGGCGAGTACTACCAACCAGACTGCAAGTACAACCGTGTAACCTTCAACTTTACCGTCACTTCTGCGGGATGTCAATTCGATCAACTCGCTTAATGTTCTTCGATGATGTCAGTCTTTCGTACATCGACGGCCGAACCAACACAGAATGGCATCGTGTGGAGCTATGTCAGGGACATGAGTAGTCACCTCGCCCTATTCAGGCAGCCTCGGAAGATCATCTTCGATCTTGGGGACCTTGTAGATGCCACATATACAGGAACTTGGCACACTACTTTAACGGCGACCTATTTCACTGCCAAAAATCTGCTGGAGCCCGCGGATATCGTTGTCCTGGTATCTGCGCGCAGATCTCCCGCAAATAGGCCGAGTCATTTCACCGTACCTGAGTCAAGAGCTGTCGATGCTCTGACGATCCCACAGAATGCCAGGAAAGCAGTGTTCTCGATCTCAGCCTGTGGTCAGGCCGCTGAAGAGTTTTGGTGGAGCAACGTACTCTCTTCTGACACGCATATGTTCGGCGACGACAATACACTTTACGGCCATTCGCCTTTCAGAGAGCTGCAGCTGATCATTGATGGCCAACTGGCTGTTGTGGCATGGCCATTCCCGGTAATCTTTACCGGTGGTGTCGTCCCTGGACTCTGGAGGCCTATCGTAGACATCGATGCTTTTGACCTGCTTGAGGACGAGATCGATATAACACCGTTCTTTCCAACACTCATCGACGACTTGGATCACATTTTCGAGATTCGAGTAGTTGATGTTGAGGACGATGGCAATGGCTAGGGCGAAATCACGCCGTCAATCGAATCGAACCGGGTTGTCACAGAGAAGCTTTTCATATGGCTTGATACTAACACCAGCATGATCACAGGCTCCATCTCTACATTACAAAGCCCCATACCATGATCAACGTTTTCTCGAAGACTACCATCCACGCTTCAGATCTCCAGGGGTTTCGAGAAGCTTACCTGGACCCAGAACCTCGCATACTCGAACTATGACACGCTTGCGAATAAGGGCAATGGTCAAAACGTACGACAAAATTCAAGTGGACTCAACACGTCTCCAGCTTCGACCTACTCCAAGGCTTTTGCCTACCCCCTGTGGGTTGCCTCAACCTACAACGCGCCCTCGGGTGGAGGGCTTACCATTGACGCTACGATGAAGCGAGGCAAGAATGTCGAGCAGATCGGTGAACACGCCTTCCCAAACGGATGGAAAGCAGTAGCGCCAAGAGATGCAATACTCTGTGGAACTAGAGTGACAAATTCGCAGAATGGTACGACGTCCTACATTAGCATCCCAGCACAGAAGAAATCGTACGGTTCTAGCAGCACGGAGCAGCACTACTTGCTTAGCGGCATTCGGGACGGTTCCGAGACGACGGTTCAGCATGAGAAAGTGCTCTATCAACGAGACATGCTCGCAGTGAATGGTTCAACCCTGGTCAACAAGGAGGTTTATGAGGATCAGCAAGCAGAAGCAATCGACCACAGAGTTATAGGAGAGCGGGTGCATGGCAACAATTTACACGATTTTGCAGCGGAAGGCATCAGAGCGCTGCTGGGTAGAGGACCGCGGGCAAGGAAGGTAACTGCCCACGGACACCATGGCAAGTGGATACAGCATCGATGAAGGAGATTTATTGCATATGCTGGGGAACAATTGACGAACACGCAGCGTGTTCCTATAGGATGGCCCCGCAGGAGGACTTGTTTGTATAAGACATTGTTTCCGGGCTCTCATCTGGAGTTGCAATATTAATCTCAAGTCAGGCTGAGCAAACGTTTTGCGCGGATGCTCGCTTCCCTAAAGAAGTACCACATACCCCATCACAAGCAGCACAACAATCTGGACCCATCTGCAATTAGACCGCATAGTCTGCAGTCTACAATTCCCAGTATATAACAGTACGTCAAAGAAGGAGCCACTGCACTCGGTGAATCACGGCATAGTATCCTTCACGGCCAAATTCATTTTCAAAATCTGGACTATCATCTGCCTAACCGTTTCCGCTTCCGTGCACTAGCTATCCGTTTCTGTTTCTGAATATCTCGAGCATGTTCAGGAGAAACTCTGTCCAGGATCTTCATGCCGCGTGCATGTTCCACATGATAGACTTTTCTCGTGTTGAGCTTCACCTTGCAAATGTGGATGTGGATGCTCCCCACATGAGCTATCAACGCTAGTGATGTGGATGACCAGGTGGATTGTGGACGGTGGATCGTCTCACTTCCCGAGCCGCCCTATAACGCCTCACGTTATGAAGATGGCATGATGTTCGCTCAAGATAGGAACTAAGGAGCAAGCTAGTTCAGGGCCTAGTTTGTTGGTGAAAAGTGCAAGGCTGATGTTTGACGTCCACAAGGCTCGAGCATTCTACAGAAGATCGACAACATGTACTGCCAAATTGGCCCCGGTACATCAAAGCTCCCGCTACTGCTAAAGGTCTGGCACCGGGCACTCCGAGAATAACATGTTTGATCGGCGAATGTGGATGGGCTGATCAATGCTCTGCCGTCTTCACCAGGTCTCCAGTCGTTGGGCATCAAATGATGTCGAAGGTTCAGCGTGGGCTACGATGTAATACATGATTCAGGAAGTATGCATCCGGCTAGGTGATCATGCGTACTCTTGGTATAGACATTGCATGCAGATTACGAAGAAGCTCTTTTTTTTTTTGAGTTGTGGCTTGCTCAAAATCTGCGCCACGTTACGCTGCACGGGCTGCAAAACCTACAAACCAATACCGTACAAGGTGTAGGACATGGGCCCTCGTATCGAGTCTCAAGCTGGCCAACTGCAGAGGATCAGCGAACGAGCAAGGCATAGTGGCTTCCCGAACTTTGGAAAGCTGAGTGGAGTAAATGTCCGAATTCTTTTCCTAGCTTGAGAAATGTCAAGCATCTCGATGGTCAGTCGGTGAATTGCGAGTTTTCCGCAGTCGCAGTCGCACAACACTCGCCATATATCACGGCAACAGCCATCAACGCAACTTCCCGTCTCGCTTGCACGCAAAAGCCGTTACCCCTGTCTGTTCGTTGTCAACCGTGCATGTGCTGATGGGAGATTCTGAAAGATCCTGGGAACCACAAAGATGTGGCACCTGCAAGCGCCACAAATGTCAGTCATCTCAAGCATTTTCTTCGCGCATGAGAGCATGGACAGGCCGTCTGTGCCCATAACCCGTTCCCCCGCTCGTCAACAATCAGCGTGTGCAAGCCAAGTTAGGTAGATGATGGCCATGAGTCGCAGGCGCCCCAGACGTAAGGCTGATACACGGCATTGCACCAAACCTCATTTGGCTTTGCACTTGCAATTACAGAACTCTATAGCTATATGCTGTTCCATTCGAGTTGCATCATTACTTGTCTGTCCTAGAAAGGAAATCCTCGACATGCGAATGTGGAATACTGAGTCGCGGGTCAAAGTATAGGTACGATGGCCTCGAGCTCATAACGAAAGGTCCATGGCATCGGTTTTCAGCAGCAGATTTCCGATCACGAGCTTGCGAGTCGGATGCGGAGTTTGTCCCCGATGGCAAGTTATGTTCCCACTGAGACGTTGGGCATCGTGGGAACAAAGGAACATTTTAGGGTACCAGAATTGGTGCATGCCCTTGAGTCGCGGCTTCGCTACCGGTGTACCACTGTTCAGCCCGTGCTACCTGCCCATGCGCAGTCATATTTGAAGGTTCTCTCCCGTGTTTCAAATTCGCCCAAGCGAGCGTGATGTACCGAGCATGGAGCGTTACACGGCATGATTGTGGCTGCAAAGGCATGAATGTGACTTGCGTTCGGCGTTGGTGGAGGACATTTCAACCAGTGGAACGTCAGCAGTGGGTGGTTTCTTACCAGCAGCCGCCCATGACAATGGCATCTGTGGTTTTACTGGCTATTGGTGCCATGCATGTGCCAGAATCCAAGATGCGCGTTCTTGCGCGCAACTTCAAACATCATACGATGTTGCTGGCGCCATCACACATGCTTGGTCGTCTGCATTTTTGCTATTACACCAGCCGTCTATAACAGCCACACGGTAGCTCGGATACACGGCAAAGAGCCGTTCCGTTAAGAACGTGCTGCTCTTGATCGGTGAGGTCATGCATGAAGGCTTCCGATGTCTTCAAGGGTCAGAAAGTGAGCCGAGTGAAGCGCTCCATTGAAGCGATGCGGGGTCTACGTACACAACGGTACGAATATCTGGTGGCCTGATTATAACACTGGAACTCCTGGACAGAAAAGGGCCTAGATGTGGCCACGAAAGAGATTGGAAAGAAGGTGCGTAGGAACCTGCATGTCGACACATTTGCAGCCGGAGTTGTACTCCGTCGCCGTCTTCAAGGTTCACCACAGTTATCGAAAGACCTAGTATGCTTACATTGTAGCAACCCTGAACCTGGGGTCTGTGTATTAGCTTGTCTGTCTATCATCGAGAGTTGGGTACGCTTTTCTCGCAATCGTGATTGAGGGTAAGATTGACGACATAAATTGGTGCCAGAAGGAAGATAATCTACCACATACCTTACCAGATATACCCATGGTATTCAAGGACCGAATTCAGATTCTGGCATAGTGGAAAGATGGTAAAGTGTACCTTGGCACCCAGAGCTCCATGTGGCCATATCCGAATCTTGGTGCGGGGTCAACGAACGTCATCGTTCGAGATTGTATATCAACACCACTTACAGGCTCAAACTCATATCTGACAGCGCCTTGCGGCTCTCTAGTGAACATGATCGCTGCTGCTAACGACCGATCTGTGGGTCGACATCCGGAGTATTCGGAGTAAACCGAGGATAACGTGGGGTGGTTGTGGAGGCGCTGTCTGGTGTCGTGTGCTCTCTCACTCGCTGAACGCCAGTTTGCACCTTCCTCGTTACCGTATCGCGCGCTTGGCTCAGCAGCCTTCTTGCGCTTTCCATCATGGCTTCACAACGTCGTCACTTACCTTACACATCTTCTTCCGGACCATCTAGTGACGTGCGATGAACGCGCTGCCAAATCCAAGGGACTTCGAAGACGATGGCAAGTACGCTGCGAGCGAGCAGCTTGCTGCGTACGAGGCTGAAGCGGCTGGTAAATCCGGCGGCAATAAGCTAGAAGGATCTTTGAATGTCGCACGTGGGGCTATACGGGTGCCTTCCCCGGATCCTTCACTTCTCTCGATAGACGACAGCAACAATATACGATACGGTCGCAATCCAGACTATTTCCCTTATCAAAGTGGTCGTAGACATGCCTCTCGAGCCCCAGCGCCTCCAGGGACTGCAAAGGGAAGAGTTCAAGCAATATGGACGAAGAATAAGGGCCTCTTCTTGGTTCTGATATCACAGTTCTTCGGCGCGTTGATGAATGTCACTACAAGACTGTTGGAGATGGAGGGCAATGATGGTAAGAACGCATGGCGAAGTCGCCATAAGACATGCTAATTACCTAGTATAGGTAAAGGATACCATCCCTTCCACATTCTCTTCGCTCGTATGGGTATCACAGTTCTGTGTGCGTCAGTATACATGTGGCACAAAAATACCGAACATTTCCCCTTCGGCATGAGGGAAGTTCGACCTTTGCTGGTCGCTCGAGGGCTTTTCGGCTTCTTTGGAGTATTTGGCATGTATTGTAAGCCTTCTCTCTACATTTTGCTGCATTGTTTGTCGTTCTGTTACTGCAGAGTGCATGACCTGTTGCTATCACACTGCAGTGAGCATTCGATGCATCACGACAGGTCATCACCTGAGTCACCCCCCATGACTGAGTCACTAACTTCCCATAGACTCACTGCTCTATTTGCCGCTCGCCGATGCTACCGTCATCACTTTCCTAGCACCTAGTCTCGCATGCTGGGCTTGCTCATACCTCATTCACGAGCCATTCACTCGCATGGAACAGATCGCAGCTTACATCTCACTTTTTGGTGTCGTTCTTATAGCCAGACCGGTTTCGCTCTTCGAATTCCTGTCGCAATCTGGCGAGGCAGTTCCACCCGCAAGTGGTGACTCAGACATTGTGGTTCCGGTCAATGCAACGGCTGACACTCACCGTCTGGCAGCTGAGCTTGATGCGGCTACACCAGCTCAACGGGCATCAGCTGTTGGGTTTGCTTTACTGGGTGTTCTAGGAGCTGCAGGTGCGTATACTACCATTCGGTGGATTGGCAAGCGAGCACATCCACTCATCTCAGTGAACTACTTCGCAACATGGTGCACAATTGTCAGTATTGTCATGATGATCGCCTTGCCTGGCGTAGGTTTCCTACTTCCGCGATCCTTCGTAGACTGGTGCTATTTGATCTTCCTGGGCATATGTGGGTTCGTGATGGTAAGTTTGTCTGCTCAATCTGCTATGGACGCGTACTCACGCAAGACAGCAATTTCTTCTCGCTGCAGGCCTGCAACACGAGAAGTCTTCACGAGCGACTAACATGGTATATATGCAGATGCTCTTTGCGCTCAGTTTCGACAAACTCATTTGGGGCACAACACCGGGGGCATTGTCCATTATTGGCTCATCACTGATTCTGGGTTCAGCAATCTACGTTGCTATGCACAAGGAGGACCCAAAGAAGGCAGGAAACACCAGAGAACGCGGAGACCAAGAGGAAGAGCGAGGGTTGGTGGCTCCAGAGCTAGACGCAGATCAGGACGGCGATAGACAAGGCATTCAGTTGGTCTCTGTCTGCGGGTGACGCATTAAGCAGGCATCCTATAGATGGGCTTACGCATTTGTACTCATACATATAGACTAGAGTATTCATGTTTGTTCGCACTAACTTTTTTTGATTATCGTATTGCGACCGTGCTACTTGCCGTGGCAGGTGTTCGTTCGATTTACAGTGACATTGCAGGCAGTGACGATCGACTGCTACTATTACTGCAAGAGCAGCAGCGACACTCGAAGTTAGGAAGGAGCGATGCCGTCGACATGGATTCGAACTTATTCACGGACTTCATCCAGTCGTGCATCTCGGTCTGCACATGGGGCCCTGGCACGGTATCACCTCGCCGTGAAGTGACGGTTCACAGACATTTATTCGAGACTTTCTTGCTGTTGCACACGAATGTGGATGCCAAACCCCGAAGGCTCACATTGACAGTGAGATTTGGTGTTCCCGGTCGTCATCCATTATTTGTCAAATGTTTTTGTTCACTTCTGGAGGTGTTTACAGGCATACACGCAACGTTCTTGAGGCATGGAACGCTTCGGTTGTGCGTTGTTCGCCCACTGTGCCGTCAAACCTCGGTCAAACTCGCTAGCCCCGCCCACAAACCTGATCCCGAGTCCACTCATCGATCGAACAAACTTGTCACGTGGAATGGTCTACAAGCCAACCTCATTCCAGAACTCTGCTGTTTCAAGCTTGATACTGCGTATAATTTGTTTATATTCGCCCAAATTTTCATCAAAAGTCGTGGCGCAACCACCAACTTGACTTACAGGTTGATCCTCCGTGGCGCAATTGGCTAGCGCGTCTGACTGTTATCCGCATCTCGCTTGATTGCACATCAGGAGGTTGAAAGTTCGAGCCTTTCCGGGGGAGATAACATTTTTTGCACTGTCGAAGCATCTGACACTTAGCGTGCTGGGCATTTTTACGGCATGTCTTTTTTGCATTTTTACTTCCGAAGGAACCAAGCAAAATCCGTGGTGAACCACAAAGCGTAGTAGCTGGATTTCAAAGGTTGCTGTGATTGGCTGAATTAACTGTGGAAAATTAATATAAGTAAACTTGCTAGCAAGAGCGTGCGCGGAGGAGCAAGAAGCGGATAATAAGGAAGGTGTTAGAAGGTGGCATGAAGGAAGAAACAAGTGGCGTAGAACAACAAGAGCAGGAGCAGAAATAGAAAGAGCAACAACAAATTGCGACAAGAGCAAGCAAGGCAGAGAGATCTGCGCAAGTATAAATAACTCGTGATGCTCTCCTGCGGGAGCACTATCAGCGCGTAAACATCGAGATCTCTACGCCTGACAGATCTACGCTGTATGCCTGCCTCACTATAATGCAGGATCTTGCTTTGCTCTACCAATATTGGCTCTGTTCTGTTGTGTAGGTGCAGCTTTGTGTGCTGTGAACCTCCAATGTGGCTCAACTTTCGATGCACCTTACATATCTCGTCCTTCTACGGGCACAAGCACATTCAGCCCATATCGGACTGGTCGTTCAGCGCATGCAACCTGTCCAGTCTCTCGTGGTGCAAAAAGGTCGGACGGAGCAACTTCGAGCCCTCAGCTTCCACAGCAGAGCCAGAAGGCCTTCAGCAAATCTCATGCTGTGGCCCGTCGCAGGAATTTTCCTTCGTAGTCAGGGATACAGTCAAACCTTGTACAGACCGACCGATACCGCAACATCATACAATACAAACCCAGTTCAATCCTTAATTTTCCCTGTCCGCGCACTTTCCATGAACTGCAACAGATTTACCAAGGCCTTACTAAATCGCTCTCGTGTTCGATCAATTGAATCTTCTTCTTGTAACATGCAATCCGGACTGAACACTGGCACAGTATTGCAACGAGCAAAACATATAACAGCCCGAGCTTCTAATTGGCATCATCTAACACTATGATACTGAGAAAATACATCACCACTTTGATCCAAGACCTTCAAATACTGCCAGTCTCCGTGGAAGCTTTCGAGACAGTGAGGAAGGTGTCTGCTTTCACCTCATCATTGACTTTTGCCTTGTGATTGTACAGCAGCTCTTCCGTTACATATATAAATGCCTCGTTTCACAATCTACTCATCTAGCCCAAATGGTATGTAGTTAAACAAGGAAGAACAACGCACGGGGACGAAGACCGACAACTGAACCGGGAGTCCCTTATGTAGCGACATCCGGATCGCGAGGAGATGCGGGTTTGAGCCTCGCCACATCCAATCTTTTTGCCAATGAGAAGGCCAGGTGAGAGACAGGGAGATCGTAGGGGAAACGTCGGTGGCATGATCCCGAGCAGTGGTTTTGGCGTTGTTTACGACGAAGACGACATTCTCTCCTCATGCACACAAATACTGACACCAAGAACCAGCTCTCTTTCTCGTGTGATCAGATAGCATGAGGCATACTTGACACTGGACTTCTATCCGTTACCTGAGGACTAATCTAACGTTATTCTAAGACTACCATCTGAGTGCTCCCAAGAATAGGACGCCCTCTGAAATTATCTGTACAAATGCCTGCTCTCCTCTATCCCGTTTCCCACCCGATCTACTTATGAACAGACCAGTCCTCGCGTTACCTAGTATACCTCCTTCTACATCCTCCTCATAACCCGAGCCATCGTCTTCTGTCTTATACGGCGCTTCGTACTCGAAAAGAGGAAGGAACGCATACTCATCCCTCGAGTCCAAGTCTGGATTTTACCAGCCACTATAGCGTGATCCATTGCTTTTATACGATATGTCTTCATTGTCGCGTATAGCGGCTCGAATAGGATCTCGCCAGTAAGGAAAAGTTCGCAAGAGTATGCCTCCGAGCATTGCCAATGGACCAGTTTCTGGGAGAACGACAACATTCTTGGACTGAGTACGCATTCTTGTATGACCCACGCTCGTTCCAATAAGGGCGGGGTGTGCCTCAAGTACTTCGAACAGTCCCAAGGGTTTCGATGCAGATGAACGGCATCCGAGCCGTAAGCCCAACGGAATTGGGGATAGAGAAACCAGACTCTTCCGACATGACTTTTGGTAGTTGGACACTACTGAACACTTCCAGCGTGAAAGGACTCCCTATCGCGAAAAAGCCCATCTCATGGACCAGACGAATTTGCAGCTCCAATATTGATGATATAATTCGTATAAACCATGTGCATCTCCGAAGCCTCGTGTTCCCAGTCGTTTTCATCCTTCTGGATGATGCAGTAACAGTCGATCCATATGTTATTGATGCCCAGTGAAAGAATAGTAGACATAGCCTGCTGGAAAATACATGGGAATTTAGACACTGGACAGCTTTGATACAGATCGTCGATATTGTTGTTCGTTGTGACCCAGGATTCATCCCCGCCCCAGCAATGGGAGTGTTGCATACGGCCCCTCACATGGGTGTCCGAAGTCTCAACTAGGCGGACTTGGGATGTCGGCGTCGTGCCTGATGATAACGATCTCAAATCGAGGAGTCGAGTGGGAACCCAGTCTGGTCTCCTGAAGACCCCGCATCGCGAATGTGACTTCAGATAACGCTCTAATGTGTCCTTTGCGTAGGCAAAAACCTTGGGCGACCCGGTGGATTCACAACTCTGTGACTGCAGAGCAAGCTTCCAAAACTGACAGTCATCGATGCTCAAGACAGCAGCACAAGGCTGTTCAGTGTCGGTCGGTGCGGGTCGAACGAGTACCCCCAAAGGCGGTGTGTAATATGAGTCGATATCGCAATATGAGTCGGTGTTGTAACCGCTCAACATCACTTCATTATCTCCACCGGCCGCACTCCAATTCGCTCTGAATACTTGGTATCGCAGTGGGGAGACAAAAGCTTTGTCTGAAAAAGTCTCTGCGTAATATGCGAGAATGATGGTACAAAACCGACATCCTGCTGTGGCAGCACGCTCCAAAGCGTCTTTCGACATATAGTGATACGGCCAGTAGTCACACTTGCTACATCCAAGTTGTTGGGTTAGTGGGCTGGTATGGAATATGCAGGCATCCTCCATAGCCAGGACGCTAGCTTTGAACTCGTAAGATCCGCTCCGGAACATAGGCTTGCATGCATCGCAGAAACGCTGCTTGTCGAGCACCACATTCTGGAAGGTAGGCATGATGAGCGCATCGGTTCGACTTAGGTGGGAGAGTGCCTCTATAAAGACTTATTTAGGGAGTGATCAGTCAGAGAACCATGAACCGTGTAAACGGTGTTTTTCGACATCTGAAATGACCATGTCCAAGCGGCTGGCATTTCTAACGTACAAGTGTTGTAGGTGTTGTTGGATCTGTGGCCGCCCGCAAAAGGATCTTGGTCTGGCCCCGCAGTGGATACGAGCTGCATGATCATATCATGTGTTGGTATATTGTTCGTTGATTCAACCAGTAATCCAGTAGATGCTGTCGGAAGCTTGTCCTGAATCTGAAGCCGGACCAAAACTTCAATCCTCGCCAGCAGCCAAGCCAAGTCTTGCCTCGATGACTCCCACGATCTCCCTCCAATCCTTCATTGCTCCGCCCCCAACATCTCCGCAAGCCAGCTCTTTCATCATTGGCTGCAGAACCTCGTACCAGCCACCATTTTTGACACCCCACTCACCCTCGAGCATCTGGACTTGCTTCTTCGTGATCGGTTGTAGCCACATGGCTGTGTTCATCGACGGCGCAACAAGTATCCTCTTCTTATTCGGTGCTTCCTTCCAACCTTCTTCTTCAGGCCATGTCACACCTGATATCTCTCTGACTGGGTCTATCAGACCCGTGGTGTCCCATGCTCGTACCACAGATAGCAGCAGGTTATCTGACCAGCCTTGTGTGATCTTCGCCATCTCATTTGCGCTCAGTGGAGCAATGACCATGATATCTGCCCACCGCCGCAATTCAATATGCAGGATCTTATTGCCGCGTTTCCAAGGCTCCTTCCACTCGTCCTCGTCGAAGTATAACCCCTCAACATTCGGAAGTGCCTCTATCGACATGAGTGATGGCTGTTCTTCGCTCTGCCCTTGCAGGAAGTTCTTCGCTGAGGCCGTGAAGATGAGTCGAATCGCAATGTTTGGGTGCTTAGCGAGCGCGTTGATCATGTTCGGTATCTTAATCGTTGCAACGGAGCCTGTTGCGCACAGTAGAACGTGGATCTTCTCATCGTGGTGGTCGAAATCGAAACGACTGCGAAATTGTGTGGGTGGCTCGAAATGTTGGTGCCCGAGGGGCTTGAGCTTGGACAGTTTCAGGTCGCTGATCTCTATCGACATGCTGGTGCTGCTGTGTGTAAGTTCGAATGTAAGGGTTAGTTCATGAGCGATGACGTTGTGGTGCTTATGAGCGCGACTTTACGCGTTTTTGGTGCGTTGATGCAGTAAGCTTCAGGGTAGAGTCAGAGATCTCGGCTATCGCCCAGCCACGTGAGATAAGCATTCATCGTGCCCCAGTCTCTTCAAACCTCTTCCCTATTCCTACGCATGCTCAAGCAGCGATGAGTTTCATCTTAAACTTTTGGCTTTGCTGTCGCTGAAGCCTGTTGTTGAACGGTGTGAGATCTTTCGAGTGTTCATGATCGATTTACCGTCTTAACTCCGCTCGTCCGATGTCACCATGGCTTGCAAGTCGAGCGCGGGGCTGAAGGGTCTACGTCCGGAAGAAACGATCAAACGGACGATTTGACTAACTTCCACAGTAAAAACACTACGTAGGTACACTAGAGCACTCCGTTATGCTTAAGTCCAGTATTGTAGCTCCTTCCTATTGGACATATACCTTTCGCACTGGAGATCGAGAGCAAGCAGATCGACCTTCTTGCAACATGCCGCGAACTCGGTGTCGCAGTTGTAGCCTACGCGCCACTCTGCCGTGGTATTCTCAGCGGAGCCCTCAGGTCCCCTGATGACTTCGCCAAGGACGACTACCGCAGCCAGATGCCTCGCTTCAGCCCTGAGAACTTCCCTAAGAACTTGAAGCTTGTTGGTCAGATCACTGAGCTGGCGAAGAAGAAGGGTGTCGTGGCCAGCCAATTGACGCTGAGTTGGTTGATGGCCCAGGGTGACGACATCTTCCCTATTCCAGGCACAACCAAGGTCAACAGGCTCAAGGAGAACCTGGGGTCTTTGGATGTCAATTTGAGCAAGGACGAGGAGCAGCAGATCAGGAAGGCTTGTGAAGAGGCAGACGTCAGCGGTGAGCGTTATGTTCCTCAACTCATGGCTCAGTGCTATGCAGACACTCCAGCTCTGAAGTAAGCAAGGACCAAGATCTGTGGACTAGACTGTATAGTTCTGTCAGCGTAGTATAGACAGCCAAAGCAGTATCCTACTCTTCCAATCAATAGCAATACGTCCCCCATCAATATCAATATGCAAAAAGCTCCGCATAGTGTCTGCCCAAGCTGCAATATGGATACGATAGAGCAGATGAACTTTTGCTTTATCACCTTATCCTCGTATATGTAATCCAGTGTGCGTCACGATGTATGCCACGTCGAATGCGAATGCGAATGCGAGATTACTCCCCTACAACACCGCGGCTATATCTGCCAGCGTTGCCCAACATCGCCCGTCACTTAAATCCCATCACATCCCCTCATAGTAAACATCTACACCGCCCGAGATCGCACTAGGCAACCGTTGCATCACATGTAACCCCAACCTCACGATGGCACATTGCTGACCTCACCTCCCACCGTACCACACTACGCGAGCAACCAGGCGTTCCCCCATGACTCACCTCCCCCATGCAAACCATATCTCCGGAACAGCCCCATATTCCAGCATCTTTTCGATCGGATGCATATCACCGAATGCGTCCACGAGTTACGGACCACGTTACGGACCATGTTGCGGAGCAAAGCGGCGCAAGCAGGCGCGGCGTGGTTGTTCGGTGTGGTTGTTCGGTGTGGTTGTTCGGTGTGGTTGTTCGGTGTGGTTGTTCTAGCGTTGAGCATGTGTGTGGCATGGCTGCTTACCGTTCGTAGCCCTCCTTAGGTGCCGCTGGAAGAGTGCCCTATCTTCAATGCCATAGGCTTTCTGTTCCCTCTTGCGATTGTTGTCAAGTCGCTAATGCAAAAGTATCAGGTCTTCTTTGGAAGCTCGAGGTCGTGCTTCGAGGAGAGCGTGTGTAGGTGTGGGGCTTGCTTGGAGGCCGTAGCGGGTGTTCCGGCGTATGTGGTGCTTTCATCGTAGTGAAGTTGATCGATCTTGTAGATGGTACAAGGAAGCACCAGCACAATGTCAATCGTGCCTCATGGAGCTCGGCCAGGACTCCAGGGCAGTAATTATACATTCGCGGCGCCCACTTCACTACGAATCAGCAAATCGTTACTGCAGTGACCCGGGTCACTAAGTGGAAGGTCTTGCGAGCCATGAGGACCCTAGAGCGATGCAGGCAGGTAGTTTTTTCCCGTGGTTGTTTCAGGATCCAGCCAGAAGAGACCAGCTGGGTAGATACAGTGAACATAATCTAGCTCGCACTGCCCGTTGCTATTGCCAGTAGCTGTGTGGTATGTGCTCTTGCATGGGTCGCTGGCATCGCCGACTCGGGCTCAGGCATTGTTGATGTTGCTGGAGGGGATGAGTTTGCCCCGTGGTGAAGCGGAGCCGCGCCGTTGCTCGAAGCAAAGTCTCTCAATCAACAACACCACGCGCTCCTAGCCCCACCATCAACACCACTATCGACCACCACCAACCGCCAATGGACGCCCTCCGCTTGGCCCTCGGTGCCGTGATCGCCTGCTTCCTGCTGTTTGGCGATATCATCGCCACCTACCACTACTACGCTCGCACCGCCGCCTGCAATGCCGCCGAGCAGCAGGAGCAGCGCTTCCACGCTGACGAGCTCGAGCTGGAGCAGCTTCGAGGTGAGCCAGGGAGGAGAGCTTACTAGCTAGGCATGGCCATCTACAGGCATTAAGATGAGCATATACTAACCCTTCATTTCCCTTCCCTCCCACAGCAGCCTTTAGGAACCAGAGCTCGAAGCTCCCCACCACAACACCTTTCTGGCCTGCCATGAGAAAAGAGTGGTGCTACAAAGGGATATCGTGAACAACAGGCCTTACCTTGAAGCACTTAGCAGAGCATCTTCACCAGGCAGGTAAGCCACAGTATCCCTAATTCCCAAAGCCAGCTCGCCAAAATTAACTCTTGCAGTCGATCAATACCAGCCTTGACAATTGATCTCAGAGCCAGACCGACGTCTTGCGTACCCTCGCTACGCGAACTTCGCCTATATTTGTTCACGACATAAGAGCATGCATGCCTGCATCTAGAATTCTATCTCTTGTTACACAATGTCGTCAACACAAAGACCTCAATGTGGTACCTCGCAACGGGGTGCATGAGGCTCGTGTACACAGTGATGGGATGAGGATAAGGCGTCGCTCGCATGAGCCTCGGGGTTATGGCGCCGAGCCAGTCGACAAACATTCCTCACTCTTTCAAGCCGTGAAAACACACCGCGCTATCTGTCGTTGGAAACCAGGTTCAACTGGCGCGCACATCATGGCTGCGACATCTCGTGTGCGATCTTCCGATCCTTAAGCCTCTTCGAGCCAACACGTTCGAGAACGCCGTGCCGATGTTCGCCGCGGACTGCTGTGGTTGACGATAACCGCCTCTTGCAGCACTAGCCGGAACTATGCATCCTCCGGCTGCCCGCCTCAACACCGGGTTTGAGACGGTGCACGACGCAAAGGATCCTCGCAGAGATGGATTCTACCGAGAAGGATTTTGCCAACTCGTGACCAGTCAAGGGCCCTGATAAGTACCCTATCTCTTCCCGGCGTCAATCATGGACGACAAAAGTCTCACCGACATTCCTGACTCGAGGACGTCCTCGGTATGCTAGTGCTGCCCTACCTAGCACGCGACTCGAGGACAACCATAACAGGCGGCAATATGGGCGGAGAAGAACGAAGGGATTCGCAATTTTGAGGAACACGCACAATGTCGGCGTGATGCGCACAGCCCTGGTTGAAACGAGCTGCAAATGAAGAGGCGTGCATGAGTTTCGAAGCCACGTTGGTGAACGTCATGTTGGATCTGCTCAATATCCTCGGGTAAACAAGAGCAGCGCTGTCAACCACGCGACGCCTGCAGTAGTGCTGGAATATATCCAGTGGCAGGCGTGGCAGGTCTGCTTCATCCAATGTCAGCCTCTAGAGGACAGGCAAAGGCGACATCGTGGGTTGCACGACTGGAGCACCATCGTTCACGCCAGGGCAAAGCGGCCCGCTGGACAGAAGGAATCGATTGCCACGTGTTGGTACCCCTGGCGCCTTCGGGATTCTACCCATGACTCGATCCATCAAGCTGCGGTTTTTCTGCCGAAAAGACGGGTGATCCTCGCCCTGACGGCTTCGATAGGGCTGTGACAGCGAAATGTCCTTATGTTTCTTCGCATGTCCAGAGCGTTCAAGGATCAGCTTCGAGGTCGTCGGTCGTATCGTGGTCTGATTATCTGCCGGGCGGCGTCTGTCTTCGGCAGCTAGAGAAGTCGTTACAACGAAGTTGTTTGGCCTCGGTCGAAGATTCCGGTGTTCTGGAAGGCTTGAAATGGCAAATGAGTAAGGGGAGCGCGATACAGACAAGTTGATGCTTAGGCGCCATTATCAGGGTCTGACAAACCTCACTAATTCCGCTTTGCCTTGGCGAACGTCAATGATGCTTCTTGCCCGCTGCCCGCCAGCGGATACTGCTGCACCAAAACGAACTTCTGGGAAGTGCGTTCAAACAACGGAAAGGAATGGTAGATGCCATTCCCGTCGTCCTTCAGATAGTGGCGACAGCAGTGGCTCCTCATTTTTCCTACCATCAATGACGCAAAAATAGTCCGGAGTGCAATCCGCCCGGCAAGATGGCGGAAATCCTGCCGTGCTCTGAAACACAAGCGTGTGGCTGCTTTTCCTCAAGCCATCGCATGTGTCGTCAATTGCTCGGAGATTTCGAACATGTCGCCAGTCTGTACACAGCGCAAGACATTCCGATGAGACTCGTTGACCACTGTGTTTAGGGTGTTTTTCGACGTTCGCCCTCTGGGAAACATGGGTTTGCTGGATGCTGATCGTTACAGCAATTGCAATTGGTAATTGCCCTTGGCAGCTGTCACCGCACCTCAGATAATGCTGATTCGTAATTACCAGGGCTCCGCGGAGGGTGCTGAAAGCGGCCATGATGAGCAAGCAAAGCCATGAAGGGCCCAGTCTGGCGGATTTGGCGTTGCAGGCCACAAGCCAAGGACTTGCTTGGTCGAGATGTCTCGCATGCAGTGCCCAACAGCGTAGTTGTGGTGGGGTTGCACACGTGGAAAGCGCGGGCTCAGTTTCCAGCAAAAGGAAACAATCTCCTCTCCACAGAGAAGGCTCCACGTCTTGCAGCGTTAGGAATCGATATGCAGATGCTGCACCTGTCATACGCGGATCAAGCATGGGCAACGATATGGTATGATGACGGTGGGACGTTGGGCATGGTGTGATGCTGCGAACGTGGTTAACGACAGGGCACTCACGTCAACGATCTCAGGAATGTGCAGCTTCGTGTCTGATGCAAGGGTGCAACGTGCCATCCACGTTTCTGCAGAATTCTCCGCGCCTCTCAGAATCGTGAATGCGTTCCACAGGGTGGGAGCGTTGCGATTGGCAGGTGGCTGTTCTTGTACAATGCTGACTACATTCTTGGAATGGGTCGCCACAGTATGTTACTCCAAAACGAGTCGTGTCGAGCAAACGGCGCTGCAGCGGTCGAGACCTGGTCGTCGTTGGTGTGGGAGAGGTTGCTGTGTGCACCCGCCGGCTGCTTTAAGATGAGGCTATTGCACAGACTACCGTGGGCGCAGAAAAGACAGCTGTCTGTGCGATGGGCGAGGAAACGTCTTACAATATCAGGAACACTGCACCAGCTCGCATCCCTTTGGCCGTACCATTATTGCATGCAGATGAATGCGGCCGGCACAAAGAAACTCGCGCAAACCCCTCACGTGGTCGTCTTTGAGCGTCTGTCTCTGCAGCTGGGTGGCTTCTGCTGCGGTACGAGACAGGACTGAGCAGTCCGAGCACGACGCACACGATGCTGCTGGTGCTGCTGCGGTGGTACCACGTACACGCTTGGTACCATGGAATGTCTCGGCCGGGTCAACCAGCGGCGTCATGCTTCTGCCTCACGCATTCTTGCTCCTGGCTGCAGAGTGAGACCTGCCGCATCAGCACGATATCAACGTGCATCACTCATACTGCTCCGCCCTGCACGCTCCCTACCGTCTACAAATAATCGATACAAGACAATGTACTATTCCACGATGATTACAGTTCGCGAGTCATGCATCTCCTGTGCTCTCTGTCGGTGGTACTGGCAGGCTCGGCACACGTCTCACGACCAGACAGGGGGCGGCTGGGCTGGCTGCTCTCCGCCTGTGCACGCTGCACGCGTGTCAGGGATACCTCGTGGGCGTCGCCATAGTCAAGTCCTTTATTCCCATGCGGGCATGTGCGTGCATACCGCCATGTGTCTTGCGCTGGCACTAGGGCGCCCCTGCGGTTTAGCGGGCGTGTGCATTTATCAGAACTGCGTGCGCATTAGCCCACGGCCGGCGTTTTCTAAGCCGTCTTAGGAGGGCGGTGTGGCAGACGCAGATACTATGGTCACGGATCCCCTAGCGGACTATCGAGCAGACGGCCAATCCTTGCTAGAGTACCCACTCTCTCGCCCTTCGTCAGTCTGCGACGACTCTGCGCGACCATCCTGCCTCTAACGGCAATGCCCTTGACGACTCCATTTCTGCCTTTGACTGTCTCCGCCGCCTCGCTTTCTTCCTCTGATTCCTCACACACCGGCGAGCAGCCTGACTCCTGCCCTGACAGCGACGAGCCCCAGCTGCGATTTGACCTTGAAGCCCTGTCTGCCGTATCTGAAGCCGTAGCAACAAGCAGGCCCGCGTCCTCCACCGCTCCTCCCGCGCCCGTCGCCCGCAGCAGCAGCCGGCGCCTCACCTTCACTCGCTTCCCTCTCTTGCGAAAGGGCAGCCGCGAGCTCACCAGGGCCACCTCCGCCCACTTCAGAGGCAGCAGCATCTCGGCCGCCGCCCCGCCTTCCCGCGCCGACTCGCTCTTCCTCTCGACAGGCGCTTCCCGGGCCTCCAGGACTTCGTTTGCGCGTGGCCGCACCGAGCAACCCACTCTCGATCTCTCGAGTGCACGCGAGCCGTCCGCTCACGCCAGCCTCCGCTCCGGCAGCATTGGAGGAGAAAATCCAGGAAACACCCACGACGCTACGAGTCTGCAGCAAGCAGCGCGGTCAGGCAAGATGCATCAGACCAGCTCGAGACTGCTGCGTATGACTGACGATGAGCGGCCGTACACGAGGGTGAGTACTTTCAGTGTCTCCTTCGCCTCCCAGCACCGTCAAACAGACGTCATTGGGCAGAACTCTCAAAGCAGGCTGCAATGTCTGGCGAAGTTTGAATACCGCAGGCAAACACAGAGGACTGCACTCTCTTGCAATTGCAACTGGTGCTCCTGTCATGTAGCTGAAAAGCTTCCTGTGGTGGTCGCTGCTACGAAGACATGTGCTTGCAGCACAACCACGACCAAAACATTTTTCTGACTAGCTTGGCGCACCACCTGGAGCCTACCAACTTCAACCCACCACCTACTAACCTTCGCACTGACTTCGCCGCACTTTTAAACCACTTTGGACTATGACTAACAGCCATGGCAGGACTTCAAGGACCTCTTCTCGACCCTCATGGTGTCCCTCCCACTCACCCCCCATCGTGTCCGCTTCAGGATGATCGACTTCACATTCACCTCCGACGAGGCCATCACCAATCTCGGCTCCCTCAAGTTCTCTCAGTCAAACCGCATGCCTGACCCCAAGGACTCATCACGTGTCGTCACAACCACCACCACTACCACCTTCTCAATGGCGAAAGAGATGGCCCGCTCTGTCTGCCAAAAGTTCCTCGAAGCCAAGTTTGTCGAGTCAGTCGAAGGCAAGACCGATTTCACAAACAAGAGTTCCGTCTGGCAATTAACACCCAAGGGTATCCACATCCTGGAGCGCTTCTGCACCCGCAATGGCATCCAGTCTGCCCATGTCAAGGCCGTGATTGAGTCTAACCGCAACCCTCACCTTCTTGTCATCCTTGAGCGCAACACAGAAAACGACAAGCTGCACCACGACGAGCAGACCGTCGAGATCCTCTTCCGCCGATTCATTGGTACCACCGCAAACGAGATACAGTCAGATTCTGATTCAATACATGAGTTCTCCAAGTGCGATGTTGGCGTTAAGCTCGTCAAGCATCGACCTACCACCAGCCGTCAGTACGAGTACACCTTCAACGGCCGCAACGCTGCACAATGGTTAATGGACTGCACCACAATGGTTGACCCCCGAGAATCGATAGAGATCGGATCTCTCTTCTTACAGCTTAAGCTGATTGCACCTGTCGACCCTCGCGTCCCTGAGCACACCTTTCAGCCTGTTAAGCAGGTCCACTACTACGTTACTCCACACGGTGAGCGTGTAGCAGGATGGAGTCTTGAGGAAATTCCATCAAGTGGAGAGGCCATTGCTACAAAGACTCGCGATGGCATGGCGCGTGACTCGAACAGCAACCGAACAAACGTCATCATCCGCAACCCTTCATGGCGCCTTCTCTACCGTGAGTTTCTTAAGGAGACCATGTGTGAGGAAAACTTGTCCTTCTACCTCGAGGTCCAGGAGTTTAATAGGCAATACCGTGCTGCTATCAGCGACAAGGGCGACAACAAGGTCGAAACCATCCGTGAGACACTCGCTGCCGCTTACGGTCTCTACAATGCCTTCTTGGCACCCGGGTCACCCAACGAGCTCAACATCGATCACGGTCTTCGCACACAACTTGCCACTCGGATGACACGTGCTGTTGGCGATGACGCTGCTATGTTGCAGAGCCTTAATGAAGTTGCAACACTGTTCGACAAGGCACAGAACTCGATCTTCAAGCTCATGTCTAGCGTAAGCGATTCCCGCTACCAGCTTGCCATCTTTTTCACTAACATGCGACAGGACTCTGTACCAAAGTTCGTCAAGCACCCGAAGTACGCCCCTCAGCTACGTGGCCTCGATGCCGCAGCTGCCTCCTCATACGCCGCTCTCCCCGCCGTTTCTCGATGAAAGACCGCAATGTCTCTATCGAACTTCTTTCACCACTTGACGATTTGCTTCACCATCTTGGACGTGTTCCTCGGACCGATGCATTATTCCCCATCTTTCTTGGTGCATTCTCATAGACTTCTGGCGTTTCCGGATTGGACAAAAACATCAGCATTTGGCGGGCGACTGGAATCGTTTTCTATTAATTCCCTCGGCTACCGGATTTGCGGCAGGTTTCTCTGACACGCCATCCTAACTATCCGGTTCCCACGCTCGCACGACCTTTCTTAGCAACATTTGCCGCTTTTGCGGATTTTGGAATTTCTGGGTTTGGATGTCCTCACAAGGTTGGCTGCGCGAAAGCAAGGTACCTGTTGGATTTCTCTCTCAATTCTTGTTGGATCACTTTCGAGCCCATATGGGGCATATAGGTGGCAGCGGTGGACTCTACGACTTTCAGATGGATATACCCAGTACGTTCATGCTTTGGCTTTGGTCCATTGCAAGTACATATGGATGTCCAGGACGATGGCAACGAATTCACTTTCTTCCCCTTCGCAGGAGAGATAGCATTCGGTACACTCGGCTGTACCTCCTGATCATAGGACACTTGACACCTCAGTTGTCTGTGTACCTCGGTGCTCAATAGAAAGACTCATGACAACATATCCTCCATTCCACCTGCAATCCCTTACTTGAACACTTCCACTTACTGCCGTCCGGGCGCACTTACAGCAGTCCAGATCCTCATAACTTATTCACAGCGTCTAGGCATCTACCATTGGCACTCCCGACGCGTAGACGCTGTCCACGGCAATTCCTTCCAAATCCATTCTCAGTCAACATTTATGCACCCCATAGAAATTTCTGACATTACTTCCGCCGCACCTCGGCGCCTCTCCGCGATCTGTAGCGAGTACGCTCTGTGTACTGGCTCGCTAACACGTGCTTGTTCGGCTAAACGTCACACTTCCGTGATTTCGGTAGGAGTGTACTCCGCTGCACTCGATTGGGACAGAGACCGCCGAAAGCATGAATTGTATGGTGTCAGAAGGATACGTCCGATGTGCGAAGGTAGCTAGAGATTTTCGTATCGAATGTACAGAACGATCTAGTCATGCTTGAAGGGGTAGGGAGGTTGGAGTTCATGATCGTGGGGATGGAGTAAGGGGTGGTTTGGTGATGCGAGAAGGATTCAACGGCCCGCAGAAGGATTGTGGTGAGATCGCGGAGAAGATTGGGGTGGCTGCCACATGTTGCTGCATTTAGCGAGTGTTCTTTATGATGTTTGTGGGTTAGGCGGCTTGATGCCCAGCCACTGTCGTGCATCAAGCATTTCCGACTTTGGAACGTCTTGAGATCTGCTGAGGGTCCAGTATTGCTGGATCTGATAACGGCGTCCGGTCAAAGGGTTCAATATGTCTCGCTCTACCATGCATGGTGCGTTCTCTGTCCGTAAACTTCATACCTGATGCATCTAGGCTGAGACTTTCTACATTATTGTGCGGAGGCCTAGATGGACGAACAGCCATCCCCGGCTCCTTCTTCCGACCAGCAATATGCACCATTCGGGAAATTGACCTGTTCGGTCAAAGACAACCATGGATTCCTACTCGAGGCAACCATGCATGACGGCAGGAGATCTGCAAGTCTGAACTGCTAAACACCCTGTAGAAGTATCTTTTACCGAAATTCACCGCGGCTCTGCAGCTTACACGATAAACTTTGTAGATAGAGTCTGCAGATAAAGCGGCGTGGCTGGCCACCGTCCGCAACTCGTGGCAAACATGCGCATGCGTTGTTTTTGTTCCGAGGTGGCCTGACTAATGTGGGCTTTAGAGATTGTGGGAAGCATGGAGCTGGTTGGTAAAATATTCCCAGGTGTTTGGATCGTAATCGTGTTTGCGGATTGCCCTGAATGAACGGTCCGATGCGTATTTGACATGAAGCAGTTCGGAGAGGAGCATTCTTGATGTTGCAATTTGGGAGCTGAGATGGTACCTGTCGACTGGTATATGTGGTCTGACTCGAGAACCGTATTTGGGGGGCTCGCGGTCCGTTTGGGTACTCTGTGAATATCATCATGCAGTTCATAACTTTTCGGGGTCGGCAACAACAGAGTTGTCAACAATCAAGCGATCTCCAGATTGATTGCCCAACCAAGCGTCAAAATAATGCTCCAACAATCAATCTACCTATCGCTTGATTGTTGACAACTCTGGGCAACAATCTCGCTTCATATGGATCAGATCCCAAGGCGGATCAAGCATCGACTATGCCGCTGCTCCGCAAGCTTGGAACGTGCACGATGCCAACAAGATCTCTTCGAGAAGGGTCAAATGTCTAACGCATGTAATGAACGAAATCACCTTCGCTTGGCTTTTCCATCGACTGCAGATGAATGTTGAGGACAATGGCTTTCTCAATCAAGTAAGAACATCTGTACAGAACATCGTACGACTTCAGGAAGGTTTAAGCAGATCTTACAGTGTTGGTGATCTTGCAGTTGGTGTAAGAAGGTGAAGCGAAGGAAAAAGGATTAAGGTTTCCGCTCGGAGGACGTCAGGCGAGAGATATACCTGTGTACATCGAAATTGATAACGAGGGACTGCACGTGACTGCGCGATAAGGAAAGCGCGAGAACGCGCGAGGAAGGCGCGCCCTGAGTCAGAGCTTTTGCCTTTGTTTGGGCAACGCGTTGGACTCAACAACCAGGCAGACGCGACAGCGACATCATTGCCTGCCATTACACTCCCTTTCGTTTCTACTTTACCGCACACTCCTTGTATACTGTCGACTGCGCTTTTGAATACATTGGATCGCAATGGGCGCACCGCCGGGGGTAAGTACCTCTCTTTGCTCACTGGGCCCACATCGTGGGCGCATTGATTCGAAACATGTCCACCGCAATTTCGATGTCTGAACGTCCCCGCACATCTCGAAGTAGCTACGATGATGTCATGGCACACGACTACTAACAGCTATTGTAGAGCCAAGTGGCTCCATTGCCTTCGAACCTACCCTTCCGACTCGTCAGCAAAACAATAGGGCAGGGCACGTATGCATCGTCAGTAAGGCCTCGAGCATGACCCTTCACGTATACTAACACAAGCCTGCAGAATACGAAAAGCAGTGCCCCACGATAAGCCCAAACCCGTCATCGCGATCAAGTTCATCAACAAGGAACATGCGTTCAAGCAGGGCCGCCTCTCGCCGAAGCAGATCAAGATGGAAATAGTCTTGCATCAACATCTCGGCAAACATCAGAACATCGTACACCTCCTCGGCTCAGGTGAAGATGCGTTATGGACATGGATAGCTATGGAGCTCGCAGATGGCGGCGACCTTTTCGACAAGATCGAGGCGGATGAGGGTGTGGGAGAAGACATCGCACACTTCTACTTCTCACAGTTGATCAGCGCTGTTAGTTACATGCACTCGAAAGGCATTGCGCACCGCGACATCAAACCTGAGAATGTACTGCTAAGTGCTGAAGGAGACTTGAAGCTGAGTGACTTTGGACTTGCAGCGCTCTTCAAAAAGGACGGCAAAGCACGGCTATGCAATACCGTATGTGGTTCACCGCCTTATATCGCTCCCGAAATCGTCAGTGGAAGAAGAAGCAAGAGAGCGGACATGCTGGATGTTGGCTACCACGCAAACATTTGCGACATCTGGAGTTGCGGTGTTGTATTGTTCGTACTGCTGGTCGGTAACACGCCGTGGGACGAACCCACAATGCGCAGCGAAGAGTTCAAGGAGTATGTTGAAACAGACGGACATACTACAGATGAACTGTGGCAGTTGGTACCTCCAGAAATCACGTCGCTGCTCCGGGGGATGTTGAAACTTGATCCAGCCTCGCGATTCACACTCGACGAAGTTCGAAGGCATCCCTGGTTCAGAAGGCCGAATGCATACTTGTCACCAAGTGGATGCAACGCCAATCCTGTTGGCATGGCTACGCAGATGCTATCTCAGCTTCGCATCGACTTCGCTCGCGGGCCTACACAATCACAGAGAGGCTTTTCACAAGACCCTGACGCTATGGATATCGACACGTCACCGAGACGCTCCAGCGTGAACCCTGCGAACGCTGTCCACCTTCTATCATCCACACAACCTGAGACTCCAGCAGGCGAGTCTGTCTTCGACTGGGAACGACCACCTCGCCTAGCTTCACACGATGGAGTATCAGCTTCTCAGCCTATGGGTGGTAACCAACACCCAGTCTACCAGTCCCAGGCGGTCTCTTCGACTCCATTCACGTCACAGCTCCCACCATCGACACAAGACATGCTGTCTCAGGATCCGGGCATGGCACAGTTCACCGCAACACCGCAGTTGCCACTTACGCTTACGCAAATAGCGCGCCGGTTCGCCGATGTTATGCCTTCGTACTCGCTCGCACGCTTCATCTCGCCACATTCCCTATCGTTCCTTATTCCTCTTCTGCTTGAGGCTTTGCACCGACTTGGCGTACCCCCTCCAGCTTTCACTGAAAGCCAGATTGCGCAGTGTGAGCTGGATGAGAGTGCAAGTATCAGAGTGAAGATGGCCGATGGGCGGCGGCAGGGTCTGAACGGACACATCGTCGTCGAGAAGGCGGTATATGATGGCATGGCGTACAGTGAGGTGAGGTTTGTGAAGGCGAGCGGAGATCCCCTGGAGTGGAGGAGGTTCTTCAAGAATGTTGTAATATTGGTCGGTGACGTGGTGTTGAGGCCTGGCTAATAGGCGGCTTGAGTTGGACACAGTGATAATAATGATACGAACGACAGCTAACGACGTGCATCTTAGTATAACACTCAATTACTTTTGTATAACATAGATCAACGTCGATTCACCAAATGTTTAATCCATGTTGTTGCCCAGAGTACGAAGAAGCTCGTTTTTATTGAGTTATGGCCTATGCGTACCGTGTCCGTGCGCGTAATGCGCGGATTCGCGTAATGCGCCGAACCACCTTTTTGTACCCATACTTCACTGTACAATTACTCAACGCCACAATGACTATGAAATCTGCCTTTGAAGAGATAGACTCTATGATACCATGCGATAAGATCCCGTGGACAGCGCTGGCTAAAAAACATAAGGTTGTGCGCTCAACCCTGTCTCGAAAATATCGACACGAGACGCGATCGCGTGAAGAGAAGG